TTTCAGAGCGGTAACTTGGGTGGCCAATTGGATTTCAGGGGTTGTCATTGGATTTTGAGTGTCCGATGGTCCATTTGAAACATTTTCACCATATCAATATCCAATTTACTGAAACAAACAATAACCCGTGATGTACTGTCAGCTCACTGTCATCTTATCTTTGAATAAAAAATATGACTGATAATTAGGGCTGGGCGATAAAACGCTAACGATATATATTGAAAATTAATTTCCATCAATATAAAACATGGTCAATATCCATTTCAATAATCAGCATTCTGCCATGTTTTGGTCGACTGTACGAATAGCCAATGAAAAGGGGTCTGAACCAATCATGTTCTGAATTAGAACCAAGTATCAACCAACTGCAGCGTCGTAGCAGACAGCAGCTCCACCCAACCATAGCACTTTAACAGGTGAAGCCGACAGCACTGTTGGTGAGAAACAAAGAAAATGAGTGCTACCCCCGACAGAAATGACCATGAAGGCTCAACAGATGACCACATCAATGTCAACCACAACACTGGCGTTAGGAAAACGTCGGTGGTGTGGAGGTATTTTGGTTTTTGGAGGTCGGACATGAAGCAGAGTAATGTGGACTGTAAATTATGTCGAGTACATGTTCTCACAAAGTCGGGGAATACCTCAAATCTTTTTCACCACCTGAAGCAGCGCCACGCCGCAGAGCACGCGCAACGCAAAAGGTTACAAACCCCGAGAGGAGCGAGGAGCCGAAACAGACGACCATTCAGTCGGCTTTCTCTAGAGCAACGCCTTACAACAAAACAGAAAAGACATGCAACCAATAAACACTGTTACATTTCATTATTATATCCTAATATTGATCGATATCGACTGACATGGAAAAAATATATCTTGATAAACTTTTTTACCATGTCGCCCAGCTCTACTGATAAACTATCACCACGGCTTGTGATGCACAAGGACCGTCTTGGTTTGCTGAGCTGAATTCAGTCTCATCCTCGGACACGTTCACCTCACAGTCTGAAATTTTTCCGACGTTTAAAGTCAACGTCCGACATTTTAACTTCATATTTGTTTCTAAAATGTAAAAAAAAGGAAAGGACTAACCGTTTAAAATACTTCTATACAAGTCATCAGAGACTAGTCCGGATTAGAGGAGTCTCTGTGTGGACTTCAACATTTATACACACATCCCTCTGCAGGTTATCACACACACACGCTCACACACACACACACACACACTAAATGAACTCCTATAATTCACGTCCTGCTCTTATGAAACCCTTCAGCATAAGCAGGTGTAAACATATAAACATGATAAACTTCGCTCTGGGCCTCTTAATAAGAAAATAAAAATGGATTTTCCTAACAGCTCCCCCCGCAGGAACAAACCCCGCACTGCTTTAAGTGCTCCATAAAACCGTGTCCTGTAGCTTCACGCTGCGTTCCTGCTCGCTCTCTTCATTTAGACTGACGTCTTTATGATCTTCAGGAGTTCTGCATGAAGCCCGTCCTCTCACTCGCTGGACAAACACAAATTTGTTCGGCTCAAATAAAGTTTGATGAGGAGATAATTTTGCGAGCGAGCGGCATAAAGGAGCCTCTCATGTTCACTGAGGAGGAAAACCAGCTACAGTCTGCAGAGGTGTTTCTGCACACGCTCGACAAGATGATAGACGTAGATACGACCTCCACACGCCCACAAAAACACACAAACCGTCTCTGTGACCCTTAAAATCAACGGGTCTCTGAGCTGAACAGGACTCAGTGATCCTCAGAGGGACATCCTAAAGTTCTGACACAAAGACACAGCAAGAACATATCCGTCTCTCTCAGTCTGACAGGGACAAATGTCAAAGCTCCAAACGTTTGCAGTAAAACGAACAGCAGTGTCTCCGCGGTGACTGATGTGTACTGTCGAGACAGGAAGACTTATGGATCCGGAAGACGACAAACACCTCCATTCCTCACCTGGAGGACGTGATGGAGGCCCAGAAAACCTCCCTAAGAAGGCGTCCAGGAGACATCTTTATCAAATACCTGATCCACCTCATCTGTCTCTTTACTATGTGAACGAGCAACAACTTCACTACGAACAACCGCCTGTTTTGGCTGATTAGATTCATACTCAGGTGTGATTCGTTACCTCTGAATACAAACTGTGTTTTTTAACAGCTAACACTTTGAGGTCACAGAAAACTGAAGCACGTTAAAAACAGAGCAGTCCCTCAAATTCACGTCACGTAGAAATAAATATATTTCATCATTTTGAACACGCGTCCTCTCATGTATGAATTTTCCCACATATGTCGAACCTTTAGTCGCTCGCCACAGTCCGCCGTAACTCTGTTTTCACAACTTTGTTTACACACTTCAGCTCAAATGACACAATATTATGTCAGCACAGCAGGACCTGGAAGGTCAATGTGAGACTGACACGAATAATAAAATCCTCAAGTTCAATCCGAACAGATTTATGTTGTTTTTAGGAACCGAAAAGCAGAACTGGCATGTACTGGACCGGAACTGAACCAGTTTGAGTTTCTGCTGCTGGGACTGAACCCAAGTCTCCTGCAGGAGTTTGTGCGGATGATTCCTTTAGTTTTTCAGATGTTGAGATTTTGGCTGGGACAGTTTAGTTGTATTGAGCTCCTTGTTTTGATAAATCTGGTTACATGTAGTCTAGACTTGAGTCCTAGACTTTGGTTTCTGTTTAAGCTGTGAGACAGCCTCTAGTGGACGCACTGGGAACTACAATTTAGGACTTCAACATTGAGTTCATTTCTCAGAGAGTGCAGCTCTGTTAACTTCAAAGACGGAATGTGTGTGTGTGTGTGTGTGTGTGTGTGTGTGTGTGTGTGTGTGTGTGTGTGTGTGTGTGTGTGTGTGTGTGTGTGTGTGTGTGTGTGTAATGGGGGATTCCCAAACGTACCCTCTCCTCCTCTTTGCTCGATAGTCTGACATCAAACAGAACAAAGAGAGAGTTTATGAATTAAAGTGTTTTCCCTTACACACACACACACACACACACACACACACACACACACACACACACACACACACACACACACACACACACACACACAGCTCTATCCCACATATGACAACATCCTGTCTCTCTGTTATTCAGCATCCTGTATTGTTCCTGACTGCGTCTACCTGAGCAGGTAGACCCTGTTTATCACTCAGAGGTATCAGAAAAACACTGTGAGGGTCCGTACAACCAAACTCTACAGAAGCTCCCACCCTGCTGCACTGTGCTCCTGTTTTTACTATTTATTATGTGTAAATAAGAGCATTTATCTTCTTATATAATTTTTTATTTGGTTTTTATTCCACTCCCACTCTACCTCCAGATAGTGCAATATTACTAATCATGCTGCTACTTTACCCATAGTTTTTAATGTTTTTATTATTTCTGTATATTAAATTAAACACCATCATGCCGTGAAATGAAAGCCAAGCAACAACATTTGATTGCAGAGAGAATTACTGCTGTGTTTTATTCTGTGAAATGACAAATAAAGAAAGTCGAAGTCTAAGATGAGACTTTACATTTAATTTAAATTTAACTTTAATTTAAATCACTGTTAAGTGTAAAGAAAACATTTTAAACACTGAAACATGTTTCTAAATCGTTGTTTCAGGACCTGTGTGTCCTCAGCTCTTCTTAAACCAACACTTTGTAGATCTTCGTGGACCCAGCAGACCTGGTTCTGGAGTCCCATTCTGGTCTGATAGAGGATCTCAGCTGCTCGTCAGTTCAGGGTCTCCTTGGTCCTGTTTTTGGGGTCATGATGCTCCAAATGTTTCCAAGCCAGGACCGCATCAGTCCAGGACTCTTCTCCTACAGAGCCATGCTGTTGTCAGAATCTGGTTTGGGATCATCTGAAGGTCTTAGATCTTGATCATAAACCTGAAGATGTTGTTCAGTCTGCTCTTCAGAGCGGAGGGTCCATGATTTCCAAAATGAAGGTCAGGTTTTGATTTGTCTCACAACGACACAGTTCTCCTCTTCCCCTCAGTCCACCTTAAACGGGCTTAGGTCCAGAGAAGTCTCTGGTATTTCTGGATCCTGGTTCTGATCCAGCACATATTTTTCATAAAACAAGAACTTTTTTAAGTTTGAACATTTGATATGTTGTCTTTGCTCCATTTTCACTCTAATATCTTATTTATCTACATTTCTCCAGCTCTGATGAAGTTCAGCTCACATCACTAACTCTGTAAAAAAGGTGAAAATAATGTTCTCTGTGTAAAGGGTCAGGAAAAGACCTCCTGTATAAAAGGTTCAGTCTTTGTTTGTGTTGTTTTCATTTTTTCTGGTTTTTATTTGAAGGAGAGGAAAAAAAGGACGGATGGAAAATCTGCAGATAATCCTGCAGACAAAGGAAAGCTGCTGTTTGGATGTTTCTCTGTAAAGTGTTTGTTTCTGTTTGTTCAGTGTTACAGGAAGAGTCAGAGCAGCACAAAGACACAGCTAAAGACCAAGAGGAAGAAGAAGAAGAGGAGGAGTGCCTTTCAGAGGCTCACCTGGCTGATGTCACCTGCAGGAAGTTCTTTGAAGGTGATGTGGGCAGAGGGACATGAAGGTGTCTCTAAGTAGAGAGGACTACCAGCAGCATCACAGCATGACGACATCCTGAGGAGGGGGACAAAGAGCCGTATGTTAGTATGTTTGTATGATGGGAGCGTGATGACCGTCGCTGTTTGAAGGTGAGCTCTTCTAATCAGCCAGGTGTAAACACGTCAACATCTCTGATATCTGATATTACAAATCAGCTCAAACTTCAAAAACAAGCTCATCCATCAACTCAGAAGATAAGATCAATTTTGTTAGTCCTCCGGGGGGGCGGGGGGGGTCTCTTGGTACAGCAACTGACAACAACAAGCAGGGAAATACAATAATATACAGAATAACATTCACATTTAAAATTAAGATTATGCTACAATGTTTGCTTTTTACCTACGGAGACAGCAACAGTCTTACACACAGGACCAGCGATGGACAGTGTGACAGTTTCACTCGCATGTGGCACTAAATATAGATGTGTGCGAATTGTTAGTTTTAGGTTAGATAGATTTTCCTGTAAATACGGCGGTGAAGTTAGTTTCAGGTTGGATATATTTTCCTGTAAATACGGCGGTGAAGTTAGTTTCAGGTTGGATATATTGTCCTGTAAATACGGCGGTGAAGTTAGTTTTAGGTTGGATATATTTTCCTGTAAATACGGCGGTGAAGTTAGTTTTAGGTTGGATAGATTTTCCTGTAAATACGGCGGTGAAGTTAGTTTCAGGTTGGATATATTTTCCTGTAAATACGGCGGTGAAGTTAGTTTTAGGTTGGATATATTTTCCTGTAAATACGGCGGTGAAGTTAGTTTCAGGTTGGATATATTTTCCTGTAAATACGGCGGTGAAGTTAGTTTTAGGTTGGATATATTTTCCTGTAAATACGGCGGTGAAGTTAGTTTCAGGTTGGATATATTGTCCTGTAAATACGGCGGTGAAGTTAGTTTTAGGTTGGATATATTTTCCTGTAAATACGGCGGTGAAGTTAGTTTTAGGTTGGATATATTCTCCTGTAAATACGGCGGTGAAGTTAGTTTCAGGTTGGATATATTTTCCTGTAAATACGGCGGTGAAGTTAGTTTTAGGTTGGATATATTTTCCTGTAAATACGGTGGTGAAGTTAGTTTCAGGTTGGATATATTTTCCTGTAAATACGGCGGTGAAGTTAGTTTCAGGTTGGATATATTTTCCTGTAAATACGGCGGTGAAGTTAGTTTCAGGTTGGATATCTGACGGACATTGTCTGAGGATCTACAGGTGTCTTCTCACTCTCCATAACCGGGAATAACAACAGCAGCGCGGTTAAATCTACTCGACACCCTCACTGTCAACGTCGGTGTTGAATAAGGGACCGTCAATAAATTATCGGTTGATGTTCTCAGAAAAGGCTGTTTTCCTTCGATAGCTTCACTGTCATGTGACCAAAAGACCTCAAAATGATTTCAAATAACAGTACTAAGGTTGATCAATAAGACAAACATTATTGATCAGTTTTCATTATGTCCTTAAAGTTGTCCGTGTGTGTCTGTAAAGCAGAGGGACAGCATACATGAGCGTTAACGAGCTGACAACTGCTAAAAAGTGAGAAACATCGCTCAGAATGAGACACAGACTGATTAATCACTCAGCTGATAAATTGATCTGATTAAAGGCATTTTGGCGGAATCATTATAGCACAAGGCCATTATCACTATTATCTTTACAAAGGGAAAAACACCTTCAACAGCATATCAACTCTCAGACTGACTAGTGTTTAATAGAAATTCCGATTATTATGATGCAGTTTAATAATAGCAATTGTAACTATTAACCTTTTTCTATTTTACTAATATTGTACTTATAACATATATATTGCAGTCTTATTTTTGACTTATTTGATCATTCTGTTTAGTTGGTTTTTTTTTGTGTACATACTGAAGCTGCTGGAATTTTAATTTTCTTGAGGAAACTTCCAAAAGGACCAATAAAGTCTATCTTATCTAATCTAATCTGATTTGAGACAGCTACATAGGCTCTTAAAAGTCTGTTGTGGTGATTTTTCTGTTTAGCTTTGTTTAATAAAATATTCACTTCAGTTCAGAAATATTGTTTTTCATTCGTTCAGGTTAGTATTTTGAAAAAGCAACAATGTGATATTGATAAAATGTATCAGACATCTGCAGTTAGAAAACTGTCATTCAACTGCTATTTAGATTCTTTATAAAATACAGCCCCAGTCTTAACAGGTTAAATCCCTCTATATATGAAACAGTATTATATACCATAACAACAGTAATGACCAAAGGCTGGTGTCCATATGTGACACATTAGCACTGCTCAACCATAAAACAGAAAGATTAAAATAGGTTTGTGTGAGGGCAAATGGAGATGATGGTTGTTGAAATATAAACCTCATTTAGCACACACAAAACAGCTGCATTATCACAGACACTCACTGACAGACTGTGTGACAGCGCCCTCTGGTGGCTGAAGGTGAAAGTAAGAAAGTCTTCATTTCAACAGTATAACAGAAGCTTTAATCTTTAATCTTTAATCTGCTGTAACTTTGTGAATTTCTTTTCCCACAGCGCCTCAATTTACCTGGATTTATCTGACCTAGACAGACATGTTCAGGTAATAATACAGCCGCTCCACCTCCTCTCTCCCGGGGGCAGGATTTTTTTTCATTTCTTTTCATCCTATGAAAACAAATATCGCCTCCCGGAGATAAAATACTCAAAATCACACAAAAACAAAATAACGAACTAAAAGTACAGTAAACATACCGTGCACTGACATTAACCAACAGATCCGTCTTAAATGTATCGGCGCGCTTTAACTCTTTAAAGTTTCGGCGCGAAGTTAGCATAAACTCCGTAGATTAGCATGACTCATAATGAATGTTCGGCTAGGTCAACAGCTAGTAGTACCGTACTAGCTGTTTATATGTTATAAAATATTAAGTCAATTAATGAAACATTTTATATAGACATTAAAACAACAAGGAAAACAAAAATATGGGTATAGAAATCAAAGGATTGATCAATACAATTTAAGGTAAGAGTTTGATACCTGAATACTCCAGTACGACACTGAAACCGGAAGAGGAGGAGCAACGTAATTTTTTTAATTTAATTTTAATTATTAATTAATTAACAATTAATTTGATTATTTGTCAAAATACAAAAATACAAACATTAAGGCACATTGGTGATACTTGGAGTATAAAGCAAAGTAAATTATATAAAAGAGAAAACACAGAAGAAGAAATGTACCGGAAGTTACGGCTGTGCCACGGAAATACAAACAGCAGGGGAGAGGGCAAAACCGAGATTAAACTAAACAAATATATTCATGATAGAATATATCCTATAGTTTTTAGAAGCTTTGTTGTTTACAGTAAATTTTCTGATCATAAATATGAAAAAATTCCCAACAATATAATGAGGGTATTTATTAAAGATTTAAGCCAAAGGGACAGTATTTAATGGTCCCAAAAGCTACATTTTAACAATGATTATAATCGCTTTAAATATAATGACTAAGAAAATAATTATTCGTCAAATTATCTGAGAGATAGACAGATGGACAGATCGTCTTGAGTAATTTATTTGTCAATTAAAATGAGACATCAATTATTATCTATGTATTTAGATTTTCTAGAAATCTATCTTAAAATACTGTATCGTTTATTTAAGATAGAAGACTGACGATCTAACTACCGTGAATATTAGAGATTAGATTTAGATATAGATTAGATTTCCATGTCCTGCTCTGGTTGAACCCCGCTGTTAACTTATATTTCGTTTCTATATTTTGATTATTTCATCACTTTTGTTTTATTTAAATTTCTGTTTAATTCCTATAACTTCAAAAAACAGCCAAACTGTATTCTGTATGTGTTCAATAATCTTTATACACAGCGATACACATTTCTTAACAAACTGCACTGTTACTTATTAACCACCAGGGAACGCTCTTCGACTGTCATAGATCTGAATCAGTCCAGACTGTGAAATGTTTTAAAAACAAATCTATGAAGGAGTTAGATAGAGTCAAATAAAGAAAAAAATGCAATAATTTAATGAAATATTAATGTAAATATGACCAGAACTTTATGTCAAAGAAAATAAACAGTTTGAGTTGGAGATCATCGCAGATAATTCACTAAAGTTCAGGTTAATCCTGTCAGCAGCGGAATAATGTGATTTAATCTTTAAATGATCACGTACATTAAAATAATCTGCTATAATCCAAGCGATAACCTGCTATAATAGAAATAATAACAGTCTCTGCATCACGTGACCGAAAACATGTCCGGACAGCTCTAAGCAGGGGTCCGAGTGCTGCATGTTTATTGGCCATCAGCAGCAGGGTCACGTGGTTCTGTGGGCGGAGCCTCGACTGTCCCCTGGTTCATTCTAACAGGTAGTTTAAACCCGAACCAGCAGCAGTATCAGGAGAAGGACCCTGCAGCATGCTGAGCTGGAAGAGTTCCTGCACGGACCACAAGAGTTCTGGACAAGGTACCATGAGTTCTGGATCGGGCCTGATGAGTTCTGGACCGGTTCTGATGAGTCGGGGATCCGGACCGGAGCGCAGCCGGGTCGGAGAGCGGCTGCAGGCGGCTCTGGCCGGGCTGCAGGAGCTCAACCTGCTCCGGGACCGGCAGAGCGAGCTGGTGAGCCGGGCTCTGAGGGGGGACCGGGAGGAACCGGGGTCTGCGGTCCGGTCGGGTCAGGAGCGTTCTGGAAAGACCGGGACCGAGGAGCAGCGACTGGAGGCGACTCTGAGGACCCTGAAGGATCAGCTGGTATGAAGACATGCACGCACGCACACACACACAGATCCAGTTTGAAGCAGTCAGACTGGTGTATGAAAAAATAACCTGATTATGTGTTTAATCCGAACCCTACAGCTGATAATGAGTCTTAATCAGGGTTACAAAATTCCAGGAACTTTTTAAATTGGAATCTTTCCACTGGGATTAACGGGAATAAATCTGAAATGTACCAAATTGAAGTTTGGCCCTCAACAGGAACTTCAGTATAGTTGGTGAAAATATCTTGCAGTATAATCTTGACTAAAACAACCACATTTTACACAAGTCCACTCCTCAATCACAAAGACATTTGAGCCCACACACTATAGAAAGTCAATTAAGTTTGGATAGAATTATGGGGTAAATAGATTTCACCTAAATGTAAGTTATTTTTCATTTCATTGACCTTTTAAAAGACGAGTTTATGGTGGTGGTAGCTACCTCAAATGTGACGACTCCTGACAGACGGTTTTCTGTAACCAAACAATCATTTATTCATCAATTATCAGATATTTAAAGACCATTTCAGTCATTTAGCCGACTATATTTCTGTTCGTGCCATCGTTCATTAGTGTTTTTACAAGCTTTTGTAATGATTTTCATGGATGTCTGATTATGACCAAACAAAAATCTTTCCATTTATGTTTGGAGATGAAAGAGTTTGATTAAAGTACCTCAAATTCTTAGTTCATTCCCATAAATTCCTGTAATTCCCATCGAAAGTTTCCAATTTGGAATATCTCCAAAACTCCCCAGTTTAACTTCACATGGAAAGTTTCTGGAAATGTACAATCCCAGTCTAAATATACAATAATGAGGAGGTAATCACACGTGAGGAGTATGTTTATAATATAAAGAGAGAAACTCACTCATTTTAGAGAGTTGACAACTGTTAACAGACAGCACTCAATACTGACACACACACAGACACACACAGACACACACTCACAGGCTCTCAGCAGGGGGCAGGAAGCAGATCAGAGCCATAAATCAGGCTCAGTAAGTAAGTGTGTGTGTGTGTGTGTGTGTGTGTGTGTACAGCTGCAGGGGGGAACTAAAAAAACATTAACAGCAAAGTTTAAAGCTCAATGGTGATTTGTGTGTGTGTCTGTAACTGTGTGTGTGTGTGTGTGTGTGTGTGTGTGTGTGTGTGTGTGTGTGTCAGCAGATGTGTTTAAAGAGCTGGTTTTCTGCTTTTTCACAGTTTAAAAACAAATATAAAGTTAAATGTTGGTTCTCAAAACCAAACAGACAAAGTTCCAGATTGGAAGGTGAACCTGTGTTGGATTAATCTGGTTCAGATCTGAACCTAAACAGAATCCACATCAGATTTGTTCAGATCATGAAATCACAGATTAGTGAATCTCTAAATCAGGATACTTTTGTCATTTTAAAGGGACTAATGCTACCATCAAGTTACCTCAGAAGTCAGAAGTCTGAGCTGAAAATGGCGTCATACCCAAGTTCCTGGCGTTTCAGTCACCAAGTCGGTAAAAGCAAAATCGTAGGCGGAAACATGTAGCCATCTTGTTTCAGGCCTCTGATTTCACTTTTTTTCCAACTGGAACGCTGGGAACTCAGGTGTGACGTCATATTCAGCTTGGACTTCTGACTTTTAAGGAAACTCAAACGCAGCATATGATGAATTCCTCACATGGCAACAGTGGAGAAGAGTTCAGGAATGCCCGGCTGTAGAATGTGTTGTTTTAGTTCTGGGCTCTGCACTGCTAGGTTCCAGAATGAAGGATCTAGAGTATCTGGTCCTGTAATGATGGGTTTCAGCGTGCTGGGTTTTTGGTTCTGGAATGGTTCCAGAATACTGGGATCCTGGAATAATGGGTTTTTCCAGACTGCCAGGTTTGATGATGCATCTTGACAGTGCTGGGTTACAGAGTCAGGGTTCTGGATTCTGTAATGAAACTCTGGGTTTGGTTATACTTGGACCTATGATGCCAGGGCGAGGAATGCTGGGTTCAAGAATAGTGGGTTCCAGAATGCCGGGTTCTGGAATGATGGATTCCAGCATGTAGGCTTCCAGAATGTTTGTTTGTTTTTTAAGTTCCTGAATATATGAATTCTCAATGCGGGGTTACAGATTTCTAAATTGGGTTTCGGCATAGAGGAGAGTGGGGTAAGTGGAGCCCCACCCCCTTTTGCTTGTAAATGGTCAAATAAATTGATCATGTGACCAAATCTTTAGGAGATGGGCGTCAATTCATGGAGTCTATGAAGGTTGGAAGCTCATGGGTGAAGAGGTTAGACATTTATTTTTTCACTCTGTAAAGTGAATTTAGTCTTCAGTTTGATTAGAATTGTGTTTTAAATTAGTTTATACATCAATTGTGGAATCTATGAGCGACAACATGAGGTCAAAAACATCACATAAAAGTCCACCATTTTAACTTACCCCAAAAATTCACGGGGTAAGTTGACCATAGGAGACCACTTTTTTGTTGTCCTGCTATATTCTGAAGATGACAGTTCTGTTTACTCTCATTCTGTTGGGTTACAGGGATGAAGAACATCCTGAAATATCTGCAGAGACACGAGTTAGAGACAAAACTAGGACTGACTTGATGGACTGATCAGAAATATCAAACATGGATCATCTTACGACACTCTCTCCTACATGGTTCTGGAATGTTAGGTTCTGGAATGCTCGGGTATGGAATGTCAGGCTTCTAGAACACCGGGTTCCAGTATGTTTGGTTCTGGAATGCCGGGTTCTGGAGTGCTTTGAAGTTCCTTAAAGGGACAGTAGCCGAGTTAAAGGGTTTCAGGCAGAGGCTGAAATGCAGGTTTTTAAAAGACACTGATCTGAGATAAGCGAAGAATTTTAGGGGCTGTAAATCATTTAAAGATACTACAAAGATATCAGGAGGACAAAAGACAGACTGAAAATTAGAGGAATACTCCCCCACTCCCAAGTTTTAGAGGACAGGAAGTGCAACTGTTGTAAAGTCCCTGAAGGCTTCCTTCACATCCTGAGCTGAACTTTGAGATGAAGTAAAAGAAATACTAGTTTTGTTAATGAAATAATCCAGAGTGGGTTAAATGAAGAGCTGTTTTTTGAAGGTTTGAGGGAGCAGACAGAGCAGAGTTTATCTCACAGCAGCAGCAGAGTGAGCAGAGAGCCAAACAGCCTCATTTACAGCTTCATGCTAAGACAACTGTTAGAGCAAAGCTGTAAAGCAAACTGTGATTCACCCCCACCCCCCTCCTCTTCCTCCTCCTCCTCCTCCTCCAGGAGTTCACATAATGACCCCCCCCCCCCCCTCCTGTGGGGGGACGGACCCCCTCCTGCTGAGGTTAATCATCAGCTGCAGCTGAGCCTCTTTGTTTCTGTTGATGGAACATTACAGCTCCTTTCTCCTCATGCAGACAGAGCTCCTTTACAAGATTAAAGCATCCTCACTGCCCTGCTTAGGAGGCTGTCTCCACTGTGTGTGTGTGTGTGTGTGTGTGTGTGTGTGTGTGTGTGTGTGTGTGTGTGTGTGTGTGTCATGAACTCTTCATCATACAGTGTGTGTCGCTAAGTCAGCACAGCAGTGTTAACACTCTGCTGCCACCACCCTGTAAACCTATAACTGTGATCCACAGTGGCCTGATATCAGAGTCATGTAACTGTGTGTAATTAAAAAGCTGCAGCTCATAGAAACAGATTATATAGATGTCCTACTTTTCAAAGCATGGTCATTTCTACCTTCAGTCCAAACCATTTGGTCGGAGGTTTGGCGCTACAGGCAGGCGCTAAGGAAGTCACCATCTCCACAAAGCTTGACAGCAGATGGAAGCAGCAAATGTTATCTCAACACACTTCACAAAAAGAGGAGATCAAGACCAAACTCTTTGTTTTATTATCTACAAAGACCCGACATCGAGATAAGATAATCTTCATCCAGTAAGATAAGACCTTCTCCAACAATCTGCAGCGTTTATCACGTCACAGCGCAGAAGAAACACTTCCTCTAACAGGCAGAAACCTCGAGCAGAACCAGACACGTGTTCGACAGTCATCTGCTGAGACTGAGCTGGGTTTAGTTCATACAAGTATTTGGTTACCATGCCAACAATAATGGAAGAAGGATGTGCACTTTTCATGGTTACAGTATGTTAATGATAAAAGGCTGATCCTAATTTAATCAATCAAGAGGTTTATTATCAGTATTTGTGAAAGTTAAAGTTTGTTGTATCGGTTAATTAACACGAGTATTACAAACATGGTAATTAAAGTATTTTTATGTGTTTATTAAGACTTTCTAAAGTTTTTAGTGTGATATTTCAGGTTAAGGTTTTTGTGTTATGGTGTTTTTAATGGAGGTGTGTGTCAAACATGATTTTTTTTATCTCACGTTTGTTTGTTTCACTTTTTCTTCTTGTTTTTTGATGAAATGTTTTTACATTTTTTATCTAATTTTTTAACATGAGTGTCTTAGACAGTATTTACATGAATTTTGGATGTTTATGATGAAGTTTTTGAGTTTTGAATGTGATGTTTTTGCATCCTTAACATTAAGTTTTTGAAAGTAAATGTGTTTTTAGTTCTATACTATCATGTTAGTCGTAATGTTGATGTGTATTGTTCTTTTCTGTTTTGGTTTTGAGTTTTTTTAATTCATAATTTTATGTTTTTAACGAGGTTTGGAGTTTTTGATGAGCTGTTTCTCTGTTTCAGTCACGCCTCCGTAAACAGGACGTGGGTCTGAAGTCTCACCTGCAGCAGCTGGACCAGCAGATCAGTGAGCTGAAGTTGGATGTCAGGAAGGCGTCCATAGACCATCAGGAGAGCGACAGCAGACCCAGCTCAGGTGAGATTGTTGGTCTTCTGTGAATTGTTGTCACATGACTTTGACACCTGAGGAAACACTCACCTGTGTGATGCTCCGCCCCTCTGCAGGTTTCTTCGAGCTCAGTGACGGCAGCTCGCTGTCAAACTCGTGCACGTCGGTGTACAGCGAGTGTCTGTCCTCGTCCCAGAACAGTCTCCGCCCTCTCAGTCCGTCCATCGTTCATCCACAGCAGGGGGGAGTTTGCCGCCGACGTTCAGCTGATGAAACCTCCACCCAGCACCCCCCTCCCCGGGCGTCAGGCCTCCACCTGGGCAGCAGCCGGATCAGGGCGAGCTGTACAGAGCCGGGCCGACAGAGACCAGTATCCACAGGTACCCCTCAGGTCCAGGAGAGATGTTAACCCTCGGTTCCTGTTGATTTTAAGCTCCATCCAGCCGACTTTGTCTCCAAAACGGACATAAAATAATCATTTTCTGACATTTTTTCTTACTTTTTTTACTTAAATCTCTTAAACAACTTCAACCCTAACTGTTAAAAAATTAATGAATAACAAATTCGATGTAATCCCCTTTTTATTCCAGTTTTTGTCATATTTATTGATAAAGTGTTCGTTCTAAACAGCTGAGAAAAACACGACATTTTCTCCTTCTTTTCTGGAGCCTCGTCCAAATTAAATGTGATTGAGCTCATTTGTTCATATTAAATTATTTTATATATCGGCATATAAAATCAGAAGATATATGTAAGATAGGAATCATTTACAAGTGTTTAAAAAAAATAACAGTATATTTGAGATGTGATATCTTCTCCCCTGATGATCTGAAGGACCTGTTCATCCTCATGCATGTCCATCCACTCGCTCTGAAGTGAGGACAAAGTTGAAATTGTCCAAATGTCCCCCTCTCTTTAAAACTGTGTCTGTCAGCTCAAAATAAAGATGAAAAAAAGACGAATGTCCTCAAAACGGACCGAGGAGGAACCGAGGGTTAAACCTGCAGCTGAAACTGTCCTGAAGCTCCTCGGGTTTGATTGTCTGAAGGGTCTAAAAGGTTCTTCTAAATCTCTTTCTCCTGTGAAGGTGATCTGGACGGGATCCTGGCTCAGGGACTTGGCTGCTTCAAACCTGTGGATCCAAAGAAATCCTCGACCCACCTGAGGACCTTTACCATGGACTCAAAGTTCCAGAGCAACCTTGTGTCTCGTGATGGATCAGAAATCTACCCGTACCCGAGTCCGCTCCACGCTGTGGCCCTACAGAGCCCCATCTTCTTCCAGGGGGGTGACCCAGCCTCTGGACCCCAGGGACCCTTAGAGACTGGATCTACTCATGTCCAAAGGAAACAAACTGGGACAACTGAGACAAAGACTCTCAAGCAACCCCTGTACAGCGCCGGCACAGTCCAGATCAAAACAGGGACTCTGCAGAACCTCAGAGCCCGGCACCATGAGTCCTGTGAAGGTCAGTCTGTGATCCCAGAAACCTCCCAGAGGGAAGTCCCCAGTTCAGCACAGACCACAATGACCGTCCCACCACAGAGGGACCAGAACAGGCACTGCACGGGGTATTCCAGACAACAGATCCCTGAAAACAGGAACCAGAACCTGACAACCAGAGTCCCACAGGGTCCTCACAGATCCTCATGTCCCTCCACTGTAAGAGAGTCCAGCTGTGATGAGGTTTCATCACTAAGGAGGTCCAAAGGAGACCAAGAGAGGGGTCAGAGTCCAGAGATGAGACATGAGGATCATGAAGAGTCTGGTCTACAGGCAAGGAGGGTCCAAAGACAAAGATCTGGACTGAACCACAACCCCAGAGCAGGGGACACTCACACGGCGTCCCCCCAGTTTGTCCACGCAAAGTTTGTCCCAGCTGGATCTCAGAAGGTCAAAATGAGGCAGGCGGACCGCAAAACCCGGGCCCTGAAACTGAGGAAACCCAGAACAGTGAGGCAACAAGAGAGGACAAGAGAACCGAGGTCCAGGGGGGACCAGAGGAGACCGGGGTGTGGAAAACCGAACCAGAAATACTCAAACTGCCAGCCAGAGAACCACAGTCCAGGATCTGGCTCGGATTCCAGCCCATGCAGTTCTGGACTACCGTACACGAACAAAACCCACAACAAACCACATCCTGTTCCTACGGTAACAAGGTCTGGCAGGGTCCAGAGACACCACAACCTGGCCCATGACCTGTCCGTGGACCTCAGGAGGAAGAGACAGGTGGATCTGATCCAGACCTCATATGTCCAACATCAGTGGCCCAGGGAGTCCCAGGTTCAGGCTCCGATGGTGCGCTGTTCCAGACCGAGTCAGTGGACTGGACCGTCCTCTGAGTCCTCAACCTCCTTCCATCAGAGTCTAAACTCCAGATACCCCCCTGCACCCCGGTACAGGTCCAGCCTGTACCCGCCTCGCTGTGAGTCCGAGTACTCAGCCGAATGTGCGTCGCTGTTTCACTCGACGGTCGCGGCGAGCAGCGAGGGCGAGCTGAGCGACCACACCGCCAACCGCTTTGGAGACAGCGAGTCCAGCCAGAGCTACCAGTCTTATTCAGAGTCCGACAGCAGCCTTTCTCTGGACCAGGACGACCCGGAAGATCAGGAGGACTGCCTCCAAGACCCCAGGGGTATGCCGTGGGCTCAAGTTGGCGTCCAGCAGCTCCCCCATCCTGGACCATCAGCCTGCCGCATCAAAGCATCCAGAGCCCTGAAGAAGAAGATCCGACGGTTTCAGCCGGCCTCTCTGAAGATCATGACCCTGGTCTAAAAAGGGGCCCAGAACTGAGAACTCTTGAAACGGATCAGCACCCTGAAACTTAGGAGCTACAAACTGCAGTTCCTCTCCTGTCCACTAGAGGCTGTGTCCTGCAGTGAGTCGGCCCCCATAGAGCCCCATGTTAAAACTTTACCATAGAAATGAAGTCATTTACAGCCTGGAACCAGAACCGTTTGGGTCTCTGTTCAAGACCACCATACAGACTAAGACTATAGAAAACTCAGCAGGTAGATAAAGGGTTAAACCTGAGGGGGTGTGGTCTCTGTGACTGAAGGTTAACTTTGTTGTAACTGATGTTGGCCTCCATCTTTGGGCGTCACAACACCTCCTCAGAAACCAGTGGATGATCACAGACTGTGGGGGAAAAACAGAGAGAACTCTGGGTAACTGCTCACCTGTTTGAAACACCTGGTTCCCTTTAACTATCCTGAGTCATTTAAACTAACTCTGTTGAACTCTAAAAGGTTCGATTAATGAAAATTATTCAACTTTCACCAGATTTGTTTTTGTAAATAATGTTCTTGATAAAGTTTTTTTTTTTATCTCATATTATGAATATTTCTGTTGAACTGTTTATAACTGGGAAATAAAAAGAACTTCATCACATTTATAACAGAAATTAATGTTTGTTTTCTGATCATGTCTTCAGTAAAAACTCATACAGTTAATCTAATAAACCCACTGATGTATAAATACGATCATGTGTGCTTGGTTTGTTCTTGGACCTTCAGACACAAACAGAGAAAGGTGTTGTAGTCAGGATCTGATGAAGGTCCAGTTTTTAGGAGAAATCTTGAATGTAAACTCTACCCCTCCCAACCAGTTTTACCCTCAAGCCCCGCCCACAAACAGACGCTCCTGCTCGCTCGTATCGTTCCAATTAAACTCAGATATAATGCAGATAAATCCTTCAGATCATTACAAATGGGGCCCAGTCAAGGTGAAAGTCAAAAGCATTGGTGCTACTGTAGATGCCAACAGACTACCAGCAAACACAATGTTTGCAGGACTTCTACAACGAGGATAAAGTGACATAGTCCAGGACCCGAGGGAGGACAGTTTAGCGATGGCGCTACAACACGCTACAGCAGGTCCGTTTGACAAGAAACACTTCTGTTACAGACACTTGTCTTACTTTGTTAAAGCGGTTTACCTGTCCAGCAGAAAGGTTACAGGGTCACCAAGATCCCCAAGCGTCCCCCATCGTTTATGTTGACCCGGCTTTTTAGCTCTTGTCCGGTCTACCTCCGTTTTAAGCGCCCGTTATTCCTCCAGAGTCTCCGGTATTTACTTTGTTTTCTCGCTTGTGTCGGCAGTCGTGGCCAAAGGAGGATTCAGACAATTTTCCGAACTTTCTGGTTGGTTTCTACTGTCCGGTATTGTAGCACGCTAACTTTGTTTGGGCTCCTGAACGACACGGGGGAGCAGCGTCTGCCTCACAACCAATCAGGTTAGAGGAGGTGGAGAACGGCTTTGTTTACAGTCAGAAAGAGCGGACCGCTCAAAAATGTTCAAATGTTGACGACACAGACATCAGAGAACTCAGAGATATCGATATATTACCAAATGTCATCAATAACTAATAACTATTGACTGATATTAGAAGATTTTTTGTAAATAAACCACAAAAAAAGCTCCTCTAACGGAGTCTTTTGGTCAGATGAGTTCCTGGTTCATGTTGTCTCCAGTAGAAGTGGTTTAGGTCTGAGTGGTCCCGGGTTTGTTTTAGATTGGTCACCAGTTCTTAGGTCCTAATGTCTCAAGTCAGAAGTGGTCTCAGGTTCAAGTGATTTTAAGAACGACAGTGTACACGTCTAAGTGGTCCCTGGACTGTATGGTTTCATTTCCAAGTGGTCTTAGATCAGAGTGGTCTCAGGTCCGAGCAGTATACGGTCTAAGTGGTTTCAAGCCTGCATGGTTGTGGTCAGAGGTCAAAGTGACGTTGGATCAGAGGTCTGAAGTCTGCGTGTCTCGGGTGGGAGCAGTGTCAGGTCAAAGTTATGTTTGAACAGCTTTAGATCTTGTTGTTCTCAGGTGAGGATGTTCTCATGTCTCACCTGTAGGGAGGAGTCAGCAGGAGTGTTTGTGTTTTTCTGTCTGAGCGTCTCTCCCGTTTGTCTTTGTTTGAGTTTCTTCACCTCCTCTCTTCCTTCATCAGTAAACGAACTCAGGTGTTCTTTTTCTGCATAATCAGCAGGTAAACGCAGACATCATCATGTTTCAGATCCACATCATGAATGAATGAATCCTCAGAGACAGCAGCAGGTGTTCAGATTTACACCTAATAGGGAGGACGGCTTATTGGTGTGCAGCATCAGATTACACAGGTGAGCTGTGACAGCACAAACCTGAGAGCACACACACACCTGCTGACTTCAACACCAACACACCGACCTGTCTGAGTGTTTTCTCCGTCTGACTCTGAACACAGAGAGTCAAAGAGGTAAAACAGAGAGCAGATCCATCACACAGGACAGGTAAAAATAGACCAGGTGACACCACACGAAACACTGAGCTGATTTACACGCTGTGATCTGATTACTCTCACACACACACTCTCACACACACACACTCATTCACACACACTCAGAGCTCATGAGACCATGTACAGATGACTTAGAGCTTCCAGGGTGATTACATAAAGGCTGACCAATGACGTTTAAAACTCCAGATTAATCTCAGGATGATCACACAACTTTATATCTTCTGAATTTACCGTAAACTAAATCTGTCCAAGTTTCCATACTCTGTGTAATAATATTATCATCATTAAAACATTTAGAAACACTGACAAGTACTATCTGGAAAAATCTCCAGAATAACCGTGAAGGTAATTTACTTGATTTACATTTTTAATGGTAAAATCTTCTCATGTAACTCAGACACCAACATTGTTTAATTGATCGGAGGGGTGAACGAGGGAGCATCAGAGTAGAAGTCATAAAATATCAATATTTCTGAACACTCTTTATTCTACTTTATACAGAGGTTAAATTGTTGATGTGTATGTCTTTAATAAATAAATAAATAAATCAATAATATTATTCAAGTCAAATCTTCATGCCTCATTAGAGTCACTAACTACAAATCTACGGTGGCCGAGAGCTGCCACTGCTGCATATAAAAAAGAATGCAAAAAAAAGAAATGGTGAAGATATATATATTTTAAAAAAAAGCCACAACGAAAGTTAATGAGGCAAAAAAAAATAATTACTTAGTGCGTAAATAAAAAGATGCAAATAAAAAAAAAGCCACAACGGAAGTGAGCTGCTGGGGATGAATAATTATGATGCACCGGTGTTTTACGATCTAGGCACAGAAGACGACGGTGAGGACGAACAAAGAAGTAAGTGTTATTGTTTAATTTCACTTTGTAAACTTTTTATTGTGGTTAGACCGTGTAGCGCCTGAGTCGATATGGAGTTAAACTGAAGCTAACACTACACTGGCATCCTCCAGCCCCCAACAGCTCACTTTTGTTGTGGCTTTTTTATTTGCATCCTTTTATTTTCGCAGTAACTTACTTTTCCTTTTTTTGCATCAACACTTTTTTTATTTGCATCAGTAACTTCCGTTGTGACTTTTTTAAAAATCTGCACAGTTTCTTTTTTTATTTGCATCAGTAACTTCTGTTGCAGCTTCTTTTTTACGTGCAGCAGTGGCAGCTCTCGGCCACCGTACAGATCCTTCAGGAAACCCCTGAACTCCCTCATCCCAGAACCTCCTCTGGACCATCGGCTGCTGCAGGTGACCTGTGCTGTCCTCAGACTATCATTCCGACCCCAATTAGTATTAGTGTGTGTGTGTGTGTGTGTGTGTGTGTGTGTGTGTGTGGAGGGGTTGACTGTACATACAAATGAATGGAGTTGAACTGGGACGACCAACTCGAAGAATGACAAAGTCCAAAAGAGAGTGATGAAGAGGAGGAGGAGGAGGATGGGCTGACTGAGGATGACTGTGAGAGATGAAGAGCATGAAGAACAGAGAAATAAGTCCATGATGTTCCTCTGATGTGAGGATTTTCTCCTCCTCCTCCTCCTCCCCCTTTCTCCTCCCCCGCTCCTTCTCCTCCTCCTCCTCCTCTTTAAGCACATCCTGTCATTTATTAGCTAATCCCTTCTTTCTCTCTCTCTGTTTGCTGACTCTTTGTCTCTCTCCTTCATGCTGGGCTCAGAGCTGGTTCAAAAGTTCGAGTACACACACTCACTGTGAGAGAGTGTGTGTGTGTGTGTGTGTGTGTGTGTGTGTGTGTGTGTGTGTGTGTGTGTGTGTGTGTGTGTGTGTGTGTGTGTGTGTGTGTTAAATAGATCCTGCAGAGTCGCTCTGTAACGTTAACTGAAATCTCTCTCTCTGTGTGTCTGAACTCAGAACAGAGTCCGTTCAAAGTTTGACTAAACTCTTGTTCTTGTATTTCATCTGAACTCTAAAACTCTCTGCGGCTGATTGGACGGTTATCACATCAGCTGATCATCCTCTGGAGACCATGAACACCTGTTCAAAACTGCAGGAACAATCAGCCAATAGAAACCTCTGTTCACATTTTACCGATAACTTAGATTTGATGACATTGATGCACGACTATAACTCATCACTGTGAATGTGATGGAAACACTCGTTCCTTTACATTCATTATTATAAAGTGAGTGCATTAAATGAGTTAAAAACTGTGTTTTAATTATTATACATTATAATAAACCTGTTCATATACATTAAACTGTTGGTTTTTTCATTCATGATTTTTTACTCCTTTTATATTTAGTTCATAATTTTCTCTCTGATTAGATTTGATGTTTTTTTTATGAACGTTTACTGTTAAATTTAACTTGTGTAATTGTTTGATGTAAATTTTGTTGCTGTTTATTTATTCCTGTCACCCAGCCATCCACTGTAATATCCACTGTAGTTGTATTATAGTTTTCAGTATATTTTGTCCTACACTAAAGCCAAATTAGCTGAAGCTTGACGTCTTGTGTGCATCACATTTTCAGTTTTTTTGTGGTAATGTTGTTTGTATTGTTCCTGTTAAATAAACATTAAAATAAAAAATAAAAAAATATATAGAAGTTCATTATGATACACTCTGATTATATTCTTTATTGTTATTCTTATATTTCATACATTACTTTAACTAATTACATTAGTCCACATTACTTTAAACATCGATTTCATGATATTTACCGTTTTAATCTTTCATTATATCTCATCTAAACTATCTACTCCGGGTCCAGTCCATTCATAACTATGAACTGATTATATTTTATACATTATTGTTTATTCTAATTACTTCACATGCACTGTTTTACACCGGTTATCTTTAACTCATGACTCTAAACTGAATTTATTATCATACAGTTTGATTTAATTAGATACTGAACAAAACAGTGATTTAACGACATACATTATAACCCATCTGGTCACCATTCATACATAAACTATAAACCCTTTGACTTTTCAAACATTATCACACTTAAGACTCAATTTAACGCCTCAGTTTAATAACTTAGATTACAATCCATCTAATCACTTTTCGTACATGACAATAAAATCTGTTTATATTACATGATAACAGATTTAAGGTCGAAAGATTTGATCCTAAACTGGAACTGATCGAGTTATTCAAGTCTTAATTTAAAAAACAAACTATTAAATAAAAACACACGAAAGAGTTAAAAGACTAAATTAAACTTTAAACTGGGTGAGTTTAAAGTTTAAAAGAGTTAACCTGAGGTTAAACGTCTTACTGACAGATGATTAGACGGCGTCACTCCGGGTGTTTTTAACTGAGGAGGAAACAAATGGCAGCCATCTTTATCTGCTGTTGGCACCTTTAGCTTCCTGCATAAACACACTAACAGACCCAAACTTCACATCAGAGCTCCAAGGTAAACATTCACACCTGCTTTAACACGTTCACCACAGAGAGAGAGAGAGAGAGAGAGGAGTGGGGGTCGGTGTTTTTAATGTGAATGATCTCTGATTCATGACCAAACGTCTAAATGTTAAAATGAGGAAAAGTTAAAACATTTTAAAATCATCATAACTGAGTTTATGGAAGTTTATCACAGAGTTATACTGTCAGTGTTTTTTCACAGTTTGACTCAGTCGAGGTAAAAAGACGTTTAAAAAACTTTAAAATGTTTTAAAATAACCAGACGACTAATCTGATCAGGTAGTGTTCGGTTAGTTTCCACAGTAAACATGTCGACACAGCAGGAATGTTTTTATCCAATGTTTGCAGAGGCCCAAGATACACACACACACACACACACACACACACACACACACACACACACACACACACACACACACACACACACACACACACACAGTTAATCTGTTATGTCACTTTTCCATCGTTCAGACTGGCATGCTAATGACATCGCATCACCCTGAGGGAGAGTGTGTGTGTGAGTGAGTGTGTGTGTGTGTGTGTGTGTGTGTAAGTGGATTTGTTAGCAGTGATATTTAAAGCAGACATGCTCTGTGATTGGCCACTGAGGTGTGACATCATTCACACAAACACACCTGAATGTTGGCGTTGGTTCTGATCCCTCTGTGAGAATGATCCAGGTGTGAACGGGATGATTTCAGGTGTGACTCTGGTTCCTGGTCTTCAGCTCAAACTTACATCTGATGAATTAAAGACAGATCAATCACTCTGATTGTTTTTTATGTTGAACCGTGTCTGACACTTTCCCCGCCGTCTCATCAGACGCCATGACATCATCACAATAAAACACTGCTGCTCATCAATAATCACAGTCACGATTCAAATTAAACTGGGAATATTGACACATTCAGTCTTTTAATTAAGAGTACTTAAGTTTTTTTATGAACCAGGCTCAGATTTTTAGATAAAACAGTTTTAGATTTTAAATGACCTGTTTCGTTTATATATATAACAGTTTGAGTTTTTGTTAACATGTCGTGTTTTTTAGTGTAATAGTTTAAGTTTTTGTCAAGCGGTTTGGGGTTTTTAATGACATGGTTTAAAGTTTTAAAATAACTGTTTAAGTGTTTTAAGATGAAACAGTTTGGTTTTTTTTTAAATGAAATGTTTATGGTTTTAAAAAAATAAATAGTTTCAGGTTTTTAGCTGAACTTTTCAGAGTGTGAGTTTTTTTTTTAGAAACAGTTGGAAATCTCTAATAAAAAAGGGTTCCTGTTTTTGTTTTTTTGTTTTGTTTGTTTTGTATATTTTTAGGTTTTTAAATAAATTACTTACTGGCTTTTCTATTAAACAGTTTTTATTTTTTATTTTTATTTTTTTAAAACAGTTTCAGGTTTTTAAATAAATCACTAACTGGCTTTTAAATGAAACAGTTTTGTTTTTTTTAAACAGTTGCAGGTTTCGGGGCTTTTTAAATGTCTGAGTTTCAGGGTTGACTCTAATGTGTTCAGTCAGCGGGTTCAAACGCTGTAGGAGTCCACTGAGCGCGCTCAGAATCATCAGACTCTTCTTCTCTGATCTTTTTATGGTCGGCTGGTTCTGTCGGTTCTGTTCTCAGAGACGTTTCAGTTTAATGAAGCGTTTTCAAAAGTGGACGCATTAACTCCGAGCATGCTCAGATTACTGTCTCTCATCCTGTTCGTACAAATTAGATCTCAGCCCATAAACCGACCTCATATCTTAAACTTCATTTCATTCTTATATCCTTGAATTTCATCTATTTATGTCAAAATGACAGGGATACATTCACTGGCTTTAAAACAGACTAAACTGACATATTCAACACACACACACACACACACACACACACACACACACACACACACACACACACACACACACAAAAGATGGTGATGAGACTAACAGAGTGAAATGAGCTGTGAGACGTTCAGGTTCACTGACAAGAAAGAAAAGCAGTTTGAGACTTTGTGAGGCGTTCAGGTGTCTGTTTGTCGTCTGTCTGTCTCAGGAAAACAGGCCGTCAGTCCTGCAGTGAGTCTAAAATCTGAATAAGTGTCCGACTGTTGCTCTGAGATGATCTTTACAAGAACATTTTATTTTTATCTCACTGAAACACACAGAGATTATTGACCGACAGGAACACAAATAAAACTGTTGTTCATCAGGTTGTCACTCAGGGAGATCTCACCTGAGAAGTTTAATGTTGTCGACACTGAACCGTCAGCAGCTCATATACTATGTTTGTGTATGTATGTGTGTGTGTGTGTGTATGTAAGTGTGTGTAATTAGTGTTTAAAGAAGTTTAGAAAGAGGAGACTCATAGTCTGATCGAGTCTGCAGGTTAAACCTCCACTAAACCCCCAAACACACGAAACAGTCATTAACCTCCCACGATGAGTGCGTATGAGTGTGTGCGTGTGTGTGTGTGTGTGTGTGTGTGTGTGTGTGTGTGTGTGTGTGTGTCCTGTAGGATCTCCCTGTCATCAGGTCTGTTAAATGATTCAGAGAGTAAACAGCGAGGTGAATCCCTCTTGGACCTTTTTTTTCAAAAACAGAAAAATAAAAGCATCTTTTTTTTTTAAACTGTCTGATAAAAATATACAAATGAAAAAATAAACAGAAATCTTCTTAAAAAGACAGAAAACAGTCTGTTCTGCAGTGTGAGTTTTATTTTGGAGGTCTAAACTCTGTTTGTTTAATCTTTGACTTTATCTCCTGAAGTTTGACCTGTTCTGAGAAACTCTATTATCCTCTGCTGCCCCCGTGTGGATCAAACCGGTATAGCAGCAGTACAGTAGACCTGCAGAAAGTCATATTTTAAACCCAAACATTTGTTTTTTGTGACATTCAGGGGTCTAAAAATGTTTTATTGTTTCAGATTCTGTCTCTTTATCATTCTCAACCTTTTCTTCTAGAAGCTCTTGGACCTTCATCATTCTTGAACACTCCTTCACTGTTGCCATCCAACAAAGTTGTGTTTCTCAGTTTGAAATGACGGATTAAATGTTCTCAGAAGATGAACCCCATAGTTCTGTCTCTGTGTCAGTAAATCTCATGTGGATCTCTTCTGGTTCTTGTTTGACTTTCTGAACAGGCCTTTTACCTTCACATCGTTTTATGAAACTTTGAGAACTTTAGGACCTTTAATGTTATAACTTCATATTTATTTATGGAATATTAACAAATGGACAGTTTGAGCTCTTTAAAGGAGATTATGGTCAAAACTACATAAAGTAACCTTCTAGCTCTAGTTCAGAGAAAATAATGAGTTTGCAGGTAGAAAAATAAGGAGTCCTGTACCTGTTAAATACACACCTGTTCTGTACACCTTTATAAATATCTACGTCACTGTTTTAATCTAAATATTATCTCTTTAAATCTTAAAGAATATATCAGAATCCACCTCAAAGCTAAACAGACCCGGCTGATGACAGTTATTTACTGTGTTTCTATCAGGGTATTTATTCTAATTTAGTGCACTTATATACCAGTGGTGTGTTCATCATACAGCGTTGAATAATAATAGTTATAATGATAATGTCTTCAGTATACAGAGGTGTATTTTTATCATCTTAATTTACAGGAGGTCACTCACTGTGTTCTTGATACAGTCGTGTCATTTAACACAGTGATGTTTGGACTGACTGTGGTGTTATTATGTTGTTAGGCTGTTACTATGGTAACAGTTACACCACCAGCTGAGGTCACCACTCTGTAAAATTTTCCCTTCTGTCAGACTGTGAGTGCCGGAAACTGTCTGCGGGTGTCGTGCTGTAATAACTTTTCAGTCCCACGAGCAGATTTTTATTTTTTTTTTGTAGAATGGTAGGGGAAGGGCCCGCCCTCCTTCTCCTCTGATTGGCTAGAAGTGCTGGGCTCCGATTGGTTATTCCCAGTACTCGAGTTGAGGGGATGAAATGAAAATGGCCAAAATAATCCTCCTTCTAACACGGTCATCCCAACTTTCTATCATTTTAGCCATGTTTAATATGCACACACACACACACACACACACACACACACACACACACACACACACACACACACACACACACACACACCAGCGTCTCTAATTACTCACTAAACAGCGATATTTTTCCTTCTCTGTTGAATCATAGAGTAACTAAAGGTATCACATTTAGAGCTCTATCAGTCACTTAAACATTCATTCACACTGATATTCATCCCTTCACTTACCTGTGGAAGGTGCGTCCATTCACGCCATCATGCCGGATCATGTTTCCAAATAAGGAAACAGAGTGCGTGATTTCCGGGTGTAAAATAGGTGGTTAAGGAGGGTCAAAGTGGTCACATGATGCAAGAAAAATTAATTCCCTTGTTGTTTAGCATGAATCCCTAAAATTAAAGCTCCATTGATTTGTGTAAAAACTTTGTTAAAATGGTAAAAACTTAAAGAAAAAAGTCTGAAGGTTAAAAATAGTTTAAATGAATAAATATAATGTAATATGATATAATATAATATAATGATATATGGGTACGTAGTTGGTTTCTCACATAGACTGTATTTACTCTGGACAACTTGGCCAAAAAGCTCTCGGTATTTCTGCGATTTTTCTTCATCTCCTGAAAACAACATTGCACAGTAGCGTTGTGCGCATTCGGCAGGAGAGTCGCCGAGAGTCGCTGTGATGACGCTGGGCTCAAACAGTGTATCCCCAGGTGAGCTACATAATCTTCGTACCCCCATAGGCTGTATCAGGTGTCAATCATAGAAAACATGAACCCCCTAATAACTTTTAAAAATGGAGCTGTACAGAAAAAAGAGGACATGAGCACAAACCAGTCTGACAGTAACTACATGTCAACATCACAACCAGGGGGGAGAAACATTTATATTCTGTGTCATTTATAAAGTTTGTCCACAGCTCCATAAGAGGGCGGGGTTTAGGACCTATACTGCAGCCAGTCACCAGAGGGTGCTGTTCTCAGAGCGAGGAATATTTGGAGGCGAATTTTGACGGGCCTGACTATACACGTCAAGCCTGATGCGATTTTGCGACTTTCCGGGGGGGGACGCATCCTGGACAAAACTTTTCCTGGGGAAAGTCCCGCCTCCTTCACCTCTGATTGGCTAGAAAAGCTGGAAATATCATCACAGGCTCAAGCCAAACGGTCAGCGCTTATAGCCAATCAGAGGCGATAAAGTGAGCACATGAAACTATGGTAACAACCGTTAGCTTACCTTAGCACAGATGAAAGTTAAAACAGAGACGTTTAGCAAACTGTTGCTCTGTTGTCTCATTTCAGACAGCTGGTGTTCAAATTTCCGACGGCCCCTAAAGGTAGCATCACACCCTAATTTTTACCAACATACGGGTCTTTGTGTGTGTGTGTGTGTGTGTGTGTGTGTGTGTGTGTGTGTGTGTGTGTGTGTGTGTGTGTGTGTGTGTGTGTGTGTGTGTGTGTGTGTGTTGGGGCAGCACAGCACAGCGGGTTGATGACAGCTGTCAGAGCGGACTGAAGCTGCTCCTGTCCCCGGGAAGAAGCCGGATGGTTGTCCGCTGATCCTCCGGCAGAGTGAGAGGACAGTCCCGCGTCATTACCGGGTTATTATTCACAGGTAAGTGTCGTTCACACCTGACGGTTAACCTGTCACTAACTATAACGGGTTAGCTCTGTAGCGGCGGCTAACAGGTTAGCCTCAGAGCTAACTGTTAAAGAGGTCAGCTAACGTTAGCGGGATCTCGGGTTAGGGTCTCCGCTCCGTGGGGACAGGTGAGGACAGGTGAGGTCTGCAGTAGTTTGTGTAAACCTCAGAGGAAACAGGTGAAACAGGTGAAAGGTTCACCGGTTTAACTCTTCACCGGAGACTGAGACGCCGTTAGCCGCAGTTAGCCGTTAGCTAACCTTAGCTCCCGTTAGACGGAGCCGGAGGCTAATGCTAACAGGGCGGCTCATACACCGTCAGCTAACTGACTCACTCAGCTTTATTCATGTATTAAACTATTAATATCTTATTTACAACAGTTTTTATTAACTATAATTAAAGAGACGTAAACATACTAACATACTGTCAAGATAAAATCAGCAGCTAAAGTAAACTAACTATAAAAGAATAATCAGAACAATTATAATTATAGAAACAACAGACTATAAAATTAAAACCAATGAATGAATTATAAACTTTAACAGGTTAGTTTAACTCATTTAATACATGTCAGTGATTTAGATTAACATCCTAATGTTATTCTAACTATTGAAGGTTGTTATTTTAACTTTGTTTGGTGTTATTTTTGTACATCTTTAGTGGTTTTTAATCCTGGCATTGAGTATTTGAGTGTTGTTTCAGTAGTCTAAATATTTTAATAAATTAGTGTAGTGTAGTGTAGTTATATTCTACTTACCAACAGTGTTTTTTTCTAACATTTTAGTGTGGTTTTGTCATTATTCATTTTATTTTCATTTATTAATATTTGTCAAACGTGCGTACAACACAAGAAAGTAAACAAAACCAGTGAGAATATTCAAAACAACAACAACAACAATAATCAAAGCTAAAAAGTAAAAATAAAAATAGAAAATACAAATTATAATAATGGGAACCCAATGTGTCTGCAAAGAAGTAGGGTGAAGCATTCTGCTTTTTTTTTTAATCCTACCCCTTCTTCTCTACTCAATAATCAGTCTCTGGGATATTTACATTGTAATAACAAATTACAAGTTACATTTCAGTTTTATATCCTGATATTGATTGATATCGACTGATATGACAAAGTATATCATGATGAAATTTTTCCCATATCGCCGAGCCCTCGTCTTCAGATATAGTCAGTATGAAGTCAGTTCGAAACACAAGTAAAAACTCCAAAATATTTCTGATGACATTGTGCTGTAAATGCAGTCTCAGTCATTTGTGTTTCCAGCTCTAATCAGCTGTTTCCTTGGTGACACTAACCCCCTTTTTACACTTTGATTCTCTTAATTATGACTCAGATCATGAATGGAATCACCTCCTTAAACTTCTGTTGGTGCGCTCAGTTGGTTACAGCTATCATAAAGGGGATCACACTGAGAGCATGCTCGAACCCTGATGAAGACGTCATGTGAACTTCATGTCTGTACTGTCAGGAATGTGGTCTGGACAGTGAGATTTAAAAAAAGACCTCACACTCTGAGTCCCCTAAAAAATATCTGCCAAGATTTTTACATCCCAGCGAATGAAGCAGCTGGTCGAGTCTCAGCAACAGTTGGAGATCTACTGGCTAAAGCGTACATATTTTTTCTTTGATAATTCATTTAACACAAGCGGCATGAAATTACCTACGTTTTTATGTCTTTACCGTACGGGTGGAGGAAAAATTGGGATTGAAACGGCAGATTTTCCAGGAGATTTTCCAAGAAATTTGGAAACGATGTCGCTGACTCTGTGTCTGTGCTTTTACAATAATGTAAAATGCCTTCATGAACTTTAAGATGTCACAGGGACATTTTTTTACATGATCTAAAAAATGTTGAATAATCCTTAGAAAGTCCAAAGACTTTAAGAGATTTTAAATGTTGAATTGAATTTCTGTGTAAATGTCTGAGTGAGATATGATGGGTTTTAAAAGTTTGAATGGAGAGAAGGTCAGACTGAAAGTTAAGGTCTCTAGGTTTAAAAATGTGAAACCAAAATATTTACTGTAACTCAGTGTTAATTAAAGCTGGTTGGTGTCAGTCTGTTAATCAGAGCTGTGAGTTTAATATGAGCGTGTTAATGAGAGAGAGAGAGAGTTAATTAAACACTCTTATTTCAGGTTCATTCAACATTTGACTTTATTTTATACAACTGTGGCAGAACAGTCTTTCTGCAGCTGCTCTTCCTCTCTTAGGTGTGTTTTTTTTTCCTCATGTGTCACACTCAGGTGTGTGTTTCTGTCTCTCAGGTGTCTCACTCAGGTGTGTGTTTCTGTCTCTCAGGTGTCACACTCAGGTGTATCAGTGGATATCTGGTGGGTTAAACGCAGCTGGAGGAGAGATGGGGACTCAGGGCTCAGGACGGAAACGAGCTCCTCTCAAAGATCGATTCTCTGCGGAGGATGAAGCTCTGAGCAGCATCGCCCGAGAGGTCAGAGCACGAAAACAAACGCTGCGGCAACACAACACACACACACACATACACACACACACACAGTTTTAATGTGTTTTAACTCTGTGGTGAGTGGGTTGTGAGGTTGTATTACCTCAAAGTGCTTCTGCATGTCAGCAAACGAGGCTCTAATATAAATATAATGTAAATAAAACAGGATATGCTGCTCCAGTAGAAGGTTCAAGTGTCACTCAGGTGTTGTCTACCTGCTCATCAGGACCTTACATTTGAATGAACAGGAGGAGAGAGGAGAAACTGTCATCACTGCTTTCTTCTGTTGTCTATATTCAGTGTTTCTGAGCTTTTATTTTGGTAGGATTGGGTCCACTTGTTGAACTGGGTGTTCTGATTGATTATGAAATATGTTGATATAAAGAGACCAGCTCTCTCTGATCCAAATTCTCCAGTCTTGAGGAACAGAGGACCTTAAACTCTTCTGACCTATTTCAAGACTCTGGGAGCAGAAAGCAAAAATCTGTCCGGTGTCTGGGTCACAGAGAAAAGACTGTAGCCTCCAACATATTTCATATTTATAACATTACATAGATAAGAGGAGGGCACCTCAGAGCTCCATGATAAACAGTTTCCAGAGAGTGAAGGCTTTGAGATGATGCATGCATTAATAAAACATCACGGCAATCGATGAGGAGCATAAATGCAGCAGTAAGTCTTTTCTCTGCGGCAAAACAAAAACAGGACTAAGAGAAGGTCAGCCAGCTTCAACTTCTTTATAAGTTTCTGTATATGACATTAATAAGACAGAGAATCATCCGGTAAGAGTCCTGAGTATTTGGGAGAAGACACAGACTCAATCACGTCACCTGGAGTTGTAGAAACAGACGACAGGATCAGCTGATTTGTCTCCGAGTTTTTAAACATCAGTGATGTTCAGTGTCACAACAGCATCTTTTAGGAGACAGAGAGTCTGATACTGTGTTTAAGAGGAGCAGTGAATAACACGTCATCCTAATACAAATGGAGACACTTTGACTGATACTGTAGATATAAACTTTAAAGAACAGAGGTCCCATAACAGAGCCCTGAGGCACGCCGTTTACGATGTCAGGAGGTCTGGATGTGAGGTCTGCACAGACTGTGATCTGTTTGATAAATGAACCAGCAGATAGATGGTTCAGACAGTCCAGTATGAAGTCGTCTCTGTTTTATAATCGTGTGGTCCATAGTGCTGAAAGTTATCAAACTGAACAAGTCAAAGTTTGGGAAGGTGATGCCGTCTTCTGACTTTTTATCCTTAATTTTTAAGGTTTGCTCAAACATAGATGCAACAACCTGTGACACAACAAGACTTCAGTGACAAAATGATTGCACACACGTACACACACACACACACACACACACACACACACACACACACACACACACACACACACACACACACACACAGAGCTGTGTTACTTTGATTGGTAAATGTGCCTCATTAATTTGAAGTTGTTTTTTACTGTCTTTGTCGTCTTTCTGATGTGTTTGTCAAACTTGAATTAAGACGTTGGAGCTCCGCCTAAAACCTTCAACTCATTTACCCTCTTAACTTCTTCCTCCTGGATTGTTACCGTGTGTTTTTCTGGTTGTGTAGTTTTTCTGTTTTGATGATGATGGTGAGGATAATGAAGGAGATGAAGTATATCCTGAGCGATGTTCCTCTTGGTCAGCAGGTCTTGAATGAAAACAACTGTTTCTGATTTTGAAGGAACTTTATGAGAACATGAGGTTGTATAAAACAGGCCTGAGAGACACTGAAATCCCTCCGAGTAGGAATCTGTTCAGTGGAGTTTCTGAACATAACCCCTGGTCGTGTGTTTAGGTGGAGACAGCTGTTTGAAGCGCAGACACACTCTGACTTGTCTTGTGGTGTTTTTGTGTCTCTACGTGGAGGAGGGAAGCAGCCAAGCCTGTAACAACATGTCCGGATTATTCCATCTGTTCGTCAGCAGCAGGAGTAAGCTGTCTGCCTCTGCGTTAAAACAACATCGAACCGAACTTTCATCGTTTAAAGGTGTAAAACTTTTAAGAAAAAGAGGGGAGGTCCTCTGGATGAATAAATAGTTGTTAGTCTGAGAGAATCCTTCCTGTATGAGTGTAAAGCACCACCTCCTGTGTGTGTGTTCGTATGTGTGTGTGTTCGTGTGTGTGTGTGTGTGTATGTGTGCGCTCTGTGGAGTCATGCAGGCCAATCATAGAAACATGAGTCATCTGACACCCCCTCCCCATTCCCTCCCCCAGTCAGCTCCTAAATCTGAACGAGTGTGTGAGGCACAGATTAGAGCAGAGAGCAGAGGGTTCAGTCTGAAGGTCCTCCAACAGAAAAACACACAAAATAACCTTTTTATAACTCTGGGGTGGAAAATTCAAGATTCTAAGATCCGATCGGACTGAAAACTGAACCAGAACCTGATGGGTGAAAAATCCAGACCAGGACCGTGTGTCAAATTATGATCCTGACAATAACAGTGGGCCAAATTACAATCCTGACAGTGATAGACTAAGATCATAATTTTGATAGTGAACAGTGTGAGACTGTAATCTGAGAAGACCAAGCGCTGAAGTCAAAGTGATGGTTATGGTGGGTTTCGTTATAATCTTAACAGTGTTTTAATCCTGATGTTAAGGGTTTGTGTTGGATTATAATCCTGACAATGACAGTGTAATAGATTATAATCCTGAAAGTGACAGTGTAATAGATTATAATCCTGACACTGTAATAGATTATAATCCTGAAAGTGACAGTGTAATAGATTATAATCCTGACACTGTAATAGATTATAATCCTGAAAGTGACAGTGTAATAGATTATAATCCTGACACTGTAATAGATTATAACCCTGACAGTGACATCATAATCCTGACAGTGAGATAATAATCCTAAAGGGGAGTTGGATCCTAACTGTTTCAGTGTAAATTTATATTTTTGATAGTGAGTGTAAAACTTTAGTCCTGAAAGTTACAATGAAGGAGATTATAATCCCGAATGTGAAAGTGTGAGATTATAATCCCGAATGTGACAGTTTGTGAGAATATGACACAGGAAGAACGATGAATTGATTGGCGGATTGATCGGGCCAGTTTATGGTATTTTAAAATAATGTGCGCCAGTCTTTAAAGTCACAGTTTGTGACATTATCACCCTTACAGTTACAGTGTCAGATTATAATTCTTAGAGTAAAAGTGTGTAGTTTAAAATCCTGACAGTGAAAGTTTGTTGGATTTTATTCTGACTATAAAACCCTGTGAGATTATCATCCTGAAATTCACTCCGATTGATTATAATCAGTTTCAGATTAGTTCAGATGTTTTAATTGCCTTCTTGGATGAAGTGTTGGTGAACTCTGGGAGATTCTGATTGGAGTAATTGTGCCCAGGTTAGCGCCTCTCCCTCTCTCTCTCTCTCTCTCTCTCTCTCTCACACACACACACACACACATACACACTCAGAGCTATAGATAGAGCAGAGACAGTGTATTACTCTGTCAGACAGTTGACAGCTGCACAGCTTCCAGTCTGCTCATACTCTGCTTTTACTCTCAACTTTAAGTGAACACTTCCTTTACTAACTAAACCTAACACTAAGATTTACCTGTCTGCACTGAGACTAACTCTAAACCTACTTTAAACTGTGTGTGTATCTCTATAATTAACTTCATCTTTAACGAGGATTAGTCTGAAGGGACTGAAACTTAAGAAACCAGTCAACATTTAAGACGGTTGGTATATTCTAGTACAACCAGAAATAGCCTAAATATAAATCTAACTAAGCCTAACCTAAATATAACTTAATCTCCAGTTTCTGAATCAAAACACTGACAAACCGTGCTGAGAGAAAACATCTGTCAGCTGTGTTTGTTTACATCCAGATAGTCGAGCTTCATAACACCGTGACAGTAAACATAAACCAGAGCTACAGTCTGACCATCCTTCAGACCCTGAGATATTCACATTCTGATTTTACCTGACTGATAGTTTTGGTGCTGATTGGTAAAGAGTGTTGGTGTTTAATCATTAAATACCTTTAACTACATCCTGGTCCTTCTGTGAGTCACTCTGAGCTCTCATGAGTCCTGATAAACAGAATAACAGCTCTGACTCCACCTCAGCTGCTCTGTTAAATATTACAGCAGAGTGTGTTTGGTTCTTCTGCAGATGTTCAGTTTTAACAGCCGGAAGCTAAATATTCAAAAAACTGTTTGATTGAATACACATTTGACCAACCTGAGGTCGTCCTCGTCTTTATTCTGTGAGCAGTTTTTTCTGTGTTTACTCTTCAAACACGCAGAGAGAAAGAGAGAGACAGCCTGAGTGTGTTTACCTTTTTACAGAAACAAGTTCTGTTCATACCACCAGGTAAAGGTGTGATATTTACACCCTGTAATGTCTCTCCGTCAGAATAACAGTCTCAGAGGGGTGATGGTGGGACCACTGTTCAGCGACCACCTTTTCTCTTGGTCTTAAAGGGATATTTCAATCATTTTTAAGTGAGTTTGAATGAGTTGTGTGTCAGTGTGTACACCACCATAGATGCCAGTCAGTTTGGCCTCTTTGCTGAGAAACTGCTGCCAGGAACAGGATGATCAGTACCCAACCATTTTTGGCATACAAGGTTGGCTTCGCCGCCTAATTTGGCGAATTCTGAGAGAACTTAACTTTCTGGAGTTTTTCAGCTCTTTACTTCGCCATCAGAAAGGCTTTTTGGTTTTTGTTTGCTATCTTTGAGGAAGCATGAAGTCTCTGTATCTGCTGCAGGAAAGTACGACTCAGTCCTTTCCTGATACTAAGAGGGTGCATGAGTGAGATAGTAAAATAGACATAAGGGTTTACAACATGCGTTCCTTCGATTTTTACACACACAGACACACAGCTGTGCTCCAAACTCGAAATAAAATACAGTGAAATGTAGTTCATTATTGAGACTGAAGGTTTAGAGACACTTTGTCTTCATGCTCTTCTTAGTATGGAGCTGATCAAAGGAAGCCAGAAGATGAGGGCACCATCACCACCTGCTTTATTTCAGTCCTGCATGGTTAAAAACTACAGCCTCAGACGTCACCAAGCTTTAAAACTGCTGGACCACATGGCTGTGTTCACACTGATTGGCTGGATTTATGCTACATCACTCAGTACGTTTACATGACACTCGAGAAAACCGAATTATCGCCTTATTCCGATTAAGACCAGACAACTAAAGTGCACGTGAACACCTTAGTCTGACTCCAGTCTGAGTTTAAGAATTCATGTTCTCAATGCATGTATGCCACGCCCCCGTAACCCCGTAACAAAAACACCAGAGTAGAGGAGAAGCGTTCGTCTCATCTTTAGAAAAAGTTGTAGACACTTCTGACGTCTGACACCGACCTGCTGTTGTTGTTGCTGGAGTATGGGATCGGAAACAGCGCCGCTGAAAAGACCCATATCGCCCCCTAGTTTTGGGGAGGACACGTTCATGTCAATAATTCAATTTTCTCAGCTCCGATTAAACTGTGCATGTAAACACACTGACTGACACACCTTTGAATAATCAAGGAAATCGATCAAACTTCTCTGTGAGCCGCTTCACTAACAAAAAGTGGTCGGACAGGCCTGAGTTCACTTTGTGCCAGGCGCTGTAAACAGAATGGTTAAATGAGGGCACTGGGGCGCCAATACTCTGCTGTGGTTGGGTCAGTGTAAGAGTACAAGGGAGTGATGATGGCGGCGGCAGAGCGGCGTTAGCGTGGAGCTGCTTCAGGCGTCTGGAAACATGAAATAAAAAAACATCAGATAAACAACCTGAGTGTGTTTAAGCTTCACAGAGTGTTTGGCTTCATGCTGTCATGGAAACGGGAATATGTGTTTGCCTGCTGCTGGGGCAGAGCTGATAAGAAAGCTCTGGAATGTGCACACACACACACACACACACACACACACACACACACACACACACACACACACACACACACAGTATTTATAGACGGTGTGTGTAGGAGATAAAAGTCGGCCTAATGTTCAGTTTCACATTGTGCAGTTTTATAAACAGTTTATGTTGAAACACAGTCCACACCTCCACCTGTGTGTGTGTGTGTGTGTGTGTGTGTGTGTGTGTGTGTGTTTCCCTCACTGTCTCTGTTGTTCAAGTTTATTGGTGTGTGTTTGTGTGTGAGGCTGACTCAAACTTTTTTGTTGTATCATCAGTTTGTTGTCATAGTGAAGTAAATCTCTCCTCATGTTGAACCCACAAAGTTAAAGCACTGCTGATTTCTCTTTTGTTAATATGTGTGTGTTCGTTTCAGGCGGAGGCGAGGCTGGCGGCGAAGAGGGCGGCTCGCGCGGAGGCGAGGGACATTCGAATGAGGGAGCTGGAGCGACAGCAGAAAGAGGTAAAAGTGCTTCAACACAGAGAGCGACACCGAGGACAGCTGTTTCCACCTGTTTATTAATGTTTTCACTCAAGACCTGGACCCAGGTGTGTTGCTATGGTAACAGACTTCTGTTGCAGGTCACTGGTCTGTCTGTTTGGGTGTGCGGAGGAACTGTCTGTGTTTATAATAAGACACAGAAAGCTGCATGTTCACGGATCAAACCACACATCTGCTGCACAGTTATTCCCTCTGTAAACTCTCCCTCTCTCTCTCTCTCTCTCTCCCTGACTGTTCGTGTTTCTCACTCGCCCTGCAGCTCTCTCACTCTACCTCCAGCAGGAAGTGGGGTCAGATCCACCAGTGGATGGTAAACAACAAACTGCAAAAGTCACTAACAGCATGCTGTGTGAACCGAACTCACTCAGTGACTCGATCTCAGTCAGCTGATCCTTGGTCAGCTAAACTCGTCAACTCCCAGCTGATCCTCACTTTGAGGAGCGCACTGAGCTGATCGTCCTCAGCTGATCATAAGTCTGCTTGTCTTATTCTGCTGATACTGTTTTAGGTGATCTCGCTCAGCTGATCCTCAGTCAGCTGATCATCTCTTAGCTGATCCTCAGTCAGCTGATCCTCAGTCAGATGATACCTTGTACACGTGTCCATAGTCAGCTGATCTGACTGAGTTGATCCTCACAACCATTCCTCCATCAGCAGATCTTTAGTTACTGGTCTGACAAAGCCTGTGTCAGCTGCTGCTTCTCCACTTCAGCTTCATTTGCTGATCCTGGATCAGCTGGTCTTAGTCCGCCATCCTCAGTGTTTAAGTCTTTAGCCAGCTGATCTAAACCAGTTTTACCTGGATTATCTGCAGTTAGCTGATGTCAGTCAGCCAATCAAAATCACCTCGCTCTTTGTCAGCTGGTGTGTCCTACCTAATCAGCTGATTCTCACTTTGCTGATCCTCAGTCAGCTGATCCTCTTTAAGCTTTTCAGTTAGCTGATCTGACTTAGCTTTTCTGACTCAGCTGAATCATAGTCAGCTGATCATTAGTCAGCTGATCTTGATTTTGCTGATATAATTGTGTGTGTTATACGTGTGTGTTTTGCATGTTGAGTTATTGACCGTAAAGGTTGAAGTCGCCTCAGAAGTACAGATGATTGAAAGGTTTTGATTGGCTTGTGTAGTTAACTCTGTGTGCACGCGTGTGTGTGTGTGTGTGTGTGTGTAGAGGATTACTGCCTGCTCACATAGATGTGTGTGACATACAGTCGAAGCTGTGGTTATTTCAGATCTCTGATTGGTTGTTCATGGTGATGCTGGAAGTTGTGCATGGTATCTTCCTCCAGTGTGCGATGGATCCTCTTCACTCTTTGACTCCCCTCCTCCTCCTCCCTGTATCCTTCTTCATCTCCTCTTCCTTGCCTCCCCTCCTCCTCCTTCCTCTGTATCCTGCTTCCTCTCTTCTTCCTCACCTCCTCTCCTCTTCCTCCTCTTCCCTGTATCCTTCATCTCCTCTTCACTCTTTGACTCTCCTCCTCTGTATTCTTCTCCATCTCCTCTTCCTCGCCTCCTCTCTTCTTCCTCCTCCCCCTCTCTGCTGCAGGCTGACACAGAGAAAGCTCGAGCCTCCTCTCGCTCCAGCAGTCGTCACCGTCGGGTCTGTAACCTCCGTGTTCACACTCAGATAAACATACATGTTAAGGCTGCATGATTGCAGTGAAAACCTGAAACCTGTCCACGTCATTAACGCCACGAGACAGCGAGTCAAACCTGCGTAGATCATCGTATTTATTTAAAGAATTGTAGAGTTTTTCCACTTGACAGGATATCGCAGAGTTGAGATTTAGTCCCGCCCCTTTTTTCCAGATAGAGCAGGTGACTCGTCAAAGAAATTAAAGCACGACGTCTTTAGTCTGATATGTTCAACAATTTCCCAAAGTCAGCCAATGAGGAGACCTAGACCCTAGATCTCTAAAGTGACTCTGAACAGTCAAGATTTATATCATGATACGATAGCTCCGCCAAAAGTCAAGACAGAATCTCTCTATCGCCCCCTGGAGTAGCGGCTGCCTTTACACATCAATATTTCTTTCAGTCTTTTTTTAATCGATGAAGAAGAAGAAATCTGATCATGATTATATTTGATCAATCATGCAGCCCAAAATTATTCTAAACACACACACAAGAACACATTCCTACTGAGTCTCTATCGGTGTTTTCATGATTGTGTTTCCATGACAACAGGGTCTGGAGGATGACGTCACATCAGTGCGCAGTTACAGGGTGCGTTGGTGTCATATCCTGCTCTAACGTTTATATAATGATGATGGTGATATTATAATATGACAGCGACCATATTTGGAGTGTCAGAGAAGTTCGTCTCACCCTGTTTTTGTTTCTCTTCCTGTTTGAAGTCGAGCTCCTCGGCGGTTCGAGACCTCGGCTCCTCTAAGAGTCGGTCCAGCTCCCGTAAAAAAGATGCTCTGGTGTGTGTTTGTGCATGTGTGTGTGTTTGTGTGGAGTGTAGACTCACAGCATGTGAGGATCTCAGGTCTGGCACGGGTTCTGGACCTGATTCTGGACCTGGTCTTGGTTTGATGTCGGTGTTGATTATCCAGCTGGTCTCTGACTGTCTGTACTCAGATTAATCTGTTTGAAGCTCTGCACGTTCAGACTCATGCACTATGTGTGTGTGTGTGTGTATGTGTGTGTGTGTGTGTGTGTGTGTGTGTGTGTGTGTGTGTGTGTGTGTGTGTGTGTGTGTGTGTGTGTGTGTGTGTGTGTGTTGGACGATTGAAGCACTTGTCTCAGCTCGTCTCTAAAACTGATTTCACTTTCTTCACTCACATTAAAATCAACTTTACATTACAGCAGACAAACAGCAGATATCTGAGGACCCTGAAAATACAGAGCAGGTCTACGCATTAGTCTGAACTGTTGACTGAGAGCTTTCAGCTTCTTGGTTTTTGTGTAAAATAGATTTTTTTAAATTTAATATTTTAATTTTTAGCTTTTTTTGACTTAAACATAACGGACAGGTGATAGAGACAAGGAGGAGGGGGGTAGGAATAAGGTAAAGACTAGTTCCCTAAGGGTTCCTCCAGAAAGTGAGGGGTCAAGAAGAACCACCACTGTTTAAATGAATACACTTTAAAAAAACATATGTTTAAATACAAAGTATTATTTCTATTTTTGGTTTGTGTTCTGTTAAAACTTCAGGTGTTCTCCTCAAACTAACCTCAGTGTTTGCTGGTTTGCTCAGCTGGTTGATTATCTAACCTCAGGTCACCTGACCCGTCTGTGATGGTTCTGATTCCGCTGTTCTCTCTTCAGTCTGATGGACTCTCCTCTAGCTCCGCCCTCAAGTCCTCTCGCTCCACTGTATGTACCTGTGTGATGATCACCTGTCTGCACCTTCCTCCATCTTCCTTTGTGCTCGCCTGTATGTACCTCTCTCTCTCTCTCTCTCTCCGCTCAGAGCTCGGTGTTCGGTGAGCTGCACGGACACAGAAAGTCTTCATCGTCTAAGAAAGACCTGCTGGTCAGTGTGAAGTGATTAATGAAAGGGTTAGGGTATTGATAAGAGGATATTAACGATCAGAGGGTTATTATTTTCAAGGTTAATCAGTGGTTGATGTTGGACGGTCTCTCACCGTTGTATAAATGAATTGGTTAATTATAATGATGTTAATTATAGTAATAATGAAGACGTTACGTCCTTCAGACTGGACTGTACCACGATCAGAGGAACTACAGCAGCCTGACAAAGACCAAACCTCCTCCTTCTTCCTCCACCTCTTCTTACCAGCCTCGGGTCTGTCCTCCTGCACCTTCACCTGTCTCTGAACACACACACACTCTTTTTAAAAACACACACATCATTTTCACCTCTTTCCACACACTGGGTCTCATTCATGTTGTTATCTCTCAGACTTCGTCATGTTGATATTTCTGATCATTGACATTGATTCTGAAACAATCTGCACCCTCACTCTTCAAACACCTCCACCTGTCTCCACCTCCTTCACTCTCTCACCTCCTGCTCCTTCCTCTCTAACAGGCCTCCTCCTCCTCCTCCTCCTCCCTGTCTGTCACAGGGCTGCCTCGCAGCTACAGCACGGTCAGTGTGTGTGTGGGTGTGTGTGTGTGCGTATACATTCCTCTGATAGTCGTTCAGTGTGAGGGTTTATATTTAGCTGTTCACACTCTGAGCTTCAGTCTGATTACACTCAAACACACACACACAGAGTTTCCCCGTCAGACACACACACACACTGTTACACTCACCTCCTCTCATAGAAATCAGGATATGATCGTACATAGATCACTCTGTCACAGATATCAGGGCTTTGAAAGGCCTCCAGTGTCTCCAAAGTCATGGTGTGTTCAAGGACCTTGAAGCTAACGTGTTTTTCTGAGTTGTCTCCATGTGTCTTCAGGCTTCTGTGTACGATGACGCCGGTCTGTACGGCTCAGGCCTCAGCTCTAGAGCTGTAAGTGAGTGTGTGTGAGAGTGTGTGTGTTTTTATTCTCATTGTTTAACTTCATTGATTGATTCAAAAACAAAAATAGACAGAACAGAAGTTTGCTAAAATGTCAGCGTACTAAAAGCCTGACTTCCAAACTTTTTACAAAGGGCGCAGAAACATCAAGATAACTACATTTTTCAGTTTATTTTTTGTTTATTTTATAAGGTGCAGGAAACCTCAAAGTTTTCTTTACTAACTCAGGTCAGAGTTTAGGGACAATAATGCTCAGTGTCCAAAGAATAAAGGTTGTGAATTTCAAAAGGTAGACTCCACATTTCAGAATCAGAAATACTTTAATAATCCCCGTGAGAAATTGCTTTTTGTTATTTTCACTCCAGTACAAATGAAGTAGAAAGAGGAGATAAATTTTAGGTAAAATAAGTAAAAATAAAGAGATAATAAACAAGTATGTACACAATATACAACACAAAATAGTAAAAATAGTTTTAAAAAAAAGTAAAAAATAGAAAAAAAGTCAAAAATAGTTTTAAAAAAGTCAAAAAATATATAAATAACACAAAAAAAGTGAAAAAAAACAGTATTTTATGTTAAAAAAGAAAAAAAGAAAATTAAATATTCACACTTGTTTAGGTGTTAAAATCAGAGTCAAACCTTCATCTTTTTAGCAACATACTGAATACACACTCTAAAATATGAGCTGTAAGTTATTAAAAACACTTTGTATTTAAAAGTAAACTCAGTTCCTCGACCTCTTTTAGTAAAAATGTGCCCAGACGATGCCGTTTAACTGTGTGAGTTTAGTTTTGTCAACCTCCTACTTCATCAGATGCTGAAGATCTGAGAAATATTGATCAGGTTCAGAACCGTAAATAAAAACGTCATCAGCGTAGAAGTGAAAACCAAATATAGTGGGCCAAGAACTGAACCTTGTGGCCCCCCGTATGGATTTGTAGCACAAATGTTTGGTGTGTGTGTGTTGGACTGGTCAGTTGCTCGGTGTGTCTCCCATGTCCTTACATCTGTCCCCCTCCCCTCACCCTTCCTCACCCTCCTCCCTTCTTACCCCCCCCCACAGCCCTCTGAATACAGCTGGTACTCCTCTGCAGCCAGCTCCACCCGCAGCAGCCCCGTGGTGAGCTCCTCCCTGCTGCATGATGCTAACACACACACACACACACACACACACACACACACACACGCACACACACAAAAACACAGAGACAACAAGCCCCGCCCCTGAAGCCCCATTCACCCCTCACACAGACAGAGTTTGAATTTTTTATTTGCATGTGGCGACATCCCTGAATCCAAAACCTGATATGAACTCTGAGACTGGAAGTGTGTGTGTGTGTGTGTGTGTGTGTGTGTGTGTGTGTGTGTGTGTGTGTGTTTGTGTGCGTGTGTGTGTTTGTAGTCCTCCTCAGATGAAGACACAATGAGCAGTGTGTCTCAGGAGCGAGGCAGCAGAGGCCGCAGAGACAGCGTGGTGAGCTGTGAACCCCTGATGATGACGTTAAAAACATCATTCATTCATAAATCTGTTCATGGCTTCATCAGTTATTTCTCCTCCTTCCTCTCCTCTCCCCCTTCCTTTCCTTTCCTCTCCTCCTCTCTCCTCCCCAGTCCTCTGATTTCTCCGACCTCAGTGAGTCGGCTGCCGATTATTTCAGCCGCTCTAACAGGCGCGGCAGCGTGGTGTCAGACATTGATGATCTGAGCATCCCTGAACTCGACGCAGTGAGTCGGTCCTCTGATTGGAGTGATGATGATGATGATGATGATGATGGATATTACTAACTGAAGCATGGTGTAAATAAAGGGGTCAGTGTGTGGTTGTTGTCTCTTTAAAGGAGAGATGAGTGTGTCTCAGCATGGACTGATGGAGGTTTGTTTTGTCGTCACTCCGTTTTAAAGAAGCTGTCAGTTCACAGAGTAATCCTCTAACAGATATTAAATATTACTGATCTTTTCTGTTTGTATTTAGTTTGAGTGAAATGTCTAACAGTCGGGTGAATCACTCCGAGTCAAACCGAATTATCGCCTTACTCTGATTAAGACCGGACAACTGAAGGTCATGTAAACACCTTAGTCCGACTGTAATCGGAGTTTGAGAACTCTGATTAAGACACCCAGATAATGTGATTGGAATTTGATTTTCTCTTCCATGTAACCAGCGTAGTTGGAGTATGATCGGACAATGCATGTTTACCACGCCCCCGTAACCCTGTAACAAAACCCCCAGAGTAGAGGAGTAGCGTTGGTCTCCTCTTTAGAAAAAGTAGCGCGTCCATCATGTCGGACAAAAACAACGCTGTACGATGCTCCATCTTCTTGTTTCTCCAAAATGCCCAGCAGCAGTTGTAGACACTTCTGACGTCTGACACCGACCTGCTGTTGTTGTTGACGGTTGGATGGGGTCGGAAACAGCGCAGCTGAAAAGACCCATATCGCCCCCTAGTGTTGAGGAGGAGGACACGTTCACGTCAATAATTCAATTTTCTCTTACACGAGGACAAGGAGAGAAGTCTGATTCAGCTGTGCATGTAAATGTACTGAATTCTTCTGGTTAAAACTCAGTTTTCTTCTATGATTAAGTTTTTTAAAGATTTTGAGGATATAATTTTCCTAATAAGTTTGTAAGAAAATAAAGTCCTAATGTTACAGAATAAAGTCGTAGTCATGTCAGATTATTATAAAGTTCATATGCCAGCACAGGTAATCCATCAGCTGTTTAGATAGCTTTGTGAAACAACATTTGTTGTGAATCAGTGATGTATAAATAAAGATTGATTGACAGCTGGCAGCGTGACACTGATCCATGGATGACTGCAAATCTACGACGCCTTTCTCAAGTTGTTTGTGATCCATCTTATCAGTCAGAGCAGGTTTGAATCCTTCTGTCTCAGCTGAACTACATCGATGGTCCTGAATTCAGGCTCTCTTCAGTGTTGTTGATCAGGTTTAAATTCAATATTTATTTGTTTAATTTTGTACTTTTTTAGTTAGTCTTTTGTCGTTGTTTTAGGCTTTTGTTTTCTGTCCTTTTGTGAAACACTTTGGCCTTCACGTCTGTGGGTGAAACATAAATAAAGAGTAAAGCTGATGAGTTAACAGACATGTACCTGGCTTTAGTAGTTTTATCAATGAAGCTTAGATGAATAAAAACATTTCAGCTTCACGGTTTAAAGTTTTTCTCTTATTTTTAAATTGAAGTTTTCTTAAGTGATATTTTTCTGTCGTCTCTTAATATTTTTCACCGTTTTTTCGCTTTTCTTCTTCTGTGGTGTTTGATCTGAGAACATGCAGCACTGATGTCTCGCTCACATTAACCCTTATTGACCCGATTGACCTGATTGACAGGAAGCAGCTCGCAGCATGTCGCCGCTGCACGCTCTAAAAACATTTTAAAAAATGACCTTCTAACAGGATTTTTTTGTTTTTGTTTTTCAGCTGGATGAAAAATGTGACAAACAGTATTCAGACTTCAGCCGGGTGAGTGTTTACATTCATGGACAGAACAGCTGATCTGTGCGCTAACATCAACAAATATGACATCACTTCCTGCAGGATCAGCTGATTCTAACAGACGTGTGATAGCTGGTTGTGTTTTTTTGCTCTCTATAAATATGATTGATTGATTGGTTGATTGATTGTGTGTCTCCAGCCTTCGTCCCGCTGTGCGACACCTGGCCTCTCAGCGGCCACGCTGGCGTCTTTGGGTGGCACGTCATCTCGGCGTGGAAGCACCGACACGGGCAGCATTTATGACCCGGACACGAGTCTGAGCGAGCTGAGGGTGAGAGTGGGCGGGGTTTAAATCCTGTTTTAAATGTTTATATTATCTGCAGTATTTATGTGGGCGGTCTTAAATAACAGAAACACATGACTGTGACCTTTGACCCTCCGGATGCTTCTCCTCCTCACAGAGCGCCATGTTCTCGCTCTGAAGAGCTCTAATTTACCGCAGTCCTCTCTGCATTTGAACGTCTCACAGAGTTTCCTTCTGCTTTGACTGTTTCTTTAAGAGTGACTCTTTCTTTGTGGGGGGGTCATGTGACTCTCTTTGTGGGGGGGTCATGTGACTCTCCGACAGCGGCTCAGGTGCTCTGTTACCTCTCCCTGATTTATCCCCCCCCCCCTCCCCCGTGCTCTGCAGGACATCTATGAGCTAAAGGACCAGATTCAGGATGTAGAGGGGCGCTACATGCAGGGGCTGAAAGAGCTGAAGGTAGAGGGGCTCCCAGCATGCTCTCTGCTCTCCCCCAGGGCTCCCAGCATGCTCTCTGCTCTCCTCAGGGCTCCCAGCATGCTCTCTGTTCTCCTCTCTCGCACCTATGTACCCCCCCCCCCCTCCCTCACACACCTGTCTCCTGCCTGCTCTGTCTGGTCCGTTCCTCCTTCTGCATGACTCTCTCACTTCCTCTGTGTTTTTGGATGGGCGTGGTCTGATAGAGAAACTCCCACAATGCATCTGGAACACCTTTGTAGGCATCAGTGAAGCACCCCCCCTGCTGGCAGAAATCAGTCATGTCACCTGTCTAACTTTTCAAATGAAGAGAGATTAGTAAAGTTCGAGTTTACTAACCTGTCTGAATTACTCACCTGGTTAATTAGATCACTGTTAGTCTGGTTAATCATTCACACCTGACAGTGATCAATGTCATTAAAGATCAATGATGATCACTGATGACCACTCTGATCATTCTGATAACAATAAATCAATAGTAATCATTCTGATCACCCGTCACTAAAATCTCTGATCACTTCTCTTCCTACTGATCTTTATTAATCTTGGTGATCTCCTTTGGTCACTACAAACATTATTGATCACTAATGATCACATACCATACCTTCACTACAGTCCACAATTATCATCAATGATCACCTATAATCACTCTGATCATTGAAGATCCATTATGATCACTGATGTCACCGACTGCTTCTGATTGCTTTATATGACTACTGATCTTTAATGATCATTTTGATTATAAATGATCATTAAAGATCATTAGTGATCATTAGTAATCATTAATGATAACTGATAATCACTATAGTCAGGTGCAAATATGACTTGACCCCAAAAAAATGGCTACATTCACTCTGCAGGTTCTGATGCACAATTCAGATTTTTCGTTAAATCCGATCTTTTTGTGCGGTCGTTCACGTTACGACAACGAATGCGTCCTTGAAGTGACCCGCATGCACACAAATATCTTTCCACGCCTGTTTGTGTTGAACAATGGTGACGTTTGTCGCATATTGATGACGTAAAGGTCGGATGAACGCGACCTGAGCGTCCACACTGCAGTCACATCAGATACATATCTGATTTATATCCACATACAGAAGAGGCCTGGGTCGGATCAGAACCAATCAGAACTGACCGGTTCACACTTAGATGAAAACATCAGATATGAGTCACAGACGGTTAAAACATCAGAATTGACCTGCAGTGTGAATATAGCCTAATTCTAACAAAGGTTTCTCAGCTGTTTTTTATAGTATTAGATGTTCTTAATAACAGAATAAAAGTTTACCAAAGTTTGACCACGAGAAAGGCGTCATTTTCAAGATGACAGAACATCTGATTAAACTTGTAATATAAAAAATATTTGTCTTAATGTAAGTTATAATCTTAGGAAGTTTCATGGTGATATCTGTTATTTAAAAATTTTACCCTATTCCCCTGGGGTGTCTCCCCGGGCTTCCTACCATCATGGACGCCATCTTGAAAATGACGCCTTTCTCGTGGTCAAACTTTGCTTAACTTTTATTCTGTTATTAAGAACATCTAATACCATAAAAAACAGCTGAGAAGAATTTGTTAGAATTTTTTAGGGATAGGTGTTTTTTTTTTGTTTTCATAAATGCACCCGCCTACTAATGATCACCTCAGTTACCATGGTAACCTGTTCGATTTCTTCACTCACTGTGTAGAGTAAAGCTCAGAAGTTTTTCTCTCATATTAGAGATCAAAATCTCGGTGTTTGTCGTTTGTGCGTTTAAGTGTCTCTAAAGCGTTTGGTGCACTCAGGTGAGTTTGTCTTTGGCTCCGCCCCCTCAGGAGTCCCTAGTGGAGGTGGAGGAGAAGTACAAGAAAGCGATGGTGTCCAACGCTCAGCTGGACAACGACAAAGGAAACCTGATCTACCAGGTGGACACGCTGAAGGACGTCATCGAGGAGATGGAGGAGCAGACGTCTGAGCTGAAGAGGGAGCTGGAGGAGAAGACAAAGGTGAGACACACCTGTCCTGTCCGTACCTGTTCACACCTGTGAGGATCAGACCCGTGTTTAATGTCATGACTGTGTTTCAGGAGCTGGAGAGGCAGAAACACACGTGTTCAGTTCTGCAGCACAAACAGGAAGAACTGAAGGAGGGGATCAGACAGAGAGACGAGCTCATACAGGTGATCACATGACCTCATCACACCTTTACACAGGTGTCAGTGCGCTCTGCGGGGACCTGATCAGGAGTGATTGACAGCTATAGGCCCCTCCCCTTCTCTCACTCTATTCATCGATCTCTCCTCACCTGTTCCTCCGTTTCACCTGTCATACCTGTTTGTTTCTCTCTGTTCGTGTTCATTCTGTCCTCCTGTCCTCTCCTCTTCATCACCTCACCTGTCTCCTCCTCCTCCTCCTCATTGTCGTCGTCTCACCTGCGGCCCCCCAGGAGAACCAGAGGCTGCAGAGTCAGGTAGACGTGTTGAGCAGGGAGGTGTTTGACCTGCAGGAGACCATAAACTGGAAGGACAAAAAGATCGGGGTAACTCAGGCTGTCTGTGCATGACCCACACCTGTCGGCTCCCACACACACACACACACACACACACACACACACACCTGAGCCTGTCCACACCTGGACCTGTCCACAGGCATGCCGGGACTTGTCCTGACCTGGACCTGTCCACACCTGTCCATGGTGACAGAGTGACTCCTGCATGTGGTGACCAGAGTGTTGAGCTAACAGCGTGAGCCCGTCCAATCATGAAAGAGTATTCAATCTGATTAACGAGAGCCTGTGTGGGTGTTAACGAGGTCGTTAAAGTCCAATTAAGGTCGTTAAAGTTCATTTAAGGGTTAGGGGAAGTTAATCCTGATAAGTGAGCTCATAAAGTCCGACTGTGTGATACAGAGGAGGCGTCACCTGGTGAGACAGGTGAGACGTCTGCACAGGTAGAAGGACTCCGTCTACAGGAAGTCTTTGTGTCCTTTCAGAATAAGACAGGAAGTAAGCATGAGTCAAAATAACAGCCTCTTCAGCATGAGTTCAGTCAGAGAGTTTGAACTTAAAGAGCACCTGCCTCTGCATGTTCACCTGTGTGTGTGTGTGTGCGTGTGTGTGTGTGTGTGTGTTTTCCTCTCATGCATGCTGCCTGTTTGTGTGTGTGAACATGTCTTCTTGTCTTCTGCTCTGTCTCTGATGTCCTCTCCTTCTCTGTCATCTCTTCTTCTTCTTCTCCACCTCTCTCTCTCTTCGTCCTCGTCCTCCTCCTCTTATCTCTGACCCCGCCCCCTCGCGGCGTCCTCAGGCTCTAGAGAGACAGAAAGAATACTTTGATTGCATTAGGAGTGAGAGGGACGAGCTCAGAGACGAGCTCGCTGACATCAAAGCGAAGACGAAGGCGGGACAGGTGAGTCTTCCTCAGCTCCAACACCTGGACAGGAAGTTCAGAATTCTCTGACCTGATTGGTTCAGATGGTTATTTATTGATTCAGTGGTTTGTTTGTAAATGTCTTTCTTACCTTTATTCAACATATTTACCCCCCGGTACAGACACACCTGTTTACCTGTCACCTTCGTCTTCACATTAACAATAATGATAATAATAATAATAATAACAACAATAATAATAATAATAATAATAATAATTTGATATAATGATAACAACAATAAAAATAATAACAGCAATAATTAAGAAATGAGTGTAATAATAATGATTATAATAATAATAATAAATTAAATGTATAATTAATTATTATTTTATTATATATATATAATAACACTAATAATATTTATAATAATTATAATTAATTAAAATAAATAATTTATAAATAATAATAGTAATAACAATAATTATTATAAATTGATATATTGATAATTACAACAACAATGATAATAACAATAATACATGAACATATATATATAATAATAATTTTAACAACAACAATAATAATAATAATAATAATAAATAATTATAATTAAAATAAATAAAAAATAATAATGATAATAGTTATAATGCAATAATAGTAATAATAATGTATTTTATTCACAGGTGCCATTTGAAACACTTAAGGTCCACTAACAACAGAAGTTAAAACTTTTAAACTTGGTCGTGAAGCAGTGGAGTTGAAATCAGACAGACAGACAGACAGCGCTTAAACATTCAGATATTTACCTGAGCTCCTAATGTTCTTACTCCACCTGTAAACACCTCCACCTGTCTAACCTCCAAGGGGTCAGTTAGGTGAGAAGTGATGTCAGATATAAACAGGTGACGTAGATATCTGTCCGGCACACTCTGATCTCTGATTGGTCATTATCATTGACACCTGTCCCTCTCTCTTTACCCCACCCCTCTCTTTAGAAACACGGGTTGGTCATCATCCCTGATGGAACTCCAAATGGAGACGTTGACCACGAGTGTCCGTCCTCAGGTATCACTGTGGTCTCCCAGGAGGCCGCCCAGGTGCTGGAGTCTGCAGGCGAGGGGCCGCTCGGTAAGTCTGACTTAAAGACGTATAAACGCTCTGTGCCCATCAGGAGCGATTTATCCGCTTTAATATCAGTTTATTTCACACACACAAAAAAAACATGCTGTATGTTTGTTTGTTTTCAGACGTGAGGCTCCGTAAGTTAGCGGAGGAGAAGGACGAGCTGCTGTCTCAGATCAGGAAGTTGAAAAATCAGCTGGAGGAAGAGAGACAGAAACAGACGAAGACAGACGGGGCGTTTACGGACGGGGAGAGAGTGGAAAACGGTACCGACCTACATTTCATCGAGATGCAGAGTGAGTTCAAACACAAACACGATTAAAAACACAAACACGATGAACGCAAACAGTGAAGTAAATAAGAAATCCTGTTTTATACTGTGTGGAAAACTATATGATGATCCTGGCAGGTATTAAAGTAATCTACACCTGTGTGGAAATGTTAACCAAAAAGAGTCTCTGATGTAAATGTTTGTTAAAAAACCTTCATCCTTGTGTTTTTTAGGAGACGCTAACAGACAGATCAGTGAATATAAATTCAAACTCTCCAAAGCGGAGCAGGAAATGGGTACGATGGAACAAAACGTGAGTATCAGCCGAGTTTTTACAGAAAATCAAAATTAAAAAAAGGATTTTAAAAGTTTTTAAGTCAACGTCTTTCTTCATTTGTTTCAGATTAACAGACTAGAAGGTCAGGTGAGTCGCTACAAAGCTGCAGCTGATAACTCGGAGAAAGTGGAGGACGAACTGAAGGCGGAGAAACGTAAACTACAGAGAGAGGTACACACACACACACACACACACACACCTGTTCATATGAACACATACGCAGGTATTAATTACAACAGAAACTCTTCATAATGTCTGACACTGTGATGTTAAACATTAGGGCTGGGCGATAAAACGATAAAAATATATATCAAAAATTAATTTCCCTCAATATCGATATAAAACATGATCAATATGCTTTTCAATAGTCGTCATTCTGACATGTTTTGGTCGACTATACGAACAGCCAATGAAAAGGGGAGTGTATCCGGGTCTGAACCAATCATGTTCTGAATTAGAACCAAGTATCAACCAACTGCAGCGTCGTAGCAGACAGCAGCTCCACCCAACCATAGCACTTTAACAGGTGAAGCCGACAGCACTGTTGGTGAGAAACAAAGAAAATGAGTGCTACCCCCGACAGAAATGACCATGAAGGCTCAACAGATGACCACATCAATGTCAACCACAACACTGGCGTTAGGAAAACGTCGGTGGTGTGGAGGTATTTTGGTTTTTGGAGGTCGGACATGAAGCAGAGTAATGTGGACTGTAAATTATGTCGAGTACATGTTCTCACAAAGTCGGGGAATACCTCAAATCTTTTTCACCACCTGAAGCAGCGCCACGCCGCAGAGCACGCGCAACGCAGAAGGTTACCAACCCCAAGCAACGCCGTACGATGATGTCGAAGAGACACAAAGACCTCACAGATGCAGGAGATTATTGTATTGGAAAAGACATGAGACCAATAAACTCTGTTACATTTCATTTTTATATCCTGATATTGATCGATATCAGCTGATATGAAAAAAATATATTGTAATAAACTTTTTCCCGTATCGCCCAGCCCTACTACACATTAAAAACAACATGTCCAAATAGCCTATTTTATAAAAATGATTTTAACTCTGTCCGAAAATTAAACGTCAACGTTACTAAAAGGATTCAGGCTCTCTGACTCAGACTTCAGTAGGATGAGGTGGAAACTTCAGAGCAGACACTGTCATCACTCTCTCTTCCTCTTCCTGTGTCTCTCGCTCGCTCTCACTTCACTTTAATCGGCTTTAAATAAAAGAGTGGAGGATGCAGCTGCTCCTGGAGAGAGAGAGGAGATCCTGTTCATGAGGAGCAGAGAGGAGGACACTGTAACAGTGACGCTGACTCAGCAGGTTTCTGAGGAAATCCTTCATAGATCTTTGGAAACGTTCTGATCCGTTTACAGGGCGGATAGTGGTCCTGACTTCGGCCCCTCGATCGTCAAAATATGACAATCGTCTTGATTTACTTGCAACTAGAAAAAACAAACATACAAGCCGAGACATGTGTGAAACCGTCTTGACATCGGAGTGACGCGATCGCGGGGCACTCGTCAATAAAAATGAGGCTCCACGGGTCTGTTTCTATAATAATCCTCCGTGAGTTTATTTACAACACACCAATAAGTTCCAAAAATCACAATTCGTCCTTAACAAGTGCAAAAAAACCAAGTGCAATAACCCATGTGCTCTCTCTCTCCAACCTGCTCGCTGCACTTGTTCGTTATTGAAGTAGATATTTAGACTCTCATGCATCTGTTTTCTGTGTGTGTGTGTGTGTGTGTGTGTGTGTTTCAGCTGCGTACGGCGTTGGATAAGAACGAGGAGATGGAGATGACTAATAACCACCTGGTGAAGCGTCTGGAGAAGATGAAGGCGAACAGGAACGCTCTGCTGTCTCAGCAGTGACCCCGCCCACCAACCCGCTCCCCCTTCCACCCCGCCCAGTCTTCATCACCATGAAGCCCTTAAAGCTGACCTTTGACCTCTGACTGCCAAACTGCGTCTGCAGCACATTTCCTGTTTTACCTGAAACACTCTGCGATCTTTAGCTAACCCAAACTCTGACCGTGTAGCACAGAATCGAAACGAACGTTTTTAAAGAAGCATTAAAGTGTAAAGATTTGGGAGAAAGCCGAGAGGACGATTCACTACAGATTAAGATTATTTCATCATGTTTGATTTAGTTTCTGCTCGGGTGCTTGGCTCTTCTTTGTTTTGTTGTTATTTTTTTTCATAAGTTGCATGAATGAGCGTTGAGTTTCTCTCCGATCCTGACGTCCTCTCACAGTGAAGTGCCTTTACACACACTAACAGGTACATGATGATCTCAAACCGACCGTGTTTGCTGCCGTTTCTCTGCAATTTTTCAAATATTTAAAAGATTTCTTGAAAATAAATGTGTAATTTACAGAGCTCTGTGGTCTCAGGCTTTTCTTTAGATCAACATCATTTCTGACCGGACTGGAACGAAAATCACCAAACAGTCAAATCTTTGATATTTATATTTATAGGAGATATTAATTTCTCTTCTCTCTACTTCACCTGTCCCAAACTCTGGTGTTTTCACCTTTAAAGCTGCTCATACAGACAGTTTTATTTTGTTTGTTTATTTAAAGTAATCTGGATTAAATCCTGTAGCGTCAGATTACAGATTAGTCAGAAGTATTAAAGTCCTTCAGACTGCTCATGTATTTAAATTTAAGAGTTAGGAAGCAGTAAACTGATTACTTTAGACAAGTTTGTTTTTTTTCAGCATCATTGGAGGAAACATGAAGATTTTGTAGGTTCGACTTTGTCCACAAGGGGTCACATTAGTATAAATACAACTTTTCTCACACAAATTCTACAGCAAAGATATTTAACCATAGATTATTTTAAGTGGTTTGATAAAGTCATACCTGTGGTTTGTAAGTTTTGCTCTGTTACTACTTGAATGGGCTCTCTGCATCGATCCACTAAGGCTGCTCCTTTATTTCCTGTCCTACATCCCACTGAGCATTTTTTGGTCTAAAAAAGGTCTAAATGTAGCCTAGATGACTGCCACAGGTATAAAAATGAAAGTTTTTTAGACTTCTACATTTAGACTAAATTTAGACCAAGTCTAAATCTGGGTTTTATCTATACTACACTGTATATTGTTGAACGGCTATCATAATTATTCTGGTTAAGTACTTGGAGATCAGTTATAAACTCACAGTTTCTTTTTTAAATAAATAGTTATTGAATAATTGGTTAAAGTGGAACATTTAAATTCCATCTAAAAATATACAGAATCTAGACGGTTGAAATCAGGTCTAAAAAAAAACCTAGACTTTTAATAGCGTCTATTTCTCAGTAGGATTATTGGACAAACTGATTAATCCAGGTGTTACTAATCATTCTGACTTATCAGTCACACCTGGATTAATCAGTTTCAGTGAAGACAGATCATCACCTCTCATTTTTGTCCTCACAGCAAAATTTTACTCACCAGCTCAGCTGTCTTTGTCTGGAGCGCTGGAAAAGATTCATGTTAAAATGTTTGTTTCTGAGCTTTAAGATTTAACATCATGGAAATTAACATTTGTGAGTTTACAGAAATGTATACCTCTGTCAGTGTTTACGAGTGAGACTGAGGGAAACTAACGACCTTCACTCAGCATCAAAAAGCAGATGATGAACCAGAACTACTTTCCAAGGATTGAATTTGAAGGATGTGTGATCAGTTTGTTGCTCTAGGTTTACAGAAATATATTTTGTCCTATATAAATATATCTGCCGTAAGAAATACTGTGTATCCAAATGTTCTGATTGATTAGTTTTTAGTAAATTTAGATCCTTTTTTAGTTCCTGATCAGGAATTTTTACGTGTTACTCCTGAAGTATTTCTGTTTTTTTCTCAAACACGCCTTCAGTCGAGCTTCATTTGAAGTTTTTATTTCAAACAGTAAATTATAAACAACATTTACAGACTCGTGCGTTCAGGTGACTCTCAGCAGCGCTCGAACACTTTGTAAAGATCGGGTAAGTTTGCGATCTGCAGCACGCTGCCGTCCTCGCTGAATCTCCGCGGAGGACTGAGGAGACTTCGCAGAGCTTTAAAGATCGCATGTTCGACTTTCCAACGCCACGAGGTCGCCTCGGCGTCCTGCGGAAACACAAACGCACACGTTAGCGTCGTCTTTATACACAGGTGTGAGTGAGCGGCATGTTTGACCTTCTCACCGGCTCCCCCTGCAGGATGAAGTGTTTCCTGATGGAGTAAAAGACGCTGCACTCTTTACTGAAGTCTCTGAAACACTCCTTCTCATCGTCCCAGTTCACCTGCGCGTGCACACACATGCACACACACACACACACACACACACAGATGTCAGAGACAGTCCTTTCACAGCAGACCTTTAAAAACAACAGGAGCAGGTTTTTACCTCGGTGGCGAGTCTCAGGATGAACATCGGCAGACCCTCCATCACAGGTGAGAACTTATCGAGCAGCAGAGGCAGACCGGTCAGGTTCCCTTCCTGCGTGACCATATAAGGTCATTTAAAAACTAATTTCCTTTATTTAATATGAGATGAAGTTAAAACGAGACGTCGTCCAGGTGAGACTCTCGGTCCTTCCTGCTCACCTGGTCGATCTCCAAGGAGAAGTAGTCCTCTAACATCTCCGCTTTCTTCTTCAGGAAGTCCACGATGTACTCAGCCAGTCCCTCTTTAGGACCGTCCTCCTCCGTCCAGCCGCTCTCCTCCGAGTCCAGAGCCAGCATGGCCAGGTCGTAGAGCGGAGCAGGAGTCTGGATCACAAACCCGACATCAGAACCAGAACTTCCTGTTTTTAAATAAACCCTGTAACGTCTCTTACCGACAGCCGGAGGACGCCAAAGTTCCCGAAATCGTTGATGAGGATCTGATAGAAGAGCTCCTGACTGGGACAGAAACACAGACGGGTCAGAACCACGATCATAGACGTCACTGATGGGGACGGGTTCACCTGAGGGCCCACCTGAGGTTGGAGGTGTTCAGCAGGTACAGTTTAGTCTGATGCTGGATCAGAGTCCACTGAGGGTCCACACAGCCCACAAACGAGTGGTTCTGCAGCATCTCCTGAAGACCTGCGGGACAGTAAACCGGTTTAGAGGGTTACGGGTTCAGAACTACGTCTGTCCTGCATTTCTGTGTCACACCCACTGTAAGATCTACTGATCTAAGTTTACATGTGCTTTAAATGTGTGTGTCTATACCTGTGTGTGTGTGTGTGTGTGTGTGTGTGTGTGTGTGTGTGTGTGTGTGTGTTTATACCTCTGTGTTTATCTATGTCTGTTAATCTGTGAGTGTGTATACCTGTGTGTATACTTGTGTGTGTATATACCCTTGTGTGTGTGTACACTTGTGTTTGTGTGTGTGTGTGTGTGTGTGTGTGTATACCTTTGTGTGTGTACACTTGTGTGTGTGTGTGTGTGTGTGTGTGTGTGTGTGTGTGTGTGTGTGTATACCTTTGTGTGTGTGTGTGTGTGTGTGTGTGTGTGTGTGTGTGTGTGTGTACACCTGTGTGTGTGTGTGTGTATACCTTTGTGTGTGTTCTCTTTGATCTCGTCTCTCAGATCTTTGATGCTGTTCAGTTTGATGACTCGTTTCTTTGGCGTGGCAGCAGCTGTTAGCTCCTCCTCCTCCTCCTCCTCCTGCTGTTCCTTCCTCTGTCTCTTTCTATCGAAACATACACACACAGGTATACACACACACACACACACTATAAGTCTACTCTAATAACATGAATTATAAGAAAAATGTGACAGAAAATATCTTGCCTCTCATCAAAGTTCAGATCCGATCACATGATTGATGACATCATCACAGAGCTGATCACATGAGCACACACACACACACACACAAACACACACACGCCTGGTTTATCACCTGTGAACTCGTTCTTCTTCTTCTCCCTCTTTGTCTCTCAGCTCCACTTCCTGTTCATCCAGAGCCGCCATCAACTCTTCATCATCGCACTCCTTCATCTCAGAACCAGAACAGGTCTGAGCCGATCCAGATCCAGAACCAGGACCAGGATCAGGATCTGGACCAATACCAAGACTAACATCAGGATCTGGACAAGGAGCAGGCTCTTGATCAGGTTTAGGTTCAGGATCAGGATCAGGATCTCGGGGCCGCAGGAAGGCGTCGAGTTTCTGGGATCGACAGTCAGTTCTGATCATGTGATGAGCGTAAACTCGCTCTGAAGACTCCGAGCTGCTGGTCGTCGTCTTCACCTCGGCGCCACCTGAGAGACTAGGTAACAACGTCTGCACACACACACACACACACACACACCTTCATCATCATCACCTTCCTCACACAAACAGGTCAGGGCCAATAGCCTGACTTGAAGTTACTGTCGTCACGGTAACGGACGTTTTTCTCACCTGAGTGAAAAAGGTGCGTGATGCGTTGGACCCGAGCAGTTTGCTTTCCACGTGTTTCTGGACGCTCTCGATGACGGCGTCCTCGTGCAGGAAGTGGACCTCGTGTTTGGTGGGATGAACGTTGACGTCGATGTTCTGAGGAGCGATCTCTAAACTGTCGAGATTAAAACCGTTAATTTACCTGAAACAAGATCAACGTCTGTGACATCACACAGGTGAGCTCACCTGAGGTACAGGAAGGGGTGGGTGTTCTTTGGCAGGTAAGCGGCGTAAACCGTCTCCAGAGACTTCTTCAGAGCGCTCGACTCCACCAGACGATCTGACACACAAGATTATAATCTGATTAGATCCTGATCAAACCAGATTCTAACCAGATCATGATCCTGTTCTGATCTCACTTTATCAAAGTCTGTTTGTGACCAGAATGTAACCAGATTAAATCAGAATGTAATCAGATTAAATAAAAATGTAACCAGATTAAATCAGAATGTAATCAGATTTAATCAAAATGTAACTGGACTGAATCAGAATATAACCAGTTTACATTAGAGTGTAATCAGATTAAATAAGAATTTAATCAGATTAAATCAAAATGTAACCAAATCAAATGAGAATGTAACTAGATTAAATCAAAATAAAACCGGATTAAATAAGAATGTTATCAGATTATTCAGAATGTAACCAGATTAATTTAGAATACAATGGGATTATGTAAGAATGTAATCAGATTAAATCAGAATGTAATCAGATTAAATAAAAATGTAACCAGATTAAATCAGAATGTAATCAGATTTAATCAAAATGTAACTGGACTGAATCAGAATATAACCAGTCTACATTAGAGTGTAATCAGATTAAATAAGAATTTAATCAGATTAAATCAAAATGTAACCAAATTAAATGAGAATGTAACTGGATTAAATCAAAATAAAACCGGATTAAATAAGAATGTTATCAGATTTAATAAGAACGTAACCAGATTATTCAGAATGTAACCAGATTAATTTAGAATATAATGGGATTACGTAAGAATGTAATCAGATTAAATAAGAATGTTATCAGATTAAATCATAGTGTATCCTGATTTATTATAATGTAAATTAGATTAACTCAGATTATGTAGGGTACTGACGGTTGATGAAGAGGATGAGGATACATTTCTTCATGGAGTAGTTTGCGTTGGAGACGAATCCTTTCAGACTAAAATTCAGTTTTTGATCCTCACAGCCGACCTCGATCAGCTCCCTGAGAACAAACACACCGATCGTTTAATAACTTATTTTTTTGATTATTAATCTTCAGATTATTTCCTTTATTTAATATTTACCCCACAGAGATAATTACATCTATATTTGTTCTCTGTGTACTCAGACTGTGGCGTTTCCTTTACTCTGTTTGTTCACCTGCTGACAGCGTTTCCAAAGATGGTTCGGATGTTGTCGATGATGGTGGCGTTGGGCAGCGTCCTCACGTCTGCCGCCGTCTCTCCTTGCTGAAAAAAAAGAAGCTTTCCTTTTAAAAATCTCACAAACAGGACGATAAATAAACAATAAAATTATAAACCACGGCTCGCCTTTTTGACGGAGAAACTCTTCCCTGAGTTGTGTATGGCGTACCTTTAACGAAACAAGCGAAACATCACAAAAAAAGGAAACTATTAAGAAATAGAAAACATGTAAAATCAAGATGGCCGACCTGCTGACCACCTCCACGATCCTGGAATATTCATCACTGGCGCTTTTTAACGCCTTCCTCCTCGTGGACACGTTGAAGAACAGATCCTCCACCTGAGAGAGACATGTGAGGTTACAGAGCGCTGGTTCAAACTACGTCGTGTGTGTGTGTGTGTGTGTGTGTGTGTGTGTGTGTGTGTGTGTGTGTGTGTGTGTGTGTGTGTGTGTGTGTGTGACCTGAGTGTGTATCAGTGTGTCAGACTCACATGTATCTGTGTTCCCTGGTTTCCTGCACACGGTTTCGGAGCTCCCTTCAGTTTTCCGTCACTGTAACTCGCTCTGAATCAGAATCAGAAATACTTTAATAATCTCTGATTTCTGTTTGTTAGAGAAACTCTGGTGCAAATAAAGCAGAAAGAGGAGATAAATAATTGATAAAATAAGTTAAAAAAAAGAGATAAAATAGTACAATAAGTACAAATAAAGAGATAATATACAAGGATGTACACTATATACAACACAAAATAGTAAAAAAACACAATTCAACGATCACTCATCAAATAACCGAATATTGACCTAATAATTATAATTCTTTTAATAACTGTCATGTCAGGGGGAAGGATACTGATTATAATAATGACTACTGATAAACTTTTATATTGATTATTTTAAAATCATCTATAGTTTCTTGTATTTTCATTTTTTTATCTTTCAGTCGTTTTTCTTCTTCTTCTCATCGTGATGTTCAGAAAATCAGCTGGAACTCACCTGTAGGCGCACTTGGCATCAGCTGTTTTTGTCGTTATGGTCACATGGGCTACATGGCTGATACTTGCGAGAGCCTGAAAAGAAGGAAACAGGAAGTGTGATGACCTGTGACCTTTGATTATTAACCCGAGGAAGGATCCGTCAGCTCACCTCTCCTCTGAATCCGTAAGTAGAAATCTGAGACAGGTCGTCAAACGTCTGCAGTTTGCTGGTCGTAAATCTCTCACAGACGATCTCCATATCCTCCCTCTGGGTCAGACAGATCGGTGAGAGGGGTTAGTAAATGGACCAATCAGAAAGACGGGGTTCAGAACTGTCTGCACACGCTCAGTAGGAACTAAACCACTGAGCAGGACCCACCCTGATCCCGGTGCCGTTGTCCTGGATCTGCAGCAGCTTCAGTCCACCTTCTTTCACCGTCACCTGGATGTTTGTGGATTTAGCATCTAAACTGGAACATTACAGACAGATTTAAGACACCGAACAGATAATTTAGCTTTAGAGCGGGTTATACACTCAGGACTGTGTTAACTGAACTTCAGTTTCAATGAGTTTTAATGGGATGACTGTTACTACAATGTTGCCAAAGCGTTCTAACATAAAAACAATAACAACAATAAGGGTAATAATACTAATAATAGTAATAATAGTGAATAAATAGTGTCAGTATCATCATGTTTGCAGATAAAAACTCAGGAGCAGCTGTTCAGGTTATTTTCAGCAGCTCTTCTTCTCTATATTCTCCTCTCTCTCTCTCTCTCTCTCTCTTTCCTGTCTTACATTTTTCGACAAACTGATTAATCCAGGTGTGACTGACTGGTCACAGTAATCAGTCACACCTGGATTAATCAGTTTGTCCAATAATGTAAGACAGGAAATAAAAGAGCTGCCTGAAGTTCAGTGAGTATTGTACCTTCTTTATAATTTATTTTAACTAGTTAGTGGAAGTTGGTTCTCTAGTTAGTGGATTGTTAATAGTTAAGTTATATTTCTATACTGTAGTTTTCTGTCGTTTTTTTAAAGTATGTAGTTGTAGTCAGTGGTTGTATTGTGTTTACTGGTTCCCTGAAAGTTAGTTGTAGTATTTCTTTGTGTTTACTTGTTCAACAGCGTCTCTATGGCCCAGTTAATCCTAGTTAGTAGATTTGTAGTAGTTAGTAGTGGATTTGTGGTAGGTGGTACATTAGAAGTTAATTTTGTAGTGGTTAGTAGTGGATATGTAGTAGTTTTGCAGTAGTTGTTAGTTGTTTGTGTACTCACCAGTTCTCCAGCAGCTCTTTGACGCAGTTTGCGGGTCTCTGGATCACCTCTCCCGCAGCGATGCGGTTCACCACGGTCTCATCGAGCCTCCGGATCACTCCCGCCATGGTCCCGGGTCCAGGAGGTCTCTGAGGACAGGTAAGAAGAGTAAACACAAACACACCTGAGGAGACAGACAGAGGGTCAGAGAGCTGTGAATACACACATATACCTGAGAGAGAAAGGGCTGTTTTAAAAACACACGAACACCTGGAGTCAGAGAAGGTAAAAGCTGCAAACACACACCTGAAAAAAAAAACACCTTTAGACAGAGAAAACTGACTTTAAAACAGAGATTTACATCCTAACAGAGAAACACGGCGCCATACTGCCGTCAAAGATCAGATTATGAACAGACATCTCACTCGGTTCCAAATATCAAAGTAAAAAACTCTTGATGTCATCGTTCGAACCAACCTTACCGATGAGAGCTGAACTTCCCTTACACTACCTTTAATATATTTAATTAAAAAAAATACAGAGAATATGTTTCTGTGTTTGATTTAGTTGGTTGTTAACTAAGAATACCTCAGTCACACGTTATTAACCAAACAGTAAACCCTCGTATTTAATATAGACGATCTCTGATGATTCTGCGCGGGGATCTCGGAGTTTCTTCTTCTTCGTCTCATTTGTTGTTTTCTTGGCGGTAACGCTCCACAGTCAGATGCAGTACCGCCCCCTGCTGTACAGGAATGTGGACCAGAGTTTTAACTACAGACTGTTTATAAAATACTGTAAATAAAATATATATAAAATACAGTCTATAGTTTTAACCCTCTATAAAAGATGAATACGTTAGCAGTCCTGTTTCTATGAACGGAGGCTGTTACTGAGCAGGACACTGTTCTTCTTCCTGGTAAATATTACAGTAGATCAGAGCTTATTATTATTATTATTATTATTATTATTATTATTATTATTATTATTATTATTATAAGGGCCCATAGTCGTTATTATATTTCATGGTTAGGCCCTTTTTGAGTCTCTCTGATCGCTGAATTTATTTATTTATTTTTTCATTTTAAAACAGAAAACCAGAAAACCTTAAACATTGAGTTAACTCCAGATAAAATGGAAAGAGTGCTGTGCTGGGTCAAAACTGACAAAAAAAAAAAAAAAACCCAACAGTGTGAAGTGATCAGGCGTTCCTCACAGATCAGGAACAAAGGTCAAACTACATAATCAATAAGTGACTGTACAGGTTATTGACAGTCAAAGTTCACAGTGAAAATCTGAGAAAGTGTGTAAACTCAGAGGATCTCCTGTTATCTGTATCTAATTTAAACATTACTCTGTGTCTGTGTAACTCTGATTTAAGGCTCTGTAATATTTTAAACTGTGATTTTATCTCTAAACTGTTTCATTCAGCTGTAGGTTTAACTGTCATTATATCAGGTGTCTCTCCAGCTCCTTTACTTTGATTTCCTGTTTAATAAATACATATTTAGATAGGTCTTTGTGCTTACGTTATTGCTTTGTCTTAACGTTTAATATTCATTATTAGCAGGACCAATAATAAAAGCTCTTCATGTTTGATTTCCTGTCACTAAAGTTTGAGTTTAGTTATTGCAGAATAAAATCAGAAATCTAATTAATCTTGGATTTATTATTTTTGAACAATAATGCTTTATCTTGTTGTTTTGTGTGTCCAATAAAAATACAAATAAATTTATAAATAGATCTAAAATATGGGAGTGAGGACTACAGCCTTCATTGCATAACCCAGTTTACGGCCTGTAATCTTTACAGATCTTAATAACAGAGAAAACCTAACAGAGGTACACTGTGTGTCAGGAACAGCTGCTCATATGAACACATGAAAAAATAAGATCTTTAAACCTCCAACATGCAGCAGGTGAACCTGTTCACCGGGTCAGAACTGACACCTGTCTCCTCTGTTAGCCGATACAGGTGTCAGGAGTTCTTCTCCAGCAGGGGGCGCACATCAGTCTGCAGTGAAAACAGAGGATCAATTTTTAGTCAGGCTGATTAACCGGCCGATCAATGGCATTTTAAAATAATGAGGATCAGCTGATATTTATGCTTATGAGGCTGATTAAAACAACAACATAAATGACATCTTTTATATTTTTTTGTCCTGCTAATTTTTGTTATTCCATTGTATCATGAATATTACCATCATTATTATTTTATTATGATTTTATCTTCATTATTAATATCGTCTTTTATATTTACTATCCTGTTTCCTGCTTTCTAACCTCTTTTTTATTACATTTCTTCTTCTTAACTATTTTATGTTTTTATTTTTGTCCTCATGGTCTCAGTTTATGTAGTAGGGTTCTTGTATTGTCTATTCGTAGGTCTTGTTTTTAACTGAGCTTTTGTTTTTATTTCCATGTGCTGAAGTTCTGTGCTTTACTTACGACTGTTTGTCAAAGAACTTCGTAAAATTCAGTTTTTAAAAGTTAATTAATTCAAAATCCATCTGAAACAGATTTCTTACTAAAGTAAACGTGTTTTTTACTCGTTACACACATAAGGATTAATGGCTGCTGTTATTATCAGGTTGCTATATTTCACAACAGGAAAGACATCAGTGTGTTATCAGTGTTATAAAACGTCTGTTAGTTGACGTGGTCTGTAATTATCAGTGTTAGTGTCAGCTATTGAAAAACTCATCTCTGTTTTATCTTCTCTGATTTTAACTAAAATCTTTTTATCCTGATGAAACTCAGCAGAGTCAAACCTGCAGACACTTCCCTGTGAAAGAGTTTTACATGAACGTCTCAGATTTTCAGCTCAGAAGTCACTTTTCTCTGTGATCTTAGTTTGTTCATAACCTGGACAGTGGTTTGTTGATTCTGCATTAATAGAACTGAATGTGCTCCTCTCAGTGTTTGCTCAGAGACTCCTCTCTCCTCGGCGTGTCCTCCCCTCTCATCTGTAATCTCAGCTCCGTTTGTCCAACCACAAACACTCGGCTGCATTCCTGTGGGTCGGTGTCTCTCTGAGTTTCTATCAGCCGCTCTGTGAGGTTCAGGAGAGGAAGCTCGGGGGGATTTCATGAAGGAAAATAAGCGGCTGGATTTGTCCTCTTTAGGTAAAATCCAAAGTTTGTCCTCGGGCAGACTGAACGCTGTGAAGCAAAGCGAGGAGGCGTTTTCTTTTCTTTCTTTCTTTTTTTTTCTTCAGGTCTGTTAAAGAAAAAAAAACCTCAGCAGAGACTCAAACTTGAAGACACACTACAGCAGCACATAAGGGGATAATAAATAACTTGTAATGGGGAGTAAAGTAGGCGCTGACAGCTCGCTTCAGGCGTTCTCTGCGAAGACTTAACTTTCAGGTTGTTTTGTGACTCCAGAGCTGTGTAAAAAGTAACACCCCCGAGCTGTGTCAAACTCTGTATCAGTGGGAGTGTTTCAGTCCGAGGCTGAAGAGAGCTGAGAGGTTTTTAACGACACCAGCACAAAGTAAATAAGGAGGTTTTTGGTGAAAATGACGATAATAGGTCTCCTTTAAGGTCAGCCTCAGAGGGAAAATTCAGACGTTTGAGTTTCAGAGAGATTTCCTCTCTTTGGAGACGTGAAGTTCCTAAAAACCAAACCAAATTATTCCTACTTATTCAACATTCATTAACTCAGGCTCATTCGATATTAATATTTCACTTATTCTCCTTTTAAATAGACTGAAATTCTTATTGTTGCCTATTCATGAAAAAGCAACTAAGACCCTCAAAGACTGGACTAAAGAAGATGTCTGTATCCTAGTTTCTAACGCCTTAAACTTAAACTTTCATTCGTTTGTTTCCTTCTTGAAAACATCTAAAAGCAACGTCATCAGAACATGAACTACAGACTCTTTACAGATTAAATTTGTGTATAAAATAAAACCGTTTGGGTCCTGAGATCGACCCCTGTGGAACACCTCAATGTTCAAACACGCCGACCCGATTTGAACGGCCGATTCTCTTCACCGTCATCTGGCAATAAAATCAAACCAACTGTAAAGTCCTTTTGGGGGAAGTGGAATTAAATGACAGGAAGTCACCTGATCAACATGAGGCGGACTGAGATGACTCACATCCTCTGTTATCGCCATGGTGACCAGCTTACTCAGCGCTGAGAGGTCTCTTCCTGCAACCGAACCTCAGGCCCCACCCACAATTTACAGGAGTGACTTCACCGTGATATCATTGAACCGCTTATAACTTTCAATAAATCTAAACAAGCACAACCTCCACGGACCTGAAGTCTCCCTCTGAGACATTCCAGGACATTCAAGGACCCTCCAGGATGTGCTGCAGGATACAGAACAATAGAGCCGAGCAGAAATCCTGAGAGTAAAAATAACCGACGCACAGAATCCGGCTCTATCTACAGCATCCTCCAAACATCCTTAAAGATGATTATATAAAAGCTTTTAGGAGTTCAGGATTTTAATGTTGTTGATGTTTTTAAGAAGAGGTTCAAGACTCACCTTTTTAACCAGGATTTTCACTAATTACTCTTTTTATATTTCTCTTATTGCAAATGTTCATTTTATTTAAAGTTCTTATTGTTTATTTTATGTAATTTTATTAATTATCTTTGTTCTTAGTCTTTTTCTTAATTCCGTCACAAGTTTTTTACTTCTTTTACCCCTTTTACATGGTAAAAATCTCTAACTTATCTGTTCATTTAATATTATTTTCTTGTTTCAGTCCATCAGGTTTTACTTTTTCTTTTTACCATTTTTATTTTTATCTCCAGTGTTTCCTAAAGGTCGCTCTTTCCTCACCTAATGTCTCGGTGTCAGGCCATGTCTCTTTAACAATATATCTTAAATTCTCACTCTGGGCTCTATTTTTGTTCCTCGTTGAATTTGAATCTGTTTCTCAAAATAATAATGAATGAACTTTTTAGAGTAAAGGTCAGATTAAAAGAAAATAAATCAGTTTAGAAACGTCTCAGAAACTCACACCAACATGGAGCAGATAAACAGTCAAATGAGATGCAAAAAGGACACCTGCATAGTAGCTCCAACCTCTCCTTACATGGTCCTACGTCCGTCTGGTGGGGGTAGAGGGTCAATTTAACTCCTGCTTATGATATTTTCAGCTCTAAATATCATATCAGGATATATATATATATATATATATATAGTTATAGATGTTCACCAATTCATCTAGATGATTCATTAAGTCATCACTTTCATGACTTAGTTTCTTCAGAACTTCAGCCACCTCTGACTTCCTGTCGCATAGATGATAGATGATGATCATCGATATATATATAGATAGATATAGATATAGATATCATCCATATACTAATATAGATGATGTATGGTATGGATGTCTTGGTACTTCGGCTCTTGGACTTAAAAATTCAGCCCGGATAAGGTTCGAACCCACAACCTCAGAAGTCCCAGTCAGTCTCCTTATCACCTGAGCCATGTGGACCTACAGGTGAGTTGTGTTTTATTCCTATTTCACTGTCCTTCGTAAACACTAGACTTTAAATTTCAACTCGACCTGGATCTGATGAAAACAAGGCCTCACAGAGTCACAGTGTGTTTGTGTGTTTTTGATTGATAAACTTTTGTTGTTGGCTTAGCTCCTCCTCTTAGGGCTTTTATTTTGTAGGAGGCTCTGTGCTCCCGAGCTTTAGATTTTTTAAACATGAGAGAGAGAGAGAGAACAGAGTTGTTTTTTTCCTTTAATGGCAGTGTGACTGTCAAACTGAAAATAGAAATCTGAAGAAACAGAAGAAGACGAGGAGGTGATGATGAAACGTCTGAGTGAAGAAGGAGACAGAGACAATCCTTCTTTGTTTCCTCGACTCCTCCCAAAACAAACAGAGGAGGAGATGAGGAGCAAACAGAGTTTATACAGAGGCAGAGGAGAGACAGGACAGGGTTCACTGATTACAACATACAACACAACACCCTTCACTCAACATGACAACACTTGAGGCAACACAACACTGGACACACAAAAGAGAGGAAAGAGGGTGAGTCAGAGGAGTACCAATCAGGGTTTCTCATAAACAGTCAGACGTGTGAATCCTTCATGTGGTCTGGGACTCCAGTCTGCGGTTCAGAGTCACTGTTAGTCCACAGAACCGTTTCATAAACTCTGACAGAGGGCAGCTCGGGTTTTCAGATAATCCCTAAAACACCAAAACAACAACAGCAGACAGACAAACATGTCAGTGAGAGTCAGTGAGAGCAGATTACTGTAACGACACCCGATCAACAGGCCTGTATGCCAATCACTGCTGTTAGCATTCAGCAGCTTGATAGCAGAAGAAATAGAGGAGTGTGATACCAACACACTGACTTCATTCCTTCAGTTTGACTTTATAAATTTATCTAAAAATTTCCTTTTAATTCGTCAAACTTTAAAGTTACTGTCAATATTTTCTTTTTTTTTTAAATGAAGTTAATAAAAAGCAAGACAACTAAGGCTACATTCACACTGCAGGTTCTGATGCACAATTCAGATTTTTTGTTAAATCTGATCTTTTTGTGGTCTTCATGGTGGCCGAGAAACTCCACTGCTGCAAATAAAAAAAGGAATGCAAAAATAAAATTCATTATGTAAGTTACTGATGGAAAAAAAAAAAAGTTTATGAAGCAAAATTAAGCAATAAACTTTGTTCGTCTTTTCACCGTCGTCTTCTGTTCTAGATCATAAAACACTGGTGCATCATCAATATTGGTCCCCGCCAGCTCACTTCAGTTGTGGCTTTTTTTATTTGCATCCTTTTTTTTTTGCAGTTAGAAACTTTTCATTTCTTTATTTATTTATTTGCATCACCATTTTTTTTGCGTCGTTAACTTCCGGTGTTTTTTTTTATCCACTTTGTTTTTTGTTTTTGTTTTTTTGCATCAGTAACTTTTGTTGTGGTTTATTTTTTGTCCATTTATTTATGTATTTATTTATTTTTTGCGTCATTAACTTCCTTTTTGGAAGGGTTTTATCTGCTTTGTTTTTTTGTTTTTTTTTTTCTTTTGCAGTGGGATTTGGCTTCTTTTTTGCAACAGTAACTTCTGTTGTGTTTCTTTTTCTGCATTCATTTTTTTTTTTTTTTTTTGCAGTGGCAGTTCTCGGCCACCGTAGCTCTTATTATTCATCCAAACCGCCCTAGTTTTTAGGATCCATATTTATTCCTGTTGCTGTCTAATCTGTTGTAATCCAGGCTGAACATTTTCACTCTAACTGATCTGAGGAGGAGCTGAAATAAGATCCTGTTCATCCAAACAAACTGTTAGTAACGCATAATTAACTCTTAATAACAATAATAAACACATAGTAAACAGAGAGTTTCTACCCTGAGTGTGAATGAAGTGACAGATCAGAGAGGAGGGCGGGGCCTGCTCTCTCTCGCTGTCTCTCTCCCTCTCTCTTCCTCTCTCTTCCTCTTTCTCTGTAGTCTCTCCGTCTCTCTCCCTCTCTCTCTGAAATGCCTTCAGCGTGACAACAAACTGGTTTATCAGGTGACTAAAGGTAAAGGTGAAGTAACAGTAACTTTTATCGAGTCAGGCAGAGAGGAGGAGGAGGATGAAGATGAGGAGTCCAAAGTTTCACCGAGGAAGAGTTTGACGACAGAGAACGGCAGCCGGGTGAGTCCAAAAAACCGATCGACCGACCGACAGGCCTGTGTGTGGATGAAGAGACTAACATGGAGAGACTAACATGTGAAGAAGGAGAAGAACATGTAACCAGGAGGGACGAGTGACGAGAACATGTGAACGAGTCTGACCGTCTCCAGAGTTTCAGTTTCTGACGGTGGACTGAGGTGTGTGTGTGTGTGTGTGTGTGTGTGTGAGTGTGTGTGTGTTTAGCAGCTGTTTGATTTCACACACTCAGCTCATTATTTGACTCTGTTGTTCATGTTTGCTGTCCGTCATTGTGTGTTTGAAACTTTATTTTGAAGTTTTATTTCCTGTTAAACCGAAGCCGTGTTCACGTGAAGTTAGAAAAGTCTGTAGAGTTTTTAGAGAGAGAGAGAGAGGGAGCCACACCCATCAGTGTTCCCTGAGGTTAGACTGACTTCATTCTGTTACACACAAAGAATTTAACCCTTCAGCTGCAGAGGAACCTGACTGTAAACCTGCACATGTGTGTGAAAATGTTTGTGCTTCTTCTATTTGATACCAGAGACACCTTTGTGAAAAGTTGAGACCAGGTCATGTTTACCATCCTGCTCGGTCAGATCTTCTTTCAACAACCCTCTGTAGACCTTAATGAACCTACCAGACCAGGTTCTGGAGTCCCATTCTGGCCTGATAGAGGATCTGAGCTGCTCATCAGTTCAGGGTCTCCTTGGTCCTGTTTTTGGGGCCATGATGGTCCAAATGTTTCCAAGTCAGGACTTCATCAGTCCAGGACTCTTCTCCTACAGAGCCATGCTGTCGACAGAATGTGGTTTGGGATCATCTGAAGGTCTTCCCTGAAAAAGTCTTTATCTGGATGGACAAAGATGTTGCTCCTAAACCTGGAGATCTTGTTCAGCATTAAAGGGATATTCCAGCGTAAAATTAATTTAGGGTCAAACCCACCGTAACACCGAGTTAGACCCCCCCTCCAGAGATGAATGTTGTCGACCGCTTGCTTCTCTAGTTATACCAACTTTAGTAACGACCACAGGATAGTAATACAGAGAGCCACGCACTCAACCAAAACGCCACTCTATAGCCACAAATAATGCTCAGAACAGCACCTAACTTCATCAACAGTACATATAGGGTCACAGACATAGTACTAGACACCAAACATCTTTTTAACTTTGACTCATTTCTTTAGCAAAGAGACTAAACACAACTCACCTACTCTCTTCCAGCAGACGCTTGTTTGTAGTGAGACCTCAGGCCAGTCCATTACGGACTACAGCGGGGTGCCGCAGCTCAAGGAAGAACATTTATGAGATGCGGTAGTTCTTCTGCCTTAGTGTCTCGGTCTGATTGTATTTCCATGAAGAAATGATCATAAATGCAGCATCTACGATTTCCAATTCTTCGTTGAAAGGACAACTGGACTTACTTGGGACGTTTCGCTTGTGCGGTGAATCCCACTCCAGAGTCCTGTCTGTTTTTAATGCCCTGAAGATCAGGACCATCCAGTCCCGGTTTTGGGCCTTTAGTGCTGTTGAGCTGTTCGCTCACGCAGTCTCTCACAGAGTCCTGAACCTCTTCCTCTGAATGTCCGTCTTGGACCTGGTCATGTGTCTAACCTGTTTTTTAGTATTACACAACTTTTTACCTGTTTGGTTTTTCCTCTGAGAACTTCTTTCAAATGTGGCATCCTGACTCATCTGGAATGTGGTTTTACTTAACCATGTACAGGATAATACATAGTTACCTGGTGCAGTATGATAGTGGAACCTTTGATTACCCGCCTACCAACATAATCTATAGACGAGTCGGCTCAAAGTATTGATTAGAGATGATTGTCTTGATGAACAGTTTGGAGGAACAGTCTCTTGATTTCCACAGAAGGAAGATCTTCCACAGTGAGGGGTCAGTCTGATCTACCTGATTCAACATTTAAGCGCACGTGTTCACTCGCAGTGAAGTCCTCACATTCCTCCGCTCTTCGAACAGATGTAGAAAATAAAGCGGCTCCTGTATGAGGCCCTCTTCCACATAACTTTCTGTTTGCATTTCCTTCTCACCCAACCAGTCCTGTAACTCTGCCAGAGCCCACACTCTCTGATGGTTCATGCTGACTTGTTTTCTTTATTTGGTCGATGTTTTATCACAGCTGGGTGATCAGGAGGAACTCTGGGTTTCAACTGTATTTTATAACGCAGCATGTTCTGTATGTTAACGGTATTTCTTTTGGCCCCGCCCCCTGCAGGATGGCCCGGCGCTCGCAGTGTTCCTCTGCGGGTGACAACCCCCTGGACCCGAACTACCTCCCCCCGCACTACCGGGAGGAGTACCGTTTGGCGGTGGATGCACTGGTGGAGGAGGACTTGGATGGGTACTATCAGTTCCTCCTGAAGGCAGACGTGGTGGACTTCCTGTCCACGACAGAGATCGAGTACATTCAGGGATCGGTTCGAGTCCCTCAACACGGCGAGCATTCCGAACACCGTTCCCTGCAGGGTGGGGACGATGGCTCGTCGGACACTTACTGGCCCCTCCAGTCAGACCTGGATGCCCCAGGTCTGGACCTGGGCTGGCCTCAGATCCATCACTTCATTGGACCCACTGAGGTCACGACCCTGGTCAACCCGCCTGAACCGGACATGCCGAGCATCAAGGAGCAGGCGAGGCGGCTCATCAAGAACGCCCAGCAGGTAACCTCACCTGTCGTAGACCTCGTCACCGATAACAGTGAACGTAGAATCGGTGTCGTTGATGTTTTTGTTTCCTGTTGATGTTGTTGTTGTTCTGAAGAGTTGGTTGTTTGTAGTTTTTATTGTTTCTTTTGTTGATGTTGATTTTCTAAAAATGCTGTCATTGTTTTTGTTTCAGTAACTTTTGTTTTCGTGCTTCTATCAAGCTTCGTTAATGTTGTTGATTTTGTTGTTGTTTCAGTGGATGTTTAATGTTGTTGATGCTTTGTCGTCTGTTTGTTGTTATTTTTGTTGTTTACATTGTTTTTGATGTCTTTGTTTTTGTTGTTGGCCTTGTTGTCAACAGTTTAAGTCGTGGTTTTTGTCGTTGTTGTGATATTTTGTTGTTCCCATTGTTGGTGTTTGTTGATGATTGTTGTTTTTGTTGTCAGTCATTTTTATGATCTTTTTGTATTTAGTTTGTTGTTGTATTTATATGTTGTCTTTGTTGTTTTTGTTGGTTTTGATCAGCAGTTGGCTGATATCAGATCGTTGATTAGAGAGCAGGTTGGCCAGTGAACAGTGTAAAATGCTGGAATCACATCGTTGTTGAATTTTGGACAAAATACAACAAAAATATTAGTGTTTGAAAAACAGAATTTCTGAATTTGAGCAAAAATTTAATTGACAGAAAAATACTGAGCTCATAAAAAAACTTTTGGATTTTTCTTCAGTTATCCGTTATGATGCTGATGACGTAAAAAAATTAATTGATCCATCTTTACTTTAGTCAGTGTTGTTGCTGGTTTTGTTAATCTGGTGGTTTTTGTTGTTGGTTTTGTTGAGGTTTTCGTATCAGAAACTCGTCAGTAAAAACAGGTCTTTGTTTAAATAAAAGTTGAATGATGGAATGATTGCTCTTTTTTTCTGACATTGTCTCCATGTTTTTTTTGGCGTTCCCCTCAGGTGGTTGCCATAGCGATGGACATGTTTACTGACGTTGACATCTTTGCTGATATTCTCGCTGCTGCCATGAGGAACGTGGCTGTTTACATTCTTTTAGACAAAGAAAACGTCCATCACTTCATCAACATGGTGTCCAACTGCAGAGTCGACCTGCAGAGCGTCCAGGTGAGTTCACGACCAATCCTCCTCTCAATTTTATTTATATTTTAATTACTGACATTACAATGACTTTATTATTTAAAGCACAAACAGATAATTATATAAACACTGATATGAATATGAATTATAGTGGTTCAGTGCTGCCATCTAGTGTACGGTGGGAAGAATACACTGTTACTCAGGTGAATCTGTGTGCTCGAGTCATGATAATAATCCAAAGTGTGTTTTCAGTTCCTGCGCGTGAGGACGGTCTCTGGCATCACGTATCACTGCCGCTCAGGGAAATCCTTCAAAGGTCAGATGATGGATCGCTTCCTGTTGACGGACTGTAGAGCAGTGCTGAGTGGAAACTACAGGTGAGTCACCTTAAAGGGATGAGTATGTATAAGTTACATTACTAATTACATTAGTAAGTGTGTTCGCCACAATAGATAACAGCTCTGCCTCTAAAATAAGAACCTGATAGGAGAGCCGACACGCAAACTAGGCCCAAGTTTTCTTCAGACTTACCCCCAATTTCCACCTTCATCCTGAACGTCTCCTAAAAGTTCGTATCCTCCGATCGTAGCTGATCGTAACCATTCAAGTTAACGTGTCAATTTACACCGACTTCTTTCCGTTCCTCTGCGGATCGCTGATCGTGAATCCGAGGGTTCTTGTGATTTCTTGCAATTCCTGCGCTCCGTAATCCGCCTCACCAACGGATCTGGTAGGAATTTGCGGACGGGGAAAAACGGTATTTGGCATACCCCTGTTGCTGTCAGAATCACCAACTCTTTAGTTCGGTTGTATTTTTATCAAACCTGAGCGTCTGATCAGGTTTAAGCTCTCAGCTCATGCCCCCTTTATGTGTTAGCCCTTTTTATAACTCTGTTGTCTTTTCACAGCTTCATGTGGTCCTTTGAGAAACTCCACCGCTGTATGGCTCACCTGTTCCTGGGACAGCTGGTGTCGACGTTCGATGAAGAGTTTCGTATTCTGTTCGCTCAGTCTGAGCCGCTGATTCTTGAAAACACGCTCCCTCCCCAAGTGGAAGACTTTAACCTTCTACCGAAGAGGAAATACTCGCTTGAAAGGCCCCTGATGTACCGAGAATCTCGGAAGTTCCTTTCCCTAGACACCCCTCATCCAGAGGAATGGGCGCGACATCCTCACGGTGATCGTACGGATCTGGATTGGCGAATGAAGAGACAGGAAGCCCCGTATGGCCCGGATGTGTACAGCAGACTTCCGTCCCAGCAATCACGCATAGACCCGTCTTTGGAACAGTGTCCCCCCAGGATGCCGATGATGGATCCTGCCTTCAAACGACACAGCTATGCCGAAGGCGGTCATGGCAGGTACTCATATCCGTTCTTACAGCCACAGGGAGTACCAGAACCTGAGGGTCAGGGGCGCCAGTTTCACAGGGGACAACAGCCATATCCAGAACCGGGAAGAGACCCTGAATATGGCCATGAAAGATTCTGGGGTCAGGACTTTCCTCCATCGGATCAGTTCTCCGATCCTGGTTTACCACCAGAGCCTGGACCTTATGATAGCTTTGACCCCGTCCTGAATTATTTATCCTCTGCTAGAAACGCAAACTTTGAGGGCTCAGAGAAAGCGCCCCCTGCTGCAGATCTACTGTTCAGTTCATCACAACCCAGAAGACTGAGTGCAGGTCATCCGTACGTCTGCCAAACATCCCCCACCCCCTCAAATCCAAGTGAGCAGAAACACTTTTTCCTGGAGCCAAACCCAGACCGCAAGGATCCCACGGTGAAACGAGGACTGAGAAACTGGAGGATCAGCTCGTTCCTCAGTGCCCATGACACTCCAGAAGATGACGGGCGGCCTTCAACACCGCCAAATCTGGCAGATCCTTTCGAGGATCCCGGTTACCAGCCAGCAGCAGGTCCAGATTTATCGGCTCCTAAAATTCCTAACGTCAGGGAGTTCAAGATTCCGGCTCTACCGAGGGCGAGTCAGATGCCGGGTTACATCAAAACTTCAGTGAGAGAGCAACCGAAGAAACCTACTGAAGAACCTCCACCAGAACCACCCAAACTAACTCCGACACCTTCAGAATCATCGTCAACAACTGAAGGGGAAAAGATGGAGGAGGCGGAACCAAGGGAACCCAGACCTCTTCAGAGGGAGGAGTCATTCCGCAGGAAGTACAACGCAGCGGTCCAAAGAACCTCCAGGTTAAGGTCATCTCTGATCTTCAGCTCTTTGGATCAGCAGAACTCGGCTCAAGAAGCCAAAACTGGTCCAGATGAGGAAGGAGACAAGACTGAGTCCGAACAAAAGAAACTGTCGTACGTGTCTCCGGTTTTTGGTCAAAGGAGGTCCGCTACCAGAGAACCGTTTGAGTGGAGCCGTTACATGAAGTCCTCCACGTTTGATAATACTGTCACAGACTCGGCTAAAGTAGATGAGAAAGACTCAGAGAAGGACCAACGGTCAGAAAATACTGACGTTAAGGAGTCAACAAGACTTCCACCCACAGAGGAGGTGGACCCTCCAACAGCAAAGCCCGAGTCTAAGGGTCCAGAGCCTAAAACCGATCAATTAGTGCCACCAGTACAACCAGCCAAACCTCCGCCCTCTGGTCCAGCCTTCGTAGATATGAGTGATCCTGACGCAAGGCTCAATTTTTTCAAAGAGTTAGCAGCAAAACGTCGAGCTGAGAAGGCAGCAGAAGCTCAGAAGAAGAAGGACCAGGCTCCTGCAGAACCACCACCTGAACCACCGACTGTGAAGACCGAGGAAGAGAGACCAAAAGGAACCTCAGAGACCAAGACTGATCTTCCAACATCCCAACCTTCATCTGAGAAACATGCAGCTGCAGAAGGTTCTGAGAAAACAGAGTCTACATCCAGGCAACATCTAGATCCCAAAGATCAGGGCAGACCTCCAACGCTTGATCTCAAAACCCCCCAAGACTCCAAAGTCCTTCAAACCGGAGCTTCAGCAGACTCAGAGAGCAAAGAGACGAAGATAAGCCAATCAGGAGAAGCTCTGCAGGGTGAGGAACCAAAGGAACCAGAGCCATCCAATTCTGTTGAGGCTCAGAGGAGCCCGGGCCATCCACCAACACCGACCGATCCGGTCCCCTTTAGAGCTCCTGTAGCACAGAGCACTAAAAAACCCAGGAGCCCAGATCTGGATTCTGCCCCTCAGGATCCGAGTTCTCCAACTCTGTCAGTGGAGACCTCATCATCTTCTGAGCCACACGGTGGATCTTCTGGTCTTACTCTGAAGGAGTCAGGTTTATCCAGCAGTCCCAGTCCTGCAGCACCTGAACCCGGTCCCCTTTCTACTCCAGCTCAGACTAAATCTTCTGATGTTCCCTCTGAAGACCCAAATTCAACCCTGATCTCCAAAAAGAGTGAAATCATCAGACCCTCAGACCCGGTCCCAATCAGCAAACCACAGCTGGAGTCCACCAAAGCCCGTCCAGATCCTGATCCCCAACTGATATCAGCAAACATTGACTCAGCAGTTCCCTCTGCTTCTGACCAGTCCGGTGTTTGTCCCGGATCAGAAACAACCTCGCTGCAGTCCTCTGTGAAGACCAGCTCTGAGGAACCTTCAGAGAGACCGGGATCAGAAAAGTTATCGGTTTCAGGTTCAGTTCCAGAGTCTGTTCCAGAGTCTTTGTTGAGCCGGCCCCCTGAGTCCTGTTTACCTCATGAACCCGACCCAAAGAGTGAAACCAGGTCAGACCATGACCAGACAAGAACTCCCTCAGCTGACCCTCTGACTGATCCGGACTTTACAGGAACCTCCCTGTCACAAACAGACGAATTCTCTGATTCTTCAAAACAAGTGACCCCTCCCACTGAACTCCACCTGACACCTGTACCGCCCCCAGAAACAGGATCAGGATCCTCTCCTGAGTCTGGACCAGTTCTGACCCCAGAGGCGGATGAAATACAAACCCCTCCCCCCGACTCTCTGACAACAGATCCAGTCCAAACCTCAACACCAGAAACTCTGAAGCAGACCGAGCCTGAAACACCCGAGTCTGTTCCTTCAGGAGCGGACTCCTCAGACTCACCTGTACCTGCTGAAAACCCTCAGAACGGAGTCAGCACCGAGTCTGAACCGTCTGAACCAGGTCAGAAGAAAACGGAAGACGACAATGAGACCACGAGCGACAGAAATCAAACCACCGAGAAGACCAACGAGCAACCAGAGCCGGGACCGGAGGAAGTCGGTCCCCCGACATCGCAGTCGAAGAAATCCTCCCAGTCCCGGTACCTCTCATCCACCGCCAACGTGCTGTCGAGCAGCAACCTGAGAGACGACACCAAGCTGCTCCTGGAGCAAATCTCCGCAAACAGCCAGAGCAGAAACGAGGCGCCCAAAGAGTCTCCAGTCACAGACGACGAGAAAGAAGACGAAGCTGACAAGAACGCAAAGAAGGACAAAGACAGAGGGATCCGGTTCGGCCGAGCACCGCCCAAGACGGAAGAAGAGCGAGATAAACTGCTGGAGAGGATTCAGAGCATGAGGAAGGAGAGGAGGGTCTACAGCAGGTTCGAGGTATGATGGCGTGAAATCTCTGTGAACGTTTGAAATGTGATTCTTGTGTCTCCTCCTCTAACAAACTCCGTGTCTGTGTGATTCCAGATGGCTCCTTAAAGAGGACCGAAGGTTCAGAGGGAGAAGAGCGCCGAGTTTGACCAGCACGAGTTCGAAGAGTAAAACTGACGTAAAGATCATTTTTATAACGTGTTTGACATAAACCAGTTGAAACCTGATGTCCCAGTATCGTGGACTGGTTTCACTGTGAGAGAAAACCCCTCAGACTCCACGGTTCAGATCAAACAGGTTTTACTGACTGCAGAGGGATCGTGCAATGTTTGACTCTTTACATTTACAATAACTGTAAGAAAACCACCGAGTGCCACACTGTAAGATACTGTTTTATTTTATTATCTCACAAAGGTTAAAGGGACAGTTCAGTCATTTTTAAAGTGTTGTTGTTTTAGGTTCAGCTCGGCCCTTTAAAGAAAAACCGCTGAAAGAGTCGGCGACAGTTTTCTGTGACGCAATTGAGCCGATGTTAAGAGACTCCGACCAAAGCACTTGTCTCATTTTAAGTGTAAGCTCTTTTAGGAGCACACTCTAAAATGACTGAAATCTCCCTTTAATTCAAGATGTTACATATAAAGTTGTCGTTTGTGAATCAGTGAAAATTTAAATGTTGTTCATGCAGACTGTCGTTGTTTCTGTAAATAAATCCACATTATTCTTTGTTTTTGTCAAGCATCAAATTAAAACACGTAAAGAAATAAACAGACGTTTCATCACATCATGAAGTTTTTCATTGATATTCACAGATGTCAAAGGTCAACCAGCCATAATCTTAGGAACATTTGTTTTATTCGAACTGTGAAACAAACATAAAAGTTTTTTTTCATGTTTTATCGTCACTTTTGTTTAAAAAAAAAAAAAAAACAGAAGCTTTAATTTTAAAAAGATTTAATTAGTCATGATTTTTTTTCTTTTTTTAACCAAAGCTCATTATTTTTCTTAAAAGTGTTTCAAACTTTTTTTTAATGGATTTATGGAAGTCAAAAAATGATCTTTTCTCTCGTCTGTTTTCTGCTGTTAAATGTAAAATTCAGCTAAATGTTCATAAAATATCAAAACAGTTTTTTTGATGTGATTCCCTGCCGACAGTCTGAGCTGTTTTATAAGTGAATATATTATTAATATTAACATAAAAGCCTCTTTGAGATGTTTTTGGGACATGACTTCTCTTTTTATCAATGTCCTTTTTTAATCTTCAAGTCAAACCAATTCATTATCCAGACTGATTATTTCTACAAATGTCTGCCTCATGGACAGTAAAGTTACTGATTATTTTCCACAGTTGGGATTCCAGTGAGTAATCGATCCGACTGCATTAAAGTAGGACTAAAAATATACAGGAAAAAAACAGCGTGAAATTCAGATTTAAAGTCCTTAAATATGTTTGAATATTAAACGGTTTAATTTCCTGTTCTGCTCTTGTTTCTACAGTTTTACAGAGAATTATGTCTCATGAGGACAGAAAGGATAAAGTTTCAGGATAAAATGTTTTATAGAAATACCTTCACAAACCTTCATACCTGTCCTGTAGCGCCACCCTCAGGTAAAAAGGCTTTACTACCATCCAGTTATTCCAGTAGATCATGTCAGGATCATGTCAGTCTTAGGCTGTGTCTGTTGCTGCGTCCGAATTGCCCGCTCGGATACTACATGCTACTGCTACATACTACTGCTAGATCCTACTCCTACATACTAAACACGTTGGCCCAATTCGGACACACTAGACGAGCGGTGGGGAAAGACGACCCCCGCAGGCAGAGAGTAGGTACTGCTCCCGTGCAGACAGTGGTAACTGAAGCCCCTCATCTGCGGGCCTGGCTGTAGTACTGCAGCTGTGCAGTTTAATGATGGAATAAGTGAGCTTTACCTCCATGATGTCGCCACTTGCTCATAAAATGATTACTTGGGCAAATATGACACCATGACATGACAAAGAGATACAACCGCACATTTTTTAGGATAGTGTGTGAAGTTACATGAAACTTACATCTGTACTGCTGCGGTCCCGCCTGCTGCTGCTGCTGCTGCTCCGACATGGTGCGCGCTGCTGTGGCCAGCCGGCGTTCGCGACACATTTAAATAGGCAGAGCAGCTGGTGGCGCTAGCATCACATGCGCTTCTACAACTTTTAAGAGGACGAAGAAGAAGCCCGCGGTGCATTTTGGGTCAGTAGCATGCCCGTAGGATGCACCGAGACCAACCTACAATGTGGGCGTGTCTAGTATCTGAAGTAGTATCTGAAGTAGCATGCTACTCGCTCCGGTGGCCAATTCTGACATGCTAGATACTACTTCGACTACTACTTCGACTACTACTTGGCAATTCGGACGCAGCTTGTGTCTCATTTCAGAGACCGCATCGGGATAAGCGCGCTTAACGGCGCTTAGCTGAGTGCACTGCCGTTTTGTGCCGTTATGTGCCGTTTTGCGCCGTTATGTACCCTTTCTGTGTCCCATTTCAGAGACCGCAACCGTCGAACGGCGCATCTGAAGTGTGCGTGAGGTCATCACGCGGCACGAACGGTGTCCCGTTTGGCACAAAATACTAAGCGCGCTTCAAATTCGGTCTCAAAACCACACTACCCCCGGCCCTTTTTCAAGCGTGCATGTATGCACGCTTTCGTGCCGTCGGTATCCCAGAATTCTTTGCGTGCTGCTGCACAGCTTCGCATTTCAGGTGAGAGGCTGGACTCGCTTGGAGACGCAGCGCGTCTTCGAAGAAAATACAAGCAATCCAAAAACAGCAGACAGTCAGCTCAGGCTGTATGAGAGCATGATCTCAGAACTCACTAAAATCTGTAAACCAAACATTATAGATTTAGAGGCGAACTGATCCGCTCTGCTTCAACTATCAAAAACATTAGAAATAAGAAAGCTGACAAAACTACAGCAGAGGATCAGGACAACATTGAGGTTTTTTTTTCTTTTAAGATTTAGAGATTAAAGTTGTAAATTTAGGAGAATAAAGTCATAAAGTAAATAAAGTCATACAGCTGCTTTTGTGGAGGGGGAAATGACTGAAGCTGGTCATCTGCAGGGTTATCTGTGGATGTATCAGCGGGTCATTCAGAGAGATTTTGTGGTTCATATTTCCTCCAAACTTGAACTGTACCTTATTTTGGACTCACTAATTTAAACTTCACCTGAATGAGTTTATAATCACTGATCTGTTTTAATTGAATAATGTTCCTGATGTAACTCCGCCGTGTTTCTGTAAGCAGTTACTTAAATCTCTTTGTGAAGAAACTGGCCGAGGGTCCCGTGCTGCAGTGAAGTGGTTATGAAAGAGTGAATGTGTTACATCATTACAAACAGTCGGCCTCTTGTTTGAACGTCACCGTAAATGTCGACTTAATCTCTTTCTGCACTTGACTAATCTGTAAAGACCCTCCACAGGCTGGAAAACCTCAAACCTGCAGAGAAACTCAGAGACGAGGTCTGGGGTTTACAGCGTTCACACAGGCTCTGCCGTTTGTGAGGAAACACTTTAGATTTAGATCTTCTGGAGTTCAGCTCTCTGTGGGTGAAGTTCACCATGACGTTAACTCTGAGGAAAGTTTTTCACGTCTCTGCCTTCGGCTGGTACGCCTTCGTGGTGAATTGTTTGGCTCTGAAGGACGGAGAGGAGCTCCCACCTGGAATCTTTGTCTATGGAGGACCCTGGAAGTACCTCACCTTCTTAAACCTGGTAGGAGAGTCACCTGCAGAGAGCCATGATATTAACAGGGAAGATGGAACTAAGAGTACCAAGAGTCAGTATTTAAGTCAAAGTATAGTTATTAAATGATATTTTAGGAGACCCCAACAATTAACCAAAACAGGGCTGTCACACTACACTTGTTCTGATGACCCCGCCATCTTTGAACAAAAATCAAATATTGGTATTTTTCTACGACCAAGAAGGACAAGCATACTCTAATAACACAAGTTCATAGTAGTAGTGCTTCAGGCTGGATCCACATGGACTAAAACTGAGGCGAGATAAAGAAGCAGCAGCAGTGAGCTAGCATTAGCATCCTTCTGGAAGATGATTCAGCACTTTTTAAAAACCAACGTTCAAAGATTTTTCATGAGTCGACAAAAAACAACAGTAAACATTTAAACTTTCTAACTTTTTTCTTTAACCTGTTTTCTCTCAGTTCTGTGATTTAGATCCACCTCAAGTAGAACACATTTCAAAATAAAAGCATTAACCTAAAACACAAGATGGAGAAATATCAAAATAAAAGCACGACAAACAATCGATTCATGTTATGTCCGAACAATTTCGTCTGGAAGACGACAAATGTTCATCGTATCGTATCGTATAGTACGGTACCATTGTGTACCATAATGAATCGTATCGTAAAGTAACGTTTGGTTAGGTAACATAATGTGACATATCTAACGGCAGATGAATATGAAGTATTCAAACATGTAGCTTCACTCTGGCCTTCTCTTATTCTCATGACTGTGTTGTTTTAAGTTTTCGATCATATCTTCATCGTGATATTTTAAGGCCATGATAGTCCTGAGGTGAAAATTCAAAAGCATATTTCCTCAACTTTCTGTTTTCTACGGTACAGCTGACAGATTTAACCCATCAGAGTTGTCAGAGTTAATAAACATTTCCGCAGGGTCTTTACTCAGAATTGCACTTTGCAGACGCTCCCTGCCGGCTGTGCAGAGTGGATAAAAACAAAGATACGTAATCATGAGTTTATTTAAGATTCTGTTTATCATGGTAATTATGAATAGGTGTAATAATGTAGAGCAGTGTATTTTCAATATTGAAGTCAATCATTGTTCAGTAGCTCTCTGTATATGAACTCTTTGCCGTCATGTTCCAGCTGTTGCAGATGTGTTTCTTCGGCCTGGCGGCTCTCAGTGATCTGCAGGAGAAGTCGGAGAGTTTCCTGAGCAGATGTAAAGACCTGCTTTTCTCCGTCTTCGTGTTTCCTGTCGGCATGGTAACACTTCATAGGTGTCGATATTAATCATGAAACCAAAAGTCTGTTTGATATTAACTCTGCGCTCTCTTCGTTCAGTTTGTCGTCCTTCTTTTCTGGGTGATCTTCACCTACGATAGAGAGTTAGTTTACCCCGCTACCATCGACGCTTTCTTCCCGCCGTGGATGAACCACGCCATGGTCTGTACAAAGAGTCTGTAAAATACTAAATACCGTATTTTTCAACCTTTAATGGAGTTTATTCTGTCCCCTCAGCACACGTTTGTTCTTCCTGTTTTACTCGGAGAAGTTCTGCTGCAGCCTCACGTTTACCCAAAGAGAAAACACGCCATCACGGCGTTAAGTGTGGTGGGCGTGGCTTATTTATCCTGGTGAGTGTTTCATTTGAATCCAGTCAAATCAGGAACATCATGAACAAACTTTAAAGCTCCTGTGAGGAACTTTTAGTCGATAGTAACTTTGGAGCCCCCTGGTGGACAAAGCAGGTTTTTTTTTTTTAGCCTGTGTATCTAAATGGAAAAAAAATAATCCTATCCTGCCGAATTTTGACCGTCAAATAAATCATTTAATGTGAATTTTTTTCTGTGGAAACTATAAAAACGGAGCAGCTTCTTCAGCTCCTCGCACCATCGACAGAAATCAAAGACTGATACCTGAAAATCTGAAATCCTGTCGTCAATAGTCTTATTAACACACTGTCATTTTAGTCTATTTTATAAACGTCACAATTGGAGATTTTATGGGGTTTATAATGAAAATCATATCTGGGTGAAATACTAAAAAATTAAATATAAAAACTTGATTTCTGTCTCGGTCAGCCTCTGGGTCCTCTGGTCGACTCCTGGAAACACTAAAATTAGCATTTCTTTGTCTCAGACTGACACAGAGTCTCTCTGAACTGGTTTTTCAGGATCATCTGGGTCTATTTGTCCGTGGGGATCTGGGTGTACCCCCTCCTCGGATATTTCAGCTCAGCTGGTCTGGTCTTCTTCTTCTTCTTCAACATGATGGTGGTGACGTCTCTCTACGTGCTCGGAGACAAACTGAACAGCTTCCTGTGGAGTAAGCGACACTTAAGTTTATCTAGAAGGACTTAAATTAATCCAGAAAGAGTCTTTTTAGTCCAGAAAGAGTCTCTTTTGTCCAGTGTGACTCTGTTTGATCATGGGAGAGTCAGTTATTCAACAGAGATCCAGGTCAAACCACTGCGACTCATCAGTAGAGGCTCAGTTTAATCCAGGGTCAAGTATAATCCAGAAACTCAGTCTATTAAAAAAAAGGTTGATTTAAAGGGGAACTAAATTAAATCCAGAAAGACTCAGATGAATCCAGAGAGAGTAAATTGAATCCCTGAAGACTCAGTTTACTCGAGAGCTTCTCGGTTTAATCCAGAAGGATTTAAGATGATAACTTCATAAATGTGAATCTTCCTGAATGTTTGTTCCTCTTGTGTTTTCATGCTTCAGGTGAGGTCGACAGGAACAAGCGCACACCTGTGAAGTCCAGAAAGTCCGGACTCTAGAGGCGGGGAGCCGAGCCTTCGACGCTGCGTTCACTTGCGTCTGTAAATCAGAGTTTTGGTTTTTAATTTTTTGACCAGCTACAAATATCTGTGCGGCTGCTGGGCGTGAACCCACACAGTTTGGTCCCCTATAGATCCGGCCCTGTCTGTTTTTTATTCTTTTAAAGATCAACATGAAACTTCAGGAGAGAGGAGGTAAAAATACTCTGAGTGAACAAACTCAGTGACTTTGGAAGACGGCTTCACTCCAGCCTCCTCTTCAGATTAAGAGTTTCTTTTGAAAAAGGTTCGATTTTATAACTTTAGAAGTTTTTTTTATCTCTTTATTATTTTTTATTATTTTTAAATCTGGATATTTAACATTTGAATCAACACTAAACTTTTGTCAAACACACCATAAACTGCAGTTTACTCAGAGAGTGAACATGTGAAAGAATATCAGTCCAGATTAAAAAAACACTAAAATAAAAATCTGTGCATAAAAAATAAAGCTTTATCTTTTATATTCTTCCAGATGTGTAAATGTTTAAACAGCAGTAAAATGTCACCCCTGTTTTCAGACACGCTGAGGTTAGTACCGACATGACCTTTGACCTCAATAAAGAGCTTTTTAAAATGGTTTCCTCTTCCATCCTGTGAAACTCTGACACAGTCCTGGTGAGGCTGTAACTGTCCGTCTGTTCATGATCAGATAAACTTTATCCTGATCGATTAAAGGTGAAGCTGATCATCCTCCTCGCAGGTCTCTGAACTCTTTCAGGTGTTGGAGATAATTCGGGTCAGCGTCCACCAAACCGACCGACAGGATCCGAGCCAACAGCTGGACGTCCTCTTCAGTCAGATCCTTCTGAGGACCACAGACACGGTCACTTCACCAGCTCAGTTTTATTTTAGTACAGTCATTACACCGTAAACATATGCTGTTAATAAGACAGGGATCAGGGCCACACCAAAGATGGTTTGTCTTTAGATTTAAAGGAACAGTACGTAATTTTTTGGGTTTAAAGAAACAGTCATTTTTTTTGATTTGGAGAAACAATAAATTATTTCCATCGAGGATAATCGGAGTTATAAACCTTGGTTTTATTTTCTTTCTAGTAAAAATTCAGAGTTAAATCTGTTTCTCACAAGAATAAAGTCACGGTGAAAATATTTCTTATATACAATAAATTCAAACAGTAAACTAATAATGAGGTAGTTTGATCTTTTTACTCATCAGAATAACGTCACAGAAAAATGACTCCTTTTTTCTTTAGTGATATAATTTTCTTTCTGAAATCATTTTCTCTCCAGAAAAGACTGAATAAAAAAAAATCCTCCAAAGAATAAAGTTTAACTTTCATGGTTTCCTGTTTAGAAAAGAGTTGTAGTTTTATCTTGAGTAGAGTTGCAGGTAAATCCTCTTTGTGCAGAATAAAGCTGCTATTTTATTATTTTCTTTCTACACTAAAGTCAAAATTGAATCATTTTCTTTATGTAATAAAGTCATAGTGATTTTTTTTCTTGCTGGAATAACATCACAGAAATAAAGTTGTTGAAAAGTCTTCATATTATGAGATTAAAGGCATATCAATACAGAAATAATATCATTAAAAAATATCAGGATGATAAATTCTCATGTTCTCATAATAAAGTGTTGACAGTCTGGCTGTCTGGACCAGAATCAGGACCGTGGAGGGTCTAATTAAAGTGTCCCTAATGTTTTGTCTCCTCAGACTCACATTGCTGAAGTATCAGGACTCTGGAAAGACTGAGACCTGGTTTTAAACAGCAGTGTGAGGATGAAGGATGACTAAATGATTCTGGTTAAATAACACCCTTAACCCTTAACTTTACTCTTGTTATATAATGACCTTCCTGTGACTTCACTCTTGTAAAAAGATGACTTGAGTTTTTTAAACATATTTAATGTGGCCCTAATACTCTGTCATGTTACATACAGTTTTCTATGACATGTTTTAATCAGTACATATGATAATGTAACATTAAATCCATTAAACTAAGTTTACTCACTTTCTTGTTGGCCGAGGACTCGGAGACCTGTGATTTTTGGCTCTGACTCGCCTTCAAAGAAAATAATTCAAAATGATTTCTTTAATTCCTTCAGCAGCAGACTCTGTTTGATTGAAGGTGGATTTATATCTTAACTTCTCAAAAACAGGAACTCTTGTACTCACCTCTTTGAGCCCTTTGGAAAAAAACATGATGATGAAGAGGAGGCCGACGACGGTCTGAAGGTTCAGATTAAAAACACGAATTAAAACCAAAGTTTCAGTGAATGTGAAATATTTCAGGTCAAAATGGTTAAAAGCTTTTTACTCACTCCCAACAGGTACAACATCTCTGTCTCTGCGTGTCTGAGCCCGAGAGAAACTTTCGAGCTTTTAGAGTCTTCAGGAAAAGGCGAAAGGAACAAGCAGAACAGGTAACGCAGGAATGCGCGCGCACACACACACACACACACACACACACGCATCATCAGAGCACACATGCATAAACACAGTCAAACTAAAGCCCTGATGAGCAACGATAAATGATTGATTACATAACCACATATGAAGTATCTCTGAAAATCAAACACCAGCAGAGTCAGAACAGAGACGGACTGCATCTATGTGAAAACATCTATGTTCTCCAGAACCTCACAGCAGGTCCGGCTGACGTTTACTCTCCTCTCTGCTGTGATACAGTCATAACTCAGGATAAAAATAACCACATTCATTTTCTCTGTTACGTCAGTCATCACACAGGACAAACATCACAGCACTGTTTTTATCAGAGAGGAAGTGACGCTCCAGCAGTGACGGGTTCAACGCCGTTTAACCGTCAGCCAAAAGAACTGCACAGAAGCTGTAGATGTTCCTACGGGTCAGAGATTTAAACTCTGATCCAGGCCAAGGCCACTAATGTGAAGAAATTCAGGAGAGCACTTCACCACATATGAACGCAGCTTTCAGCGAGAACCAAGAACACCATACCCAACATTCCAGAGACAAGTATTCTGGAATTCAGAACTACAGAGAAAAGCATTCTGGGAATGAGGTATTCTAGAGCACTTCATTTTTAGTGTTTTTTTTTTTTTTTTTTTTTAATTATTAAATTTTTTTTATTTTATTTTCATTTATATTTTTAATAAAATTTTTATTATTATTTTTATTCTAAGTGTTTTTTCTTTTTCTTTCTTTCTTTTTTCTTTTTCCATTTTTTCCATTCATTTTTTCCTTTTTTCATTCTGGCATTCCAGAACCCAGAACTTAAGCATTTAGCACTCGGGAATCCAACCCTCCAGAACCATGTATTCTAGAACCTGGCACTCTTAACACAGAACACCATCAACTAAAACCACAAAAACCCTAGAACATTCTAGAACACAGCATTACAGAAACCAGAGTTCTGGAAGACGAGTATTCTAAAATAAATTATTCTACAGCCAGGTTCTCTGAACCAAGCGCTGCACAGCCAAGCATCATAGAGTCCAACGGTCCAGAACTCAGTATTCCAGAACCCAACATTCTGGATACCAGCAACCCCGAGAATTTAGGTCACCAGGGCCCAACATTCCAGAAGTCTCTATTTCAGAGCCCAACATTCCAAAAATCGCACTTTTTTTAGGGAAAACTTTTCACTGATGGTAAAATTTGAGGTGATCTGGTGTTGATCTCTTTGTTTTTGAAACTGTTATGACCACATTTATCCCCTAATCTGAGACATTAAAAATGTTCAATTTTAAAATTTAAATATCTGTTTTTTGAAATATAAAATGAGCTTCAAACTGAGCTGGTTAAACCTCACAGAGCTGCTCTCATAATAATATTCAGGTGTGTTTCCACCTACAAACAGAGCTAAATATGAACGTGTTTATTTAAAACTAATCTAAATGTACCATGTTAAAATGTGTTTATTTTGTAATACAAATGTAAACTTACATGAAGATGTTCATTGCTTAACGATGTGAGAAAATTGCAAAACACAATACTCATGACACAGCAGCGCATGCGCGAGTGCGCCCCATCTAGAACATTGTCGATGCTTCATGACGTTTCCACACCTCTTCGTAAAGCGTTTGTAAAAGCTGTGATATTTCCGGTTATATAAAAACGCTTTAGGATTAAGAGTGATCACATTCACAGTTATTTAATAAAATATTATTAAAAACGATAGAATTTTTTTCTTAATAAATGAGAATTATCTCTACGTAGGATTAAAGGATGAATGCTTTACTGCTCCGTGGAGAAGGCAGAGCTAAGCGCCACACTGACTTTTATTTTGAAGGTCAGAGCGGATATACAGAGTGTATTGGCGGGAGCTTTACCGCCTCCTGGAGAGCGGAGTAGCAGTTGTTGACTGTACGGGGGCCTGAAGTGAACTACGAGCTGCAGGTTTTTCCTTAAAAACAGAAAATAATTGACTGATTTATTCTTTTTTAAACGTCGGAGCAGATCAGCAAACTCTGAGACAGTCTGGGTAAGATTTATCCGAACAGTTCATCTGTTATCAGCTCAGACGAAGTAGTTAAGTTCAGGTATTAACTGTGCAGATACGTTAGTTTGAGTTACACCTCTTTCTCTTCAATATTACAGAGAAAATATAACGAATATTATTTTAATTACACTGATCTCTAACTAACGTTAATACGGTTAGACCAGCCTGTAGATACCAGCTCATGGTGACTGCTGTATCTAACATGTTTGATTCAATCGTTAGCATTCTTTGCTAACTACAATCTCCTACATTTTGGATAATAAGATAATCAGGTTTGTATAGGGAGCGCGTTTTTATGCAGAACAGAACCCTGACAGGGTGAGTTTGGACCCCTAAGACCGGCTTAGCTCACCATTGTCCTGTACATTACTGGACTATATGGACTGACCCTTTTTACTTTACTGTAGGTGATTTTATTGACTTTAAATTAGAGTTTATGTGAATCTTGTGACTTAAATCTTCAGTTTAAACAGATGGAAGAATGTCAGTGGTACCTGTAGTCTAAGTTTACTTTCATGTCATATCAAACTGAACATAATAATTGACAGTGACGTCCTAAAATCCTCCATTAAACTGAACTTTGAACAGAGCTGTGAGTGTGAAGATTATCCTGCTTCAGTTATAAATGATATCTGACTAAGAGTTATCATTTATGACTGAGTTTCACATCATCATTTGTGTGTGTTTTCTTCGGTTTGGTCGATGTCTTTTTCATTTAGCCTCTTGTTTCAGAGTAGTTTTCTTTCACTCTCCATTAACTCTGATATCTGAGCTCCCCAAACAAACTCAGGGTAATATATGTTCAATAAATCCACCTCACTGCTGAGTGTGGACACTGCGGGCTGTTCCTGTGATCGTCATTAAAGGGATATTCCAACGTAAAATTAATTTAGGGTCAAACACACCGTAACACTGAGTTAGACCCCCCCTCCAGAGATGAATGTTGCCGACCGCTTGCTTCTCTAGTTATACCAACTTTAGTAACGACTGCAGGATAGAAATACACAGCAGTCTGAGGAGCCATAAACAAACCTCAACCAAAACGCCACTCTATAGCCACAAATTTCTTTATCATTTCCTTGAAGTAATAATCAACATATTGGTCATTTTACAGACGCAGTAGTTCTTCTTCCTTAACGTCTTGGTCTGATTGTATTTCCATAAAGAAATGATCATAAATGTTCTTCCTTGAGCTGCGGCACCCCGCTGTAGTCTGTAATGGACTGGCCTGAGGTCTTGCTATAAACAAGCGGCTGCTGGAAGAGAGTAGGTGAGTTGTGTTTGGTGGCTAGTACTATGAAGTTAGGTGCTGTTCTGAGCATTATTTGTGATGTAGTAGCTTCAGTCCTACTACTGAACAAAGTGGTGACGAAGGTTAGCTCTGTCCTGGGCCGCTCTCTGGACCCTGTAGAAGTGGTGGGGGACAGGAGGATGATGGCCAAGCTATCGTCAGTGTTTCCCAGCCCCTACAGAGTGCTGTTACAGCAGTTCACAGCTTCAGTGACAGGCTGCTTCGCCCACAGTGTGTGTGACAGAGAGATACCGAGAGTCCTTCCTTCCTGCTGCAGTCAGACTGTTTAGTCGAGCCGCTCCCAGTCGTCCAGTCGTCCAGTTGTAGGAGCCAAAATATATTTGTTGAAAGTTTTATTTCTAATAGGTACGTCACTTCCAGGGATCAACACTGAGGGGTGTGGTTTTGGGATGTTTGGCTGGTTATTTAAATCTCACCGGTGTAGTCAGACATTGGTTTTTGTAAAGCTCTGATAATTTTCCGTTGACCGTTTTTCACCGTTTCTCTCATCCTGTTTTAACCTCATGTCATTATATCACTATTTCATTTGACGGCAAAGGTTTTGAACCTGGATCAGCGTGTTTTCTTTACTTTTTTGAACATCAAATTACTTTTTTAACACTCAAACTGGACTGATAATTGAACGTGTCACAGATGCAAGCGAACCTAAACCCCAGTGGCCTTTTTGTTGAAGGAAAGCAGGTTTTAAAGCAACCATCAGACAGTAAAGTCAACTTCACCTCTAACTTGCCATATTCAATACTGATATATTTATTTATATACATTTCAAAACTACGACTGAAGGGTCCAAAAGCAAAAAAGACCATCAGAGACATGACTGAAGATTTTTACAACCTGAAATCGGTGTGAGGGGGTAGATGTCGGCCTCACAGTCAGAGACAAACGCCTGTTTTTAAATTTGTACATAAATTATTTTTAATGGATGATGTGTTTGTTTGTCCAAGGCAGCAGGATAAGATGTTTTATCAAAAATTGTGAAACAAAACCAAAACAATCAAAGACTATTTTGTCCACAGGGGGGTGCCAAGAATGAGAAAAACCAAAAGTTCCTGATTGAACTTTTAAAATAACCATTTAAACTTTTGCACAAATAAAATGTATTCTCTCCTCTCTGTTCGAGTCTTTAAAATGGAGTCCAGACCCTGATGTGTCTCCTGTTTTTTCAGATCCAGAGGGGAGGACCTGGATCTGGGTCTGTTAGCAGCAGGCTAACATGCTGTGCTGGGGGAACGCTTCGTACGGTCAGCTGGGTCTGGGGGGGATCGACGAGGAGATCGTCGTCGAACCTCGGAGGTGTGAGTTCTTCGACGGGAAGTGTGTGCGTGACGTCGGCTGCGGTCACAGACACACGGCCTTCCTGCTGGAGGATGGGACCGTTTACACCTGCGGCTGCAACGACCTGGGACAGCTGGGCCACGACAAGTCCAGGAAGAAACCAGGTGAGACGTCGATGCAGTTTCTGAGTTATCAGTGTCCGCTCTCATCATCATCTTCATCATCTAAAGGTGTTTCTTCGTGTCCCTCAGAGCAGGTCGTGGCTCTGGATGCTCAGATCATCATGGCGTTGGCGTGCGGTCAGTCTCACACGCTCGCCGTGAACGATAAAGGTCAGGTGTTCTCGTGGGGTTTGGGCTCAGACGGTCAGCTGGGCCTCAATAACTTTGATGAATGTGTTCGTGTGCCTCGGTGAGTCCAGCCCCGCTCCTCTAACACTGATATACTTGAAGGTTCAAACGTCTGTTTCTGTGAACTCACCTGAACTTCCTGTCTCCCTGTGAAACTGCAGAAATATAAAGACTCTGTCGGACGTTCAGGTCGCTCAGGTAGCCTGCGGGTACTGGCACTCCCTGGCTCTCTCCAGAGGTGATGAACACATGAACACTCATGCTCACATTGGTGCATTATTTTGACGTCTCTGTATGAATCCAGTTTATGACATTCTCGTGTTTCTCGGTGCAGGAGGTCAGATTTTCTCGTGGGGTCAGAATCGATACGGACAGCTCGGTTTGGGGATAAACGGACAGAGTATTTGTTCTCCTCAGATCATTCAGTCTCTACAGGGTGTTCCTTTTACTCAGATATCAGCAGGGGGCGCTCACAGCTTCGCCCTCACGCTGTCGGGGGCGGTGTTTGGATGGGGACGGAATAAGTTTGGACAGCTGGGACTCAATGACCGAAACGGTGAGAGTTTAAACCGGAAACTGAGTCAAACTAAAATATCAAAAACCAGAGTCAGACTTCTGACACGATCCACGTTATTCAGGTTTTAGACACTATTTCAGATCACTAAGAGTGAGACCAAACCTCAAACATTATCTACAATAGAGGAGGGCGCAAGGTCACAAATCATCACGTTTATAACATGTTAATAACATTAAATAAAGTCAGGTTATTTTTTCACATAGAGATACTGAGACTGAACATCATCATATAAAATAACTGTTTTAAAACATGATTTTCTAGAGTTAGAGTAACAGTATAAATTAATAACATTTTAATTATTATAAAAATCAACACTCACTATTAAACCTGTACCACAGAGCTTTATTTTCACTGTTTTTTATTTTGGATGAACAGTTTTTTTTACTGAATTTTATTCTGAAACGGTCTTTTTAAAATCTTTCAGATCATTGTTTTCCGACTCTGCTGAAGTCGCTCAGGTCTCAGAGGGTGATTTTTATCTCCTGTGGAGAGGATCACACCGCAGCACTCACTAAGGTCAAACATTCAGTCTTTATTGTGACAGAGGAGGTTATTGAATATTTGGTTTTATGTCCGACTTTATCTGATAAGAATAAATTAACTGAATAAAACGCCTCACTTTGCTTCTTTAGGTTTCAGTTTTAGTCGAGGATAAAACCTTTTTGTTTTATTTCTGATTGTAAATTTATATCATGACCACAAACAACATGCTAACAAACTGGTATACCAACATATTAACGCGCTCTGCTGTCTCACAGGAAGGAGGCGTGTTTACATTCGGGGCGGGAGGATACGGACAGCTGGGACACAACACGACCAACCATGAGATCAACCCCAGGAAGGTGTTTGAGCTCATGGGAAATGTAGTCACACAGATTTCATGTGGAAGGTAAACTTTCCCGACACTGACGTCATGAGTTTGTTTTTTTAAAGTAATATTATTAAAGGGAAAAGATTAAATTTAGTTTCCTGTGAATCTGAAGGCAGCACACGTTAGCCTTCACGCCGTCTTCAGGAAAGATGGACTCGTTCGGACTCGGCGGGAACGGGCAGCTCGGCACTCGCTCCACCTGTAACAGGAAAAGCCCCGCCCCCGTCAAAGGGCCGTGGGTGTCCACGGACTCAGGAGAGACTTTAATTAACGGTGAGTCCGAAAAAAAACAAACAGATGTAATTCTTTAATGACCGTACTACAAATGTCCCGAGAAAAGACACGATCAGTAAATCATAAAAACTCGACAGAAACAGAAAATTTAGGAGGTTTAAAATTAAATTTTTAGGACGGTCATATGAACGGTTTTATTTTAATTATCGTTTCAATTTACAAAAAAAAAAAAAAAAAAATCTAATCCAGCAAAAGTCTAAAAATTAAATCAATAAAAACATTTAAAACACTTAAAAAAACAAACAAATATTTTTTGTCCACTGTTTTTATTTTTAATCAGAGTTTTCTTTTATTAATTTTATGGACTCCCTCTCTTTTTTATTCAGTGTTTAATATCGACTGTGGTTAATAATTCTCTGCCTTAGTTTTTGGTCGGATTTTTCTTTCTTATTTTTTTATTTGCCAGAATTTCCTTCCTTTATTTTTTTTTGGCCCCATTTTAATTTCTTCTTTTTGTTAAAGTTTTTATTTCATGATTCTAGATTCAAAATGTATATAACTTTTCCTTTTTCTCATTTATCCACGTACAGAAAAAGACGACCTGCTGTTTTCTCAACGCACAGCAGCACAAGTGGAAAGACAGTAAAACAAATAAAAAACAATAATAAACTTATTAAAACGCTCAAAAATAACCTCAATAAAAACTCCAACTCTTAGTCTGAAAAACACTTTTTAAATTTTGATTAAATTTTTATAATTGCTTTAATTTCTTCAGATTCTTTTTCTTTTTAACTTGTTCAGATTTTTATATCTTTGATTTTTCGTCCGGACTTTAACGTCTTTGTTTTTCTTCAGATTCAGGTCCGCTCTGCTGTGTCAGGAGGATTTACGCCGGAGGAGACCAAAGCTTCGCTCACTTCCGCACAAACAATGTAAAATATTCTCTGTGAAAAGTTTTCTGCATGTTTTCAGATTTCTAACAGGAAGATAATGTTTATATATTTGCAGCCTTTTTTTTTTTTTCTTTGTTATCAGCTGATTTTTATTGATTTTGTTGTTTTTCTCAGAATTTTAACGGGGCAGTGATCGTAGACCTGGACAGGAAACTCTGTCGTCTGACTGAGGAGATCATTCAGAGATGGTTGGACCATTCGCCTGGACGACTCCCTGCAGAAGTTTCCACGTAAATCTGCCTCATTATTGATCGTCTAATACGTATTTTTAATATCTGATCAGCTTATCGCTCTGAAGACGATGAAAACCTGTTTTTGCTTCTTCCTCCAGTGAAATCGACCTCGTCTTCTCATCAGCCAGCTGCCTCAACGGCTCTTTTCTTTCAGTCAGGTGATCAAATATTGATGAAACACTTTTATCATGTATTTTAGACTTTTATTTAAAATCAGTGTCTAACAGCCTCCTGCAGACAAACTAACTCCACTTCACCTCGGCGTGTTTCTGTCTATGAATACAGATTTTAAATGTTGTATAATCTGTAATAATCTGGACAAACTCGCTTTAACTCTCTTTTTCTATTTGTGTTTTTTTCCTCCTCAGTAATCTCGATCACTTCAGCACCAGCAGTAAGTGTTCAGGTGTGGACATGAACACGGCTCGCCTCCTGTTTCACAGGTTGATCACACCTGACCACCCAGAGATCAGTCAGCAGGTCAGAGGTCACGCACTAACACCCCCCCATGTGTTATTCATATTCATTTATTATTAACTCTCATTTTTCTTCTCAACTGTAAACAAACAGGATCTCTGATGTTTTCTATTTGCTGTGAAATTTTAATTATTATCACATTAATATAAATTTTTTTAGTGAAAGGATTCAAGATTTCCTGAATCCTCTCTCTAACGCTCGGGTTTGTTCTGTCTGTTGGTCAGATTGCTGCCAGTCTGGAGAAGAACCTGATTCCCAGGTTGAGTTCTTCTCCTCCAGATGTTGAAGCTCTGAGACTCTTCGTCACGCTGCCTGAGTGTCCGCTCTTCAGAGAAAGGAACAACTACGTCACCATCACCATCCCCTTCGCCAAATCGGTGATCAGCCTCAAAGAGCCTCCTCTGAAGGTGCTCGGTACGGCGGAGGATCCGTTTTCCATGACGTTAGTCTCAGTTCAGTTTGTCTTCTCTGCATGGTTTTCACTTTGTTTGTCTCTGCAGGAAACTGGTGGTCCAAACTGGAGTCCCAGTTCTTCCAGCACCTGGTGGAGATGTATAAGGAGGTGGTGGTTTACCTGCTGCAGATGCATAAAGTGGGGATTCCTTCAGCAGAGCAGAGGATCTTCACCTGTTTCCTCGACACGTCGCTGCGCCTGCTGGAGATCCTGCACACCGTGAGAGGAGATAAAATGACAGACAAGGGCTGTCACCGTATATCGCATTTATCACTTCATGTTTGATGTAAAAATCAGGATTCAGTCTTTAAACAGAGAGGAGAGAGAAGGAACCCCAAACAAGTTCACAACCTCAAAGACCGACAAGAAACAGAGTATATAATAAGAATAAAAGCAGAAAGGAAGATAAATAAGATAGGAGGAAATTAAAACACTTAGAGAGATAAAAACAATAGTCTCAAAAGAAGTAGCGCAACAAAAGCAGGTTAGGACTTAGAGAAATAAATACAATGAGACAATTAAAGGAGGTAAAATAAGTCGTTTAATTTCTTTGAGATCTATAACAGCAGTGAAACAGACAGAGCAGCGAAAAGAAAGAAGATTAAAAGAGAGGGAACATCACACAAAACAAGATTAGATAGAAATGAAAAAAGGATAAAAGGAGTCAGAAGAAAGGAAAGAGTAAACGACAATATCACAGAGAGGGAAATCTCTGAAGGTGAGTTTTTTAAAGACGTCCCTGACTCTCTTCAGACTGGTCCTTCTTAAAGGGATATTCCTACGTGAAATTAATTTAGGGTCAAACCCACCGTAATACCGAGTCAGACCCCCCCTCCAGAGATGAATGTTGCCGACCGCTTGCTTCTCTAGTTATACCAACTTTAGTAACGACCACAGGATAGAAATACACAGCGGTCTGAGGAGCCATAAACAAACCTCAACCAAAACGCCACAAATAATGCTCAGAACAGCCGGAATATCCCTTTAAGTCCAGGAGCTCTGACAGTAAAAACCTGTCCGTAGTCGACTCGTATGAAGACAGACCAGCAGGTCTCCACCTGAGGATCTGAGGCTGTGACGTGGATCATATGATGACTTTTGTTTTTTATAACCATCAGGTTTTTGTGCTCCGCAGGTGAGCGAGCGGGCGGGTCACATCATTCAGTACGATAAATTCTACATCCACGAGTTGGACGAGCTGGTGGACATCAGGAACGACTACGTGAGCTGGGTCCAGAGGCAGATGTACCCCATGGTGGGTTGATCCGTCGTTCGCTCCTTCACTCTGATTTGATCTAATGGATTAAAACAAAAGGATTGATCATGTCCTCTGGATCGATTATTTCTGTCTGTGTCTCAGGGTCAGGACGGCGTGTTCACTCTCTGCAGGTTTCCGTTTGTCTTTGACGCTCAGGCGAAGACGACGCTGCTGCAGACTGACGCGGTGATCCAGATGCAGGTAACCAATCAGAGTGAAGGACACAGAACGGCGTCAGACTGTATTTATGATTTAACGTGATTTTGTGTCGTGAAGATGGCGGTGGATCAGGCTCAGATGCAGAACTTCAGCTCCATGTTCCTGCCGGCGGTGGAGTCGGTGAATCCGTGTCTCATCCTGATCGTCCGGAGAGAAAATATCGTAGGAGACACGATGGAGGTCCTCAGGAAGTCCAAGAACGTGGACTACAAGAAACCCTTAAAGGTACAACCCGCTTTAATCCTCTAACTGTGATGAGGCTGCAGCTGAGTGGATCAATAAACAGCTGATAAATACCTGATCAGATGCTGATCACTGTGGATTGAAGTCTCCTAATCTGTAATCTGATCCTCCCAGGTGATTTTTGTGGGGGAGGAGGCCGTGGATGCAGGCGGGGTGAGGAAAGAGTTCTTCCTGTTGATCATGAAGGAGCTCCTGGACCCCAAGTACGGGATGTTTCGTTACCATGACGACTCGAGGCTCATCTGGTTCTCTAACAAGGTGATCACCAATAATCCGTGCCGCTTCATCAAAGTGTAAAAACGACATAATCTGCAACTGATAATCGAGATTAAAACACTCAAATCTGGGTTTTAATATGAATGACTGCTGGGATTATCACAGATTAACATGGATTACCGTGCTCTATACCATCAGTGATACAACATTTAAATGCTGACTCAGATTATCACAGATTAACATGGATTATCATGCTGCTAATTAGTATAATGAAAGATGTTAAACATAATTTTAGACAAAGTAACAGATAATTTCACAGTGAGCTCTCAGTTTTTCTGTTATACAGCAATAATTAATGCAGATTATTTCAGATTACCACCAATTTCCATGCAGTAAATTTCAATATTTCTCTTTATTTAGGAATATTTACCACAGATTACAACAGATTAACACAGATTAACATGCTGTATTTATCCAGTGAATCTGTTTTGAATTATAAATAACAGATTATTACAGATTAACACAGATTACAATGATGTTTGTTTTTAATATTCTTGTCTAATATTGATTGTAATTATAATTATAATTATTATTGATCACATGTTGTGTTTCCTGTCACATGACCCTTCCTCCAGACGTTTGAAGACATCGACCTGTTTAATCTGATCGGGGTAATCTGCGGTCTGGCCATCTATAATCTGACTATCGTGGAGCTGAACTTCCCTGTGGCTCTTTACAAAAAGCTGCTGAAGAAGAAACCCAACATGGATGACCTGAAGGAGCTGATGCCCGACGTAGGGAGGTCAGAGGTCACTCACCTGTTCAGGAGTGTTTTTAAACTGCAGATTAAAGTTGGATTAAAACAGATTAAATGAACAAACAGAGTTGATTAAATATGAGTCTGTGTGGATTCAAACAGGAGTCTGCAGCAGCTGCTGGACTACACCGAGGACGACCTGGAGGACACTTTCTGTCTGAACTTCACGGTAAGAAGATCCTGAAACCTCCAAACTGCTCCAGATTAAAACTGAGAGTCACTTTACTGAACTCTGATCCGTGTTCGTCAGATTACAGAGGAAAACTACGGGGCCACAGAGGTGCTGGAGCTCGTTCCAAACGGCGACAACATCAACGTCAACAAATCCAACAGGTAAGATCCCAACAGGTAAATAAGTAAATGTTTATAGAAACTTTAGGGAAATATTTTCTTTGCAGCAGAAAGTCTGTTTAGAAACGTTGCTGACTGTGTCTTTATTTCAAATCCTCACAGAGATGGTGTTTGTTTTTCTGTTTTCTGATGTTTTTGTTGTGGCAGCTCATTTACACCTGATAAAAAAACTAAAAATTCTTCGACCATTTAATCTGATTTTTATAACTTTTTATTATCTCTAAACAGTAACCTGTAATTCTTCCTTTTTTAATCTCATTGAATCATCTTCGTCTCTTTCGTCTCTGACTCCTGATCTTTGATTTTGACGTCTTTTTCCTACAGGCAGGATTTTGTGAACGCGTACGTCGATTACGTCTTCAACGCGTCGATCGCTCCGCTCTTTGAATGTTTCTACGCCGGCTTTCATAAAGTGTGTGGAGGGAAAGTTCTGGATCTTTTCCAGCCCAACGAACTTCAGGCCATGGTGATCGGAAACACCAACTACGACTGGACGGAGCTGCAGAAGGTCAGGTTTTATAGAGCCTCAGTTATTCTGATGGTCAGACTCTGTAATCCAGAATAAAGTTTAAATTTAATCTGATTAAACTCATGTGTGTCTGTCCACAGAGCACCGAGTATAAAGGAGAGTACTGGGCCGATCATCACACCATCAAACTCTTCTGGGAGGTTTTTCATCAGCTTCCTTTAGAGAAGAAGAAACAGTTTCTGCGTAAGAGCCTCATTTACACGTTTCAGCCTTTATTTCACTGGATTTATATCCACAGACTGTTAACGTTTGACATTTATCTGAGGGACGTGGTGTGTGTCTGCTGTCTCAGTGTTCCTCACAGGATCGGACCGGATCCCCATCCTGGGTATGAAGAGTCTGAAGCTGGTGATTCAGCCCACGGGGGGAGGGGAACACTACTTACCTGTCGCTCACACCTGCTTCAACCTGCTCGACCTGCCCAAGTACACGAGCGCCGAAACTCTGAGAGAGAAACTCTTACAGGCTATCGATCACAATCAGGGCTTCAACCTGGCCTGAGAACTTTACTGTTAGAAGAAACACTCCAGGGACTCAGACCGGGACAGAACCCGGTCTGTGTCCGGACGAGGAAGACGAGGACGAGGACGAGGAGGAGGGTCCAGACGATCAGAGTGGTGATGGGTTTAAAGCTTGTTGATGCCATGTCAGTATTTCAGATGCTACTAGAACCAATCCACAGAGAGGACAGGTGTGATCTGCTGTTCTTCATCAGGTGAAACTTTGTTGATGATGATGATGATGGTGATAAAGGTGAAAAGCAGTCTGAAAATGGTGACATGAACACCTGTAAACAGAGTCACCTGCAGCTCTGTTACTCCACTGAAGCTGAAGATGAGACGGTGAAAAAGGTTATTTATAAAACCTTAGTCATAATCAATCTGTAAATGTTGATTAAATAAGTTAGAAATATTAAAATAAGGTGAAGACACAGAGTGGAGGTGAGTGGACTGACCCGAACGTCTCATTTTCAGCCTCAGCTCATGCTCAGTTCCTGCAGGTGTCTTCATGTTTTATAGGAGTTTGTAACGTTTTCATCCTGTGGGTTTTTATTTCTGTTTGACTTTAAACTGAGAGCTGTGTGAAACCTTTCATTCCTCAGCTGTAAGCCTTAAATATAACAATAAAACCGAGAGAGAGAGAGAGAGAGCAGATGCTGAAATAAAGAGTTACTGTGGGGATGAAACTGTCCTGCTGTCACACTCCTTTAGTTCGGATCATTAGGAGTTTAAGTCAGGAGTGTTACCAACACTGATGAACATTTCATTTTTATAATGTCAGACGGTGAGGTAAAAGTAAGAAGGACTGATCCAGGATGAGACTGTGAACCTCAAATAGACACAAGAACTACGAGAGATCCAGACCAGATTGACTCAAATATAGATTTTTCTATAAAGAGCAAATTCAACCAAACACCAACCTGTTCTCAGATGTTCGAATATAAGGCAAGCACTAAAATAACTTGCCTAGATGAAGCCATCTTGTTTCGGGCCTCCGATTCTGCTTTTTCCGGGTGTGACATAATTTTCAGCTCAAGCATCTGACTTCGGTAACTCGAACGCAGCATATATATTTTTGGATTAGGGATGCAGAATTAGGAAATGCTGGGTTCTTAATGTTGTATTTTGAAATTCTGGGTTCTAGAACGCTGAATTCCAGAATTCCAGCAGTGTTCTGGAAATCTAGAGTTCCCGAATGTTCTCTGTTCTGGAGTGCTGGGTTGTAGAATGTTGGATTTTTTGAACGCACGCTAAACAGGAGCAGATTAAACCTCCTCTTCAGTTTATTTTTCTTCTTTTTGTTTCATTATTTTATTTTTTTTCAGATTTATCAATAAAAAGAAAAAATATCTCGGAGTCAAATTTAAACGACACAAATAGAAACTCCAGAGAGACACTTTCAGGTATGTTTAATGACAGAAGTGACTGACTTTACAGTTTACGGCCAATAGAGGGCAGTATGAGCAGTCTGTGTATGTGCATGTGCATGTGTGTGTGTGTGTGCACATGTGTGTGTCTCAGTGCGGCAGCTCGTGATGGATCAGTTTATAGTGCGACCCACAGGACGGACAGCGCTGAGCGTCTCCTTCATGGAGCCAGAACCAGACGATGGCGGTGTTGTCTTCCTCACCTGTGCACAGAGGGGTTACCGTGGTTACCTGCTGTGTGATGTCACCATTGACTCATAGATCAGGTGAGTTACAGGTGTTCGTCTACTCACAGAGACAGCCAACCAGACGCTTGGTCCCGATACACGGGACGATGTGAGGGTCCTCTTTGGTTCCTGCGTACTCCTTTGGCTTCAGGATGCTGTACGGGTCCTGCACAGGGACAATTCAAACTCAATTTATAAAGAACATCATACAAAACAAAATTCAATATTTAACATTTACTAATTTTCCATATACATAAAAATGTAGCTTTTCTATTATACAAATGATACATAACTTATAACAGAATTATAATTAGGTGATAAACGCGTTTTTACCTTCCCCTGTTTGAGCGCCTGCAGAGTGCGGCGCTCCAGCCCGGTCGCCTGCTCGTCATCAGTCGGTATGCCTGGAAAATTAAAAACAGATTAAACTCAGCGGTCCTTTCTCCAGAAACCAGGAACTAGTCAGGGAACTGTGTTGGGTCAGGGGATACTGATTGACTCCTAATGTCCTCATGTTTCACTACAATATAGATCCAGAGGAATTATGACTATTTTATGACATCTTTCCTTTGTTGGGAAACTTTTATGTCCTTCAATAGTTTGAGGAGCTCGTCTCATCAGGAAACAAACTTGTCTATGTTAAAAACTGGAGCTACATTTACATATTCAACACCGGTCGCTGAACACACAGAGATGTTCTGGTACTTTCTGTTATAATTGATTTGAATACTGGTCTAATCAGGAAACAATAATGTGGCATTAAAAACAGGTCCTTTTTTACACTTTCTATAATATCTTTTATGTTTTTAGAAACTGGTCTATCTGGAAACCGTTTCTCTTTATTGTTAATTTTTATTAAATTTTTAACAATAATACAGTTTAAACATCTCAGTACAACACATTTCTTTTCCTTTTTCCAGCTGTATGTGAATTTTTACAAACGTCCACAGATAATGTTGAATTAAATCAAAGAGAATAATTATAGTAATCATCACAAATAAACAACGTCCACTCTAAAGTACAGATTTATAGGCACAGATTATAGTCAGAGGCAGGATGACAGTATTTTGATAAAGATAGGAAGTTCTTACACCACTTACATAAACTCATTGCAACAATAAAAGGTTCCACAAGTTTCCATCTTTCATTAAAAGAGGTTCTCTGAAGCCTGAGTGAAAATCTGATCTGCTCCTTTTGACAAATATCTCAGACTTTTTGAATCCAGATATTATATGAGGAGGTTCTGAAGGTTCTAGACTCAATAAGATGTTGAAGATGTTTTATTTTTCTGACCTCCTGTTCAAACCCTCAGGCGTTACTCCCAGTATTAGGAAACTACTACCGTTTTTTTGACTAAGATCGGCTCCTTATTGTCGTAATAGTTTTGAAGACTGTTCTTATTTTGTTCACATTAAAACCAGGTGCTTCATCACAAACACGGGCACCAACTCAGCTGAAAAAGAGAGAAGTAGAGGTAGACTGATGGAGGTACGAAAGCTAGATCTTCAAAAGAGACGAAATGCTATCACCTCTGATTGGTCAATCTCAGATCAGTGACCACCTTTTACACCAAAGAATTCAGTGACTCCATTTGTAGCTGTGGGAAACACGATCTGTGATCCGATTCCAGCGGTTGTAATTATGGATTTGTGTTTGTGTTTTAAAACAACACAACTATTTTCCTGAAAGCTTATTGTACATAAATGTCACATTTTTTGCACAAGTTCACATGAAGATCTGCTCATATTTGTCCACAACTTCACATTCCTCCATACAGGTGCACAAATATGTTTTACACCAAATATGTGAGCGTGTCAGAGTTTGAATCTGTGATTTGTAAATAAGGTTTGTGCTCCTGTAATTAAGATTTATGAATGTGTAAATGTTGGGTTGTACTTGTGGAAATTAAAAAAAAAAAAAATCTACAAGTACGCAACTCTTAAAGTGCAGATTTCACATTTACTAATACACAAACACAATCACTGTACACGACTACACATTAGATGTTACAGACGCACAAACCTTTAACACCAGAAATACCTTCATATTAATCAACCGAACATCTGAACTGGAGTAACTGGAGTAGTCGCAATTAGCAAAATATTTCTGGGGTTTGGCCCAAAGTGGAAATGCAGACAACTACCCACAGACACTGTTTCCATGTTTTGATTCTGACTTCCTGGTACAAAAAGTTCCTGGTACTTTTAGGTTGCAGAGTGTTTAATAGAAGCAGTTTCATTATAAAAGTTCTACAAGATTAAAATCAGATTAAACTAAATCTGTGTTACTTTATAAATCAGGACATGTACAAAGTCAAAGTCAGAGTAAAGTGAAACACCCTCCCCGTGTGTGTGTGTGTGTGTGTGTGTGTGTGTGTGTGTGTGTGTGTGTGTGTGTGTGTGTGTGTGTGTGTGTGTCAGAGTCCGGATGACCTTCACTGACTAATTTAATCGGTTTTTCATTTCAGCCGATTAAAAATCACAAAGTCGATCTAAGCTCTAATCTTCCACCTTACAGCAAACTTTACTTACTGTAAGTCATGATATTATTTTATATTAAATATTTGTAAACTTTAATCAGCAGACAGCGTCATGACGTCACTGTACGGACGTCCTGTCTGCAGACGTCGATCTGCGCAGTAAACTATAAATATCCCGATCATATTCCGATAATATTCTCGGTTATTAATTAGTCAGTGGTGATTAATTACTGCTCAGATCGATGATTAAACTCCTCAGAGTGTTTGTGTTTCTCCTCTGTCAGGTTATTAATCTGTGTCCCTCATTAAAACACATAAACTCACCTCTCGCTGTTGATGACAGGGCTCGGTGTGACTGTCGAACCAGCAGGTTGCTCCTCAGCTGAGAAGTTGCTCTGGTTGCTCTGGTTGTTGTTGTCAGGAGTCTGAGGAGAAGCTGCCGTCCCGCCATGATGTCCCTCTCTCAGGTAACGTTTCACTGAATGACCTGAAACGATCAGCTGGCCTCAAATAACCCCGAACCGTCTGACCGACGGATGTCCGGACCAATCAGAGAGCAGATAGAGTTACTACAACCAATCAGAGAATAGATATGAGTGTGTGCTGACCAATCACAGAGAGAGGACGGTCAGGGGGAGCAGGTGGTTGATAATAAAGTCTGATGCGGAAATAAAGTGAAAGTAATCCAGTTTTTAACAGATACAGAAATCACTCTGTCAGTTTAGAGCAGCGCCCCCAGACTTATGGGAGGGGTAACATTTATTTACATCAGAACTTCAGGAGGAAAGTGACAAAATTATATTATTTTATTAGGGTTATATTATTATTGTTGTTCTTTAAAAAACAAACAAACAAACTGTTGTGCAGAGCTGTGAGAGGAGGTCTAAAGCTGGAGCTGCTGTAATTACAGGTGTGTTTTATTCCTTTCTTGGCATTTACATTTGATAAATTATCATTACTATTATTATCAGGATTACCTGTTATTATTTTATTATCATTGTTGATATTGTCTTTATATTTACTATCATGTTTCAGCTTTCCACCCCCCTTTTAATTTCCTTTTTCTTAACTATTTTATGTTTTTATTTCAGTCCTCATGGTCTCATTTTATGTTGAATCATGGTTCTTGTTTGTCTGGGTTCCTTATGACATGAAAATGGGCTTTAATTCCATTTTGACTGAGTTTTTTGTTTTTGTTTTTTTCTATGTGCTTTATGACTTTATGTCAAAGCACGTTGTAAACTTCTGTTTTTAAAAGTATGAAATTGTTTTGCAGGCAAAAGCTTCAGTGACAACTGTGATGAATCAGCTCTGAAAGACTGCAGTACGGTGAACAGAAGTCCTCCAAATACACTCAGCTCTCCAGCACAGGACCAATATAACAGAGACAATCAGGCATCACACTAATCTGCACATTTAGGACAACCATATTAAAAAAATTCACGCAATTTTGGTGGTCTTAATGGGCCCCTATCAATAAATATCCAATTTATAAAAACAAAGATTCTGACCTCAGATATGATAAACTTATATTTGTAATTGAGCACCACTCAGTGCCACTAATAGGGCTAGTCTATAGTTTTCTCTCCATCTAGTGGATATAAAGAGACAATACAATAAACAGTTTTCACTGTGAGCTCTTCAGGAGCATACAGTTACCACAGACATTGTGTAAAATGTTGTATTAGGGCTACGTGAAGAAAAAAAATAAGGCCTTGGAGAAAATTAAGACTGAGATTAAAGTCATTAATTTACCATAATAAGTCATTACTAACGAGAATAAGTCATAATCAACTACTTCTATACATATGATAATGTGGTGCTGATGTGCCAAAACATTAAAGTATCTCCTTGTTTGAGAAACTTATATTAAAGTACATTTTCATGAAATGATTAATCGCTCTAATTTCAACAAATGTCACCTTAAACAACAGGTTAGAAAATAAAGACTTTATCATGACTTTACTCTCTTAAGTGATTACTTTATTATGACTTTATTCCCGTAAATGAATGACTTTAACCTTTTAAAAGTCTTAATTTTTTTTCTAAATGTGGCCCTAGTACTCCGTCGTATTTTTGCCATGGCTGTATTGTTTTTTTGTGTTTAACTCAAAACAAAAACGGTTCCAGAAGGTGTGTTTACGGACTTTACATGGTATCGTAAAAACTATAATGGACAATATAAATAAGTTGTTTTCGCCTTAAGATGCAGAGAGAGAGAGATTTTAAAAAAATACAGACGACTACAAACTTTTTTTAAGCCATAAAGCCAACATTTCCTCCTGACTTTTAAACGAGATGATCTCAAATCTGTCAACTCGATAAGTCCCGCACTGGTACACTGAAACTCTTTATTCCCATTTCTCATGTATCACGTGAACGCAGCACCACAGACAGTAATCGTCATAGAGGCAACAGGAAGTCAGCGGTACAGTTTATTACTGCGGTTATAACTTTAGAGAATAAACATAGAGTAGTGAAAAAACAGACAGTTAGAGTTCGGGTTCTTCTGTAGTTGAGTGTCTCTCAGTCATGGATAAACTTCGTCGTGTTCTGAGCGGCCAAGAGGAGAACGAGGAGCTGGGACTGACCGCTCAGGTACATCTACAGTCTGACAGCTAATGCTAATGCTAACGCTGTCTGTGTGTAAAACTCAAGAGTTTAAAACACTTCAACTAAACTGAGCTGACTTTTTTTCACACAGTATGTGACTTAAGGCGAATTCTTAAAAATGCTGTCTTTAATGTCAGTGTGGTTTTTATATTTTTAAACGCTGTTAGCCGTTAGCTTTAAATCAGTTTACTACGTTAGCCTCGTTAGCATCCAACAGACGATAACACGATAAAACTACTGTAGGTGTTTTAACCACTTTGGCTGTTTTAACTACTTTAACTGTTTTAACTACTTAAGCAGTTTTAATTATAATAACTATTTTTAACTCCTTTAACACCGAAAACACTTTATTTAGTTTCATTTTTGTCTTATCTTTAAACTTCCACGGATCTGTTTCCGGTTATTTTCCCAGTATTTCCGTTTATTTTAGTGATGATTAAAGTGAAGTTATTTTTCCTCTTATTTTAAGGTAGTAGAATTTCCTTTTGATAAATTTGTTTTGTTTTCATGTTAAAGCTCAAAATTTACTGTATTTGTTTCAGACTGATGTCATTAAACGCCTCAGTTTAATACTGTCTCTTTGAGACTGACAGCATTCCAGAACTTAGCACTCTGGGACCCTCCTCCACTGTTGCCATGTCGCTTTTTTGTAGCGAGACCTCAGGCCAGTCAATTACAGACTACAGCGGGGTGACGCAGCTCAAGAAAGAACATTTATGATCATCTCTTTATCATTTCCTTGAAGTAATAATCATCATATTAATCATTTTACAGACGCGGTAGTTCTTCTGCCTTAGCGTCTCGGTCTGATTGTATTTCTGTGAAGAAATGATGCATCCTGTGGCTTTTCAGACGCTCACAGAAACACTCGGGGTTAAATGGTACTAAAGGTTAAAATCTGATTAATTTTTACTTTCTAACACAGCTGATATTAACCACCAATGTTAAGACACGTTCATGTTTGTTCTCTGTCCCAAACTGTGTTTAGTTAACAACAGCTGACATAAGTAATTGGCCCACATGATCAATTCTCTCATCAGTTATTGACCTTGTGTCAGCTGGCATAAAAACAAACACACTGGTGCTGACGGTTCGGTTTGTCTTTAAACATCATAAATACTCCTCAGCTCAGTGAATCCTCCTCACAGAGTCTGTTACCTGCTGATAGAACTTTAGTTTTCAACATTTATATCAGTGTCCTGTTGTGTAGATCAATTATGACTGCTAATTTATTATGTGTGTGCTGTTTTTTAAATGTATTTGATGGTTTTAAATGTGTTGCCCTGTCTTTTAAATGGTATATTTGCAAATTTCTGCCTTAAATGTGAAAAGTGGACAATTAAAATGTAAAACTCGTTAAAGTTTATTTAAGAAATTTAAAGCAGTCAAAAAGACTGCCTTCTTCATTCTTCTGTCAGCCTTCACTGAATTGTACATTTATACTTCCACATGCATTCACCGTGAGGAGGGACTGAGGTGAGTTACTGATTTGCACCCTGTGTTTTTTTCTAACATGTTTCAAAGTTAAAGTTTCACTCTGGAGCTTCAGGGTCTGCAGGTCTCTGCAGTTTCTCCTCTACACTTCAGTTTTATTGGTTCCTTCTGTGAATGTTTCTGTGTACTTTCTGTTCCTTTATCACAGTGAGTCTGTTTTCATGTTTGAAGATAAAACTGAGCGGGCTCTTATCTGCTGGGCTCCAGCTGACTAGTTGAAATCTTCAGTAGGAAGCGTGTGGGTCATTAGGTCTGTGCTGTGACATCCTCTCATTGTTCTCTGCAGACCCTGGATGTCAGCTCTCTCAGCTACAGCACCAGAGTGAAATGGTTCTTCATATGCTTCGCTGCAGGCATCCTGTGCTCCATCCTCGTGAGTCTCTCTCTGTGTTTTCACTGAACAGACGCTCGTATGTCTGATTTTACTCTGAACTCAGGAATGCAGAGAATGCAGAGCGTACGCTGAAGACTCTGAGGAGAGAGTTTCTCTGCTGCTGCTGCGTTTGGTCTGAACTTTTAAGACTCTAAAATTCAGCTCTAATACCAACAAGAGGGAATACTGTAAATTTGTGCCATCACTCTAAATCAGAGGATGACCATCTCCCAAAACGAGAACATTTCAAAGATCTGGTCTAACTGTTAGAAAAAAGTCAAATTAAAACACGAAATCCTCAGAGGAGAATTAACCAAGGTAGAAAAAAAACAACTTTTCATCTGTTTGGATTTTCCTTTTAGAAACATGTCACTGACACCAACTTTAAATGAGCAGATATATTTTTAATGAATAACAATAAAAGCTCACTAACATTTGATATATCACACACTTGTTTCAGTTCAGTATAAGCTTTGAATGGTGTACAGAGTTTGCAGTTGAAGTTAGAGGAAGTCTTGACGTTGGCAGATTTCACTCATCACACCAAGGAGGTGAAAATTTATGCTGACAAAGTAACAAAACCTCAGACTGAAGTCTGGATGGGGAAGTTCACAGAGAGAGAAGATAAGTGTGTACAAACATCAGAAATAAAATACATCTGAAAAACAAGTTTTGAACATCTTCATATATTAAAATTCTTCTCTAACTGCCGCTCTGAATCAGAAACATTTGGACAACATCATAAAACGCAGTTATTGGACGGTTTTTATTCAAGCGCTAATGTTTGGTTAGATACTGCATCTTCTGAAAATCAGTTTAACACCAGTACTGTTATAAAACTGTTTTTGTAAAAAGCGAAAAAAAGATAAAAACAAATAAAACTCAAAGTTTTTGAATCAAAGCCTCACAGTATTTGGACACTAGGGGGAGCTGTTACATTTCTCTACAGACTCAGGACCGCCCACGGGACTCGTAAATGTTTGTATGATGATATTTGTATATCTTTTACTCACGCTGAGGTCAAAGGTGACGTCACTCTGTGGTTGACACCGTCTGTTTTCACTCCTTTAACAGGGCACAGCTCTGCTGTTCCTGCCTAACGGGATGAAGCTCTTCGCCGTTTTCTACACACTAGGGAACCTCTCAGCTCTCGCCAGGTAAGACCCTCCTGTCCAGGTCTGAGTCTTGGGACATTTTCCTCATGAGATGACAAACTGACAAGATAATGATGAGCATCAGCCTCAGCTGCAGTTTGATCCACCAGACTTTTCTGATCGATGCTCAATAACAGAATAAATGTTCAACAATCAGGCGGAGAGAAGTCTAGAAAGTTCTGATAAAACTCCAACAAAGATTAACAAAAGAAAATCAAGAATAAAGGAACGAACGGAGAAGAGTCTGAAAAAGAGTCTGAGAAGAGGAAGAGGACGTCAGATCAGGGAGAATCAAAACCAGTGAAACGATGAGAGGCAGTGAGGTCCAAATATATGAATAAGTGAACAGATAAATAAAAAGAGGAGGTCAGAGGAGGATTTTAAAACAAATGATCAGTGAAGAACCGCAGACAGCAAAACAAAGGACACAGACAGAGACACATGAAGACTCTGTGGACTCTCCTGTGAGGCAGCAGAGGAGGTGCTGCTGAGTCATGTTAGAAGGGGAGCTGATCACTCAGTCCTGATCAAGTCTGGGCTGTAGGTTCAAACATCACAGGAACTAACCAGATAGAGAATCACTGATGAAGAGAAATGAAGCCGGTAATAAACTGAATGACAGGAATTTGACAGTGTTACCTTCTTCATAGAAAATTACATTAAACTCACAGAGAATTAGATCAGTTTTTAGAGGTCAAATTTGACCTTAAAGATGAAAGTTTATTCAATATTTCACATTTTTTCTGAGTATGAGGGAGCGAGTTTGTCTGAAAACTGAAGGAAATGTGGATAAAAATCATCCTAGTGTGAGTTTGTGGAGGAGGAACCTAAAATAAAGTCCATCTTCAGACTGAACTTCAGTTTCCAGCTCAGAGTAAAAGAAGTGTCTGTAGTATCTGGTGTAGATCCACAGCCTTCCTCTCATAGCGGTGGAGGGATAAGTAGAGTATTAGTGATTAATGAGTGATGGTATTAACGGCGCCCTCATCCCCGCCTCATCAGCAGTAACAGCCTGTGCAGGAACATTATTAACACGTCCACGGCAGTTTAAAAAAAGTGTGGCTCCCTCGCTCTCAGCAGAGCGTCTGCGTCAACATCGACTCCTCTGCGGTCTGAGCGAGCAGCTGTGACGCTCCACGGGTTTCCTCTGCCCACTCAGCTCAGTGCGCCTCGTCCGCGGGGAAAGCCTTCGTGTTACGCTCACACTGACGTCACACGTGCATCACGTAGGAGGTTTGAAACGTGTCTCTGGGCATTAAATATTAACCCCCTGTAAGTTTGCAACGTGCAGCGTAAATCTGACTCACAGTGTTCACGTCACTCTGGAGACATTTGTGAGTCTGCGTGAAAAACATGATGACTACAGTGAGATCTGGACTGAGAGCAGAGTTTGACTCTCTGATCGTAAAACTGATGAACAGACTCATTTTCAGGGAGAGGAGTGAAGATATAACCAGACTTCAGAGGGTTTTAAAAAGAAATATTAGAAACTCTTAAACTTTGGTAGAAAAAGACAAAAAAGATTTTTTTTTCATCAGATCTGAGCTTCAGTGTTTTACTCAGACAGATCAGGGTAACAGTAACAGCATACTCGTCAATAATAATAAGTCATGATGAACTTTACTGATCAGTTCCTCTTTGGTTCTCCTCCAGCACCTGCTTCCTAATGGGACCACTGAAACAGCTGAAACGCATGTTTGAACCGACGAGGCTGATCGCCACGATCGTCATGCTGGTAATTATCCTGAATTTTCCTTTCTAGCACGTTCAGTCCCCCTAAATGCACCACGGAGCATCATCGAAGGAAGTCATTCTTACCTGTGGCCATCAAACTTTATAACTCCTCCCTTTTAGCGTCTCTGGACTGATTCTCATGCAGTGGCTGCGATCTGTCTGTGAACCTTACAAAACTTCAAAACTGCAATATTCACTTTGTTAAGCTGTAAATAATATCCTAAAGTACAAACTGCTCTAGTTCACACTTCCTGTAAACAGCTTTATTTCTAGTTTTCTGCACTTTTTACAAACTGTTTTTTCAAACTGCAATTTCCATGATCGTCTCCTAAAAGGTCGTATCCTCCGATCGTAGCTGATCGTAACCATTCAAGTTAACGTGTCAATTTACACCGACTTCTTTCCGTTCCTGTGCGGATCGCCGGACTCCTCAGCTGATCTCAAGAGTTCTATTTTTTCTGGACGCCGGAGCATGGCGGATAAATTCAGCACAGATTAACCCGTGCTGGAAAGGAAGTCGGGCACAGACACAAAATAAAACATCCGGCTTCTTTTCAAAATAAAACACTCCGTGTTTCAGGAGGATCGTATTTCACACCATGCAAACGGGCGGAGACGAACAAGTGAAAGGTTTTTAGACGTCATTTCACCCCGATGACACCATGGATGAGGAGATGCTGATTCTAGAAGTCTAGAAGTAGATTTCCTCCTCTGGAAGGACACAATCTACTGCTTATATGTCTATGTGTCTGTCTTTATAGAGACGACTCGTTATCATGTGATTGAACGTGAATCTGCGGGTTATTGAAGATGCGGTGGAAATCCTGGGTTATTTATTCCTATTTCTGTTAATATTTGTGTTTTCAAGTTCTCTTCTGCAAATCCAGAGTTATCGTCAGTCTCAGGTTTTCAGGCACGTTGACGTCATTTCTGCCCTTTTCTAGTTCTGGTCCATGAAAAGTCCAAACATTTCAGTCACCGCGTGACTCAGCTGTCAGACACTTCACCCTCAGCTTCATCTTCATCTTTGAGCGTTCAGAGCTGATCTATCCTTTAGATATCTTTGTAAATATGATCTTTGATTAAGTGCATAACTGGGATAAATGCAGATTCAGTGTCTCAGAGTCAGAGAGGGTCGAAGCTGCAAACTTCAGATGTTAAAGTGACGTTATCGTCGTAGCTGGTTTTGGTTTTGTCAGCAGCAGAGAGAGTTTGAACCTGCAGATGGTTGACAATTGGTTGGTTTATTTAAGCTGCGTTTATCTGCTGAAGGAGCACTTAAGGAAATGAGTTTCTAAATATGGAAACTAACAGCGTTTTCTCTGTTAGAAGTATAAAACCAAAGTAAATGAAGACGATCAGAAACTTCATGTCTACTGCTCTGTTTCCTCTCTGGATGATCCTCTAAACTGAGTTCTCTCTTCAATAATGACAAACAGCGTGTCTACCATGAAACAATCAAAGACAGTGGATCATCTGAAAAATCACGTGAACGCAGGATTATCGCCGAAATGTCGGTGATGATCAAAACGCACAGAGAGGAGTTTTTACGTGATTATGCAACAGGCTCAGTTTAAAAACCACGGCGCCATATGACTCAGAGAGATGACCGACTATTTTTAGGATTCATTTTTCTGAAGCCGGTCAGAGTCAAAGTGAAGCACGACGGTTTGTAAATGAAGTCTTTATTTTAAGATGATCTACAGATATGATATAGAATGTAGGAACGGACCCTCTACTCTTTAAAACTGAGGATGCAGCATCTATGATTTCTAGTTCTTTGTTAATTCTCAATAAGTCCAGCTGTCCTTTCCATGCAGTGAATCGGTTTCTAAAATGATTAAAAATGAGAATAATTTAAAGTTCATGATCCCTTCTGTGAGGAATCATCCGTCTCTTCTCTTCTTCCCTCAGCTCTGCTTCGTCTTAACGCTCTGCGCCGTCTTTTGGGTGAGTACAAACACGATTAAAAGTCTCATTCTGTCTCTGATAACGAAGCGCCGTTTGGATCACCCGTCCCTGTTTGTCCCCGCAGTGGAGGAAAAACGGGTTGGCCATCATCTTCTGTATCCTGCAGTTCTTGGCGATGACTTGGTGAGTGCGATCGGAGAGTCTCAGTGAACTCATCACTTCCTCTTAGTCAGATAGAGCCGACCTTCCGGGTCAGGGAACTTTTCCTCCAGCTGCTCTGGCACGCAGCGAATGTCAGTGACTTGAGTTAATCACGTGTTGATGCTTTAAGCTTACTAACTGCTGCTGACGTGTGCACAGCTGAACCAATATATACGGTTGATCTCACACGAACATCAGCACGCCGCACGTCAAACTGCACCTCATCTGAGTCTGAGAGAGTTTGAGCTTCTTATTAGATATCTTTAATGTAAATAAAACAGTAAATAAATAACATGTAGACGTCATGAATCCAAGTGACAGCAGTGACAGCTGCCCGGCGTTCCTGCTGTCAGGTAGATCACCTGACAGGTCTGAGAACGGTCAGTGTGTTTTCTGGACTCAGTACCAGGATCAGTGTGAATCTACTTAAGGGTGCAGAGACAGACAGGTGTGTCCATCTGTGGTAATCACCAGTGAGACAAAAGCCGTATTTCCATTAAGAGAAGCTTTCAGTTCAGGAGGGGCCTCTTAAAGGAGCAGTACAACTTAGCAGGTCAGAGTTACTGAAGTGATTTACAGGACGTACTGAATTTATCAATGAAACAATGAAACAACAGCAATGAAAGGAAACTAACTTCTCTCTGCTTCACTCGCTGTTTGGCTGTTTCTCACTTTTTAAGAGGTTGGAAGCTGTTTTTTTTTTTTTTTTTTTTTTCTATGTCATTTGGGCCACTTTTTTTTTCTAAGTCACTTTGGCGAATTTTTTTTTTTTTTTATGTCACTTTGGCCATTTTTTTTTCTTATTTATTTTTTTAAAGTCACTTTGGCCAATTTCTTTATTTTGTTTTAAAAGTCACTTTGGCCTTTTTTTTTTTTTTACGTCACTTTGGCCAATTTTATTTTTTTTTTTAGAGTAACTTTGGCCATTTTTTTTCTAAATGTCACTGGCCAGTTTTTTATTTTTTTTAAACGTCACTTTGGCCACATTTATTTATTTTTTGATCAACAGATGAAACAATCAAGTGTAGTTCCTGAACATTTAAACAAACTTCCCCCATACCCCCCACCAACATTTACTGGACCCCGAATTTTTATACATCAGGACATCGACACAAACTTGGTAGATAAAAAAGAAAACCATAACGGAGACTGAAAAAAAGGAAAAACAAACAAATTAACACAAAAAAAGGAAAAACAGATACATATATATATATATATATATATATATATATATATTTGGGTTACATAGATATGTTACTTTGGCCAAATTTAACCGCCGTAGAATCCACGGAGGTCTAAAGACGTGCGAAGTAAAGGCCGATCAGTCTGCCGATACGTAAGAAAGACGCACGATTTAAAGTTCGACGTGTGTGACAGTGGAGGGTTGATAACTCTGTCTTATTATTATTACATAACCTTCAGTTCATCATAAGTATTTCCTCTCATTTAATCCCTGCTCTGATTTAAACACTGAGCTGACGGTTGTGTAACGATGATTGACAGACACGACTCCCTCAGAGCGCCGTTACACGTGTGTGTGTGTGTGTGTGTGTGTGTGTGTGGGCATGTCTGCACTTGTGTCTTCATTAATCTGAACATATTTGCTCAGCAGGAACAAAGACTGAATTTCAGACCCCCCCCCTCTCTCCCTCCTTAAGCTAACAGACAGTTTCTGTGCATCAGCGCTCAGGACGTTTGCACCTACATGTTGTACATTCACTTCCTGCGTTCTCAAAGGCATCCCCATGGCAACCACTGATCACACACACACCCACATACACACACTCTCTCTCACTCCTCACAGACGGGGGGCACACACACACACACGCTCCCACGCAGGGACTCAGACGTCCGTGTGAAGGCAGGAAGACGGCGTCACTGAGCCACAGAGAGGCGGGTAAAGTCCTCGTCCCGCAGACCGTGAAGTGACCATATGACAGTGAAACGCCAGGACTGACACTGACTCAGTTTAGAGACCGAGATAAACCAGTTTCCTTTAATCTGAAGTCTGTAAAATGAAAATAGATCCTACGTTTATGGAGGAGAGGAAATTAAAATAAGGTTTTTAATTTTCATCACAAATAAACGTTAAGATCAAACAATGAATGTTTGAATGTTTCTCAAACCTGTAACAAAATACAACCAGAACAAGACTTCGCAACATGGCTAGTGTCGGCTTTGGCGCCCCCTCTCGACTCTCACCCACTCTCCTCTTCCATAACCCACTGTCACATCTCTCACTAAAAAACACAAAATCCTAAATATAAACTTAATAAAATCAAATGTCGGCCGAGCAGTCAGATTAAACACTAACTGTGAATATTAATGGTGTTAAAAAAAGATGATTTCCTCCGTGAACGTCCGGTGTGATGACGATGGTTTGAGAGGTGTCAATATTAAAACACAGAAATAAAGAAATGAAACGTCTTAAAGGAGCTCAAACATTATCTCTGTGAACTAAAAGACATGAAAGAAGAGGAAGAGCTCCTCACTGCTCCTCTAAAGTCACCTTTTTCTCCAGTCCTATCCCTTATAAACAAAAACAACAATAACAAACAATTATAGATGTTTTCTGGACAGTAAAGTGAGTGATCGGTGTGAGACAGAGGTCCACATATCAGTCAGTATTTTGAAGTGATGGTGATCTCTACTTCCTGTTTTCTTTTCACCCGTGGATAATGTTGTAGTTTTGGTCGATGGTTCTATTTTAAGATACTTCCTGGCGTTCCTCTGACATGTTCGTCGTGTTCATCGGTTAATCATCGACCTCTGGACTGAATTCCTCTCGTGTTTTAAACATATTTGGTGATTCGGGGGATTTTTCTGCTTAACTGAAGTTGTAATCATTACCGCTGAGGAGTATCATGTTTTTCGCCGCTGTACTTTGTCTTCAGTCTCCAATCTGTCCGCTGTCATTAGTGCAAAGATTACAGTTCACAATCAGGTTTGGTTAATCCTCCCCCGCTGTGCCGAATCAAAGATCCTCCACGCCGATGTTTACGACCTCACGGAGCGTTTAAATGTGTGTGTCTTATTTCAGAAACCCATTATTATGATGCTTTTAAGTCCTAAATCTCTCAGTTTTATCTGCTGTGGTTTTTTTTCATGTTTTAATCTCATGGACGACAAAAACAAGTTTAAAACAACTTTAGGTTACGAGATTTCTGACAGAGTTAATTATTCTGAGTAAAATAAAAGTGTTAATCATGTTTGTTTTTCTCTGTTTCAGGTACAGCATCTCCTACATTCCCTTCGCCAGGTAAGACGCTGCGGTTTTATGGTCGTTTTATTGACATTAATGTGACGTTACAGACGGTCTGAGTGGGTTTAAAACCTGATTTTGGAGTCTTTAGGCAAACACCAAACTGTCCAAGTTTTACAGTCTGAGAATCACTTTTAAACTCTTGAACCCGCTCTCCTGTGGTCCGACTGAAACCTCCATCCTGACCTCTGAACCAGATCCAAACAACTCGTCTCAGATCAGTCAGTGTTGGCGTGCGGCGTCTGTTTTATGGTGTAAAGACCAATTAAGACAGGTCCCAGTACAGAGCCGTGGGGAACTCCAGCCGGGCAGCTGAGGTATTCGACACCTGGGTTAAAGCCCGACACGTGAACCGGGGTCGATCAGGAGAGAATCGACCCTTAGCTGTTTTATCGGCATTTGTTCATTTGACTTTCAGCTCAGTGGGATTGTAGTTAATCCGACTTGTTTACACGTATTTTAAAAGTTCAGTTTTAGTCGGACTTTCCTGAAAAGACTCTGAAGGTGAGGGTGGAGAGTCCAGGTGAGAGGCCAGGTGTTATTACATTGTGTTCCTGTTTTTACTATTTATTATGTGTAAATAAAAACATATATCTTCTTATATATACTTTTATTTATTTATTAATTTTTATTCCACTACCACTCTACCCCCAGAAGTGCAATATTACTCACCGTGCTGCTATTTTACCCTTAGTTTTAATGTTTTTTATTTTTCTTTATATTAAATTAAACACCATCATGCTGTGATATGGAAGCCAAACAACGACATTTCACTGCAGAGAGGAATCACTGCTGCTTTAAAGAAAGACTAAGTCTAATTAAACAGCCGTGAATGAACCATCAGATTGAGTGTTTTCAGACCGAGGCAGTCACAAACTAAGAACTGTATAATCCAGATAACAAGAAACACTAAAGACATAGTTTATCATATAAAATAACTTAAACAGGTGAAAAACTCAAAGAAATCAGCCGTCATTATTGGTAATATGTTATTAGGTTATTGTATTATGGGTCTGAATCAAGTCTGACTTTATTTTGGCGGGTCAGCCTCAGGTGGTCGCTGGAGGAAGTGCAGTTTCTCAGCTGTGGAGGTTTCCAGTTCAGTGATGTACCTTCAGTCCTTTAATGATGTTCAGTGATATTTATTTTCACTAAAGGAGCTCGACTTAAGATAATATAAGATATTAATTTATTCATCCAACGAGGAGAAATTAAAACTTTACAGCAATGATAAATAAAAAAGAGAGATGAAAGGATTCACCATCTCTACTTCTGTTTCTCTGGAGCTGAAAAACATTTCCACTCTGGTTTCCGTCACGCTCAGTCTAATCTACGGACATCCTCTCAAACAACAAACTGGGAGGTGAAACTAAGAGTGAGCCTCCAGTAAAAACATGTTTTTATTCTGGTCCAAACTGTTGTCCTCCACCATATGGCTGTAATCCCCCCCCACCACTGCTGCAGGCACTTAGTGTCGGGCAAATGGCAGCTTGTTGTTTCACACTCTCTGATGAGACGAGGTCGGCTTTACCAGCAGATCTGAATGAAATCATTTTTAGTGAAATAAAGCTCTTTACTCAGATTTCCCTAAAGTTATCTCCCCTAATGAAGCTGACGTGACGTACGCTCAGATTATGGTAAGCCCTGTGGCACAAAGAGGAGTTTTGATTAGATCCAGACCTTCACGGGCCGTTCTGTGAGACCAGGATCAAGATCTCCTATCAGCTCATGTTCTCATCTCCAACATCATCTCAGGGTTTGACATGAGAGAGAATCTCCCTCCGCTGAGCTGGAGGTGTGATGTTGTTTTGTCCGTCCAGCTGTAAGCGGGGTCGGGTCTCATTTGGTGAAAGGTCCGGCGCCCCCGTGAAGCCGCCCCCCCTCCTCCTCGGTTAAGTGCCTTGTGTGTTGAGGCGACCCCGTAATCCTTTCTGACAGCTGAGAGACGTCCCATAACCACCCCGAGTCCCCCCTCCCCCAACCGGAGCGCCAACAACAACACAAAGCTGAGACAAAGACCTTTTTCCTGGTGCAACCTCCTCCAAAAATTCCTCTGGAGAAACTGGAACCTTCTCCGGGGTTTTCAGGACCCTCAGAGCCCACCTTCACCCCCTCATCTCCTCTGTTTTCATGTTTTCACCTCACACATGATTGTCTTTTCTCTCTAAGCTCCTTACTCTAATCCATTTTTCATTTAATTTACTCTTGATCACTTCGCTCTCTGTTGATCAGCAGCTTATTTACACAATAGAAAGCATTAGACTGCACTTTTTAAAACAACACATTGACTCACGTGATGTTGTGAAACAAACCGTGTTACCTGTCTGGCCTCAGCGCTCGCCACATGGTCCCTGGACTTGATCCTTTAATGTATTTTACCTCCTTGTTATTTATAACCCTCAGGCTGGCAGGTTTGGGCGCTCAAACCTGCTGCATGTGCACTTCCCACAATGCTTTGAGGCTGCTGTTGCTCTGATATGAAATCAGAAATAAGGCCGAACGATTATTTATTCATGCAAAGCAGAAACAGCATCAGACCTGACGTGAATATGAAACAAAAATCAGCTGAAAGGAGGGCGAGCCTTTCCTTCGGCGTGGAGTGAATTTCTCTGAGCGGAGCAGCGCTGACCTCTCCTCCCCCTCTCCTCCCCCTCAGTCTGCTCCCACCCCCCTCCTCTCCTTCTCCTTTTAACCTTCACGGGTTTCACACCTCCTCCACATAAAAAAAAAAAAAAAAAAAACGTCTGTGGGGCTGCGGGCGAAAAAGTCTGCATAGCAACACACCGAGGGCAGGAGCGAAACGCCGTTAAAGGGTGGAAAAACACAGAGCGGTTACCATGGTTACCACTCCTATTGCATCATCCCTCATCACAGAGCACCTGAAGACGGGGGAGCCCCCCGTCACGGCGAGCATGTGGAGCATCCCCCCGCCAAAACACGCTCACTTATTCATGATGAGCCACACCCAGAACGCCAAAACAAAGAGTCCGAGAGCTTTTAACGTCACTTTGACTTCACACGGATCAACGATTTTAACGTTTTTAAAATGTTTTATTCCTCCTGGAGGATTTCTGATCAATGCTGCTGTCAGTCTTTTGTTTTTACACCCTGAACAATAAGACTCTCTGTCTTTGGTTTCTATTTTATCGCTGTTTTCATTGTTATTGTTTCGCCATAATAACCCCGTCATAACCTTCCTCTTTAGTATCGATCACTTTTTACCGTTTCTGTTCTTAGTTCTCGGTCTTTGTGCAGAACTGCAGGCTTCTATCTGCAGTTGGTCTGGGCGATTTGGAAAAAAAAAATATCGCGATTATTATCAGGATTTTATTTTTAAACTGCCAGTTTTAAAGCATCTGAACTAAAAACTAAAAAAACTAGAGATTAGTTCAACATTTTATTAACATACAAAGTAAATAACAAAGAAAATAAGATACACTTAGAAAAATATAAAACCATTTTAACTCAACAGAACAACAAATGTAGATAAATACTAAATAAAACAGTGAACTAGTTTACAGAGTTTAGAGAGTTTCTGCAGGAATGAAAGACCAAAAATAAACAAATGAAGATGCCTTAAAATGTAAACATTGGATGACGTAAACATAGATGATATGATTGATTGCTTCGGTCTGGTGGCTGCACCGCTAGTTGTCGCTAAACTGCTAATGCTACTTGTGGCGTCGGCAGTGACAGGCTGTACAGACTCCGCCCACATTTTCATGCTTTCCCTATAAATAATTAAACAGATCTGTTGTGCTGCCGGTTTTTGAGGCGCTGATCGCCGACATACCTCACACATCGGCTGACATCTATCTTGCTGCCCCCAGCTCCGCGTTCAGCTCCATGTTCGGTCATTCTGTTTACTTCCTGTTTACTACCCCGGTAACTTTCAGATGTGAGCAGGAAAAGCTCGACTCTGATTGGCTGTTGTGACGCACAGTTCCTCTTTGTTTGATCGAGTAAATAAGCTCACAGCTGATCACTGTTATCGAACTGAAATTTATCACGATCATCGATCACGATCATATAATCGCCCAGTCCTAACCTGCAGCTCCTGAAAATGTTCAAATGTGAGTCGTGTGTGAACACAAACACCTGAGTCCTTCACTTTACCTGTGCCGTTCCTGCGGGACGTTTACATGAGATCGTGCAGTTAGAGTGAAACGCTGTGAGAATATTCACGGGTCGTAACCTGCAGGTCAGGAGGACGAGTTTTATCTGTAGGATCATGTTTATTAGCTGGAGGTCAGACTGAGTGAGACCGGTCTGGTCCACCCTGAGGGGAACTGTTCTTCTTATCAGACCACTTAGGGTCTGTTTTTACGTTTAGATGAACTGCTAATCAGAGTTAATTACTGTCAAGTGGTTTCCGCCAATCAGAACCTGTTATTTGACAAAACCAGGTGATTAGTAAGAAAGTGGGGTGATAAGACTCAAACAGCAAAGTTTTCTATTTATTTTTAATTAACTTTTATTTAACCTCGAGTCTCGTACGTTAAGTCCTTGTTTCCTCGAGAGATTCAAACTGAGAGACCTTTTCTGGATCTGTGGACGCCGTCTCACTCCTGGTTCTAGTGAAGAGTAAAAACTTAATTTGGTGTTTTGTTCAGTATCAGCAGAAAGAAGTTTGTCGGTTTAATAATTTAGATTTAATGTTGTCTAAAAAGGACAGGACCCCGATACCGAACCTTGTGGAACCCCGTTTGAAAACAACAATAATAATAATTGTGTTGAGCATGAATTCATTTTTACATTTTTACATATCAAAGATTTAACTCCTCTCTGACCCTCCTGACTCTGATGGACGTGTGTGAAAAACTCTGCAGCTTCTTCAGGGTCGTAGAAACGTTCAGTAGAGTTCATCTGAAAGTAAATTAGAGTATCGTCCTTTTTGATTCACACCCGTCCTCCCTCTCTCTCTCTCTCTCTCTCTCTGTTTCTCTCCAGGGACGCCGTGATGAAATGCTTCACCACCTGCCTGAGTTAGGACGCCTGAGTCCAGGATTTCACGGGAAGACTGGTCCTAATATGCAAGCTCTGTAAAATACGCCTCTGTGTTGTTTATACGATTCCTCTCAGATTTTTACTTTTGCCTTTTTTTTTTTTTTTCATACTGTGAATTCTCACTTTTTAAGTTTGTAATCAGATGATAACACTTTGGATGTGAGAGACACGAGTGCCTTTAAAAAAGCTAAATATATATATTTAAAGATTTTCTTATTCTTCATGTTCGGAGGATTTTATTCCATGTAAGTGCAGGGAAACACAAACCACAGCTCACACAAACAAGTGCCTTAATGTTCAGTCAACACACACACACACACACACACACGCAGCTTTACAAACGGATGGTGTGATTCTCTCTGGCATCATTAAATGCTCCTTCAGCTGTCCGTCTGTCTGTCTGTCTGTCTGTCTGTCTGTCTGTCCTGGTTAGATGCACTGATGTATAAAGTCGCTCTCAGATGTTCCTCCGTGTTTATTTATGATCATGTTTCTGTCCGATGGCGATGGCGGTGGACGCTCGGCTTCACTGATCATGCTCTGGTATGTTTGAGGCTAACACATTAAAAAGCAGCTCCTCTCCTCTCCCTTCTGTCCTCTCTCTGTTTTTGAAACACACCTGCTCTCCTTCGATCCTCACATTACTTTAAATTTCCTCTTTTTTTAGATTTGATTTTCCACCAGATGCGGCGCTGACCCACTTCGTCACGCTGTTCTGAGCGCTGTGATTCTGATGTGACCTAATAACCCAATATAGCTCTCATCAGGTTCCCCGTATTGCTTCAGCATGACGGCACTGCCTCTGAGGATGCGGTTGTCATGACAACCTCCTCCTCCTCCTCCTTCTTCAGCGGATGTATAACCTCAGCCAACCCCCCATCTGTGGTGCAGATGTTCGAATTATCCCGATGACTGGAAGAGGAGGTTTTTTCTTTATCATAGAGCACCTGAGAGAGGCGGCGAGCGAGCGAGTCGAGGATTTCTCTCTGAGATTCAGGTCAGATCTGATTTTAAACCCGGTCTAATTCACTTTAATCTGCATCTGCACACGTTCAGCACAGAGTGAGTTTACACTGGAGTCAGCTGTCCAAGGAGTCCACTTTAGTAAATATAGAGAAGAATAAATGTTGGTAAAGAGAAAACAGCAGCAGATAAAAACTAAAAAATGATCCAAAAAATCCACAGGAAATGTAGATCATATAAAGAAACAGACTTTCTGAAATACACAAGCATTGAATTCATAAAAAACACAAGATAAATATCAAACACTTAAAAATTACGACGCAAGAACAGATCTTGTTCATGAGTGAGGGTAGGATGGAGCGGGAGATTGACAGGTGGATCGGAGCGGCGTCAGCAGAGATGAAGACGTTTAACCGATCAGTGGTGGTGAAGAAAGAGCTGAGCCGTAAGGAGAGACTCTGGATTTACCGGTCGATCTACGTGCCGATCCTCACCTATGGTCATGAACTTTGGGTAATGAGCGAAAGAACAAGATCGCAGATACAAGCGGCTGAAATGGGTTTCCTCCTCAGGGTGTCCGGGCTCAGCCTTAGAGACACTCGGGAGGCGCTCAGAGGAGAACCGCTGCTCCTCCACGTCCAGAGGAATCAGCTGAGGTGTTAGGACGCCTTCTGGACGCGTCCCGTTAGAGGAGACCTCGTGGCCGGCCCAGGACCAGGTGGAGGGATTATATCTCTCTCCTGGCCTGGGAATCCCCCCGGAGGAGGAGCTGGTGGAAGTTGCCGGGTCACGGGGTCTGGGCTTCCCTCCTGAAGCTGCTGACCCTGCGACCCGGACCCAGATGAAGCGGAAGAAAACAACGACGAAGAACACAGTGAAATCCATAATAAATACATTAAAACACATTAATAAGTAAAAAGACCCAGTTTATATTTGAGAGCAGTTAACCAACCAGGATCACTGAGAGTGAGGCGGTCCTGCAGAGTCTCCGGTCCAACACAGACCTGGTGTTAAACTTACCTCAGACTCATGTAAACCAGTATTTACAGTGAAAGTGTGATCTGCTGCAGTAATAATGATGATATAATGATGATCATGATATTATTATGACAGTTGAAGCAGTCAAACTCAGCCCTGCTGCTGCTGTGACTGAGAAAAAAAAACAAGGACCTCCCTCTGCAAATATAATCATGATTCATAGATACTGCGCCGTCATCGTTGTGTCACACTGTTGGAATTAAAGGGTTAATTAACTTAAAGCAAACAGGAAAGATGAGCGAGGAGGAGATCAAATAAACGAGCGTGGGAACTCTTTCAAACTGAGTTTGTGTCTTAGCTTAGAGAGCTGATAGATCATCCATGTCCAACTAGAATAAAGTCATAAAATAAGAGAGTTTAACCTTCACAGATCTTCCTCTAATCTGACCTGGTGGTCGACTCCTCAGGATGGAGTCAGACTGAGATCATGAATTTATTCTCACTCTCTTATTTTAACCGCAGAGATCGAAGATATTTGTGATACAGAGACTCAAACACCGAGATAACGTTGGGCTCACCTCTAAACTACAAACTAATCTTTACATTTGATCAGAAATGTTCATCAGCTGTGATCTCCAACGTCAGGATAGTCCAGCAGCTCCTCACATATCTGCATTAACAACATCTCTACTTTGTCCCAGAGCTCTGTGGACATTTTTATAAGTTTAAAATCATTTAAGGACTAAAGACGGTGAAGAAGGTCCCATTCTTTAAGATCCAATAATGAGCGACCTCTCCCACAGACTAAAATCCCACCTCTCTCATTCTGGATTAAACATAAAATCATAAAAATAATTTAAGTTTCTATTTAAAGATCTTTTAATTCATAGATTTCTACAAACATTCCTCCAAAAACCAGAGTTGGACCTCCTGCTGTGCGGCCTCCTCCACGTTTCATTAAAGGCTTGTATAATATGGTGTCGGATTAACATGGACCAAATCTCCCTGCGTACCCCTCAGCGGACTCACTTGGCACAGACCCAGCAAATCCTTGAGCGGTTAATCTGGAGGATGAAATGATTCTTCTGTGGGTGTTTTTCTTCTTCCTCTTCGCCCGCTCTAGTTTGGGATTAAGTTTGAGGAGTTTAAAGTTTGAGGATGAAGAGGAAGTCCCCTGACCTCAGCAATCAATCTGTCTGTGTCCCAACTGTTCCTCCTCCTCTTCCTCCTCATCATCACGTCTAATCCATCGTTACGTCAGAGAGGAGAGGGATCCCACGCCACAACAAACCGCTCAAATTAAACCAGACCGTGTGTCCGCCGCATGATCGTCGTGGAAAAACCATAAACCAACATGGCTGCTGTTGTTTTGACTGATTTAAGAGCTGCTTTTTTTCCACTATTTCCATTTTTTTACTGTTTCAAATGTCCTGATCTGTAATAACAGAGAAATTAAACCGTCTATGAACAACAACATAACATCCTGAAGCTGTTATTGATTTCTTTTTATTTGGACTCTGAGGAAAACTAAATCCCATCTGATCAATCGTTGAACCGTCTGGTTGAAAGTGCAGGAACAGAAATCAATATTTTAGACTGTTTGTTTTTCTCACGGACGTCTTTGATTGGCTGAGAGAACAACAACAAACCGTCAAGTTAATCAACGTTTGAGACTTTATCGACCGAAAGGATCAAATCAGAGCGATTCGTCCTCGATAGGTCAAGGACAGACGTCGACGTCTGAACAACAAAAGAAGATCGGGACCTTCAACATGGAGGTGGAGATATTGTTAAAAACTGAGGATGCAGCATCTATGATTTCTAGTTCTTCGTTGAAAGGACAACTGGACTTATTGAGACGTTTTAAGGCGAAACGTCTCAATAAGTCCAGTCGTCCTTTCCAAACGAATGTCGAATTTTGATCCATCAGACCTCAGGACAGTTCTCCTCGTCCCCTCAGTCTAGGGCTGGGCGATATGTCCTCAAATCAATATCACGATATATTGATCAGTTCACCTCGATAACGATAAATGGACGATAACTACTCCACAAGCTGCTCCCCTCCTCCCACATTAACTTCATCTACTTCAGCCGCTCCAACTTTCTCTCCGTCCTCCATCTCCTCACCTGTCTTTCCCTCTTTGTTACAGACTGGATGGGGTGGAGTCACGTCTCTGATGTAGAACAGCGTCTTAAAGGGACATTAGACCATAGCCTACCTACACACATCCAAAAACAAACTTTGATTTATTTAATCGTTTTAACGTTTTAACTGAGATTTTTGTTTTTATCTGAGTTTACCATGAGCTCTATGACTTCATGTCAAAGCAGTTTGTTACCTTCTGTTTTTAAAAGTGCTACACAAATATGGTTATTATTATTATTATTATTATTATCTATCATGTGACTAACCTGTTGGACATTCACCTCATTAGTCGGAGATAGTTTTCATAATCTCTTAATTTGTCGTCTTTGCATTATTGACATTTGGATAAACCCTTAAAATGAGCAGATCATCAGATCCTGATGCAGAGGTCGTAAATCCTCACGCTGTCGTCAGTCTGTGGGAAAAGGTGAGGGATTCTTGAGGTGGATTTTAGGGTGGCCGAGAACTGCCACTGCTGCAAATAAAAAAAGGAGGGAAAAAAAAACTTCTGTTGTGTTTTTTTTTTATCTGCACCATTTCTTGTTTGATTTGCAGCAGGCTTCGGTTTCTTTTTTTTGCACCTGTAACTTTCCTTGTGACTTTTTTTTCATTCGTTCTTTATTTTTGCAGTAAGTAACTTTTTATTTTTTCCACCGCCACTTCTATTTTTGCGTCGTAGACTTCCGTTGTGTTTTTTTTTTTTAAATCTGCACCATTTCTTTTTTTTTCGCATGTGACTATTTATTTATTTATTTATTTTAATCTTTTTTATTTTTGCAGCTGTGGCGTTTCTCGGCCACCGTATAATTTTGGCTCATCTCTTCAGGAAGTAGTTGGAAATGACAGGATGACATCACCGTTTTTTATGGCTTTGTTTGGAGCTGCTCCTTTAGACCCCGCCCTCCTTCATGCCCCGCCCCCTCCTCTCTGCTCGTTCATAAAGCAGCGGACTGAGCGTGCGCACCAGTTGAACTCCAGCCTCAGATCGGACAGCAGGTGCACCGCAGCTTCTCTGCGCCTCGCTGCTGCTGGAAATGCGCCGCTCGCCGCTCCTCGCAGGTCTTCCTCTTCTGCACTTTTTTATTTCCTGATTCAGTCCGATCACGAAAATCACAAAAATGCCTTTTCCGCCGATCAGCCTCCAGCAGCGGATCTCCTCTCCAGGCAGGGATCTCTTCGGGAAGAAGAAAGCCAACGCTGTGCCTCCTCCTCCTCCTCCTCAGTCTGAACTCACCAGCAAACCCGGCGGCAGGGAGAAAGCGGTGTCTGAGAAGGAGAAGCAGTCTCTTTCGTGGACATCTGCCAATTTTAGGACTTTGGGGCGAAAAGCTCCGCTGCAGGAGAAGAGTAAAAGCCCATCTCAGAAGACCGGCTCCGGCCAGGAGATCCAGGGAAAATGCTCCTGGCTGTCGGTGCCCAAACCTCAGGACTCCTCGGAGGGGGTGAGGCGCTCCAGCTCCATGGACTCCGCCAGACAGCTCCACGGCAGAGAGGACGGCAAGAAGGAGCTCCAGTTCACCCTCAGCCTCACCCCCGAAGCCATTCTCGTCATCCAGAAACGGAACCTGGAGAAGCAGATGATGGCGAAGCAGCAGAAGTGCTGCGCCTCCACCGACTTTCGGCACAGGAGAGTGTTTCCATCCAAGAAGGCGCACGGAGGCTCCAAAGGCTGCGCCGCGTCGGGGAGAGCGGAGAACGCCGAGCAGGACATCACAGCCATCGTGAAAATCTCCCTCCTCAACGATCAGTACAAGTACGACGACGTGGAGTACGAGGAGGAGGACGGAGACGTGGACGAGACGGTGGTGAGGAAGTGTAAAGAGTGGCTGAAGGGAGTGGAAAACGCCGCTGCTCTGGGGAAGGTGGACAAACTCTCTGCACTCCCGCACCTGAAGGGCTGCTGACACCAAACTTTCCTCATTTTTAACGTCATGAAGGAGGATGGACTCACGCAAAGTGCGCACCAGTGTCGGCCTGCTGCGGTGCTTCTGTGTTTGGCTCTTGTAAATGAAGGTTCAGAGGAGAAACGTCTCCGGAGGAATGATGCCAATCTGACGCGGAATCTACAGAAAATCTGAAGCTGATTTTGGCTCATCCAGCAGCGCCCCTGGTGGTCCACAGGGACTCTGCTTCTCCAGTTTAATGCCTCTCCTTTTTTATTTTCTAGAGTTTGATCTGAACACCTTCATATCTCCTCCTTTGCACATGGTTTTTGTTCGCAGAGTGGCGCCGGTGGATTGGCGCAGAGCTGTGCGTAAAGAGAGCTGAAACGGCTCCTTTGTGCCGGAGAACAATGCGCTGTCAACAACACGGCTCTGTGTGTGTGTGTGTGTGTGTGTGTGTGTGTGTGTGTGTGTGTGTGTGTGTGTGTGTGTGTGTGTGTGTGTGTGTGTGTGTGAGCCTGCTGCTGAAACCAACTGGACTCTTTGAGTTTCCTCTCATCAGAGGTTTCTATCCTTCGTAGGGATCGATCAGTCATGTACAGTATTTAAGATTTGTACTGTCTAATGTCTCCTCAGCTGATGATTTGAAGTAAACATGTTTTTCTAAATGTTGAGCCTCTCTGACCTTTTGAATCTCAGAATCTGATCTGTGTTTGTGCTTCTATTTCTGCTGATTTAGAGCCTTTTTAATTGTGTTTCCTCTCCGACTGTATCTTAAAGCTCTTTTTGTTCCCCTCCAGATACCTGAGGCCATTTGGGCATTAGTGCTCTCTGTAAGCTTCTTAGATTTCACGTTAAGCAGGGTTGACCAGAGCGCAGCGCGGCCCAGGTGCATGATCCCTTCAGGAAATTACCTCCAGTCTGCTGTAGTTTAGTCTTATTAAACCAAACAATACATGCAGCTGCAGGAGGGGATGGAGCCGAAGGAACAGCTGAGAGATGTTTCCACTTCAACTGAGCGATTCAGTCCATGTCAGTGCGTATTACCGAGAAGAACTGTGTTTGACTCTCTGAATGTGGACGAATTTTAAGAAAAAGGATGAAAGTGTTTTAAGGACAGGATGGAGACGTTTTATTCCAGTATGAACTTTGAGATTTAAGGTGAAATTTCTAGAAAAAAGACGAGATCCAGAGTGCAGACTGAAGTCAAAGGTCAAGTGCGTACTGGAAAAGCGTCCTCCTCAGTTTCTGTCTTATCCTCTGACTGACACTCCTTTATAACAAACAGATGGTTGTCGCTGAGAGCTTTAAGAAACAAACAAACCGATCATCAGTTAGAAATGGAACTAAAACCACAAAGAGGTTTTTACCAAAAGGCTTTTAGTCCTCTGAGCTTTTTTCAGGAGACCAAAAAGTTCCACCAGACAATTTTTTACTGTGTTTTCTCTGATCTACTAACATGGAGACGGTTAAAAATCTACTTCTCAAACAGAAAAATGTCTCCACCTTTAGAGAAACCAATGGAATCGGCTCCTTAAAGAGTCGATTTTATCCTTATTTAGTACTTTTTAAACAAATATTCAGTTCAAACTTTGATATGACTCATGGGCAGAGTTTTAATTTATGAGGTTAAGGTATTTTCAGTAATTCTAAAGAACCTTAAAACAGCTCGTTTGGAAAGTCACAAGAAACACGTGAGATTTGCTCAATTCATGACATCACAAATTGGTGAATCTCCTTATAAGGTCAATTCCTTAGTTTGTCATTTTAAATAGAGAAACTGAGACTCAGTAAAAGTGCAACACTGAAGGATGCTTCTAGAATGTTTGGTTCTAGAATGTTTGTTTCTGGGATGTTCGGTTCCAAAGTGTTTCAAAGTTTCTTAAAGAGACGTTGTCAGTTCAAGCCCTTTATTTTGGCTTGAACTGACCGGACCCCCTGTATATTTATCAACTCTAATGTTTCCTCTTTTCGCCTCTGGCTGTTCTCCGTTCCCTCGTCTGTCATTGCTCTCCACGCCTGTTTGTGTCGTCGAACAATGGTGACGTCTGTCTCATATTGATGTCGGATGAACGTGACCTGAGCGTCACACTGCAGTCACATCAGATACATATCTGATTTATATCCACATGCAAAAGAGGCCTGGGTCGGATCAGAACCAATCAGAATTGACCTGTTCACACTTAGATGAAAACATCTGATATGAGTCACAGATGGTTAAACTGACCTGCAGTCTGAACGTAGACTAAGTTTGTCATTTTAAAAAGAGAAACTGAGACGATGACTCAGTAAAACTGCAACATTGAAGGATGCTTCTAGAATGTTTGGTTCTAGGATGTTTGGTTCCAGAACATTCGGTTCCAAAGTGTTTCAAAGTTTCTTAAAGAGACGGAAGTGTTTCTGGGTTTTTAATTTGATTCTAATTAGAGATCAGTTAAGAATTTTCACCTGTTAATCATATTAAAAGTATTTTTAAAAAGCTTTTAAATAGAGAAGAATAAAGCCTGAGAATAAATGATGTCCTCTTTTGCATTAAGCTGTTTCTTAATTCAGGGTTCAAAGTCCTCACTTAACCCTCTATTAAAAATAGTTAGGTTAATTATACTTACCATACTTCAGTGACCCTCCAATAAGAAAAGAGCTCTTCACTGATTGGCTGATCAATAAGAAACATATTTTTTATTAATGACATTATTTTGTTTGACTTTGATGTTTGGCTCTAACCGTTAAGATGAGCCTCGTATCGACCGTAGACTGTCTAAAACATAGATGTCACCTGTTGTTGATCGGAAAAACAATCTCAACTCAAACTAGAATTAAAGGGAACCTTTAGCCTCCTCGCTAGCTAAGTACTTTAAATCAACTATGCCCCTAATTACGCAAAACTCATTAATGTCTTCAAATGAAATAAACTGGTGAAATCCTCTGTTTATGACCATCTCAGTGAAATGTTAACATCTGTAAATGAAGCGTTGCTCTGACTCCAAAAAGACAACATTAGATTCTGTTTACTGCTCCCCCTAGTGGTGAACTGTGAGAACTACCAACACCTGTATCAGCTGAGCAGGTTCAAACAGCCTCCACTGCACTATTACATACGTACACATCTATGTTCACTATCTCTGTGTTTATGTAGAATTTTCACAAACGTCTGTTTTTGTCCAAACACACCGGCACCCCGGGGCAAAGGTACGATTTACACCTGCACCTTTACGACAACCTTTATGCACCTTTATGACATCATAGCACACTTTACTAGCTGCCTTAACACTTTAAACACCTGAAGCCCTTTAATGCTAGTTTAAAACGTAGTTTACATGTTGGTCTATGTTAGGTTATATAGTTCAGGTTGTCTGGTTTCATGTGTTTTTTAATCATGTATATTTAACTGGGTACTAACAGCCATGAAAATTCACCGCCTGTCTGCAGTCTGGCACAGATATTCATGTTCACTGATATAGAATATCCTTAATATGAAATAGGTAAATAAATAAAACAGTTTAGAGCCCCAACTTTAGATATAACTTATAAAGAACTAATGCAAAAGGTCCCTGGACTCTTTGAAAGTTCTCATGGGAACCTTTTGGGGTGTAAAATAAAGTCCCTGAGACTTTCTTTGGACCTGATCCTGCTCTGAGTATCTCAAAAAGATTCTATCTGGACTTTGGTTCCTTGAGTGATAGTATCTGAGTACCCCAAAGGTTCCTGGTCTCTAAGGGAAGTTCTTGCAGTGAAAACACACTGTTTGTCTGAATTTTATCCTCATGAAACCGGTCAAGAGAAAACGTCGGGGAACACGGTGTGAGCTGTGAGCGCACATAAACCCTGACAGCAGGGCCTCAGACGTGTTTGTACAGTGTGAAGGTGTCCTGCAGGAACGTTTAACTCTTCTGCATTGTTCTCAGTAACTTGGTAACGGGACTTTTATTCAGGGTGGTGAACTGTAAAGCTGCAGGCTGGATTTTTCAGAGGATCCAGACACAACAGACGGACGCCATCAAACCCAGGTGAGGTTTGAATTTGAGGTTATTCTAGAATTTGGCGTTAAGTTTCAGCTGATTTAGGTGATTCACGTCTGTTTTATTCAAAGGTTATCCTGGTATTTACAGAGACCTCCATCCTGCGCCTCTTCCTGCCATGAGGAGTCCTCAAAGTGTGAGAAAGGTATTTGATCAAACCTCATAAAAACTCAGAGTCAGTTTTTATTCTTAAGAACAGAAAAGCTTCAGGTCTCAAACACACGATCTTTACGGTGGAGCAGGATTTGTCAGGATTGATCAGAAACACGCTGTAGGAATATAAAGCACCTTTTCCACTCAGGATCACAAAGTGTTTTTTGTTGCAGACTGAGATCAGGCCTCAGCCTGTACACTGAGTACCAAGAACCCCTGTGGCTCTCTCTCTCTCTCTCTCTCTCTCTCTCTCTCTCTCTCTCGCTCCCGTGGCCCCCGTGGCGATATTATCTGCTGGCTCGGTGACTGAAAGTTGTGTAATCCTCTTCTATTGTGTCACTTCAATTGTTGCCTTGTTTGTGCGCCTCTCTCTGGTATCCATCACTGTCTGGTTGAGGCCTGACGCTCTTCGCCTCTTCATGTCTCCTTTGGGGGGGAAGTTTCTGAAATAGTTTTTGAAGGAAGCAGGTTCTGGCAGAGGTTCAGATGTTCTTAGTTACTGAAACATTTGAGGGTCTTTTTTTACTCGCTCCTCTCTCCAAACGCTGCAGGTCCTTCTTTTCATCCTCTGCCACCAACTGCGTTTTGTTTCCACCTGCAGCTTCTCTCCTCCGTTTCTATTTCTGTCTGCAGCCTCTCTGATCTTCCCATCTGCCTTTTCTCTTTCCGGATACAAACCAAAAGAAAAAATAGAGATGCCTGCAGGCTCCCGTCCAGCAGGGTGACGTGTTCCTGCAGGACATCTGCATTATCCTCCTCAGCTGATTTGTGTTGGCGAGCAGCTCAGATGGATGCTGCCTTGGCCTCGAGTCTCAAAGAGCCGCAGGTCCCTCTGACTCTGCTGTGTTAGCATCGCTGTGGCAACAGGACGGATAAATCTCTGGGTCTGCAGCCGCCTTTGTGAGGGAAGACAAAGCAGACACTTCCTGAGCGCTCTCGGCCCATAAACTGTCGTCAGGTCTTCATTTGTCCACATCAGGTCACTTCCCAGAAACCGGGAAACCCCAAAGAGGACCGACTTGGATCAGAGAGAGAGCAGACCTCCATAAAAGCTGTTTTAGTTCTTATTAGAGGGTCATTAAAGGAAGCACGCCCGGTTCTGTCTCATTAATCTGCACTGATCTCACTTTTTTAACGACATGGTCAACCTTTCAAATCCTTTTTCTCCTGATGAAATGAAGCTGTTTTTCCAACATTAGGAGCTCCACTGAGTCTGAAAACATCGAACTAACCAGTCTGTGACGACCTGAGCGACCTTCGAGCTGCAGGTTCAGAAACAAACGCAAAAACACGTTCAACAGGCTGCAAAATGAAAATTCACGAATAAGTGCATCGACAGCGAACTTTCTCCAAAAACACAGAATCCTGATGTTTGAAGTCCAAGTTTTACTTCTGACCTTCTCGATAAAACAGCTCCTCAAAATCTAGTCAGTAAAATTTCCTCCTCTGTCTTCAAACGTTCACGTCTGACTGATCAGATCCAAGCTCTTTAACTCTCAGCTTCTCCTGCAAAGATCTCCTCTTAAACGGTATTATTTAAGATCTTCTGTTCGACGGTTTTACTTCCAGCTTCTCCTGCAGATCGTCTGTTTCGATGTATTATTTTCAGATTCTCCTTCATGGATCTCCTCCTCACAAACTCTCTTCTTTTCAGCGTCTCCTGCTTAAACCTCGAACCCCTCTAATTAAAGCTTCCTTTACAAAGATCTCCTCTTCATCATCTTCGTCTTCTCCTGCACAGATCTTCCTTAAAGTGGTTTTATTATTTTATGTCCTTCAACTGTGAAGCTCCTCCTGAAACAGAATTATTGGATCTATTTTCAGCTTCTCCGTCTTCATCCTGTATTTTATTCTTAACTTCAGCTTCATATTTGGTTCAACAGCTCAGTTCAGAGGAGCTCCTGGTTCTTGTGTCGATAATGAACTTCTAAACACCACAGAAGGTTGAGACCGAGACCAGCTGAAGGAGACTCAGACTCTTGTGAACTTCGCTGGTTTTCTCTTGAACCAAAAGCCAAACCTCATCATCGCTTTACAGAAACTGAGAGGCTGCAGGAGATAAAGTCAGGAGGAGGAGGAGGAGCAGGAGGACACATTCCTCCTGAAGATCCTTGATTTTCCAAGAACACGATTTGTGTTTTTTTCTGTTGACAGGCTGGAGTCAGAGTCGGAGTCAGAGACCGACCTCAGAGGAAGACAGGAAACGAAGACCGACCTCCAGACCCGGACCGGGAGGCTGAGACCCGGCGTCAGACCAAGATGGAGCAGGTCCAGAAACATTCAGATCCAGGAACTCCTCCTGCTTCATGATGAGTTTTTCTTCTTCATCATCTCCTCATCTGTCAGTGCTGTTACTCCTTCTGCTCTGTTTGTCCTGCAGCTCCATCTAGAGGCCTATTGGAGCATGCACAGGCTGAGAGACGCTCTCTGTCAGCGTTATTCAGCTCTGCTCAGAGACAAAGTCAACTCTCAGAGGATCCAGCTGCTGCAGAGACGAGAGGCAGAGAGAGTGAAGTCAGAGGGTCTGAAGACACCGGTAAAGATCAACTTTAAAGAAAATAAAAACTCTCTTTAGTTTTCAGATGAAATTATTCTCATGAAAGTCAAACCACCAATAAAAGCTGCTTCTTTATTTCTTATCGAGGCTCCTGAGTGCAGGTTTCTCTCTGTTTATAATCTGCTTCACACCCTCAGATCTTTGTTTGCAGAAAAAAAGGATCATTAAAATACAAAGTGAACGAACAGACTCGCTGCAGAAATGCTCAAAAGAAGAAAACAGACCTTCTTGTCCTCCTGTGGTCGCTGATCGGACTGATTTCTGATTGATTTATCTCTCTCTCTCTCTCTCTCTCTCTCTCTCTCTCTCTCTCTCTCTCTCTCTCTCTCTCTCTCTCTCTCTCTCGTCTTGTTTGGGTGTTAAAAGAGCAGTAAGGAGGGTGTCTGTCTGAGGTGGGTCAGATCCTGTCTTACTCCCCCTCCTGTAAAAGCTGACCCCCTCAGGAGGACGTGGTTGTCCTCTCTAATGACCCTCTCTCAGTTCGAGGACAAAGACGCTCCATAAAGACGCTCCATAAAGTCCCAGTTTTCTGCTTCAAACCTCGAACCAAATAAACCCGTGCAGCGTTGACAGAGGTGAGGCAGAGGCGGGGACTCCTGCTGGGCTCTAATTGGTCCTTTCTGCGGTTAATGGCGTCCTGCGGTTGTGTGTTTACTTCTCGTTTAACATGAAGACTGAGTTTATGTCTCTGTTCCCACAGCTCTGTCTCTGACTGTTTCTGTCTGCACACAGAGAATCATGAGGACCACCTTCTCAAAGCTGCAGCACGACGACTCCCACCTGAAGACCCTCCACAAAACCAGCTTCTACCTGGTGGGTTTGACCCCCAAACTCAGAGAAGGATCTAGAAACCTGAGAAACGTTTATTCACAGAAACAGATCTGGATTTACCGCCTGTGAACAGAAAACTCTGATAAAGTCCAAACTGATTCACTCTTGACTGATGTTTGAGAGTTTGAAGGTGCAGAAATGAAAACCTTCAGAGGTCAGATGTTAGACTGAAACACTCCCTAGTTCACCCCTTCTGCAGTAAAACTACGGTGGCCTTTAAGGACAAGATTCAAGAGGAATATAATCCTCCATTTGTTGAATTTTTACCTTAAAAAAATATCGACCAACACTAATTAATTTTCACAACAACAGCCTCTCTTCTTCTTCTTCTTCTTCTTCTTCCAAAAACATGTGCCCGACTAGTTTGTCCCTTCTGTGTTACCGTAGAAACGGGATCCTGTAAGGATATCAAGTAAAAGAAATGTAAAACAATAATATGAAATAATAATAATACAAAATAATGATAATAATAATAATAAAAATAATGATAATAATAATAATAAAATAATAATTATTATTATCATAATAAATACATTATAAATAAATATTATTTTTAATAAAATAACTAAAATAATAAAAATAGATTTTTTTATTATAATAATAATATTATAATAATACTTATAATAATTGAAACAATAATTATTATATTTACTATTATTATAATTATAGTAATCATATTATTTTATATTATTATTATTATCAATAATAATATAAAATAATAATAATAAAAGTTAATAATTATATAAAATTAGATTTTATACTTGTGAAAATAATAATTATTATGTTTTTTATTATTTTTTAAAAACAATAATAATATATAATATAAAATAATCTGTATTTACTTCTCAGCTCTTTATAAAATCCATGTTTCAACGGAAAAATCAGAAAAGTGTAAAATCGCCTTTTTCAAAGAGATAAACCAGTTTGTCAAAAATCTGCACCAAATAAGAAGGAGATTTTCGATCAGGACGCTGTGAAGGAATTTGATCAAATAAGGAAAAGTGACTAAAGTGAACAGGAGGAGTTAATCAATCAGGAAACTAGAGCAGAATAAGATAAATCTGTGTTTTTATGGCAGGTGAAGCTCAATAACTTTAAAATAGTCACCGTAGATGTTTAAAGTTTTTTAATCCTCCTCCTCCGACTCTCATCGATCTGTTATAATAAAGTTTTCTGTCCTTCTCTGAGATCTTTGACCTCCAGACTCAGTTAGCAGAACGTGGACGTCTGCAAACCCACCAGGACCTGGAGGACTTTCACAGACTCATCGAGTACAGACGCCCCCCCTCAGAGCTGCAGAAGAGTCTGGAGGACGTCCGCAGGAGAAGCTCAGTCACAGTTTAGATATTTTAACTTTGACTTTATTTTAAAAATCTGTCACCATAATCTAAAACTGTGGGTGTGTTGGTGTGATCGCAGTGCTGGAGAGACGACCTGGAGATGATATGAGGAGATCAGAAGAAGACAAAGAAGAAGAAGAGGAGGAGGAGGAGGAGGAAATGTCCGAGTCCAGGTGAAGAAAACTCTCCCTGTCCTTCACCTGTCTTTGTTTCTGTTCTCAGACCTTCATATGATCCTAAAGCACATTCTGACAACAGCTTGGCTCTGTAGGAGAAGAGTCCTGGTCTGATGTGGTCCTGAGTCTCTGTTTGTACAAACAGCAGCAGCTCTGGAGGCTCGTTCATGGTGGACCCTCCTGGAGTAAAGATCTGATAACTCACGTAGACGTGAGCTGGACAAACACGCTCTGACCTCCTCGCTGTGACTTGAACAAACATCGTCCGGGAGAAAATGTCGTAATAATGTCCGACAGAAAAGAGATATAGCGATTGGGCCGCTGGTGTCACTTCACGCCGGCGCAGTGAGCAGATGTTGAACTGTTTGGAGAGTTTATGGACCTCCAGACAAACAAAACCATGTTTACCCAAAACCCGGAGATGGTCTGAGGGCGTGGACTCTGCTGGACCACCATGTCTTAAAAAAGTCAGACACAAGATCGCTCCTGGACCTAAATAAAAATGGCCCCTCTGGTGTTCATCTGCTCGTAGTTTGTGATAGTTTAGTCAGGAGGCGACTGAAGGCCGGAGCTGATCTCAGCGCTCCACAGACAAACATGGCGACGGACCGCCCCCCTCCTCAGCGCGGCAACATTCCCCACGTCTGTCAGAAAAACCCCAAATAAAAACAATTAAAGTCAGAGCCAAAAGGACTCTGAGTCTGCAGAGTCGTTTTTATTTATGTCAGGGAGTAACTGGCCAATTCATCCAATCTGTCCGGAGACTATTTTTGTTTCCTCTTATTAGATGATTCGATTTACGGGACAGTTGGAGACGTAATTTTCTATCTTTGTGACCATCTGCTCATGGTCTCCTCAACGTGTTGAATTTCACAAGTGTGCAAAACAGACCAGAACATTTCTATTACTGTCAATTTAGGTGGAAATAGACGTGAGAGAGGAAGAGTCAGGCGGGCTTTTATTTTGAAAATAAACTCATAAAACAGACAAAACACAAGAACAACAAAATAACACAAGAACAACATAAATACAATTCATCACTAACCCAAACTGAGGGATCGTATCACTAAATAAACCAACTACGACCACGACTAAGAAGAGTAACAGGAACATGAAAATAAACCGCACTACAACTACAAACCCAAAAATATAAAAGTCAGAACAAAAAAAACCTTAAAGCTGAAACAAAAAAATCACAAGTCCAAAAATACTTATAATAAAAACAACAACAATAACACAAAAATAACAAAAACAAAAAAATTCAAAAATAACAAAACTGTAAATATAAAAGTCAGAACAAAGACAAAACTCACAACAATGAAAATCACAAATACAAAAAGACTTAGAACAACAACAAACAACAACAACAATGTTTTTACTACAGTTTAAAAAAACAGCAACTTCACAATGATCACGAACACGAACATGGGCACAACACAACAAACAACAACAACAAAGTGACACAACTGCTGCTTAGTCAACAATCACAACCAAAAAATGACAAACACAACAACAGTCAAAACAACCCCGACGACATCCGCAACAATAATCACAACACCCTGTGTGTGTGTGTGTGTGTGTGTGTGTGTGTGTGTGTGTGTGTCCTCATGCAGGTCATTAAAGCAGGTGATTGACCCTGGAGAGAGTCCGGCTGAGGGGACCAAAGAGGACTCTGATGGACCTGAACTGAGGTTTCCAAAAGTGAGAGTCACACACACACACACACACACACACACACACACACACACACACACACTTCTTGTCATAAGTATTTTAAATCAGTCTTAAATTTCGTAGCTTAATTTTCACGTAATAGAATTGCCGAGATATTCAAATTAACACAAGAGAGGCGGAGCTTCCTACATGTTCGTAAAAAGCCGACCTGCCAGCGATATTTTTTTTCGTGGGATGGTAGGGGAAAGTCCCACCTCCTTCGCCTCTGATTGGCTAGAAAAGCTGGAAACATCATCACACGCTCAAGCCAAACGCGGCTGTCGGCTCTGTACATCAAACAGAACATTATCGCACCTCTGAATCTCCTAACCCTGACCCGACAGACGATGACGTTTCACAGCCATTAGGAATAACCAATGGGAGCCCAGCACTTCTAGCCAATCAAAGGCGAAGGAGGGCGGGACCTTCCCCTACCATCCAACAAAAAAAAGAATTTGTGCGCCGCCAGCCACATCCAGGAAACAGAGAGCGCACAGTGAGGCGTCTGCTGAAAGAACGGCGCCCAGTTTTCAGATGCAGATGTTCGATACAGGAAGGTTGACTTAAAGGAACAGTCTGCGGTTTTTGGAGCAGCGTTGTATCAAATATAAACAGTGTTTTTAAAAAGTCCATAAAAAGTTAAAAACAAAAAAACCGAAGTTTTTCTAACTTACAAAAACACATTTATCGGTGCGACCTTCAGCTCCTGGACCTTCATCAGACAGACTCAGACCTTCAGACGTGCTGGATGAAGGTCTCAAACCGAAATCTTACACCAAAGTCCCTCAGGAGGGAACAGAGACACAGAGAGTGTTGATTCAGGTCCTGACAGAGAGGTCAGAGGTCAAGGGAGAGAGCGAGAAAGTGCGAGCTCTGCAGACGAGGTGAGGTTCAGGTGCTGAGGAGGTGAGCACATACCGACAAACATCAGGACGCGTTTTTCTCTCACCTCGGTGTCAGAGCGAGTCTGAGCAAACAGAGGACGAGCCGGAGGAGAGCGGGAGGGAGGAAAACTCTGAGGGGGGAGGAGAGAGAGAGAGAGAGAGGGGGAGGAAATCTCGTCAGCTCGGACCCTCAGTAAAGAAGACCTCCCTCACTTCAGGGTGTCAGAGCTGACCCGCAGAAGTCGACTCTGAACCGAACCTTCAGAATAACCAGACGGGAAAACTGAAGATGTTTTTAAAGAGGTTTACAGGAAATAAAATCAGGATCCAGATGTGATAAAACAGCGAAATGGTCCTTTAGTCGTTTTCCTCTGAGGGTCTGTGGAGGACAACTGATCAATAAAGTTGATTGGCCCACATCAGGAAGTGGTTTAGTGTGACTCTGAACACTGTGAGGGAGGAGAGGCTCCAAACGGGACACCGGGGCTGTGGGAAATGACGCCTGGGGGGGGGGGGGGGGGTCTCTTGAATCACAGACTGATGAACTCACGAGGAAACGAGACTAAAACCCGTGTCTCCTGCAGATGGAGACTCCTGTCTTTGCCGTCCTGCAGAGAAACTTCCAGAAGAAGAAGAAGAAGTCTGACTTGGTGAGAGGAAACAAACTGCTGCTTTTTTATGAGTCAGAAGAAATTAAGAAATATCCAAGTCGACTCTTTTCTTCTCCCTGCAGATCCTCCCTGAGATCCCCAAGAAGAGCCAGAGAGCCGAGATCTACGTGAGGAAACTGAGACTGATGCACCACCTGTGTTTGACCAACATGGTTTTCTCACAGAGGTTCAAAATTAAAACAAGAAATTAAAGGACAAATTCACCGTTTTTAATCCTGAAGGAGGAGATCAGAGTTTGTTTTTCTCTGTGATCTCCAGACTGTTGGACAGAGAGAGAGACTCGCTCTGCTGGCAGGACGAGCGAAGAGGAGGAGGAGGAGGAGGAGGAGGCGATCTGGTTAGTAACACAAACCAGCAAACACAACACAACACAACACAACACAACACAACACAACAGCACACAGCTCTATGGAAGCTAACACCTCACCGTCACCAACTCTCTCTTTTTAACCTTTGTTTTCTTTTTGAGGTCACCATAGCAACAGGCTGTGGGTGTTTCTGTGAGGTTGTTGCGCCACTTCTTCATCCGCTCATTAATGATCATTTTGTGTGTTTTTTTTTTGTTCCACAGACACTTCCAGGTGTGGACTCCAGAGTGAAGACAAACAGACAAACCGAACAGCCGCCTCCCCCCTCAGAGAAACCAACAAAGAGGGTCCCAGTCCCACGTCAGAGACCGGGGTCCTCCAGACAGCCGAGCAGGACCCCCTCAGACAGGTTCATCAGACTCATGATTAACATAATTTAAGGATTTTTACAGACTGAGTTCTTCTGTCCCTCCCTTGTGTTTTCGTTCCTCTGTAGATCTCTCTGTCCGGAGTTCCTCGTTCGTTCCTCTGCAGCAGACTCCAGAAAAACTCCTGATCCTCTTTCTCTTGAAGATTTGTCTCGGCTGAACCACGTACAGGTGAACATGTTCATCAGAATAATCTTATTTTTAACAGACGGAGTTTATTTAAGGGTTTAATTTTGTGATCTCTCTTCAGATTATCGATCAGGAAGTCAAGTTTTGGAGAAACGTCACAGAAGAAGACATCGACGACTAAAGATAAAAACATCACTAAAATAATCTGAACTAACGTCTCTAATACTGCAACCAAGTACAAACACCAAATACTCGATTCTGATTGGTCCGTACCAAACCCTGAGGACCCTGACCGCAGACTTCACACAGATCAAAATAATAAACAGAAGGATTCAGCCGTCGAGGATTTCATCACTTCCTGTTGACCATGTGGCGAAAACTTCACTTTAATATTATTCTCTGTTTATCTGGAGAGAATTGGAGGGTGTTAAAGGGATATTCTGTCACAAAATTAATCTAGGGTCAAACACACCATAACACCGAGTTAGACCCCCCCTCCAGAGATGAATGTTGTCGACCGCTTGCTTCTCTAGTTATACCAACTTTAGTAACGACCGCAGGATAGAAATACAGAGAGACACGCCCCCAACCAAAACGCCACTCTATAGCCACAAATAATGCTCAGAACAGCACCTAACTTCATCAACAGGACATATAGGGTCACAGACATAGTACTAGACACCAAACATCTTTTTAACTTTGACTCATTTCTTTAACAAAGAGACTAAACACAACTCACCTACTCTCTTCCAGCAGACGCTTGTTTGTAGAGAGACCTCAGACCAGTCCATTACGGACTACAGCGGGGTGCCGCAGCTCACATGTCACATGTTCACACTCTCTATTTGATTGTTTATAACTCTGCACTGACACAAGATATGAAAATAACATGAATATGAGACGTTGGTCTTTAGTCTGGTTCACATTTTGTTTGTATTTGATGTATTAATTCAAAGAAATATATAAGAATGTAAGTGTGACAACAAGCCCCGGTCTCCCCTACACTAAATCAGACTCACTCCAGCTGACTCTGTAACTCACCTGAGATATAAAAGATGATGTTTGATAAAGAAAAATGTTTAAAAAGGAGGTTTATTCTGTAGTTTGTCTTTTTAAAATTTAAAGGTTTTCTTAATAAAAACAGAATTAAACCGTCTGAGCAGTAAATTTTTTTTTTTTAAATAAATGTTTTTTATTCTGAAGTTTTTGAGTTTGTAAAGTTTTATTCTTTACTGTCATTTCCATTTTTTTTCTCTTTAAAAGTGACTTAATTCAAAATCACGTGACCCTGTAGCCCTCACGCTCTCAGCCAATCAGAGAAAAGTCCGCAAAGATTAGAGAGAAGACGAGCCAACCACCTCCGGTCTGAACGAAGACCCTGATCTGGACTTTCTCCTCGGACTATAAATCCGGGATCTGCTCACAGTTTCAGGTAAAACCGGATCATTCCTGGAGTCTGAAGGAGTCCGGATCAGGGACTCTGAAGGAGGTTTTAGTTTAAGGGTTTCTGGTCTGGATCTGTTGGACAGGATGACCACAGGGGTCGGAGAGAGTCCGGGGAAGGACGGTTCGTACCGGGTGGACCACCTCCTCAGCGCCGTGGAGAATGAGCTGCGGGCCGGGAGCGAGAAGGGAGACCCCACGGAGAGAGATCTGCGGGTGGATCTGGACGACAGAGAGCTGTGGGAGAAGTTTGAGGAGCTGACCAATGAGATGATCGTGACCAAGACCGGCAGGTGAGACCTGGACCAAGTTTTTAAGGAATTCAGGAGTTTTTACAGAGATATAATAATCTGGTCAATATTTGGAGCAAAGATACAGGACTGTTAAAATCAATCTGATTTTCTGCTTCTATTTAAATGATTATGATTATGACATTTTATTTTATTCATGGAGATCTTTTTTTTTTAAATATTTTAAGACATTTTTAAAGGTTTTTGAATATTTGATTTATATATTTTTTAATCTCCCCCCCAAAAATCCTTAATAAATAAACTGTAAAAAGTCCTTCAGAGATATTGATCATTAAACTGAATTTTTATGAACTAGTTTTTGTGTTAAAAAGAAACTTATTTTTCTTTTTTTTTTTTTTGTCTATTTATGTTCCATAAATACACTAGAAATATGTATTATTTTTTTCTTAACTTATTTTCAATATTCAGGAACCTTCATTTTACAATATGAAGATGGTTTTGTTGAATCTAGGCATATATAAATTTTGGGAAAGTCATTTTTATTGCGTATGAAAACGTGTGATAGATAGATAGATAGATAGATAGATAGATAGATAGATAGATAGATAGATAGATTCACATAGCTAGCTGGTAGATAGCTGAGAAACACAAGAACATCCACAAAGACTGGCACTTAGACTAAAAATATAGACTGTCACACTCATATCTCTTAAACAACTTTAGCCCTGACTATTAAAGCTGAATATTTATTCCAATAATTTGCTTTTAACCAGATAAATTTTATAACTGACTGATGCCCCACAAAAAAATTAGACCAAACTTAGTAAGAGTAAATAGTTTAGTTTAAACTACAGGAACTCAAGCTAGAGTGTTTTAGATTGGATTGTTGAAATAGAAAGAGAATTCATCTGCTGACTTTAGAGCTAAAACAGCAAAGAATGTGAAAATTCACAGAAGTCTAGTGAAGGGAAGAGGATGATGAATATAATCAGATATTTGTTTTTTTGCTGATATTGGACCGATATCAATATCAGATAGGGACACCCCTAATATTGACAAGACAGTCTAGCTGCAGACCTCCACCTCCACTGAGCGAATCGTAAGTTATTTGAAGCCTTTCAAAATAAAAGCAAATAAACCGGGAGTACGTTTCTTTTTTTTTTTACATCCAAAGTTTACTCAAAGCCTTTTGAATTAAAAGCGATTAGACCGGGAAGTACATATTTTTTGTCTTGTGTGAATATCATTTTTTTTCTTGGGGCTTTATTTTATGTTTATAATATAACTACGATTTTTTTGTTTATTCATGTGTTCGACAAAGACAAAAGACAAAATGGGATGACCACTTCAAACAAACTGGAGCACGTGAGAAATAACGTTACCTCGGGGCCTCTCAGTGGAGGTCTGTAGCCAGACCCCTCTCAATATTGACAGGCCTACAGTAGTTCAGAGTATTAGTGAGAGAGAAACAGACAATGAGTCAGAGCGCTTTTAAGGAGCTTTTAATTAAAAGCCTTGTACAAGAAACACACAGAAAGCAACAACAGTAACAGTTAACATGACACTGGATACATAATCTGTACAATAGGGGTTCGCAAAACATGCTTCAGAAGTTCAGATACATTACAACGTCATCATTATCCTCCTCCTTATTACCATCAATACAATGTACATAATTCATATTAGCATGAAAGCAGACCTAACTGCAGTCTTAACACATTAAAATCAGTTTACCTTTTAATCAAACCCATTATGGACTATTGAGAAATGGCGCTCAAATGACAGCATCATATCAACATCATTATGCGTATAGAATAGAATATTCCTTTATTGATCCCCCATGGGGGAAATTTTTTAAAGCAGGGCTCGTCCGGGATTTGAACCCGGGACCGCTCGCACCCTAAGCGAGAATCATACCCCTAGACCAACGAGCCATATTTCAAAATTAATATTAAAGTACAGTGCAAATAGCTTGGCCGGGCCATCCTGTTGCGTGATTCACGCAACAGGACAACAACATCTGTGATGAGCACAGAAATCCAATAACAAAGCACCACTCAGGTTCAGATCAGGGGAGCCGTTCCTCCCAATCACGCCCCTCTGGGTCTCACTGTTGTTGGCAACATGGGCGTTGAGGTCCCCCAGCAGAACAAGGGAGTTTTCCGAAGGAGCACTCTCCAGCACCCCTTCCAAGGACTCCAAGAAGGGTGGACACTCTGAGCTGCTGTTTGGAGCGCAGGTACAAACAACAGTCAGGATCCGTCCCCCCACCCGAAGGTGAAGGGAGGCTACCCTCTCGTCCACCGGGGTAAACCCCAACACACAGACACAGAGCCAAGGAGCAATAAGTATTGCAACCCCTGCCCCGCACCTCTCACCAGTGGCAACTCCAGAGAAGAAGAGAGTCCAGCCCCTCTCGAGGGGTTTGGTTCCAGAGCCAACACTAGGTGTCGAGGTGAGTCCAATTATATCTAGCTGGAACTTCCTCGGGCGAGAGAAACTCGGTGCCAAATATTTGTCCATTATAAGGAGTCTGTTTGAGCTACCCTTAGTCTGATCCCTCCCCCAGGACCTGTTTGCCATGGGTGACCCTCCAGAGGCATAAAGCTCCAGGGATCATTGGGACACACAAACCCCTCCACCACGGTAAGGTGGTAGCTCGAGGAGGGGATATACCAATATATATATATATATATATAGATATATATTTATATATATATATATGTATGTATATATATATATACATATGTATATATATTATGTATATATACATAATTTTTTTTTGTTTTGTTTATTGTTTTTTTTTAAAAGTGGCTAATTAACCTAATTAACCTGTGGGAGGAAAATGGAGCACCTGGGGTAAACCCATACAGCACAGGGAGATCATGCAAACTCCACACAGAAATGCCCTGACCTAGATTTGAACCCAGGACATATGGCATAAAGCTCCTGGGATCATTGGGACACACAAACCCCTCCACCACGGTAAGGTGGTAGCTGGAGGAGGAGTTTATTTTGGGGGTTTTTGTTTCGTTATGTTTTTAAAGGTTTTTTTTAAAGTGGTTAATTAACCTAATTAACCTGTGGGAGGAAACCGGAGCACCCGGAGTAAACCCATATGGCACAGGGAGAACATGCAAACTCCACACAAAAACGCCCTGACCCAGATTTGAACCCAGGACCTTCTAGCTGTGAGGCTAGAAGTCACTAGCATGAAGTACTTTTGGTCTTTTTCTTATTGTCCTTGTCCTTTTTGAAGAGGTTGCGGAGGTAACGCCAGCAGAAACAGCCGGAATCAGGAGCGTGAGAAGGATGTTCTTGCTCGCCATTCGACATAACTGGGAAGTTGGCATGGGACGGGCGAACAGCTATATTTGGTTCTGGCGCTTGAACAGGGCTGACTTTTTTCTTTCGCCAAGCAGTCAAACGTTTCCAAAAGCTTGCCTTCTTCGGGATGTGTTCATCTCTGGCCGTACTGTCTTCTTCTGGGTCAATCTCTGAACTTTTCTTATATGTCTTCATTTTGATGGCCATGGCTCGGCCCGTGAGGGTGGACCGCATGGTTGCAATAGCCAAGGCCAAAGTCGTTTCGTTTATTGACAACTTGCTACTGGCTGGAGAAGTGTCACAGAGGTTCTCTGCCAGTGGAGCTTGAAATGGGACAGTGTTCACTTCTTGGAGGACCTCTGCTGCTGATGCATTGCCTAATTCTGGTGAAATCGTTACTTGGGTGTCAACACCAAGAGCATCAAGGAAAACTTGTTTGAAGATCCTGTCAAAATCACTCTGTCTGATGACTGAGTCTGCGCTGTACTGCAGGACATCAGTGCACATCTTGACCAGCTGCTCCTTCCCAGGAATGTTGAACACTCCTTCACGGACTTCTCTGTATTGCCTGAAAATACAAAAACACAGAGTTAGACACAGATGTTCATGCACACAGATGTTCATGCACACAGATGTTCATGCACACAGATCCCAATAATAGATCCAAGTGTATATTATAAGTTTCACATAAGACACGATCAATGATAACTTACTCGTCACTGAGACTTTGGAAGAATCTTGTTATGATGGCAGCAATATCCAAATTTTCAAGGTCAATTACTACGTCTGCTGCTGCTTCATGTGGTTTGGCTTCTTTAGCTTCCTCCAGGCACTGGTCAGATTTGGTTGAAGCTTGTCTTTCATCCCCACTGTCTGTTTTGACAGAATCTGGATCCATGGGGCTCTTTGTTGGCTGTCCTCCAGCTTCGGACTCCTCACTCTCTTCTGATATGTAGGGTGAGACCTGAATTCGCAGGATGGTTGGTGTTGGATCCACCCTGGCAAAATCAGTTTCATCGGTATTAGAAGCAAACGTCACCTCCTCTGGCAACTCCTCTGAACTTTCAGATGCTGATGCGCATTCTTCGGGTTTTCTCGGATGGGCATAGCACTGCGCAGGTTCGGTTGAGGCTTCCTCCTCAGATTTACGGACATCGTTCTTCTTCTCACCAATGCAGGTCTCCTGAACCCCCTTGTAAGAGGAGAGTCTTTCATCCTCACTGTCTTTTTCGACAGAATCTGAAACCATGGGGCTCTTTGTTGGCTGTCCTTCAGGTTCGGACTCCTCACTCTCTTCTGATATGTAGGGTGAGACTTGAATTCGCAGGATGGTTGGTGTTGAATCCACCCTGGCAAAATCAGTTTCATCGGTATTAGAAGCAAACGTCACCTCCTCTGGCAACTCCTCTGAACTTTCAGATGCTGATGCGCATTCTTCAGGTGTTCTCGGATGGGCATAGCACTGTGCAGGTTCGGTTGAGGCTTCCTCCTCAGATTGAGGGACATTTTGCGTCTTCTCACCAATGCAGGTCTCCTGAACCCCCTTGTAAGAGGAGAGTCTTTCATCCTCACTGTCTGTTTTTACAGAATCTGAATCCATGGGGCTCTTTGTTGGCTGTTCTTCAGGTTCGGACTCCTCACTTTCTTCTGCAATGTGGGGTGAGACTTGAATTCGCAGGATGGTTGGTGTTGGATCCACCCTGGCAAAATCAGTTTCATCTGTATAAGAAGCAAACTTCACCTCCTCTGGCAACACCTCTAAACTTTCAGATGCTGATGCGCATTCTTTGGGTTTTCCTGGTTGGGCATAGTGCTGCGTGGGTTTGGTTGAAGCTTCCCCCCCATATTTAGGGACATTTTGCTTCTTCTCACCAATGCAGGTCTCCTGAACCCCCTTGTAAGAGGAGAGTCTTTCATCCTCACTGTCTGTTTTGATGGAATATGGATCCATGGGGCTCTTTGTTGGCTGTCCTCCAGCTCCAGACTCCTCACTTTCTTCTGCAATGTGGGGTGAGACTTGAATTCGCAGGATGGTTGGTGTTGGATCCACCCTGGCAAAATCAGTTTCATCGGTGTAAGAAGCAAACTTCACCTCCTCTGGAAACACCTCTGAACTTTCAGATGCTGATGCGCACTCTTTGGGTTTTCTCGAGTGGGAAAAGCGCTGGGCAGGTTTGGTTGAAGCTTCCCCCCCATATTTAGGAACAGTTTTCTTCTTCTCACCAATGCAGGTCTCCTTAACACTGTTGTAAAATGGTAACCATGGTGGCTTTTGTTCCAGGTCAGATTTAGTTCTCCTCAGAGGAATGACATTCCTAGAGGTCTGCAGGGTAATCAGACTTCTGATAGCCACATCACAGGTTTTGTCTGTCTTGGTGGCCTGTGATGGGCCCTTTGACTTCTGAGTGACTCTGCCTGCCTGGTTAGATGTTGATACGCCTTCTTTGGGTTTTCTCGTGTGGGAATAGCGCTGTGCACTTTTGGTTGAAACTTCCCCCTCAGATTTAGGGACATTGTTCTTCTTCTTCACAGCATTTGTTTTGGCAGTCTTGGTTGCCTGTGATGTGCCCTTTGACTTCTGAGTGAGTCTGCCTGCCTGGTCAGATGCTGAAGCACCTTGCTCTCCGAGAGTTTGAGCTGTGCATTCCATCCCCTCTGGGATGAGCTCCTTGAGAAGCCCACTGAGTATCTCAGATCTACCTCTGTCTTGTGGACTTGAAGTTGAAGCCTAGAGAAAAAACACAAACAATGTTTTAATCACTGAAACCCTTCCATCAAATAAAAATATCTACTTTCTCATATCATGCCATAAGCCGTGTCTAATGCTGCATTCGAGTTACCTCGGAAGTCAAATGTCGGAGCTGAAATGACGTCACACCCAAGTTCCCAAGGTTTCGTTACAAAGTCAGTAAAAAACAAAATCGGAGGACTGAAACAAGATGGCTACATCTACGAAAGTTATTGAAGTGCTTACCTTATATTCAGACAAGGCAAGCGATGAAATAAGTTTCGTAGATGTAGCCATCTTGTTACCGCCTCCGATTTTGTTTTTTTCCAACTGAAACACTGGGAACTCGTGACGTCGTTTTTAACGCTGACTTCCAAGGTAACTCGAACACAGCATAAGTCCTGAATCACAAATTTTCTTTTTGCATAGGTTGTAACAACACATTTACTGTTTTTGCCTTCCCTCTGTTATTAAATATTTTTCATTTAGGATGTTTTGGCAGTTGAGAACAATGTTTTAATGTAATTTTTTTTTCTAAATTAAATCGCCTTATCCTCAGACTATTATAACTTTTTAAAAATATAAGATTTTTTCCTATTGTGTAAGGCAGGGAGGATAAGCATCAATTCATCTTGCTAAACCACAGATTTACACTATAAATGTAATTTTATAAAAGCAATAACAACCTAAGTTTTTAAAAAATCCTATCAGACAAATGGTTTCACTTTTAAACTAACATAAAGTTAATGGTTTTGATGGAGCCGTCATATACTTACCAGTCTTTGTGCACTCATTTTCGATTGTCTTGTGTTCTTCTTGGATTAAAATGTCTATTTAAACTCTGAGGTTCTCTCTCAGTATGAGGTTCTCTCTCAGGATATTCTCTCTCAGGATGAGGTTGTTTCATACATCTCTCAGCAGTTGAATCTGTCTGTGAAAGTGACGTCACCGTCACCGCCTTCAAAGGCGAAGTGACGTCACCGCCTTCAAAGGCGATCTGACATCACCACCTTCGAGGACGTCACATTCCGTGGTGACGTCACGCAGTGCACTGAGGGGAATCCCCTCGACGTTCCATCCATATGGGCTGTGGTCCCGCCCCCTTTTCAGTGAAACCTGTCAATCAAAATCAGCAAATGGAAACTCCAGAGTATTTGGCAGTTTAATGGTTTAAAATAACAAAACTTGATTTTGAAGCAGTGATTGAGAGTCCAAATCCAGCTGCCAGTTTGGCACATTTTAATCTATTTCATTACAGCCTTTAACCCTTAAACTTATCAATAGATAGATAGATAGATAGATACTCTACGAACACAAAAAGGAAGTAGTTTTTAAAACTTAAAAATAAATGAAAGATCAAAAATGTGAAAAACTTTAGATTAATTCCAATAAACTTTATTAGTGTTTCCTGTTTTGATTCAGGAGGATGTTTCCGGTTCTGAAGGTGAACGTCTCCGGGTTGGACCCGAACGCCATGTACTCGTTCCTGCTGGACTTCGTGTCCGCGGACAACCACAGGTGGAAATACGTGAACGGGGAGTGGGTCCACGGGGGCAAACCCGAACCTCAGACCCCCAGCTGTGTGTACATCCACCCGGACTCTCCGAACTTCGGGGCGCACTGGATGAAGGTTCCGGTCTCCTTCAGTAAAGTCAAACTGACCAATAAACTCCACGGAGGAGGAAGAGGAGGACAGGTGAGGAGGAGCGGAAGAGGGAGACTGCAGATTATTACTCCTGCACCTGAAGGTTTCACCTTAACAACGTTCGTCTTTGGTTTTCCAGATCATGCTGAACTCCCTCCACAAATACGAACCTCGGATCCACATAGTCCGGGTCGGAGGTCCGAGGAGGATGCTCACCAGCCACTCTTTCCCGGAGACTCAGTTCATCGCAGTGACAGCGTACCAGAACGAAGAGGTTGGCTGAAAATCCTTCGATACCATCTTTAATGCAAAATCTGTGCGTAATTTACGCACAGCTGTTCACCATCGTTCATAAAGTGTACACATGGATAGTTGGTTTGTGAGCTGCAGACTTAGGTGATGAGTTTTCCTGCTTTCTTCTCTTCCTCTGATCACTTTAGAGCTCTTTTCTAAACCGTTTGATCGGTTCATGATCTTTTCTGTTTCTATTTTCAGTCCAAGTCTCATTTTTATCCTCCTGAAGATCTTGAATGTGCAGCTGACATAAAACAGCAGACTTTGTTTTCGGTTGTTGTTCCTGAACTTTTCTCCCAGAGGACCGTGGACACTCTGGATGTTTTTAAAAAGCAGCTGAAGACTCGGATGTTTGGATTTGCTTTAACTTGAGCTGCATATATCTGCTCTTATTGTTTATTATGTCTTTGTTTCTTTCTATCGGTATTTTTGAATCTTTAATGATCTGGTTTATAAAATCCTGATTATGTCCTGCACTTTAATTTTAGATCACTTCTCTGAAAATCAAATATAACCCGTTTGCCAAAGCCTTCCTGGATGCAAAGGAGAGGTAAGAAAAGTTCTTCAGATATTTCCCTGATTTTAAGATTTATAAAAGTTTAAATTATTTTGTGTTTTTTTTAGAGGTGAAAGCAAAGACATGAGAGAGGAGAACGCTGAGAACCAGCAGTCGACCTACAGTCAGTGTAAGTTTGATCATCATTTACACATCAGGGATGGACTCAAAGGAGAGTAAGAAAGCCACATCAGAGAGCTCTTCAGTGCCGTGTTGGAGTTAATATCAGACCCACTCAACTTTACATTAAAATTCACTTAATAAAAATACACTGGTAGTTTTTTCTTGAGTCTATGTCTAAAAATGAATTCTCTGTTTACATATCATCGACTGGAAAAGAAGAAAATTCTCTCAGAGTTAAAAAAAAAAGGAAGTAAAATGTAAACAAAGGGCTGTTTCAGAAAAATATAAACAGAGTGCCAACAGGGTCTCTGCTTAAATGTAAACAAAGTTCTGTTTGAATAAGAGAGGTGGTCTCTGTTTGCCTCTTTAGGGAGTTAGATAAGATATTTTCTATATTTGTGTGTAAAATGTAAACAGAGTTCCCTCCAGTCATTCTCCAGCCTCTCATATGTAAACAGAGCGCCCTCTAGTTGCTCTTAAAGTGTATTTCATGAGCCTCTCTGGTCGCCATATGAATCTTTTCAAATGTAAACAGAGCGCCCCCTGGTTTCTCTGAAGAATTTCCTGGCTGGTACTTTGGTCTGTTGTGTTGTTAGGTGACGTTTCCAGCAGGTGCCCCTTCAGTCTGATCTGCCCCCGCGCCTCAAACATCCTGAGTACGTCTCTGCTGCTCTGGTTTCATGTAGTCTCTCTCTCTCTCTCTCTCTCTCTCTCTCTCTCTCCTGTTTAGGTGGATGGTTCCCCGGCTCAGGTCCTCACAGCCAGTTTGGAAACCTCATCTCCCTGTCTCCGTCCCACGGCTGTGAGCGTTACTCCACCCTGAGGAACCATCGCTCCGCCCCCTACGCCGGTCCCTACACCCATCGGACCTCCTCGCCCAGTGAGTGTCCGCCTCCTCCACCTTTATTCGGGACTTTCGCCACTTCCTCTCCGTCTGTTAACGACCAGCTCAAACAAACGTCTCGGAGCGTGGATGTTTAACATTCCTCTGCTTTTGTGTGAAGGAGCCGAGGAGCTGTAAACACTCGGGCTGTAAAGACAGGAAGTTATAGGAGCGGGAAAAACTAGATCTACAAAAGGATCAGGAGTTTTGAAAGGGGGACAAGACAGGACCGCATCATTCCAGGACTCTTCTCCTACAGAGCCAAGATGTTGTCAGAATTTGGATGCAGCATCTGTGATTTCTAGTTCTTCATTGAAAGGATTTTCCGTCCTTTCCGAGAGTGTTAGATTTTGATCCATCAGACCTCAGGACAGTTCACAGATATTAAACCCCTGATTGGTTGTGAGGCAGACGCTGCTCCCCCGTGTCATTCAGGAGCCCAAACAAAGTTAGCGTGCTACAATATCGGACAGTAGAAACCAACCAGAAAGTTCGGAAAATTGTCGGAATCCTCCTTTGGCCACGACTGCCAACACAAGCAAGAAAACAAAGTAAATACCGGAGACTCTGGAGGAATAACGGGCGCTTAAAACGGGGGTAGACCGGACAAGAGCTAAAAAGCCGGGTCAACATAAACGATGGGGGACGCTTGGGGATCTTGGTGACCCTGTAACCTTTCTGCTGGACAGGTAAACCGCTTTAACAAAGTAAGACAAGTGTCTGTAACAGAAGTGTTTCTTGTCAAACGGACCTGCTGTAGCGTGTTGTAGCGCCATCGCTAAACTGTCCTCCCTCGGGTCCTGGACTATGTCACTTTATCCTCGTTGTAGAAGTCCTGCAAACATTGTGTTTGCTGGTAGTCTGTTGGCATCTACAGTAGCACCAATGCTTTTGACTTTCACCTTGACTGGGCCCCATTTGTAATGATCTGAAGGATTGATCTGCATTATATCTGAATTTAACTGGAACGATACGAGCGAGCAGGAGCGTCTGTTTGTGGGCGGGGCTTGAGGGGAGAGGAGGAGCTGAGGGGAAAACTGGTTGGGAGGGGTAGAGTTTACATTCAAGATTTCTCCTAAAAACTGGGACTAACTCAGATCCTGACTACACCACCTTTAAAGACTCTCTTTTCCTGGTCTCTCCTCCAACCCTGAAACCCTCACAGGGACCTGTCAGAAGGTCCTGGATCTCACAGTTTTAAGGATCGACTCCCTGACTCTCTCTCTTCTTCGTCTCTCTCTCTCTCTCTCTCTCTCTCTCTCTTGTTTCAGGTGGTTTCTCTGATAACTCGTCCACCTGTCCGTCGATGTTCTCCAGCCATGAAAACTGGTCCGGACTCCACATGTCGCCTAACTTCGGCCTGATGCCCGTGACTCAGAACCCGAACTCTGGGACCACCTCCAGGTCTGTGAACCAGAAGAAGATCTAAAGCAGAGAAAACTCTGAGTGTCCTCACTTTGACCTCATACAGACCCGTCCCTGTCTCTGTCCCTGTCCCTGATTCTGGTCCTGATCTCACTCAGTCTCTCTGTGTCTCTCTCCAGTCCGTACAGCGGTCTGTGGTCCGTCAGTAACCCCCCCTTGACTCCAGGGTCTCAGACCGGCAGCCTGACCTCCCACTTCCTCCGGGGCTCCAGCAGCCATTACCCTGGTCTGTCCCACTCAGCCACAGCGCCCTCCTCTGGCTCTCCTCTGTATGACAGCAGCACTCCCTCAGAGGTGCAGGACTCGGCTCAGTATGACACGTCTCCACACCGACCAATAACCTCAGCCTGGACTCCTGTGACTCCGCCCCCTCTCTGACGGAGACGGGGCTGCAGGTCTGATCTGAAGAGGATTTTTAAAGATCACAGAGACTTCCTGTGGACGGGGAAACAACCTGGAGGAGTTACTGGTTTTTAATTTTTCAGCCTCTTCAATATTTTAACAAACTTTCTACACCGTCGTCTTAAAGCTGCTTATATGAAGCTCAGCTCTGATTCTTACAGCAGGAGAGAAATGTTCAACAAGTCTGTTCAGAGTGTAAATTATCTCATTATTTTATGTTTGTTTGTTTGTTTTTTACTGTGAGGAGTTTTCAATCAATCACTAAGTCTTTTTTGTTTTGCACTTTTCATACAAAACCAATAAAAAAAAACAACCAAAGAAACAAATTCAAACAAATTGTTTTAAAATTCAAGATCAGGAAACTCTGGAGGTTTAAAATCTAAGAACAAAGTAATATCAAATGAAATTTAAGAAATAATAAATAAACTGAAATAAAAACAGCAATAAAAGAAACTAAAATAAGAGCACTAAAACAGCTCAATAAAAGACGATCCTGTTATTAAAATTATCCCTTTAATGCCTGAAACCACAAATCAGGGTCAGAAAACTCACATTTTCTTGGAGCTGAAATGTTTATTTATTTACTACTGAAAACCCCAAAAATCAAAATGTCCTTAAAATTTAACAAATATATTCATTCATCTTGTTTGATTCATCAGATGTTTTTGAAAACTAATAAACTAAAAGAGAACATCTTCATCATTTATGAGACTGTATTCAGGTGTTTTTTTTTAGTGATTTATTGATCAGATTGATTTGATAGAAGTTTATAAAAGTATGAATCAAATATGAAACAAAAGGCAATAAAAGGTCAGAAGATATAAATGCTAAAACACCTCAACAAAGTTAATGATATAAAAATTTAGTTAAAAGCAAATCTAAAAAGTTACGTTTTCAGTTTTCTTTTAAAATCAGGACATTTTACTGATTTTGTGACTTTCTCTCTCTGCAGCAGCAAAGACCCTCTATGTAGAGCTGCCTGCCCCTCTGTGTGCATACAGGCCTGTTAAAGCCTGGAGCAGGTAGAGCACACCTCCGCTCTGTTTCACCTGAGTACATGAGAAATCTCATGACAGCAGTTCTTACATTTACAGATCTTCATTTCTTCAGTTTGATCGTCTGCCTCATATTTGTGTTTTTTCACAGTCGAACAGTTTGGAGGTCTGACAGCCGCTCTGTGTGAAGATCTCAAAGTTCTGAGAGCTGAATAGAGTTCATGTATTTCCGACCAAACCTGAAAAGATTTCCACCCTTTCTCTCTGAATCTCTCCGTGTTCAGGGGTCAGAAGAGTCGATTCTGTGAATTCATGAACCCTGATCCAAACAAAGGTTCAAGTCTACGGCTCAGAAAGTCCCTCAAAGTCCTCCTCAGGCTGGTAATCAGATTTCTGCTGTAAATATAGATCCAGACCTCCAACAGGGGTGAAGGTCTAGTTCAGCCCCTCACGGCGCTCGCTCCGAGAGGATGAAACGGCGTTTGGCACACGTGGGTGAGGAAGGACATCCATGTGCGTTTGTCGTCTGGGATTGTCCGGACGGAGTGACGGTGAGGGTGAGAAACCCCCTCCGAGTTTAACAGTTGGCCTCTGTTCCCTCCACTGACATGAGGTCAGTTTGGTCCTGAAGGTTATTAGTGACACATGACTGTCTGTGCGTCAGTCCGCGGTCTGACTGTGGACCAACGAGCCGGGACACAGATTCAGACGGGAGCGGGATCCAAAGTTCACATGTTCAACTAAAGTCCTGCTGAAGAGCTTTGAGTGAAATCAGACTGAAGGTTAAAATGACAAAAACTGAGAAATATGATAAAATAACTTCAGTTTAATAATCTTTACAGAAGGATCAGGATCATAGACAAGGCAGTTCAGAAAAAATACTAAAAGAGATAAAAACCATCTAAAATCAGAAAGACATTTTAAAATCATTATAACTGTTGAAATTGACAGAAAACAGTAATTTACTGTCATGTTTCTACCGTTAAGATCATCCTGTAGAGAAAACCGACCCCTGAGAGCGCCCAGTGAGGGGGAGGGGCTTAGAAGAGAAGAAATCCAGATTTTTTTAGGATTAAAACCAGAATTCTATAAATAAATGACTTAACTTTGGTTTATAAGATTTAAGTCAGAATTCTAACTCACAAAATCTAAATTAAATCAGTAACTTTCAGACTAAAGTTAGTTCTGTTTTGAACCTGTGAGATTAAAGTCTGAATTTTGTCCTTTTACTTTGAATTTTTCTGATTTTCTGTCTTTGAAACTGAAAATTAAAAGTTGAATCCTTTAGAGTAAAATCTTAATTCAGATTTCCTCTCTCAGAATATTTAAGTCTAGATCCTGACCTTTTCTCGTGGATCAAACTTCTAAAATAAATCGGAATATTGATGTAAACATTAAAATTGTCTTTTATTTCTCAGAATTTGAAGATAAACTTTACAGTTTAGATTTTTTTCCTGGTTATTGGAGATAAAAAATTTAATTCTAAATTAAAGCCAAACTTTTTACTCCAAAATCTCAGATTAAAGTCTGAATTCTTAGTCTAAAGTTTTTATTCTGATTCATCATCAGATTATGAGATTACACTCGAAGTTTTGAGACTTTACTCAGAATTTTTTTCCAGATTAAAATCAGTTTGTAGATGATAAAGTCAAATATTGACTATTTCATAAAACTTTATGATCAAATTTGTTAGGTGTTGTGCATAAGTGGACCCAGAGCAGAGGCTGAATCAGATCAGGATTTCAACAAACAGTGATTTTTATTTACATGTGAGTAAAAAGTGAACAAGGCAATGATGGTGGTGGTGGCGGGAGCTCGTGGAGACCTGGAAAAAACGAGAAAGAGAGAAGGAGTTAGTCCAGGGGTAAAAACGGGCATGAATCCACCACAATCATCAAGAAGTGAAGCACAAGATAATCTCCGTGAGGGGAGAAGAGGCTTAAGGCCAGCACAAACGTAGTGAACGAACCACTTAGTCAGGCAATCAGCCAGCACTGAGAAGATTCCTCCCTGGGCTCTTGTAGGCAGGTAATCAGACCGGAATTAGCAGCAGGTGAGGTCTCCAGCAGGTGATCAGCTCCCGCGGTGCCACCCATGCAGGAAGTGAAGAGAGGGACCCTGAGCAGCCTACAGCGCCGCTCAGGCGAAGTGGAAAAAGGGGGAAAGACAGCCCGAGAGGGGAGGGCAAAGAGGAGCAAAACTGGAGGACTGGGGACCAGTCCTCACAAAATTCTGAATTCTGATTTTTTTTGTTATAATTCTGAGATCAAAACAAAGATTTAGACTTTTCTCCCTATAATCCAGATTAAAATCTGAATTTTGACTCCTAATCTGTGATTTCAGTCAGAATTCTGACTTTTCTCTGAATCTGAGATTAAAGTAAAAACATGTTAAATAAAGTCTGGATTCTGATTTTAGATTTTTCTGGATGAGTTTTAAACCTGCTCCTCGTCTGTCAGGTTCAGGGTCCGTCAGATTAAAGACCCTCGGCTCTGATTAAAGGTCGATGAAGAAATCAGATCTGAGTTTTAGTTTCTGAACGGCGTTAAACTTTAGTTTTTCAGGTCGAGTTTTGAGGAACTGAAACGGTGACTGTAGAGACGACTCAGTCTCAGTCCTCAGTCTCCCCCTCACGACCACCGACCGTCTCCACCTCGGGGATATTTATAGTAAACAGGAAGCTGTGTGTTGGATTGACGCTCCTCGCCGCTGTGACCTGAAGTGACTCTGAAAGTTTGGTGGTGATGACAGAAAGTTTGTTGGTCTGTAAATCAATTATCTGTGTTATTTACAGACTCTCTCCTGCTCCGGTCTTCGCTCTGACGTCGTCTCTCGGTTATTTATAGACGCAGTCGCTCTCATGACGAAGTGGACCAGGATGCTGCTGCTGCTGCTGCACAGCCTGATGTACGGAGGAGGACCACGGAAAGACTGAGGTCTGAAGACTGACGAAGGAGTCCGGAAACAGGATCTGAGGCTGATCCAAGACTCAGGACTGAGTCACGGACCTCCTCTGAGTTACTGTACGGGATGACCTTTGACCTTTAGAGCTCTCAGGGTGTTTTAATGCTGCAGGAAGTTTTGGGCGACAGATCGGAGCGACATATCCAGAATGATCGCTGAGTTCTGGGGCGGGTCCAGATGGTTCTGACTGAGGAGGTCAAACTAATGCAGACAAATTCAGAGGGAGGGGTTTAATCTGAAAAACTACAGTAGGGGAGGGTGGGGTAGGATGATCCATGTTTCATATTTGGGATCACTACATCAAGTCAACCCTAGTGTGGGTGCAGCTCCGTCTAATGTTCGAAGACCCTCTCAGGTGACTCTACAGAGCCTGAAGTCGACGCGTGTTTCCAAAACAAAACGCCAAAGTCGTCGATCTTTCCTGTCTTCAATTTACTTGGAGGTTTACTTTGCATAAGAAAACGGTACTTTTTACTACTAATAATGACAAAATCGAGATGTAAAAACGGTCAAAAACTATCGTACTCTCAAAGACCCACAGCTGCACTAATTACTCAAGAAAAACCTGCAGGTCTCACATGACATGTCTCCTCCAATAGGAGAGCTGCAGGAGTAATCGGCTTCAATTAAACTTAAAAGTAAAACTAAACAACTGTTCAGAATTCTAATCAGGATAAATAAATAAATGAAATAAAATAAAAATAATAAAATAAATAAATAAAAATAAATAAATAAATAAAAGACTAGATCGGAACACTGTATCGGCTTCATTCATCAGATATCTGATCCAAATATCAGATCGGTGCGTCCATACTTCTAACCTTCACAGACTCCATGAATTGATGACCATCTCCTCAATATTTGGTCACATGATCAATTTCCTTGACCATTTCCAAGAAACAGGGGGAAACAGGGTTTAGTTACTCTAGTTTATTTGGACAAAAACATCTTCCTGTTGACTCTCACTAAAGGGTTTAGTTACTGTAGTTTATTTGGACCAAAGTTTCACTCCTTGATGTTTCATCTGAAGTTCATGTTTTTATTTATTTATTTAAATTATTTTAAAAAAATAATTTGAAAAAATCTCTCAGATCCGCGTGGACAGCCTCCCTCCCTCCCTCCCTCCGTGGGGGGCGCTGTTCCTCAAAGTCCACCTGTCATGACCTGACGTAACCCCGACGTAAGGACGTACAGGTGGTCCTCTCAGGTTTTCCGGGGTTCACGCTCCGTGGGTTCAACACGCCGAGATTTACTGAAGACCAGAACTTTATCAGACCCCGGAGCGAACCGGGACAACGGTTCTGAGTCCAAATCCAGGTGAGCTGCAGGATCAGGACGACAGAGACCAGGACCGGGTTCAGCTTCTGCTCCGAGTTCGGATTACTGTGAAAGTGGACCTGCTGGACACCTCAGAGAAAAACGGATTAATGGGGACGTTTCCGGTCCGGATTGAAGCAGGTTCGGATGAAGATCGACAGGTGAGCCAAGACCAGCAAGAGGTGAGTGTGCGCGCGCGCGCGTGTGCAGAAGTAGAACCGGATCTGTTCTGATGGGGGACAGGGGTCCAGTCCAGGGGAAACTTCAGGAGTTCAGATGTTCTCAGAGTTCCGGTTTTTGTTCATGTCTGAGTGATGAAGTTTAATTTAGACTGAGATCATCTCTGAGATCATCTCCTCTGTGATTTTAACCCTTTCATTCATTAACTATCAGGTCTGCAGATTTTATTCCTCTTATAAAAAACTGTCATTTAAATTTTTGTCAAGAATCTATTTTTCATGGAGTCACAAAAATGTCCGTTCAGCAGGACACCGTAAAGATAAAACATGAATTTAACAAACAGACTAGAGAAAACGATCTTCTGATAAAACTGTGATGTGAAAACCTTTTCAGTTCAGCTCATTTAACGTCGTCTTAGATTTGAACACATTTTCAAAACGTTGACCTTCGCTCTGAACTCATGAACTGCAGATTTCTTCTCCAGAAAGTTGAATTTAGACCGAAATCATCTCTACTTTTCTGTGATTTTAAAGTTTCAGTTTTTAAAATCTCAACAAGAACTGTTTAGATCAGGGTTCAAGCTGGGCCCCCCTCAAAGATGGTTCAGTGCAGGTGGATTATAAACCTGCTGGAGCTGGATGACTTCACCTGAGTTTAGCTTCAGATGTTCAGACTGTTCAGAGAGATTCACTTGTAACAGAAACAGATCTGTTCGTGTTTCTGAGGTCGTCCTGTCTTGTTTTTCTCATTCTTTGATTGAAAGTCTTTTAACGTTCTCTCTTATTATCAGTAAAAAGGACAGAAACAGTCTGAACCAGATCGTCAAAGTCTGCTCCAGAATCACCAGAGTTCTTCTTCTGATGGACCGGAGCTCTCTCTGGGAGGAACGAGAGGTCCAGTCGTGTTGTGTCGTTCATGAACGATTCGTTTAAAAGAACCGAATCAGATCTCCGTTAAACGGCGGTGTGGTGTCATGAGCTGCTGTGAAATCTGGTGAACACAGGTGTGTCTATCAACTTTAGTAACGACTGCAGGATAGAAATACAGAGCGGTCTGAGGAGACACTTGTTCATCTCTAGTTATTTTAGTAAAACCGCAGATAGAAATACACAGAGGTCGACACTTGTTCATCTCTTAATTTGATGTTTTATTTTGTGTCTGTGCCCGACTTCCTTTCCAGCACGGGTTAATCTGTGCTGAATTTATCCGCCATGCTCCGGCGTCCAGAAAAACTAGAACTCTTGAGATCAGCTGAGGAGTCCGGCGATCCTCAGAGGAACGGAAAGAAGTCGGTGTAAATTGACACGTTAACTTGAATGGTTACGATCAGCTACGATCGGAGGATACCACCTTTTAGGAGACGATCTGGATGCAATGGAATTTGGGGGTTAGTCCTCTAACCAGGGCTGTTAGCATGGAGCAGGAGGTGGAGGAGGTGGAGGAGCAGCAGGAAAGAAACCACCAAACCCACCACCAAGATTGAAGTCAGACTTCGGTGTTCACATGCACTTCAGTTGTCCGGTCTTAATCGGAATAAGGCGATTATTCGGTTTTCTCAAGTGTCATGGAAATGCACTGAATGAAAGGACGACTGGACTTAGTTGAGACGTTTCGCCCATGCAGAGACTCCCACTCCAGAGTCATGTGACTAACCTGTTGGACATAATTGATTTGAAATGATATGAAAATCTTTAAAATCTGTTTACTTTCCGATCATTTTAACCCCTAAATGTCTATTAAACTTCGTCCCTCAGAGTTCGGAGTTCTCCGACTCCGATTATCGTCAGACTAAGATGTTTAGATGAACTTCAGTTGTCCAGTCTTAATCGGAATGAGGCGATAATTCGGTTTTCTCGAGTGTCATGTAAACATACTGAGTATTTCTGCGGTGACCTTGTTCGTTTTCTTCGTTTTTGCTTCTTTACGGTTTTCAGTCTTTCCCCTAAAATGTTCGACATTTGTAAAACACCGAATGAAAAAGCAGCAGCGACGTGAACATGTGGAGAATATTTCTGAGTGAAGGCGGCTTTAAGAGCCTCATTGAGTCCAGAAGATCAAGGTCAGCGTATAAGGACATCATCATCATCATCATCATCATCATCGTGACATCCTCCCTCTACGAGCGACTACAGGAAGGAACAGACATCTAATCAAATACACAACTGACCGACCGCCTGTCTGTGCACTTCATGTGTGAGAGTCAAACTGAGAACGAACAAGTTCACGGTCTGATGAAACAGTCTGAGGGTTTTCTCTGCACCTTTAAAGGTCTTTTCAGCTGCAACCTCCAAACTATTTCGAGGAAAAGCATCTTCATCCTCCTCCTCCTCCTCATCAGGACATTGTTGGATGATATGCAATCATTCAGTCCTTCAGATCTGCTAAAAGAGCCAATTATATGTGGTTTTCTTATTATAGGGACTAATATTTAGAGCAAGAAGAGAAAAAAAACTCATAATGGGAAACGTATGAAAAAAAAAAAAACCCTCTAAAAAGCCATGAAGGCAGGGTATTTCTCTAAGCCTAATAATCCCATTATGATCCCGGTGAAAAAAAGAGAAGCAGGGAGCATTGACGCAGGCTTGTCTTGACGTCAGTAGCTGCAGTGAATGAGGGACGGGAGGGGGGGGCAGAGAGAGAGAGAGAGAGAGAGAGAGAGATGTTTGCCTTCAGAAAATACCACGAAATGCCAGCGTCATTGGCGTGAATGCAACTGTGGCTCTTTGCAAGAAATCCGCCGCAGATGTTGCGCACAGACGCAGGAAAAAAACACACAAGCATCTTTTTAGTGTCAGAAATATTCGTCCTGACATCCATGTGACACTCTGAGAGGAGAGAGAGGAAAAGGTGCCACAGTGGAAATCTGAACCAGATGTAGTAAATGGAATATGATCTCCTGACCCGAGAGTGTTCATGAATAAATCAGCATATGAGGAGAGAGAGAGAGGGAGAGAGAGAGAGAGAGAGAGAGAGAGAGTGTCAGACATCCATGTGAGACTCTGCTGGAGAGAAACTGCATGTGTGAAATTAACCCTTCCTCCTGTGTCAGCGTTCACGACACACCCACCATGTTCAGGGTCGGTTCTGACCCGTGTCTCATCTCTAGATTAACTTGTTCGGCTTCATTATCAATGAAAATATTGATTATAATAGTTTTTGTAGTGGTCCTCACAGAGACATCTATACTCTCACATGTCTGGACATGTCTCATGTTGTTTTTTTGTGCAGGAATAACTTGGAAAAATGAGAATTTCCTAATTTTTTTATCTTTATTTTGTTGAAATGTTCCTGACAAAGTTAATAAATCTGATTTAAGTGATTCTTTTAAGCCTTTTAGGATCAGACCCTAAAACACACAGGAGGAGGTTTAACAGCGTGGAGATCTGAGTCCTCCAGAGGGGGAAAAAAACTAACATCAGGTCATTTGTAAAAGCCAGAGCAGTGGCGTCATTCACACACACACACACACACACACACACACACACACACACACACACACACACACACACACACACACACACTCCACAGCAGCAGCTCCAGGACTCTCTCTGCTGCGTGTATTCCCTGTCCCCCCCCTGTGGCTCCCGCTCTGCTCTGAAGCTGTCCGCCCCTTTCCAACAACAATGCGCGTTTGTTCGCCTGATGTTCGTCTGGATCCGGGATCAGGAGGAGACCCTCAGACTAACACACTGGTTTCTGCTCGTCGCTGGACTCCTGTGGACTCCACTGTGACTCCGGGGAGGACTCCTCTCCTCTCCTCTCTCCCCCCTCCACAGATGTTTCAAGAGAGCACTCACTACAACCCGCAACTTCGTGCGCAGCAGCAGCCGCAGCCGCAGCAGCTGTCACGCAGCCAAAAGGACACATGCTTCGGTGTACTTTAGCGGGCGGGTCTTCTCCAGATAATCTCCGTTTACATTACTCGTCAAGACACCCAAGAGTTCCCGGTGTGTCGGCTGTGCGTCATCCCCGCCTGATTAGACTTTGACGTCGCAGAGACACAAAAAGGAAAACATCTGAACTGACTTACAAAGAAGAAAAAAAAAACCCACCCGGACTGACGAAACCCACTATCAGCACGTGGATCAACAAGTTGCACCGAGTGCGTAATTTCCATCTGAGCGGCGTTCATCATAATCCGCGACACACGTGATCGACAAAGCTGCAAATATTCCTCATCTATCAGGACAGAGGAGCCCGGACAGTCCGCCGAGGAGACCCACTCTGTCCTCGGGAGGGAGGAGGACTCCGGCTCCATGCCTCGCTCGGCTCGTCCCCACATGGAAACTTTGCGCACCCGGCAGGCTGGACAGAGGAGCCCCGGAGAAGACCTCTGAATGACCGGGACCACTGAGAGTCCCGCTCCTCTCTCTTCTCGCCTCCCCCGGACTGTTGTATGTGTTGTTTACCCCGCCGGTTGAAGGTGTCCCGCGCCGTCAGCAGATCTCGATTCGGCGGTGGGTAGATCCATCAGCGGCAAATGTCGAAGAAACGGAAAAGTCCTGACGAGCCGGACTTCGAGGAATCTCCTTCTGCAGGTGGAAGCGACCAAGGTAGGAGTTCGTGGACAGCTGTGTGACACCTGCAGGTGTGAGTGTTTGGAGGTTTCCTTGAACCCTCACCCTCATAGACCTTTAGCTGCAACATCAGAGCCGTCCGAGTATTTTTATCCCTCAGAAACAATCTTGTGTATAGCTGCGGATTACTTTTTATAATCTCTCATCAATCCTCGGTGGAGTGACATTAGTCTGACGTTAGGTTTGATTCAGGACAGATTTTTATTTCAGCCACAGAAGGAAATCCATTAAACTCGACCTGAAGTCAGGAGGGTCGGCTCCGCTCAGATAAAGAGGAACTTGTTGATCCAGTAACTGGATTTGGATCTGAAGAGCAGCTGTGGTTCATGAAGCCAGACTCCAGTCCGGCTGTGAAGGCCCAGATTATTTATTGACATGCGTAGAAGTCGATTCAGAAGAACAGTATCTCAGTTATGCGCCCACACAATGAGAACTTTCTACAACACAGTCCGAGTACGACCCCGGTGTCATGAGAGTCAGGAGAGCCTGAAAAATGTGGTTTAAAAATCAGTAAAAGACGATAAATCGAAAGTTAAAACCAAGAAATGACAACAAAGTTCTGATAGAGGAAGACGGGGAGGTCCTGATCTTCAGAATTTAATGTTCTGTTGGAAAGACAACTGGACTTACTTGAGACATTTAGCCTCAAGTGAGTCCAGTTGTCCTTTCAATGAAGAATTGGAAATCCTAGATGCTTCATCCCCACGTGTCTTTGCGGACGTATTTTTTAGGTTACTCGTCTCTTTCTTTCACACTTAAATTATGTACAAATTTTCACGTTGGATCCAATAATCCAAGAACGTTCCAGACTTTGACCTTTTGACTTTGACCGGCGTCCAGAAAAAATAGAACTCTTGTGATCAGCTGAGGAGTCCGGCGATCGGCAGAGGAACGGAAAGAAGTCGGTGTAAATTGACACGTTAACTTGAATGGTTACGATCAGCTACGATCGGAGGATACGACCTTTTAGGAGACGATCAGGATGAAGGTGGAGATCGGGGGTTAGTCTGACGTGTACCTGCAGGAGGGTGACCATATTCTAAATCCCCCAAAACAGGACACGAGTAAGTGGGGTGGAGTCGTGCGTGAGGGTCGGGTTTAGTGTTTTTTACGAGCTTCTAACTCAGTAAAACGCAAATTGTGCCTTTAAAAAAAACAAACAAACAAAAAAAGACATTTTATCTCGTCTTTTTTTTCACTGTTGGAAACAGGCTTCCAAACAAAACTTTGGACATTTGAGGGTTTTATAAACTCCCCCCTGACAGGTCGGACAGCCCCCCAGGAGAGGTCATGTCCAGGTAAAAAAGGATGTATGGTCACCCTAACCTGCAGACTCTGTGAGCCTTTGTGTTGTCCAGGTTTAAGATCAGATTCAGACTCTTCTCTGACTGGTTTTCTGACTGTTTTCTGACTATTTTCTGACTGTTTTCTGACTGTTTTTCTGACTGTTTTTCTGACTGTTTTCTGACTATTTTCTGACTGTTTTCTGACTGTTTTTCTGACTGTTTTCTGACTGTTTTCTGACTGTTTTCTGACTGTTTTCTGACTTTTTTCTGACTGTTTTCTGACTTTTTTCTGACTATTTTCTGACTGTTTTCTGACTATTTTCTGACTGTTTTCTGACTTTTTTCTGACTGTTTTCTGACTTTTTTCTGACTATTTTCTGACTGTTTTCTGACTATTTTCTGACTGTTTTCTGACTATTTTCTGACTGTTTTCTGACTGTTTTCTGACTGTTTTCTGACTGTTTTCTGACTATTTTCTGACTGTTTTCTGACTATTTTCTGACTGGTTTTCTGACTGTTTTTCTGGCTGTTTTCTGACTGTTTTTCTGACTGTTTTTCTGACTGTTTTCTGACTTTTTTCTGACTGTTTTTCTGACTGTTTTCTGACTGGTTTTCTGACTGTTTTCTGACTGTTTTTCTGACTGTTTTCTGACTGTTTTCTGACTGGTTTTCTGACTGTTTTCTGACTATTTTCTGACTGTTTTTCTGACTGTTTTTCTGACTGTTTTCTGACTGTTTTTCTGACTGTTTTCTGACTGTTTTCTGACTGTTTTCTGACTGTTTTCTGACTATTTTCTGACTAGTTTTCTGACTGTTTTTCTGGCTGTTTTCTGACTGTTTTCTGACTGTTTTTCTGACTGTTTTTCTGACTGTTTTCTGACTTTTTTCTGACTGTTTTTCTGACTGTTTTCTGACTGTTTTCTGACTATTTTCTGACTGTTTTTCTGACTGTTTTCTGACTATTTTCTGACTGTTTTCTGACTATTTTCTGACTGTTTTCTGACTGGTTTTCTGACTGTTTTCTGACTATTTTCTGACTGTTTTTCTGACTGTTTTTCTGACTGTTTTTCTGACTGTTTTCTGACTGTTTTCTGACTATTTGCTGACTATTTTCTGACTATTTTCTGACTGGTTTTCTGACTGTTTTCTGACTGTTTTTCTGACTGTTTTCGTACCTGTTAGTCCAAGTTTGACTCTGTTTGAGCGTCTCTGAACCTAACCCCAGATCAGGATCCTGAAGGGCACAGAGGGCTCGCGTTAAGGAGTTTCTTCTCTCTCCGCTGACAGACAGACTGTAACATCATTAAACATCCGGGTGATCCTAACGGCGTCACGTGAAGATCACAGTAACTCTGTGTAAAGTTTAGATCTAGTTGTGTCATCAGACAAAAGCCAATATAAACAAAGCTCGGCGCTCCTGAACGTGACTCTTTACCGAGGCGTAAACAGAAGCAGCTCAGCTCTTAATCTGAAACTCAGGGAGTCCTCTTCCTGGAGATTTCAGACGTTTGGACGGTGGACTGTGACGGTGTTTCGGCGTCACCTCCGGCACAGAGGCGAGTGCTGAACCACCGCACTGTTCAAGGTAGATATACTGGAAAAACATGAATCAATATTTCTTCTTTAGTGTGTCGTCATGAAGATGAGTACACATTCAGCTGCAGATCAAACTGAAAAACCAACATGTTTGACTCTCCCGGTTTCTTCCTGTGTGTTCAGAAATGTGCAGTTTTCATGCAGACGTGTAGCTCTCTATTCATCTTCACCGCACTGACTGGTAAACTTGAACTGGATCAGAGATCTGGTGATGGTGGAGATGAGAGGATAGCTTTAGGGTGCAGATGGACTCAGAGTTTGTGACTCACACTGCCCTCTGCTGGTGACGAGGGGTCTTTTTATTGATTTACTCTGAATCAAACAGGACTGAGAGGGTTCCCTGAGAGACTCCATTTTTAAAATACTTATGTCCCTCCTGAGACTCAGTGAGATGAAAACCTCTTTAGACGTCCTCAAACCGGTTGGCGACTAAAGCCCCGTTTATACGTACAGGGTTTTTTTTTTTTTTTAAACCAAGACATTAACCATCTTTTGCACCCTTCATTTAGACGCAAACTGAGAATTCTCCCCTGAAAGTGATGCTTTTTAAAATCTCCGGCCAGAGTGGAGATTTTGTAAAACTCTGTTTGCACGTAAACGTTTGGGTAGCAGACGGCCGATTCTGCACAGAAAAGAGGAAAGTGATGTTGTTGTTGTTGTTGTTGTTGCCGTTACGCAGGATTCTGATTGGCTAACATGTGTTTGGCATGCTCTTGACGGCGTATATACACGGGGTAGCGTAAACGAGAACTTTTCTGAAAACATAGTGGTGTGCATGCAGTTTTTTTTTTGTAAACGGTGACGGTGAAATAGCCGGGCGTGTGTAAACACAGTCTGAAGCTGCTGTGGATTAAACTGGCCGACTGTGAATCCTCCTCCCACCAGCGCAGGAGTCGCCTGTTTACCCTCTTTCTGGGACCGAAGTCAAAGTTTCTTTCTTTACTTTCTTTTAGAGCTTCTGTGAGGAGACCAAACCAAACGAGAGAATTCTTCTACAGTTAGCTCTAATGAAGCCTTCCCCAGCGCACATCTTTAGTAGTTCAGTTTGTACGTTTGTCTGCAGGTAAAATCAGCCTGATCCATGTTTTTACTCATGTACACTTTTATTAAATTCTCCCCGGAGCTCTCCGTGTTTCTCGGACCTGCAGACGTGTTTGTTCGCAGACGCTGTAGACCCGTTTGCATCACGCTCTTTGGCTCAGCATCTTGTTGGGTCCACGCCCAAACCAGAGTTTCCCTCGGCTAACGCAGAAGGAGAGCCGGGCGCTTCCTTCCCCGACTGTGCCGACATCTGTGACCACTCAGGGGGTCCACACCCACGGCACCCCTCCCACTCGAGACTCTGCCAGCCTGCGTCAAAGCATGCCGCCGTCCTGCGATGCTCTTCTGTTACACGACTGCAACAAAATCCTCTTTTTGTCAAAATCATGAAGTAGTGCCTAATCTGCTCCTCTATAGACCATCTGCTGAAGGTTAATACTCTCAAGTCCTCCTCTGATGGATCCAAAAAAACATTTTCACATGAAATCAAACCATTAGTGATGTGAGCGTTTATCCACAATAAATATCTGCAGTTATAAAAACAGACTCGTACGTTGATGCCTCTGAATGTTTCTGCACTTGAACAGAAAAGGAGAACCTGGACCTGAGTCTGCAGGTTCTCCCAGGACAGCCGCTCCTGTAGGAACCTGTTTAAAAAGGACCAGAAGGTCTTTAGTTTACATGTGATCCCCTTAAAAAAAACACCTGACGGGACTTTTCTCTGAAGGGTTTTATCTCCAGGTGTTTCCTTCAGAGGGGGCGTGTCTTACCCGCCACCAATCCGTATGAGCGGTCCGTAGATCGACACCCTCACCTGTGAGAGCTTCACTCTCATGTTGAGTCCGGACTCTGAAGAGCCTCTTATTGTTGGTTTGGTCCAGAGTGAGGAGTCAGCTCAGTAAGAGAGCCACCTAGTGGTCCTAATGTGAATCACAGTGAGGGACCTACAGGGTCTTTATTTCATCAGATTATTATCATAAAGGTCATTTTAATATTTTTGTTTTTCTTTGATACGTCAGCTCTGATTGGATATTTCTGCACTGACAGACGTTCAGACACTAGGGGGAGCTACAGTCTCAAAATCTGATCCTGGATCTGAGCAGAAAACACGTTTGATTTCAGTCTTTATTATATTTTCTCTTTTCTTTCCTTCTCCTCTTTCTTCATTTTGTTATTATTTTCATCACTTAAATCTATTTTAATTTGCAGATGACTAAAAGTAACTTAAAGTGATTTTACTGTCAGAGACGGTTTCAGATCAACAAAGTTTGCAGAGTCAGTTAAAGACATGATGAATAAAAAAAACATTTATTTGTTTTATCGTTATTATTGTTAAAACAGCTAATACGTTAAAATATGTTTAATTATTATTATTCTACACTTTAAAACTCGACCATGTGTGAGCTGTGTGTCTGTCAGTGTGTATAAGAGTGTGTTTAAGAGTGTGTGTATTAGAGAGTGTATCAGTGTTTATAAGAGTGTGTGTGTTTCAGAGTGTGTGTGTGTGTGTATATGTGTGTGTGTGTGTGTGTGTGTGTGTGTGTGTGTGTGTGTGTGTGTGTGTGTGTGTTGTCAGTAAACAGGCTGATCTGACGCCGGCCGCCTCGGTCCGTTCTGATGTTTGCGGTGCAGAGAGACTGACAGGTGTTCAGGTCAGCGCCCTTATTTCTCACCTGACTCAGACTCACTTTGTTTGACCTCCAATGAGAGCGGACCGTCAGAGCTCCGCCCCCTCAGACACTCGCCAAACCCTTTCAACATTTAGCAGGGTTCTCCTTTTTCACCTCCTTGTTTTACAAAGTTTTCTCCTCTTTGGTGATAAATTATTTCAGATGAAGAAAGTCACTGATTTACTCTCTGAGAGTTTCCTACATGCAGCTTCTGTTAAAATCAATAAATCAATCAAACTTTATCAATAAAACAGTTTTCATACATAATAAAAACGTGCTGTCCATTCAAGCAGGATAAAAATACAAATACAGAAACACACCAAACCTCCCGACTCACACACACACACACACACTCTCACACACACACATACACACTCTCACACACACACACACAGACAATCTAAACTCTCATTTTTCAGCCTCATATTTACAGAAAAAACATTTTAAAATATGAAATAACTTTGTTTATAACCCGACTGTCGGAAACACTGATCGGTTTGTAAATAAGTGACGAGAAAAACACTCACAGCTTCTTCAGAGTGAATCCCACATTTGAGCCGCCGCCTCTTCAGCTTTAAGGTCAGCAGAGGGCGCTCTACACCACCGAAACAAACCTGATATTTACAGCAGGGTCTCTTATTTATAAACGTGATTTTTCATCAGATTCTTGTACATGTGTAAAAGATTTAATCATTTAGTGAGAATAAAACTGTGTGATTATTACAAAGAGGAACATTTCAGCTCTATAAGCTCGAATTTATCGAGTGTTTTTGTTTTATTTCTCATAAATGTGTCTGATAATCTTAATTCCAGACACTGCATACTTAAAAATAAAAAAATGAATTTCCTCTTATAGGTGCAAAAATCTGCAAATGAAAAATTGAAAAAATTTCCTGAGGAGTCTAAAAATTTCTGTCAGAATTTTGTCCCTCATCAGGAGCCGTATGAGTCTCAATTTGATGTTTAATATCATAAAATCATTTATTTTGTGAGATTTAAACCTAAAATGACAAATTAATCTAAGAATAAGACAAAAACACACGGATTAGAATTTCTGCAGGAAAAAAAAAATATTAGAAAAATATAATTAGAATTAAAAGGTGGAGAGTCAGGGATACAAGAGCAATAAAGGCAAATGAAAGAATTTAAAGTAAATAACATTAAAACAGAAGTATTTAAATAAATGATGAACAGTGGTTCAGATATAAAACAGCTGATGAAAAATAAAAGCACAGAAAATCAGAAAAAAGCAGCATCACATACAGAAATATTTAATATACACAAATTAAATATACGTAAACCTTTTAGGGGGAAACGTGCGTCTGACAGTCATCAACACACCTGTTCACCACCTCACCTGTTCACCACTTCACCTGTTCACCACCTTTATCTCCTCCATTGATCAGACTGAACATACACTGATAAGACTGTGTATAGATATAAAAGATATAGAAGAAAAATCAGGATGAGGAGCGTTCACTCAGCTGTTAAAATATTTTATACTTCAGCATAGATCTGCTCACACCGATGACTCTACACCAGATCTGTAATGTTTAAATGTAATAGAACAAAATAGAATAGATTAGAATTAAATAGATTAAAATAAAATAGATAAGAATGGAGTAGAAGAGTATAGAATAGCACAAAAGAGTCAACATTAGAATAGAACAGAATAAAACAAAATAGAATAGATGTGAATTTGTATTGTCTCTGAAACAGCGTAGAACAGGTAAACTAGAATTGACTGTCTGCCTCTATAGTCAGCTCATTATTATATCAAGTTTTAAAAAAGGACAAAAGGGAAAATAAATGTAAGATCAAAAATAAAAAACATTTTTAACAAAAAAGAGAAAATTTTAAAAAATTACAGAATTTAAAGAATTTACAGAAAATTAAATTTAAAGACGAAAAAACATTTTATTATGAAAGAGTTTAAAGAACAAAAATGTCTTCTGTTAGAAAATGTTGTGTAACGTCTGCAAACAAAGAGAGTGTGTGTTTCTGCACCCCACTGCACACACACACACACACACACACACACACACACACACACACACACACACACACACACACACACACACACTGTGTAACATCACTCAGCTGTAAATGATCAGTGTGTTGATAAGGCTGCTGCTGTCGTTAGCATGTCAGCTCACACACACACACACACAAACACACACACACACACACACACACACACACACACACACACACACACACACACACACACGCTCCACAGGCAGAGTGTTTGCATCGTACAGCAACAAGAGAGGGTGTGTGCATTTTGTAGAGCCGGCAGTAACTCATCCCTGTGTGTGTGTGTGTGTGTGTGTGTGTGTGTGTGTGTGTGTGTGTGTGTGTGTGTGTGAGGTGGGAGCAGAGCGGCGGCGGTCTGATGGCGAGCTGATGAGGTCATGGCTCATGTCTCCTTGCTTGCGTCATCACCTATAGGATGTGACTCCTGCCAGCAGAGCTGCAGCTGCTGCTCCGGTTGTTGCAACAGTGTCTCTCTCTCTCTCTCACACACACACACACACACACACACACACACACACACACACACACACACCTCTCACGGCGTGTTTTAAGCTCACAGTCCTCGCTGAACTGTGGCGCCCAGATAATGGCTCCTCCTCCTCCTCCTCCTCTTCCTCTTCCTCTCAGAATTGATCATCAGTATCTTCATGATTGAAAATCACTAAAACGGCGTTGACCTCCTGCTTCCTCTCGCTCGCTCGCACACACGTTCTCTGACTTCCTGTTTTTTTTCTGCACTTTTACAAGATTGCACGGTGGTGAAGCGTTTTACAGAGCAGAGAGACGTCAGCACAGAGAAGGAGCTCTGTTTGCTTTTGTTTTGTTTTGTTCCTCTCCACAGACCTCGGACCACACGCTCGTCATCATCATCCTCATCATCATCATCATCATCATCATCGTAGTCATCCTCTTGAAAAACGGATGTGCTAATCTAGGTCAGGATGAAACACAGAATAACCAGGATCTCTCTGAGAAAATACCTGATCTGCATTTTGACTTTTGAAGAAATTATTTTATCCAAAACCTGCGAGTCTGTGAATCTGAAATTTTCTTTTTCTTTTTTTATATTTAGATTAAAGTCAAGAGTCAAGGACAACTGGACTTACTTGAGACGTTTCGCCTTAGGCAAAACATCTCAAGTAAGTCCAGTTGTCCTTTCCAAACGAATGTCAGATTTTGATCCATCAGACCTCAGGACAGTTCTCTCCCTCGTTCACCTGACCCCCGATTTCCACCTCATCCTGAACGTCTATGAAAAGGTCGTATCCGCCGATCGTAGCTGATCGTAACGTCAATTTCCACCAGCTTCTTTCCTGATCACAAGAGTTCGATTTTTCTGGACGCTGGATAAATTCAGCACAGATTAACCCGTGCTGGAAAGGAAGTCGGGCACAGACACAAAATAAAACATCCGGCTTCTTTTCAAAATAAAACACTCCGTGTTTCAGGAGGATCGTATTTCACACCATGCAAACGGGCGGAGACGAACAAGTGAAAGGTTTTTAGACGTCATTTCACCCCGATGACACCATGGATGAGGAGATGCTGATTCTAGAAGTCTAGAAGTAGATTTCCTCCTCTGGAAGGACACAATCTACTGCTTATATGTCTATGTGTCTGTCTTTAGAGAGACAACTCATTATTGTGTGATTGAATGTGAATCTGCGGGTTCTTGTGAGTTTTCATGATTCCCGTTGTCTGTAATCCAACACGAAATTCGCCTCACAAACGGATCCGGTAGAAATTGGCGTACGGCGAAAATCGCCTCTGTTCCAGGGAAGTCTCTTATGGTTCTGGATCCTGGTTCTATCTGGTCTCCTCCTTCATGGTTCAGTCTGAACCTCATTAATAGATTCAGTGATGATCTGTGTGTACAGTCGATGTTTTCTGAAGTGATTCTGAGTCCATGCTGTGATTTCCACTCCAGAGTCCTGTCTGTTTTTAATGCCCTGAAGATCAGGACCATCCAGTCCTGGTTCTGGTTCTGGTCCCTTTAGTACAGAGATTTATTCTGAAACTGTTGAATAGTCCCTCACAGAGTCCTGAACCTCTTCCTCTGAATGTCTTTTTTAGACCCGATCATGTGACTAAACTGTCGCTCTGATTTCTCGTCGTTATAAAAACAGTTTTTAAAAAAAAGTAACCAAAAATATTTTTCTTATAAAATTCTCTTTTTTGATTTTCCGCTCTTTCTGATTAGATCTAGACTTTATAGAAGCTGTAAACCATCAGACTCTGTCTTATAAAATTTAAGTTGTGGATCTAAAATATAAATCTGGACGGGTTTATTATTATTATTATTATTATTATTTATTTTCTTCTTCTTCTTCTTCTTCTTCTTCTTCTTCTTCTGGTGCCTGAGAGCCATTTTGTTCCTGGTTGTTGGGATCAGCTGTGAGCTGCATATGTTTCCGAGCGTCAACATGAGCCTGATGGCGGTGAACAGCTTGGTGTTACATAAGGGCCGCAGATGAATGTATGGAAAATGATAAAGAGGTGTTAAAAAACAACAAAAACCATCATCTCCTCCTCCGTCTCCTCTGTGTTTGAAAACTGGAGGATTTTCTTCAGAGGGAATCAAAACGCTCCACGTCTGCGCAGACGCCTTTATATGTCGCTGAATGGTGCGGTATCTGTGTGTGATGCACATAAATTACATTTTACTGTGTGTGTGTGTGTGTGTGTGTGTGTGTGTGTGTGTGTGTGTTTTAGTGTGTGTGTGTGTGTGTGTGTGACAAACGTTCAGGCATAATTTGTGCCAGCTCTGTGACGTAGAGGACATGAGGGCCAGGCGGATGCTGTGAGTGGCAGTAACAGCGTCTCCGGCTCGATCCTGCCCCATCTCTGACTTCATTGGCTCCAGCTCTGACGCAAATACACCCACCGACCCCCCCCCCCCCCCCCTCCTACCTCACTCCCCCCTCCCTACCTCTCTCCCCCCTGCACACTTCTTTCATCACGCTCCTTTTTTCACCCATTTAATTTTTTCCTTCTCTTTTTTTTGATTCATGTTCTGCAGATCCTCCACTGCAGCTCTGCTGCACACAGCTCCACATCACAGATCTGCACCACCTGAGCGCGCTCGCTCCGTTTCCTCTCATGCTCTGACGCAAGCTTTATCATCAGTTCCTTCATTTATTCCTCGCCGTATCGTCCACGTATAATAACCTCCTTTTTTCTCTGATGGATGATAGTCAGTGTGCGAGCGTTAAAGGTGTCGAATGATCTCTGTAAATTTGTGGCTCATATACAGACGACGGCTCAGTCATCTGCTGCGTTTAAAGAGAGGGTCATGTGTGAATTAGGAGCAAATGTATTTAATGCACAAACAACATCATGCAGATTAAAATTTAGTGCATTTTGAGTCCAGATTTTATTTAGTTTTTAATCCTTTTGCTTGTGAGGAGGCGCACAAATTCATTTTTATTTTCCATAAATTATCATCTTTAATTCATGACAAACATTTTTCGCTCTTTAACTGAAATCCTGAAGCTGTAACCTGAAGCATGAGACTGAAAATATTCGGTTTTAAAACACGGGCGCTCAGGTTAGACTGCACATCTGGTTCAGCATTAATCTAACCTGCTCACAGTGTTTGAGTCTCGGTGTCGGAGCAGAGGACTTCTGTTAGAGCTGTAGATGTTAAAGAAGAAGAAGAAGCTTCATTCTGCATTCAGAGTCAGCAGCTCCGCCGCTCTGATGGCTGACATACTCACCTACGTCACAGTGTTGGTTTTTTTTTTCTTTCCTTCTGTCTGGAGTGACCTTTTTTCAGGTCGCACCTGTTCTCAAAAACACTCTCAGCTTCCAGGGTTTGCTTTGACCTCTGACCTCTCAGGTCTATAAATAGACAATGATAGAAAACTTCAGGGAGGTTTTTAATTTGATCATTTAGGGCTTCACACTAACTTTGTTCACATTTTCTCCCAAGTTTAAAAAAAATAAGGAGCACAAAGAACTTTAGGGGAACAATGAAAACTGATCAATAATGTCTTATTGTCCGACCTCAGTACTATTATTAGAAATCAATCTTTCGGCCTTTCCTGAGAACATCAACCGGTAATTTATTGACGGTCCCTTATTAAACACCGACGTTGACAGTGAGGGTGTCGAGTAGATTTAACCGCGCTGCTGTTGTTATTCCCGGTTATGGAGAGTGAGAAGACACCGGTAGATCCTCAGAGAATGTCCGTCAGATATCCAACCTAAAACTAACTTCACCGCCGTATTTACAGGAAAATATATCCAACCTGAAACTAACTTCACCGCCGTATTTACAGGAAAATATATCCAACCTTAAACTAACTTCACCGCCGTATTTACAGGAAAATATATCCAACCTAAAACTAACTTCACCGCCGTATTTACAGGAAAATATATCCAACCTAAAACTAACTTCACCGCCGTATTTACAGGAGAATATATCCAACCTAAAACTAACTTCACCGCCGTATTTACAGGAAAATATATCCAACCTAAAACTAACTTCACCGCCGTATTTACAGGAAAATATATCCAACCTGAAACTAACTTCACCGCCGTATTTACAGGAAAATATATCCAACCTGAAACTAACTTCACCGCTGTATTTACAGGAAAATATATCCAACCTGAAACTAACTTCACCGCCGTATTTACAGGAGAATATATCCAACCTAAAACTAACTTCACCGCTGTATTTACAGGAAAATATATCCAACCTGAAACTAACTTCACCGCCGTATTTACAGGAAAATATATCCAACCTAAAACTAACTTCACCGCCGTATTTACAGAAAAATATATCCAACCTGAAACTAACTTCACCGCCGTATTTACAGGAAAATATATCCAACCTGAAACTAACTTCACCGCTGTATTTACAGGAAAATATATCCAACCTGAAACTAACTTCACCGCCGTATTTACAGGAAAATATATCCAACCTAAAACTAACTTCACCGCCGTATTTACAGGAAAATATATCCAACCTAAAACTAACTTCACCCCCGTATTTACAGGAAAATATATCCAACCTGAAACTAACTTCACCGCCGTATTTACAGGAAAATATATCCAACCTAAAACTAACTGTCCTACGTCAGAGACGTGACTCCACCCCATCCAGTCCGTAACAAAGAGGGAAAAACAGTTACTGTGGGAGTGGGTGAGCAGTTAATGGAGTAGTTATCGTCCATTTATCATTATCCAGGTGAACTGATCAATATATCGTGATAGCCAGCCCTAGTAGAGGGTGCACCTAATTTATCGTTTCAACTTAGAATTGGAAATCATAGATGCTGCGTCCACTCAGGGTCCACTCGGCTTGTTTGAGGATCTGCTCTTTTTTATTCTGGATTATTTTGTGGATTTGTCGTCTCCTCTCTGATCACAGTTTGAGGTTTCTCTGCATGGCAGGGATCATGCGGTCGTCCTGCAGCATCTTTGCCCGTGTTGTCATAGCGGACTGAAATTCTTCAGGAGGTGTGAAATTTTTCGAAGCGCTCTTAAAACACTTTGATTTGTCGCTGAAGATCCTCAGGACAAGTTCAATGAGAGCGTTTCACCACGAGTGCACATCTGCTCTGGAGATCAGAACATTTGGTGCCAGAAGCAAAGATGTCACATGTGGTTCAGTTGGAGAACTGTTTATGGGTTTGTGTCTTTGTTTGTCAGGGACTTACAGAGTCCGATCTGGATCTGACTCTACACGCTAAACTTTGATGAATCAGCACTTTCCAGCTCTGGTCCTTTTAGTCCGGATCCATCACAGACTGTGAGATCGGGTCATTTCTCAGACTGTCTCTGTGAGGTTTTAAGAGAGGAGTCAGGTCTAGACTGGACTAGTCGCTGTTTTTATGTGTTTGTTGTGAACTAAACTGAGTTGGATAATCTAGTTCGCCTTATGCAGCGTTTTGGTTTCTTTGTCTCAGGGCTGCTGAACGATTTTGGACAAAAATAAAGTCCAGATTTTTTTCTCTTCAAACTCGATTTTTGATTTTTTATTCAGTGACAACTTCACCAAACTTCTCTTTAAAAATTAAAAAGTTTTTCTATCATCTCTCAAAATTAGACCACTGAAAATGATGTAGTGCATATGCCAAGCCAGTAGGTGGCGCTGTAACGGTCGTTACATACTGGGAGCATTTTGTTTGGTTATTTCAGACGTCAATATTTTTTTTCGAACCCATATCCTGTCAATACGAGCGTTCACATCAGCGACATTTTCCCGTCCTGCGATAATTTTTTTGTTTCACGGTCGATTTTTCTAAAGTTTCACGTACTGTGTGTCCACTTCTGACCAATCAGATTTCGTGTTGTTGCGATGTCTGTGGATGAAACGCCGATTTGACAAAAAACGTTAGTGTTTCCTCCTTAATTCGTTTCCATGGTGACGGGTTAATACCGCCTTCAGACAGACTTTGCAGCGGGGAGTGGTTTACTCTTCATCTGAAACTGTGAATTCGTACAAATTCAACACGACTGACTCACTCTTGTCCTATTTAACCACAAAATTATCGCCTTTTTTCCAAACGCCATGTTTAGAGCGCTCTTACAGGAAGGAGGGGGAGCCTATGGTGGCCTGGAGACGACGGACATGATAGAGAGGGTTTTCATTTTTTTAACATAGTCATAATTAAATAATCTGATTATGATTTAAAATTGATTAATCGTGCAGCCCTACTTTGGAGCAACATTAGCAGGGTCTCTCGGTCCTGGAACCCTGAGTTCTGGTCCTCATTCCCGTCATACTGGAGGTCTGCAGAGGCCTCCATCGGGTCTCCATGGTTGTTGAAGTCTAAGGTTTCTGCAGAGGAAGTAGAGAAGTCGGCAGAATCCTATATCACATATTGCACCGCGGTACGAGTCCATAAAAGGAAACCCTCACCAGATCGCCTGTTTCCTGTTGACAAGGAGGGACGCTCAGGCAGCTGGAGAGAGAGTCTGACCTGACGACTGTGTCCCTGCTGGCCCGTCTGAGCGGTTCCTCCTCTGATGAGACATTCTGGACTCTTAATTTACTAACCCTGTAAGATCCTGTAGAAAGACCGTGGACTGAGCTCTCAGTTTGGATGGTCTTCAGACTCAGACTGACGGGCCGCTGTAGGTCCGCCTGTTTCTGCAGAAGGTTTATCTGACGGAGACGGAGCGTCACCTTAAGACGACGAGGACGACCGAATCTCACAGTTTGATTCCCACATGTCTCACAAGCCTGAGGTTTGGTTTCAGTTGTGGGTGTTGATGACGTTCCTCGCGCTCAGAACGACGACTTCTGTGGCTTTTTGCTCTCTTTTCTTTTCACCTCAGACGCCTTTGATTTCTTCGGAGGAGGACTGCAGCGTTTGTGTAGCGAAGACATCTTTGTGTTTGTTGGTTTTACCGTCTCGACTTTGTCTATTCATGTTTTTTGGCTTCTCACTCATGTCTGAATCTTTGGCCATAATTCTCCAGCTCTTTGACAGTGTGTGTGTTTTCTCCTAGAGGATCAGGTCCAAGCTCTTGAACTCTCAGCTTCTCCTGCAAAGATCTCCTCTCAAACGGCTCTTATTTCAGCTCCGTTTGCACGACTCTCCTCTCTTTTTCCATTTCTTCTGCAGAGATCTTCTCTCTCCTCATGACTCAGACCATCCTGGTGTAGCTGCGTACATGTAAACAAAAACTGCCATGAGTCAGCGTTTTCCCAAAACTTTAGTTTTTATCGTCCGCGCTGAAAGGACTAATCTGTGGTCTGAAAAATGTCCACGCTGGAAAACCTCGGTTTTCTGCTGATCTGAAACTCGGTTCACATGTGGAGCTGAGGTCAAAACACGAAGTTTTTAAAAATATCTGCAAACATGTGAACAGCGCCGGAGTGAGGGAAAGTCTCCGGAGACACGTATTCCTGAGAAAAACCTTCCCACTGTTTTATTTTTGCTTCCTGTTGGTCTGTCTTTTGTCTTCGGTGGCCTTTAACTGAGCAGAACATCAGCGTCCGTCACAGAGCTGAAGAAGCTCACAGTCCAAATACGAGTGAATAAAACCTTTTATAAATACTGGACCTTCAGCAGGTGAAGTCAGTAAAACTCTAATAAGACCCTCGGTGTGTTCCAGTGAACCTCAGGCAGACAAAGAAAAACAACGTCACATTATTCAAACACGACGACGACGATGATCGGCTGTGAAGATGAAAAAAGGAAGAACAGAAACAGAGAGATGTTCAGAACATGGAGCGATGATAAACAAAGATGTCATCTCCTCTCCTGGGACCGTGAGGACGTCTGAGCCGGCAACAGACCTTTCCTCTGGGTCCGTCTACCGGAGCGCAGCCTGACGGCGCTTATTCAGTACGCCAATTATCAAGGCGGCAGAGGGCAGGTAACGGCGTGCTGCGCTCTGTGTTCCTGTTAACCTTAACGATACACCTTTCTCACATTTGTCCTGATGGATCACGGAGCCGTGACGTCCTTTGACGTCACGTTTCAGACGATCCGCATTGCAGTCACATGCAGATGTGTGCAAACCTGGACTTTTCCGTTTTTTTTTGTCATGATTGCATTATTTCTCGGCGCATAAAGAGCAAACAGAGGCGCGGATTCGCTCGTCGGCTGTTGAACTAGTTGCGAGCCAAGCTGTGAAGATGTGCATAACTCCCTCAGCCCCCCAGGGACCCTGTATTTTCATGGGCCTGCCTCTGACGTCAATGCTCCGGCTGTCCTGTGGATTGTCAGAACAGACTATTCAGTTGGGGGGAGGGGACTGGAAGTCTCTGTGGTGTGTGTCTGCTGCATGTGATGTGTGTGTGTGTGTGTGTGTGTGTGTGTGTGTGCATGGATGTAAGTCTGCTCATGTTTGCGTGTGCTTGCATGTGATCTGTAAATGTTTCACTTACATCTGTGTGTGTGTGTGTGTGTGTGTGTGTTTGCAGAAAGCTCGTACAGTGCCTTGAATCAGAAATGTGCTTAAGTGGATGAGGTCTGTGATGTGGGGGTAGGGTAGGGGGTGAACACACACACACACACACACACACACACACACACACACGTCTGAAGATGTGCAGCAGCAGCAGCAGCTCTTATGTCAGAGACGGAGGCCGCAGTCATCAGGAGGATGTTCGCTAAAAACAGCCGAGAGGACGACGGCGAGTTAGCGTGGCTGCAGACGAGCGCCTCCTCGCTCCTCCAGTCAGCTGTTGATCCTCCAACCGAGCCATAGGAGACGTTTGCATGTGACACACACACACACACCCACACACACACACACACACACACACACACAGATCCCATACTAAGACAGAGCAGATTTCAGCCTCTTTCATCATCACCTTTCTGATTTCCATAAACGTCTCGGTGACACTCGTTACAGCCGTCCGCTCACACATGGATCAGGATTTGGTGGCAGGACCGTGTTGACGGGTCCACGCTGACATTTGAGTCTGTGGTGCTTTTTACTGAAACACAAACCAGGAGCAGAGAGGGACTCAGACCTGAGTTCATAACCAAAAATTCATTTGACTGGTTTGACTGGAACAGAAGTATTTATAATGTATTTTATCAAAAAATAAAAACAGATCAAATGTATGATAAGAATATGACTTACCAGTATTTTATGTTAAATCGCTGTTATAAACTAAACAGCCTAGATTACGAGAAGATACTGTAAATCCTCAATAATATTATTTAATATTTATTCTGCAGATGTTTTATAATGACCGGGATCATGAGCTTCATGAGCTTTACAGCTTCCAGTCCTGTCAGTGGAGGTCTGCAGTCAGACCCCTCTCCTGAAGTTTGAGGTTACTTCTGTCAGCCTCTCCTCTCTCTGCTGCTCAGAGCTGCTCTGTGCACTCTCCTCCTGATGACGCCACAATTAAAAAACAAAACACAAAAATAAAATTAACAGTAATAGAAAAAAATATATCCTTTAGTTGACCAAAGCACGACTGTCCTTCTAACAAAGTGGATTTAAACTAAAATATATAAAACGATATTTAGGGACCGTCCTTCAGTTTGGTAATTCAGCCTCTCTCTCTCTTCCTTACTCTGTCCCTCTGCTTTTCAGAACCCTGATAATTTTGTTCAGCATTAAAGGGATATCAAACCCACCATAACATCGAGTTAGACCCCCCTCCAGAGATGAATGTTGTCGACCGCTTGCTTCTCTAGTTATACCAACTTTAGTAACGACCGCAGGATAGAAATACAGAGAGCCACGCCCCCAACCAAAACGCCACTCTATAGCCACAAATAATGCTCAGAACAGCACCTAACTTCATCAACAGGACATATAGGGTCACAGACATAGTACTAGACACCAAACATCTTTTTAACTTTGACTCATTTCTTTAGCAAAGAGACTAAATACAACTCACCTACTCTCTTCCAGCAGACACTTGTTTGTAGAGAGACCTCAGGCCAGTCCATTACAGACTACAGCGGGGTGCCGCAGCTCAAGGAAGAACATTTATGATCATACATCTCTCGACAGTATGTCTAACTTGGTGTTACGATGTTTTTGACCCTGAACGTCTCAAACTGTCGGACTGCTTTTGAGTCTTTTCCTGGTTTTAGTCTCATAAACGCTCAAAAGTCTGAAAACACAGCTGTCTGTCTGTCTGTCTGTCTGTCTGTCTGTCTGTCTGTCTGTCTGTCTGTGTCCCGCTCCTCTTTGTGTCGGTGGTGGTCGGGGTTTATTTCATACAGAGTGGGCTAATCTAAACACAGTGGAAATATCACTCTGACAGGTCAACTTACTTCCTGTTATGTAATAATTATTCAAACATAAGAACGGTCGCTCGGCTGCCTCTCAGCTCAGCGGATCAGGAGGGTTCACCGGCGGGTCACAGACGCCGTCGCTGCATCCCCTCATGATCTTCAGAGTTCCCCATAAGTTCCTCATCCTTCACCGTCTCACGTAAGCTCATAAACTCACAGTCGTGAACTTTGCAGGAGACGCTTTAAAGCATTTGTTTTCTGTCCAAATTTCTGCACATAAGCCGCCGGGAGAGCAGGGAGGGGGCAGAGAGGTGAGGACTGAAGCAGCTGACGTCCCCTAAACCTCGTCTGTCTTTCAGTTTACATCCCACCTTATTTATCCTTATCTCTACCAGGATTCAGGTGGAATAGCTGTAAAAATAAATCTTTTATCTGCTGAAAAACTCTCCAAACTGAGAAGTTTCCACCCTGAAACAAAAAGGCTGATGTCCGATCAAAGATGGAGGCATGTATCTGTCCTCAATAACGGAGTTTACTTAGATTCTTCTGACACTTCGGAGTGAAGAAAGCTGATGTTTACGTCAAAGAGGAGGTAGTTTCCTCTCTTTAGATTCAGTCTGAGCAGCAGAGAGAGAGAGAGAGAGGAGAGAGAGGAGAGAGGAGAGAGAGAGAGGAGAGAGAGGAGGTGTGATGTTAGACGTGACCTCTGAATGGACCAGCTGCTGGAGAGTGCAGGAATGCCAGAGATTGATAGCGCAGATGCTGACGTAACAGGCCTCACCTCTCCCTCCCTCTCTCTCTCTCTCTCTCTCTCTCTCTCTCTCTCTCTCTCCCCCTCTCTGGATATGATCAGTATGTAACGCTGCGGCGTCTGGCGCTCTTCTTTCTGCTGTATCATGTTGCCGGTTCAGAGCTGTTTGGGTGCTCTCTGATTGCCGATGATAACACGTCTGCAGAGGTGGAGCTTAGAGAGGAGCTCACTTCATTTAGAGCTTAATGTGGGATCATAAAAAAACCTCCAACAGGAACCTCCAACAGGTCACATGATACACATCTCAGACCAGGTCTCTCTCTCTCTCTCTCTCTCTCTCTCTCTGTGTGTTGAAGAATATTCTGGATGTCTGACTCTTGTAAAGTGTGACATAAACCTGAGCAGCACAGGCAGTCATGAAAACCAAAGGGTGAACCACAAGGCTCCGTCCTAGTCCCACTACTGTTACTATTTTTATATTGATGATATTTTATTTTAAACAAACTGTCATGTAGATTTTTATCCTGATGACGCAGTTTTGAAACACGTACTCGTGACATTTGACCCCTGTGACCTCAGTTAAATTTAGTGGAATATGCCTTTAAAGAAAACATCGCCTGACCCCCGATTTCCACCGCATCTGGAACGACAGCAATTTTTGCCGTCCGCTAATTCCTTCTGGATCGATCAGCGAGGCGAATTTCGTGGCGGATTACAGACAGCGGTAATCGCGAGAACTCACAAGAACCCACAGATTCACGTTCAATCACACGATAACGAGTTGTCTCTATAAAGACAGACACATAGACATATAAGCAGTAGATTGTGTCCTTCCAGAGGAGGAAATCTACTTCTAGACTTCTAGAATCACGATCAGCTACGATCGGAGGATACGACCTTTCAGTTGACGATCAGGATGAAGGTGGAGATTTGGGGTTAGCTGCCAAACAGCCGATCCGATCTTTGATGCTCACTGAGATGTCCTGCTGGTCATCACGAGGGCGCCCTCACTGCCTCCTCTGGACCCTTTGACCTCTAATGACTCTGAAAGTCCAGTTTGCTCGGTCCGGGTCAACGCACAGCACAGTGAGCCCGGTAAGTGTTCGGCTCTTCCAGGTCACCCTGACATGGCGGTCCAGAGTAAACCTTAGGACCGGGTCAGCTGGGCCCAGAGTGAGTCCACCTTTACGGCGCGCGTCTTTCTCATGCTCGTACTGAGAGATCAGTGGTCTGTTTAGTCGTCAGTCAGCACTCATGGAAATCCCCTCGTATCAGGATATTAGATTAACAGACGAAAACAAACTGAACCACCGTCTTCAGATTCATTACAGAGAAACAACTGGTCCTGTTTCTGATAATCTCATCAAGAGACGTTAGACTAACTCAGACGCTGTTTCACAATCACTCAAAAACTCCTCTTTTAAAGGAACTGCTGTTGCCTCACAGACGTAAAAAAAACTCAAACTGACTCAGGAAGTCTGTGGCTGACGCTCGAAAATGAAACTAAGATCCAGTCCTTGAGTAATCCTGCAGTTTGACGTCTTTGCTTCGATGTTGGCTCTCCGTTTTTTATCTGATTCTTCTGCAGAAAATAAAACGTGAGGACGATCGGATTATCAGTGAATTTCACTTTATTGTCGGATCATAACTCTGCTGAGCGCTGCTGCGTGCTCTCTGTGCAGTAATTTGCAGAGTTAGGACTTTGCTAAAGGAACCGAGCTCATTGATTTATTTCGTCTTGCCAATTCGAGGAAATATTTACAATTATAATTTATGCAAATGCACGCCTGAGTTCGCCTGTGAAATAAATCAATTGAATGCATTTCTTTTTCTGAGAGTGAGACTCTGCAGATGTTTGAACACCGAGACGGAAAAAAACGACCAAAGATGGATTTTTCTAAAACAGTTTGTGACGTTCAAGATGGTGGTTTTTATCTCTGTGCTTCATAGACGCACACTTTCTTACATTTCTGCTCTCACTCTGCTGATTGAGTCCTTTTTAAAAAGGTCAGAGGTCAAAGCATCTCATTTCCAGCGCTCCTTTTCATAAACTTGTGTTTCTAAATATGTGCTGCAGTTTTTACGGTTTTATTCTCGACATAAATCTCGTGGCCGTGCTCTTCTCCTCTGTGACCACCGAGCCGTGGATCAGGAAACAGCAGCGTGTCTCCGGAGAGCGCCGGGCATGTGGTTCCGCCCCTTTTACGCAGCCAAATTCAGGAACAGGAACAACAGCGTCAGAGAGAGCGGGGCGAATGGGTCAAGAGCGCGCGGGTACAGGAAACAAGGACGGTGTACTTTTCAAAATAAACTAACGGGGAGAAGATTGAATAGTGTGGATGAAATCTTTGTAGAGAGTGAAAATCGACGCTTAAATTAAACATCGATTAAAGTCCGGGTTGACGATCTGGATTGTTAGTGACTAGCGGCAGTAAACGCCAGCTCTGACAGCGAGCGCCGTCTGCAGCTGCCTGGACAGCTACCGTGTTGACGTGTCAGAGACTAATCAGAGTTATTTATGTAACATGAGATAAAAGGAGATAAAAATGACCTGTTCAACTAAAACTCTGCTGTCTCTGCGTCTGTTTTCTCCACCGCTCCAAGGATGACCCGATGGTTATTCATGTTAGATTCCTCGCTTGGTCACATGTCCTCTTGGACTCCGCCCTTTCCTCTGTCGGCGTTTGCGTTTTCGGCAAACAGAAGTGTTTTTTTTTTTTGTGTCATTCTCCATCACAGCTCCTGTAGCTAAGCTGCTACGCTACTTTTAGCCGCTCAGAGGAGAGCCAGGAGGCGCTTTCTTCTGTTTTTGTAGGAGGCTTAGGGGAAAGTCCCGCCTCCTTCATCTCTGATTGGCTACAAAAGCTGGAAATGTCATTATACGCTTAAACCCAACGCGAGCTGTCGGCTCCGTACATCGAACAGAACATTTTCGCACTTCTGAATCTCCTAACCCGACAGATGATGACGTTTCACAGCCATAAGGAATAACCAATCGGAGTCCAGCACTTCTAGCCAATCAGAGGCGAAGGAGGGCGGTGATGGGCGGAGGTGGGCGATGTTTCTGAGGTGGAAGTAGGCGGTTCTTGTGATGTGGTTGGTATGTTGTTGATGACACCGAGGTTCTGGATGTGTGGGGAGGGGAGCAGAGTGGAGTTGTCGATGGAGAGGTGGACGTCGTTGTGGGCGCTGTTGATGGAGGTCTTGGGGCCGACGATGATGATGATGATGAGTTCTGATTTGTCGGCGTTCAGCATGAAAAACACAACAAATAAAACCATCAAAATTACCGGATTAGTCCAAGAATTCTGAGACACTCAGACAAATTCTCACATGATTGAATCAGATATTGGTCCGGGCTTTTATTTTGAAAAGCAGAGCGGAAGTGTCGCTGGTTAGTTTGGTCGTACTTGACGACAGCGCTCTTCCTCCTCCCTCTCTCTCTCCCTCCCTCCCTCCCTCCCTCCGTCTCTCTCTCTCCGTCGGTGTCTCTCCGCCGTCCTCTCCGCCGCTCCAGTCCGCTGCTGCCGCACATCCACCACGGAGCCACCACGCCGAGGAGGCGGGCCGACTGTAGCGACACCTCGGCCAGCGGTGCTGGGTCATAGCGCTGGTGGAGGGTGGGGTGGGAGGGTGGGGGCAGCTCTCTCCGCTCTTCTTGCCCTTCCTGAAGCTTCACCCACAGCCTGAAGCAGTGAGGACACCATCACCACCACCTCCACCTCCACCTCCTCCTGAGCTCCGCGCTGCAGACGGACTGGAATAGTTTGGGGTTTGGATCAGACGCGCCAAGTTGCAGCTGCAGAGGCGCACTTTTCTCCGGGGCTCCTCTCTCCTTCTGCGCTCACAGTCCGAGATGGAAGATGGTCCGTCTTCAACAAGCTGTTTCAGAAGGTTAACGGACTGTTTCCTGGGTGCAAGTAGGTATTTTTTTAACCAACATATAAACCTTTAAAGCAGAGCAGAGACACAGAAACCCTGAATCTCAGAATCAGAGCGGAACATCCAGAGAACATGGACAGATTCTGGTCCTGCATGTGTGTGTGTGTGTGTGTGTGTGTGCGTGTGTGTGTGTCCAACTTTATGAATGACAGATCGGTAGCTGCTGCTGCTGCTGCTTCAGATGGGTGTGGACTGATCAGTGTGTTTCTCTCCGTCTTTAATTTTCCTGATAAAGGTGTAAATTCATGAGCCGGACCCTCTCTGCAGGAGGAGCAGAGAGGAGCAGAGAGGAGCAGTGCTGCAGTCAGACAGAGAAGTCTGCAGCTCCTCCTGCAGCTCCAAAAGACCTCCTCAGTTAGAATTTAATCTGAAATAAAAACACCAAACATGTCAAAGAAAACTCAAAGAAATTAGTTCTCTGATCACACAGACGATCATTTTCACGTTTTGAACCAAACTTCATATTAAAAATCCTCGTTTTTATCCTCTACCTGTAGATTATCTCGATTTTCCAGCTCCCTCCACATGTGAGCATCACTTTTATTGAATAACTGCGACGTTTTTCCTTCTTCCACTCCAGTAAATTTCCTCTAATTCTGCCTGTAATGACATTTTCTCGTCGCGCTCGCGGCCCCCCTTCTCTCTGCTGTCACTTCATGTGTTTGGGTGTCCTTGTTTTGGTGCTAAGGGAACATCTCCTCCAGTGTCATTTATCATTCCTGTCACTCGTTCTCTCTCTTTGTGTGTCTCTCTCTCTCTCTCTCTCTGTCCGTTGTTTCAGTGGCACCTCATGTGACCTTTAGTGGCAGCTCTGTAATAACAAGTTAGCAGTTTGGGGCCTGGGACAGCGACAGACGCCAAAGTACACACATAGCAGTAAACTGCAGTCATGGAATGTATTATTGAGGTACAGTATGGAGGTAACCCGCCCTCGCTGACCAAAAAAGGAGAAGAAATGTCGTTTTGACGGCGCTCGGACGCTCTTTAGATTCACCAAACAACAACGGCAGAGATGCTCGGAGAGTTTAGAGCGCAGGAAACGGCGAATTATGACGAGAGAAAGGGGAATACACGAGAGTCTGCTTCCTCGCCTGCTTCAACAATCACACCGTGGTCACGGCGAAGCTTCTCCTTAAATCTGAATGAGGCGCAGGTCGACGCCTCTTTAGTCGGGGTGTGAGGAAAGAATCGCAGATGAGATTTAAAAATAGAAAAGCAGTCGACAGCAGAACACCTACTGCAAAAACTTATATAACAGCAAACAATGGAGGAAAAACTGAGAATATTTAATGTGTGCAAGAAGAAGTTTATCAGCAGGGAGAGCTGAGCGGAGGGTTCATGCAGGAATGTTCACCGAGTTTGTCGAGTCAAAGTTCACAGAAATATGAACATCCATGTTTTCACAGAAGTCTTTTCATTTTCTACCTTCAGTTTAGGAGGAGAATCGGGACGTTTGACGAAGAGTCTTTTTAAGAATTATGTCCAAATTCATGTTTGAGAAAAAAGGTCAAAGGAGACGTCACATCGGCGAATTTCTCCGATTTAAAGAGGTCGGAGTCTGACGACGTTTCTGAGAGTTTGATTCGAGAACATCGACAAACTCAGACTCAGAAACACCGAGGAGAAACTTCCAGAAAGTTTCCTCAAGTTTAGAGTGAATCCATCATATTTACCGTTTTTTAATGTTTCACACACAGATATAAAGTTTTCATGTACAGTAGTACACACACACACACACACACACACACACACACACTTTTTACTTGTTTTCTTCTGATTTTAAATTTATGATGAAATAATTTCTGTATGAAACTGTATGAGAGCTGTTTCATCATGACAATTAGATAAACCTGAGATCAGAATTATTAAACTCAGATCTTCAGGTTTTGATGAAAATACTGAATTAGACGTTTTTATTCTGTGTTATAAAAACTATTAACATTAAATCGGCGACTGCAGATCAAACAGATCGATCAGTTTTTGTAAAAACGTCTTTAAAACATTCAGACGAAAATTTTACATTCGACTGTAATTCTGAAAAAACGACGACTCAATTTTAGAGCAGCAGACGTTCGTTTGAGCTCCTGAGCGTTAAAGCCTCTCTGTCTGTCTGTGTTCAGTCTGTCCCTCAGCTCACCATCCGGCCTCCTCCTCCTCCTCCTCCTCCTCCTCTCCCTCTTCTCCTCCTCCTGGATGTTCAGTTTGAAGGTTTTGTTTGTTTTTCTCTCCCGTTCTCGTATCGTTTCTTCTCCTTCTTCTGTCGTCGTCTCTTCCGGGACACTTCAGTCAGACAGATTTTGGACTCTCTGAGGTTTTCCTGGTTAATTAAATAAATCAAAGAAATCGGATCAGGATCTAAATTAGTTTATGTTGTTTCAAGTTTTTGACTTTTTTTCCTCTAAATCGTCTTTTGACCTTTTCTTGACGCTTTAATCACAGAATAGTTTTTTTTTCTTTAGTTTCAACATTTCTACTTCAGTCTGAACTCATTTCTCTTTTTTTGACTTTTTTTCGATTTTATCTTCGTCATTAAAAAAGTTTAACTTCATCCTCAAAAAGTCATTTTCTGCTCCACATTATGACTTTAATTCTTTACTTTCTGTTTTTATATTTTTCTCATTATTGGACTTTAATCATGACTTTATTTTAAACAAGTTTGATTCAGTTATATCCTCCATCATTTTTAATTTAGGAACTTTTTTATAATTATTATTATTTTTTAAACATTTTAGATTTTAGTCACAGAAACTTTTTCAACTTTAGACTCAGAATTTCAACTTTTTTTCTGAAATGCTCCTCTCTCTCCTCCTTGCTCCTCCTGTCTCCTCCTCTCTGCTTCTCTCTCCTCCTCTCTGCAGAATCAGGCCGTTGTTTATAAGAGGTGCATAAGGTCTCTCGCCGCTGTACTTCAAAGCGTTCTGGTCGGGGTCATTTAGTCGTTTGTCGCCTCACGTTCGTGGAAAACTTACGAGCACGTGTGTTTGTGTGAGTGAGTGTGTGTGTGTGTGTGTGTGTGTGTGTGTGCGTTGTTGTTTGTAGACCAGCGTCCTGGCGGGTCCTGGAGGTCAGTCTGGGTCGGTCCTAATGTGATCTCTCAGGCATTCTCAAAGCCGATTGGCTGTCGATGAATTGCTTAACTCAGTGAAGAAGGCGGCTTTGTCAGGCGGGAAGTGCTAACGCTGGACGCTTCCTGCCCTCTCTTCCTCACAGCGAGGTTTCTCTCTCTCTCTCTCTCGCTCTCTCTCTCTCTCTCTCCGTCTGTCTCTCGCCCGTCTCTGATTAAACACAAACATGGCGATGAAATCTGAAATCTGAAATCTGAATGGCGGTTTGATTCCTCTCCCGTTTCTCTTTGTGAGTTTTTTTGGTTTGACTCTCTCAGGAAGTTGAAGCCAAAGAAACTGAGTTTGTTCTGTAGTTTGAACTCTTCCTCCGATCAGATCTGAGCGGGTCTGGACCGGCGCCAGGGCACAGTGCAGCATCTGAGCGGCCAAACAGATGACAGTCTCCTCCCGGCGTCCGTTGACCCCTCGTCAGCCCGCCGTGGGTTGGTATCTGAGGGGATGGGAAAAGGCCACATGCACGTCGATTTCCTCACGACTCGTCCTCGCGTCAGCGCTCATAAAAGAGGAGAGGACGCGCCGATCTGCGGTTCTCGTTAGCAGGTCCCCGCTGGCCCCTCTGCAGAGCGGCTGCAGAGTTCAGCGCCGGTCCAGATGTGGAGCGGGGAACAGGACCCTGCAGCTCTGATGGGGCTCAGGGGAGGAGGCGGGGGGGCGAGGAGGCTTTTCATCGAGACGCAGGTTCAACGATTAACCCAGGACTGCGAAGGGAACATGTTGAAGATCAGCTGGAGGCCGGCGTGTTTTCAGGAACATCTGATGGAAAGAGGCGGGAAATCCAGATCCTGTTCTGGTCCGAGTGAAAGTTCAGAGAGTTTGACAGGATCAGTTCAACTTTTCAGCTCTGAACGAGAACTTTACTCAGACGTGAAAATCTGTTGGAGAAACTTTAGCTGCTCAGAATCGACAGGATCTACATCATCAAGATCTACATCAACAGGAGCCACCTTTCAAACCCTGGTCCATAAAGGTGTCCACATAGTCATCTTCATCATTTATTATTTAGTTTGGTCATATTTTGGGAAAGATGGCGTTTGTGTTCTGTTTGCGAATAGTCCAAAACTAAACGGTCGTTTTTGACGACACAGATCTGAAGATCTTCTCAGTAGAGCGCAGACGTTAAAGGTGAAGTAGTCAGGATTTCGTTAAAGAAGTTGTGTCGTCAACATTTGAACATTTTTGAGCGGTCCGCTCTTTCTGACTGTAAACAAAGCCGTTCTCCACCTCCTCTAACCTGATTGGTTGTGAGGCAGACGCTGCTCCCCCGTGTCGTTCAGGAGCCCAAACAAAGTTAGCGTGCTACAATATCGGACAGTAGAAACCAACCAGAAAGTTCGGAAAATTGTCTGAATCCTCCTTTGGCCACGACTGCCGACACAAGCAAGAAAACAAAGTAAATACCGGAGACTCTGGAGGAATAACGGGCGCTTAAAACGGAGGTAGACCGGACAAGAGCTAAAAAGCCGGGTCAACATAAACCATGGGGGACGCTTGGGGATCTTGGTGACCCTGTAACCTTTCTGCTGGACAGGTAAACCGCTTTAACAAAGTAAGACAAGTGTCTGTAACAGAAGTGTTTCTTGTCAAACGGACCTGCTGTAGCGTGTTGTAGCGCCATCGCTAAACTGTCCTCCCTCGGGTCCTGGACTATGTCACTTTATCCTCGTTGTAGAAGTCCTGCAAACATTGTGTTTGCTGGTAGTCTGTTGGCATCTACAGTAGCACCAATGCTTTTGACTTTCACCTTGACTGGGCCCCATTTGTAATGATCTGAAGGATTGATCTGCATTATATCTGAATTTAATTGGAACGATACGAGCGAGCAGGAGCGTCTGTTTGTGGGCGGGGCTTAAGAGAGGGAGAGGAGGAGCTGAGGGGAAAACTGGTTGGAGGGGTAGAGTTTACATTCAAGATTTCTCCTAAAAACTGGAACTAACTCAGATCCTGACTACAACACCTTCAGTGTTCGGGTCAGAGTCTCTCAAAATGACCTCGATAAGGAGGCAGAAAACTGTAGCCTAGCTTGCTTGCAGGTTCTCTCATCATTAAAGGGGCGGAGCTAATCAACATCTACTGTGGCTAAAACACTCAAAAAAGAGTGAACTATCCCTTTAAAGTCCAGTTTCTGAGCTCAGACCTGAACTCCCTCTCTTGGTCCTGCTCTGACTAACATCCAGGTCTCCTTTAAACCGGCTCAGACCGGTCTGAGGGTCTCTGACAAAGGGCCGGGGTTTTATCTCCGTGGTTAAATGTTTGCATGTGTGAAGGCACGCCGCCGCCGCCAATCAGCTGAACTTTTGAGTGTTTATCGTTCATGTTCATACCGACCTCGGCTCTCTGAGTGATCCGGTCCGTCTGCGGGAGCGGCTCTGTGACCTGCTTCGTGTCTGTCAGGGCGCCAGTGTGACCGTGCCATGAGGCCTGCCTTATCAGCGCCTCAGTCGGACATTTATAACCCCGACCCTCTACGTCTAACGACCGTAACCATGAGGTGGAAATAATGCAAATGACGTTTCCACGGAAATGTGTGTGTGTGTTTGTGGAGGGAGAGGTGTGAGTGTGAATGTGTTAGGAGGTCTTTGTTTTCGTCTTTAGGAGTCATGGAAGCAGTGAAAGTCCAGGGTTACCTCACACACACACACACGCGCGCACACACACACACAGAGCGAGGTTCACCGGCTGGACGCCATGAATAAATGAGGTGAGAGTCGCAGCGTTTTCATCCTCGGTGTTCTCTCTCTTTTCTTCCTCCTCCTCTTCGCTCACTGAATGTCAGCGTTCACGGCGCTCCAGCCCTCCCATAGATAAGATAAGAACCACATGCTCTTCCCACCTCCTGGCAAGGGAGTCCCAGGCGGACCTGCTGACGCACGCACCACGCAGCAGCAGCAGCAGCTCCCCTCCTCCTCCTCCTCCTCCTCCTCCTCCTTCTCCTGCTCCTCCTCCTGCTCCTGCTCGCCTTCCTGCCTCAGCCTCATGTCAGGAAAGTGAAAAGTAGTACCTTGGCAGCTCGCCCTTGACTCTGTGCCAGAGGGAGTGTGCTTCAGGAGAAGTGGTCTTTTCCCTTTTTCTCTCGTGTGCATTTTTCATCTCCGTGCTGCAGGAGCGCAGGAACATCGCGCTCGCTGAACATCAGCTCTGCCGGGGTCGACGTCACCTGACACGGGAGCTGCAGACACGCTCACCTCCGAGATAAAAACACCAAATATTTGTTGGTTCCACCTTCTGAAGTTCAGATGTTTGAGAGCGACTAATGAGTTAAATTTGATTGATTCATCTACAGATTAAAAAAACACTCTGGTTTTAATTCCTCCCTTCAGTCCTCCTCGCAGCCTGACCTCCAAAAACCTCTGATCTGGTTCTTCATAAATCGTCATTTTCTCAAACAAAACTCTGATAAATTTGCATCAAGAGCGACAAAAACTGTTCAGTTAAAAAGGCGGTGTCGTAAATTTACCAAAAACGAGCCTCTCAAAAAAGTTTTTTTTTTTTAAACTCGTCAGAAAAGCTTCGAAAGCTAAACGGACCAACAGCTGCCATTTCTGTGCAGATACGTCGACCTCCAAACAACATCCTTTACGACACACGACTGTTGTGTTTACAGTTTCAACATCCTGACTTACGGTAAAATCCACTCGCTTTGTGAGACCGGCAGCTCTGCGTCCTGGAGCTTCTCTGTCCCACGAAGAGGACCAGTGAGATTTTAGAGACTGTCCAGATCCAGGAGGGCGAGCTGAGATCGTTTACGTGAAGGTTTTGATGATATTTAGTGATTTGTGTAAAAGGTCAGAGGTTAACCCCCGATCTCCACCTTCATCCTGAACGGCTATAAAAAGGTCGTATCCTCCGATCATAGCTGATCGTAACCATTCAAGTTAACGTGTCGATTTACACCGACTTCTTTCTGTTCCTCTGCGGATGAAAATCAAAATCTAACCCTCTTTTGGAAGAACAACTGGACTTACTTGGGACGTTTCGCCTAAGGTGAAACCTCTCAAGTAAGTCCAGTTGTTCTTTCAACAAAGAACTGTAAATCATAGATGCTGCATCCTCAGTTCTAAACAACATCTCCAGGTTTACCCCCAATGTCCACCACATCCTGAACGTCTACAAAAAAGACGTATCAGCTGATCGTAGCTAGGAATTGGCGAATGGCGAAAAACGCCGCCGTTCTGGATCATTAGCGTTAATTGTGGGTTATACAGACCTTCGTTGAGCTCAGTGAGAAAGTCGAAAAAACAGTTTTTCTGTAAATAACGACGTACCGACACTCTGTGAAATCCACTTGCTCCGTGAGCCCGACAGCTTTCCAGAAATTAACGGCCATCTTTATTGTGATCAGTCGACCAATCAGAGGCCGGATCTGTGATCAGCTGTGTTGTTGTTGACCCTGAAAACCTGTTCAGACCGGCTCGGTTCAACACAGTGAATCCAGCATCAGCAGAATGAACAAAAACATCAGTGTCATTAAATCGGATTATTTCTCATCTTTAGCGTCTGAACGTCACGACCATGAGGAGGTCACACAGTTCGGGTTTTGTCCTATCACCAAGAAGAAGAAGAAGAAGAAGCGCTCACTCACTCACGGGTCAGAGATTCCTAAAACGTGATTTGCTGGATAAATCGATAAAAAAGGAACACTTTCCCAAAACGACAGTGAGCTCCTTGTGGGACCGCTCCGGGTTAGAACCTTGTGATTTTCTTCTGGCGTCACAGAAGTTCATACTGAGAAATAAAAGAGGAAGCGGATCAGCGAGAGGAGACGTCCACGCAGATCTGTTCCTCTGAAGAAGACGGCGATGACACAGAGCGAAGCGTGGCGATGACGGGGGAGGCTGAGTGTGAAAGGTCGAATAAGGACAGAGAGAGAGAGACGAGGACTTTCTCTGCAGATGTGACGTCAGGGGTCACCGTGGACCTGAACGGGGTCTTTTAAGGACAAAGCGTGAAGAAGAAGAAGAAGAAGAAGAAGAAGAAGAAGAAGTGGTCATTGAAAGCAGATTTATTGTCCGGTGGAGTGAACCACTTACAGTTTCAGCGTCTCTAAGACTCATTTACTTTTCCATATTAAATCACACCATGACTAATTGATTTCCTTCGTAAAACAGCCTCATAAACTCGAACCCAAACAGCAGCGAGTGAGCTGGTTTTCTGATCCAGTGACCCGGCTCAGGTTCTGTTCATGTGTTCATAAACAGAAGCATGAACGTGTCTCTGGCCTTCCTTCCTCCGGCGGTCCCAGGGCGTGGTCTGGTCCAGATCAGTCTTATGCAACGATACCTCCTCACTGCATGAACTCAGTTTTTACACAGGAAGCCCAAGTCTGAGTCAGGCTCACGGATCTCTGCCAACTGGGCTGCAGCCGCTCACAAACAGGCTGCACACAAAACTGCTTCCTGCCTGTTCGTCACTCTGAACCCACGTCAGGACCGGACCAGCACCAGAACCCACATGTCAGGGTCCTGGACTTCACAGGAGGATCTGTATCTCATGTTGTTCCGCATTTCAAACTGAATCAAGAACAAAATGAAAGATTAGAGCTGCTGTTTTTACTCCTCTGAAGGAGTCATGAACCAACGTGACATCACGTTGTGCCGTCCAATCAGGACGATGATAAAGGATGAGCCCGCCCAGAAACTGGAGTTTCTTCTGAAGGTTTTTCTTGTTCTTAGTGAAGTTTTTTCCTCCTCCTAAAGTCCAGATCGTAGCTGTTCAGGGTAGGGCTCCACGATATCGGAAAAAATGAACATTTCAGGTTTTTCAACTCTGCGATATTTATGACGATATTAAAAACTGGAGGAATTTTTATCAGATGATCTGAATCTTGAGGACAGTTAACCTGCTCTGATCTTAAATCTTTTAGTGAATGTTAGTAGAATAACTTCTGTCTGTCTTAGAGATATTTTTAGTTTTTCTTGTTCTGGGACGTTACCGTGGAAACAGATGAACACAGAACACGTGTTTTAGTCGACATCATCAGTCGACCTTCTTATAACCGAAATAATTCCAGATAACTGACTTTACTTTTCTTTTTACCGACAAGTCTTCATCTTCGGTGGTTTTCTCTTGTTCGTTGATCATTTTGAGATGGTTGTTGTTGTTAGCGGTGTTGTGCTGAGAAACGCATGTCCGCCGAGAATTGGCATCCTCCTCGCAGAAACGCTAACAGTCGAGTGGTCCAGAGAAATGTACGATTTCAAACCTTCAGTTCTTATTTGTGTCGATAAACAGTGATGAAGAATGTTCCCAAAGTCATCCTCAGCAGGTATTCGTCTATAGCGGCTCACTCCATGTGCAGAGGGCGTGGTTTCCTCCTCTCTGATTTTGATTGACAGCTGGTATCTGAGTAAAGAACGAATGTGATTGGTGGATCGCTGCACAGTCAGCTATCCTTGAAATTAGACGAGTTCATTCTCCTCCGACATCGCAGGCTCTGACGTGTGACTATCTCGCACACGTACATCGCCATGACGATACTCAAACGTTATATCATGCAGCCCTAGGTCACAGGAAGTCCGTCTGCAGAGTCTGACGTTCAGGTTCACGTCGAGGACTGGTTTGGTCTGAAGGTGCGGGTCTGCTCTGCTGTCCTGGTTTCTGTCTCCTCTTGAATCAGGACTCCACATCTTCAGATTTCTTCCTCTATTGTTTGAATAAAATCATCATCATGTTTCGTAAACGTCCGATTTTCTGAGCAGCAGCCTGAAAAACTCGACACAGACCTGAGAGGACGGCGTAATCTGCTCTGGCAGAGAGTTCAAGTCCCGGCTGGAGACGGTAAACCTCTCCTAAATGTGAGGAGAGGGAATCGTCGTGTTTGTACATCTTGATTTGTTTATGTTGGACGTGTCAGAAGAAGTCTTCACTGACATTAAATCCAGAACATTTGTTGCTCATCTCCATGACGCCATCGTCTTCAGCAGCGCGGCCTCAGGGGGAGCAGATTTCTGCGAGGTTAGACAAAATAAAAGAGGAATGAGCGACCGGCAGAAGCAGCGCTTTCACTTCAGCTTCTCCCCCCGACTGAGCTCCTGTGGGTCCTGGTGGGTTCACCGTGGTGGACCTCAGCGTATTTGCAGGTTGTTGACACTGACACACGTTCTGAAGCTCTGAGTGTCGCTCAGAGGCCGAGCTGAGACTCGGACGGGTTCAGATCGAGTCAGAGGAGAGGTCTGTGAGCAGCAGAGACGGGTCGGGTCGAACCAGCAGCTCCTGAAGACTGATGATGTTTACATTTTTGACTTTCTGCTCATTTCTGTCTTTAAACTGGAGCAGATGAATGTTTTCAGTCTGAGACGAACAAGTGAAAGGTTTTTAGACGTCATTTCACCCCGATGACACCATGGATGAGGAGATGCTGATTCTAGAAGTCTAGAAGTAGATTTCCTCCTCTGGAAGGACACAATCTACTGCTTATATGTCTATGTGTCTGTCTTTAGAGAGAAATCGTTATCGTTAGTTCGTTAGTTCTTGCGATTACCGCTGTCCGTAATCCACCTCAAAATTCTCCTCACAAACGGATCTGGTAGGAATCGGCGGACAGCAAGAATCGCCGCCGTTCCAGATGTGGTGAAAATTGGGGGTTAAGAGGAAACTCATCTGTTCGTTCTGCTTCAAGTAAACAAAAGTGTTTTTTCCTGTTTTAACTCCCATCATCAGTGTGTTTTACGGACACGATAAACTCTGTTTTCTTGTTAAATTTCTCCCATAAAATCAATCGAGTTCATCGCTGGATTATTTGATTCCTGCAGCCCCAGTTCTAGTTCAGTCCGGTCGAACCCTCTCGCCGCATGATCAGGCGTTAAAATGATGAGTATAAAAATCACAATCAGGTCTTTTTGTTTAAAAGCATCAGTATAAATGTGAGACGTGTCAAAAACTCCTCACAGGATCATTAAATGAAGTAGAAAACTCTGAACCAGGCTGATCTGTTTTACCTCCTTCCTGTTTCCTCCTCTCTTCTTCGTTTGTCGTCTTTTCTGTTCGTCGCTGAACTCAGAGAACGATGTCATAAACTCTGATATTTACGTGTGTGTGACAGCCGCTAAATTCCACTCTGTCTTTGCCCCGTGGAAACGGGACATCGGACTGTTTTTAGTTTTCTTGCACACATATGATCTCCTCGTACAGAACCTGCATTCATGACTCAAACAGCTGCTCGTTTCTTTATCTTCGTGTCATTTTTCGGCGAGGGTCTCTGCAGGCGGCGGCTCTCCCGTTTCCCTCCTCCCTGAGCGCCTCTCTGTCCCCTGCAGCTCCCTCCGCCCGCCCGCCCGCCCGCCCGCCGCTCTCTAACTTTCTCTGATTTATGAAGCCGTGTGCTCGATGTGCGTCAGAGCCGGCCAGGAGTCTCGTGAGGCGTTACGCTCCTGAAGATCTGTGTCTCGTGTCTGGACAGTGTCAGACCGCGGCATCCTCCACCCTCCCCCACCCACGGCCTCTCTCTCAAACTTACCCCCACCTCTGTTTGCCAGCTCGGCCCACACACACACACACACACACACACACACACTCTCTCTCTCTCTCTGATCCAGTTTAGCTGCAGATCTAATGAGAGGGTCGATGGTATCAGAGACGTTGATCAGAGTCAGGAGAGCTGGGATCTGAAATTGAATTGCAGTTGTTCCTAGAATGCAGTTGAAGCTTTTTATAGACGACGACTCTGAGACACCAGAACAAGGACGCATCAGAAACTTCCACGACCTTCTCGCAGCTCCAGCTGACCTTTGAATGTTTTAAGTCCGGACACATTTATAGGTGCAGCTGCGTTAGGAAGGCCAAACTCTTTAACTTGTTTTATTGATTTATTTTGGTAAAAAGTTTATTGAGGAACGACTTCATGATGAAATGTGTCACTGTTTACAGACACCAGACTTCTGAAATCAGAGAAATCTGCTTTTTTCAGAGCTGGACGATCAAAAAATATGTTTGTTTAGGATATTTTTTTAGGTTCTAGGGCCCGACCGATTTTTGGGGTCCGATTATTAGGGCGGAAAAAACTTGATTACCAATTAATCTGCTGTTTTTTTTTTTTAAATCGGCGAGTTTTGGCCGATTACTGATTATTCTAAAACGGACTAAAATTGGCTCTACTATGTACGTCTCTTCCGGGGATGGTCACTGAGGGGTGTGGTTTTGGGTTGTTTGGCGGTTATTTAAATCTCACCGCTGTGGTCAGACGATGGTTTTTGGTCAGCTCTGATAATTTTCTGTTCTGTTTCACTCGTCCTGTTTTAACCTCATTATCATCACTTTTTTAATTTGAAGTCAAAGGTTTTGGACCTGGATCAGTGTTTTTTCTTTCCTGTTTTTAACAATAAATCACTTTTTTAAAACTCAAACCGGACTGATAATTAAACGGGTCACAGATGTAAGTGAACCTAAACTCCGGCGGTCTTTTTATTGAAGGAAAACAGACGCTACAATAAATGTTTCAGTGATGGAATCGGAGTATTTTCAATCAGTAAAATCCAATATTTAAAATAAATGTGGATATTTTTTTTTCATGCAGATAATCAGTTTTGTTTAGATGGAGGTCTGTGTTTTTTTTTCCCCTGTACTTTTCCATTATTTTGATGTAGATGAAGGTTCATCCTCAGATAAACTCAGATTGTTTAAAGGAGTTTCAGGAGAAAAACAACAATAGATCATGAACTCAGAGTCGTTCTCAGGGAAATATTTCATTGGTTTCACGTCGGTCAGCTCGGCCCCTTAAATGAGGAACTGCTGGGGGAGCCGGCTCACAAACTCAGCGACAGTTTCTGCAGACCGAGCTGGATCTGCAACATTTTTGGAGACTCAGGCTGCAGGACTCGTCTTGGTTTAAAAGTTCACTCTCTTTTTTTATGCAGTTTGAAACTCCGACACAAACGAGCTCTTACGTCTGCAGTGCTGTGATTTTGTTTGATTTCGCTGCAAAAACTGAAGTGAGACAAACATGCAGAAACTTTGTCCTGTGGGAGTAAAAAAGACGTTTCTGAGGTTTTAATTTGGAGACAGGATTTTCAGGAAGAAATTAAATAAAATGCAAAACAAAAAAAATCAGTCGAAAATTCAAATGAACAAATTTCAGGACTGAGTCAAAAGTTTGATCCTGAAATAAAACTGTTGAGTTTTGATGTGATTCAGTGAGTTGATTTCATCCGGGGTTTTAGTCAGACTCTCCACTTCTGTACTGGGTGTGTGTGTGTATGCGTGTGTGTGTGTGTGTGTGTGTGTGTGTGTGTGTGTGTGTGCACATGCTTCCTGTGATTCACGCTCAGACGCTGCAGATTCGCGCTCTCTGTGAGGACGGTCAGGTCGGTGTTACTCCGCTTTTGTTCAGTCCAGACGACCTCCCACAGCTGAGTGTGTATCCACGTGCACACACACACACACACGCTCCTCTTGTATCCTCTGAGTGTGTGACTTTAACATGATGGTTTTCCCCGTGCATCATGACGGCCTCTCAGACGCCAGCAGCCGTATTAAAAGCAGCTTTCCTTCGGCGCTGGTCTGGTAAATGTTTTCTTCCCTGACAACAAAGACAGTAACCAGCAGCACTTAGCCGCTCTCAACAACCTAATTGCCTATTAAGAACAATCGAGTCCTCCGTTATCCCGCTGCCTCTGTTGGGGGCTGCCGTCCCCGGAGACGCAGCTTTACAGTAAACAGGAGCGAGCTCGCCGGCCTCTCTGAGAGCTGAGCCGGAGCGTGCACGCCACTATCGCCGCCGCTGTTACTATCACTCTCACCTCACCGCTCTCACTGACACTGGACCTCAGAAACAGCTGACAGTTTAACGATCAGCTGATCGGACATATTTAACCCTGCTCATATGAATCAGATCAATAACAGGTAAAGCTGCAGGAGTCGAGTTTTATTGATTATTTTGGCGAAATTTTCATCGAGTAAATGAATAAAAAAACAAATTTCCTTTTGCAGTAAATGTGATTTTTCCATCATATTGAGAATAAAAGTCTTATTTTTATTCTTATTTATACCTAAAAAATTTAACTTTAATTAAAGGGGAAATGTACGGACACCCGACTTATGCCAGGGCCCCCTCAGTCAAACAGTCTGGACACGCCCCTGCAGAGCCGACAGGAAGTCCAAGTTTGGGCAGAAAAAGCAGCAGGAAACGATTTCTCTGCCGATTTTAAGACATGAGAGAAAATTTAGCTGAAATCCGACGTCTGTCCAAGAAAGACGGTAAAAAAGGCGACTGTCGTACCGACAGGAGGGATGAAACTATAGCAGCTGCTTTTTATTTATGAAAATCCAGATTATTAGATTATTACTTCATTTATTTTTCTTTCATTTTAAAAATAAATTTAAAGTTTATCAGAAACATGTTTGTGGACGATCATAAACTCCTGAATATGATCTTTAAAATGTTGAAAACAACATCAGTGTGATATCTGTGTTGTGTAATAAACAGTCAGCTGACCTGCTCCGAAAATATCAGCTGCTGAAAAAAAACAAATCAGAAAAATGTGATTTAAAAAAGATTAAAATTAACGTTAAGAGATCATTTTCACTACTTTTTATTTAAGTTTTTTTTTTTTATGGCAGGATGAAAGCTGAGCAGGGTGTGAATTTAACCTGTGTGTGTGTGTGTGTGTGTGTGTGTGTGTGTGTGTGTGTGTGTGTGTGTGTGTGTGTGTGTGTGTGTGTGTCCTCAGGTTTGACGGATGAGAAAGTGAAGGCCTACCTCTCGCTGCACCCGCAGATGCTGGACGACTTTGTGTTGGAGAGCGTGAGTGCAGAGACGCTGGACAGATGGCTGAAGAAGAAGACCAGCAGCAGGCCTGCAGGTAAACAACCGTCCACCACACACACACGCACGCACGCACGCACGCACGCACACACACACACACACACACACACACACACACACACACACGCTGCAGCTCTCTGTGACAGAACGGTCAGATCAGCAGATTTCAGGATGGCGTCGCTCTGACGTCCGTCATATTTTGCTTCGGTTTAAGGTTTGTTCGTTTTGCTGCTCTGAGTTTCTGGACCCTCGTCAACTGTTGCCTGTTGTTGCTTGAGCTGAAACCTTCCTGTTGGAGAGGTGGGCTGCAGGTTTATGTCCCGGTCTTCAGGTGTGTCTGCTCAGACAGTAGAAAGAGCGAGGGCGGTCCGCTGAGGGTCTTCAGACGTGTTCGAGTCTCCACACTCAGCCGAGTGTTTCTCAGACCGACCGCATCCATCACGGGCCCACAGAGCTGGCGCTCGGCCCAGTCAAGCTGCTGACGTCAGAGGCGACCTCCGGAGACATGCAGCCGGCTGAAGGGAGGCCCAGGGGAGGGGCAGGGATGGTGGTGAGGGTGGGGGGTTCGCTGGCTCAGGGTGCGGGTGTGTAGAAGTGGAGGAGGGGGGGTGGTTTAGTCACATTTTGGAGCAGAGAGTCTGTGGAGCGCGCCCTCGCTCTCAGCCTGCATCTGCAGCTCTTCCTGTATACAGTGCGTGTGTTTATATACACAGCAGCAGCAGCAGCACATGCGTGCATGTGTGTGTCGGTGTTGACAGGTATCAAACGCAGGCCCTCATGGTCATCGTTCTGACTGGCGCCAAGTAGGGCGAACTTCTTTCATTCATGTGGTGGAGGGCGGTGCAGATGAGCTGAATGATGATTCATGAATGTCAGTGAGAGCAGGAAGGAGGAGGAGGAGGAGGAGGAGGAAGAGCGCCGGCTCGGGTTTCACTCATCGTATGAACCATGAAAGTCCATCCTGTCTGTGCAGAGATCAGAGAGTGAACACATGAATGTTACTGTTATTTATGAAGGAGTGATGTCTCTGATGAGTCTCTGCTTTTTTAGAGTCACATCATGTCACTGTTGGTCATGTCAGGTCAGTCATAGTTAGTGTCATAAAGGAGACCGACTGGACCGGTCTTTGTCAGTTTTGGACTCCGTACTGGTCTCATGCAGGTGCAGGGCTCGACACTAGCTTTGTTCACATGTTCTCCTGAGTTAAAAAAGTAAGGAGCACAAAGAACCTTAGGGGATCAATGAAAACTGATCAATAATGTTTGTCTTATTGATCGACCTTAGTACTATTATTAGAAATCAATTTGAGGTCTTTTGGTCACATGACAGTGAAGCTATTGTAGGAAAACAGCCTTTTCTGAGAACATCAACCGGTAATTTATTGACGGTCCCTTATTTCAACACTGACGTTGACAGTGAGGGTGTCGAGTAGATTTAACCGCGCTGCTGTTGTTATTCCCGGTTATGAAGAGCGAGAAGACACCGGTAGATCCTCAGAGAATGTCCGTCAGATATCCAACCTGAAACTAACTTCACCGCCGTATTTACAGGAAAATATATCCAACCTAAAACTAACTTCACCGCCGTATTTACAGGAAAATATATCCAACCTGAAACTAACTTCACCGTCGTATTTACAGGAAAATATATCCAACCTAAAACTAACTTCACCGCCGTATTTAAAGGAAAATATATCCAACCTGAAACTAACTTCACCGCCGTATTTACAGGAAAATATATCCAAACCTGAAACTAACTTCACCGCCGTATTTACAGGAAAATATATCCAACCTGAAACTAACTCACCGCTGTATTTACAGGAAAATATATCCAACCTAAAACTAACTTCACCGCCGTATTTACAGGAAAATATATCCAACCTGAAACTAACTTCACCGCCGTATTTACAGGAAAATATATCCAACCTGAAACTAACTTCACCGCCGTATTTACAGGAAAATATATCCAACCTGAAACTAACTTCACCGCCGTATTTACAGGAAAATATATCCAACCTAAAACTAACTTCACCGCCGTATTTACAGGAAAATATATCCAACCTGAAACTAACTTCACCGCTGTATTTACAGGAAAATATATCCAACCTGAAACTAACTTCACCGCCGTATTTACAGGAAAATATATCCAACCTGAAACTAACTTCACCGCCGTATTTACAGGAAAATATATCCAACCTGAAACTAACTTCACCGCCGTATTTACAGGAAAATATATCCAACCTAAAACTAACTTCACCGCCGTATTTACAGGAAAATATATCCAACCTGAAACTAACTTCACCGCCGTATTTACAGGAAAATATATCCAACCTGAAACTGACTTCACCGCCGTATTTACAGGAAAATATATCCAACCTGAAACTAACTTCACCGCCGTATTTACAGGAAAATATATCCAACCTGAAACTAACTTCACTGCCGTATTTACAGGAAAATATATCCAACCTGAAACTAACTTCACCGCCGTATTTACAGGAAAATATATCCAACCTAAAACTAACTTCACCGCCGTATTTACAGGAAAATATATCCAACCTGAAACTAACTTCACCGCCGTATTTACAGGAAAATATATCCAACCTAAAACTAACTTCACCGCCGTATTTACAGGAAAATATATCCAACCTAAAACTAACTTCACCGCCGTATTTACAGGAAAATATATCCAACCTGAAACTAACTTCACCGCCGTATTTACAGGAAAATATATCCAACCTGAAACTAACTTCACCGCCGTATTTACAGGAAAATATATCCAACCTAAAACTAACTTCACCGCTGTATTTATGCGCTATGAGTCTGAGGTAGAACTACATGAGATAAAAACTAATTTTTTTAGGTGTGGAGGCTTTTATTCCGCCGTGTAGGTGCGCCACGATCAATTGCATGTTGGGGAAACCCTGCAGGGGGAGTAGACTCTTCAGTCTCAGGGTGGGCGTGTCCTTTAGAAGCGTCCTGATAGGGCGGCAGAGCCTGATGTCAGGTCGTGGGTGTGTCCTGAATTGAGCAGTTAGGGGAACAGCTGAGCCACACGTCTCCTCTTCAGACTCCACAGTCTTTGCTGGTTGGACTTCGAACCTCAAACCTGCGTCTCTATTGTTGCTTTGACATTTTTCTAAATAATCTAAAAAAACAAACACAGATCTTGTGAAAAGTTGATCTCATCAGTTGATTCGAACACCTCAGAGAAATCGTTGTTCTTCCTCCAGAATCTTCAGTTTGAACATTTCTACTTTATCTCTTTATTTCTTCCTTTTTTTCTGCAGTCGGGGAATAAAAACTTCCTGGGTTGGATCGTATCTGCGCAGACTTAGTGATGAGGAAGTCTGCTGCATTAACACACAGCCATAAAGTAACTGAGACTCAGCAGACATGGACCTTCATTATGATGGATCACATGTTTCAGACGGTTTCATGTTTCCTGGAAATCCATGTGAACTGCTGCTGCCGTCTTAAGTGCAATAACCTGCTTTGTAAAGTGGTCGGCGTTAATGCAGACCGTGTCAGTCTTTCTAGCGGGGCGTCAGGCAGTTACATGTTCACAGGAAGAGGAAACGGCGTGGAGGAGGAGCATCAGGTCACTGAACCGGAGGGAGAGTAAATCAGAGCGTTGAGCAGGATCACGGTTTTTACGGCGTCCGGTCTGAGAACGGGTGAACTTCCACAGAGAACCTGAATCACAGACTGTGGGAGAGGCTGTAAAAGTTTACGCTGAAGCGTTCATATCACCGCCCTGTGTTTGAGTTAACGTGAAGACGCGGCGTTAAAGTGGCGTCTCTGCAGAGTCTGAAGAATCAGCAGAGAACCTGTCAGGCAGAATTCAGGGTTCAAAAAGGGTCTCACCTGTCCCTGTTCATTTCTCCCCCTGAGTCTCTGACATTGATTTTATATTTTTGAGTCTGACTGCAGCAGCGGCGGCGGCGGCAGCAGCAGGTCCTGTCATCATGTGATCGTCACTGAGATAGCCGCAGCTTCCTGGAAGCGGTCCCTGCAGCCAGTCCCGTTCTCACTCATCATGTGATGGGCTCCATCCCATTACATAAATCAGTGTTTCTCTGCACATGCACGCCACTGTGTGTTTCAGTGTGTCGTCGGCAGAAAGGCGTGTTGGTGCGGCGCCATAGATGTGTGTTTGATGTTCTTGTTTTGTGTTTTTTTTTTGGTGACTTTAGTTTGTTGTTTCCGATTCCAGCTGAGGTCTCGGTTTCTCTCAGATGTTGGAGTTTTAGGACAGAGTGTTCGAGTTTATAATTCTGGTATTTCACTTTTCTTTATTCTTGGTTGAAACGCTTCATAAAACATAAACTGGAGGACTGAAGGTCTTTGCTGCTGCTCTGCCTGCAGCTCTGACGTGTTTACAGGAAAGGTAGGAGGAGGTGTGCGCTCCCGCCTCGAGCTCGTATGAAGAAAGATATTTAAGAAAATGTAAAAATGATCATTAATAATAATATAAACGATAAAAACACGTATAACTCTGTGTTTCCCACAATCCCCCTGGATTTAATTTGACCATCACACCTCTCTGCCCCTCGTCCCGGCGGCGTGTTTACTTCACAGCAAACGCCGTCGTGATGAGGTAATTTATAAAACCCAAACACCTCTGAGCCCTCTGCTGTACACACACACACACACACACACACACACACACACACACACACACACACACACACACACACACACACACACACACACATCCTGGTTTTCCTTTGCTGGTCCTTTTACGTTTTAATTTAATGTTGTAACTTATTCAAAGTAAAATAAAAATTGAAGTAGTTTAAAGAAGCATCTAGAATCATATCTCTATAGTTTAGTTTTTTTTTTTTACCCTGTATCGATTTTGTCTTTTTATATCTCAATAGTTGATCCTGATTGATCATCTCTAACTCACCTATTAAAGACAAAGTTCGTTATTCCTAACAGTTCAATAATGTTTGACGACTTTATCGATTATCATGTTTTTCTGCTTCTGCTAAATAAAAACTTTAATCAGATAAGAGAGACACGTTTGTTCATGAGAGACTTTAGTTCAGATCTCTGCAGAGGAAACAGGATCACAGCTGTAATCAGAGACTTCAGAGTCTGAGATCTGAGATTTCTTCTCTGCATAGATCCATCACACACAGAGAGAACCTGCTGAGTCTGTCTGTTGGGCTGTTCAGGACGGTCCCAAAGTCGGGCTCCCCGGGATTTTCACTGTATCCGAGACGGCTCCAATCAGCGATTTTCGCTGTCCGCCAATTTTTACTGGAGACGAATTATGTGGCAGATTACGGAGAGCAGTAATCACAAGAACTCACAAGAACCTGCGGATTCACATTCAATCACGCGATAACGAGTTGTCTCTATGAAGACAAAAATCTACTTCTAGACTTCTAGAATCAGCATCTCCTCATCCATGGTGTCACCGGGGTGAAATGGCGTCTAGAACTCTTACGATAAGCTGCAGAGTCCGGGGATCCACAGAGGAACGGAAAGAAGTCGGTGTAAATTGACACGTTAACTTGAATGGTTACGATCAGCTACGATCGGAGGATACGACCTTTTAGTGGACGATCAGGATGAAGGTGGAGCTCTGGGGTTCCCCTGTTTGTCAGCTGCAGAGTTCCTCCTCTTTGGCTCCAGCGAGGTCTCTGAACGTTTTGTTCTTTACCTGCTTCAGGAGTTCCAGTTCGGTGTCTTCGTCTGTTTCGTTCAGTTTCATCCTGCCTGTCAGTCGGACAGCGATCCTTGGATCCTCTTCAGGAGTTCTGGTCCTGTCTGTGAGCTCCTGTCAGTCAGGCAGGGACCCCCGCTTGGATAATCCAACAGTTCTTGTACTTTCAGGAGTTCCTGTTGGTGACAGAAAACTGACTGGTCTGTCTGAGAGCGTGAAGAGCACGATGACAGACTCACAAACAGAGCGTGAACTTGTGCTGAGAACATGGTTTTCTCAAAATACTTTATCTCCACGGTGGACCAGCTTTGTCTGTACGGACTGTTAGCCCAGGTTCTCCACACAGAGGCTGACCTTCTTCTGGGTTTCTGTTTGACTTCATCGTCTCTGTTATAAAAGCACCAACCCTTTCAGCAGGGCTTCTGTTCAGGCGCAGGTTCAGACACGACATGTGACCAGCGTTCTGGGTCCTAGCGACAGCTGCTGCTGCTGATGTTTACTTGTTTCGTCCTGATTGGACACGGACGACTCTGTAGAAGAAGTTAAACTGATTTTCTAGTCTTTCTGTCCCGGGCTGCAGGGGGAAACCGTGGGGCTGAGCTGTGAAGCAGCTGACACGCTTCCTCAGATGTATTTGGAGTCACAAGCCGACAAAGATTTGCTTGTGAAGGAAAACCTCAGAGATCTACTTTGATAAGAGAGCTGCCTCACCTTCAGGGCTTTCAATCATCTGAGAGGAGGCTGTTAAAATACTGGGAAATAACATTTTAGACTCCGATTAGACCCTGAACAGAAAGAGGCTGTTCTTTAGACCTCTCACCGATCTGTGTCCTGCTCCAGGGAGGCTGATATTTGTCCTACATGTAGAGAAACGACACGACTGTAAACCCGCGTTCGAGCTCGGCGACGGTTTCCAGAAGATGAGGCCGACTTCGTAACGACACGAAATCTCCCTTTAACCCCTTTGTCAGAGTCAGGGTCGGTGACGGCACCAAGGGTCATTGGATCACATAAAGTTCTGGAGGTCTGGGCCCCGGGCTGCAGAGAGACCGTTTTATAACACTGCATGGGTTTAACACCGATTCTATTTATGGGCCATGTGATTAGAGACCACAGACTATCAGTACGCTCAACAGAGAATTTAAGACGACTCAAAATATTTTAATTATCCTCGTTAAAGAAACTCTGTGTTACTTTTGTTTCCTGAAGTATCTGGTAATAAGAGAGTTTTTCTTTCACAGTCAGCTCCGCAGGCTCGGTCTTCAGTATGTTCACATGACATGACACCCATCAGACTTAAGCTCGAGATAACCATAGATTATCAACTCGATGATCTGGGGTTTTAAATGATTTAATTTTACGAATAATTCAATTATCTCAGTGTGAAACAGCGAGTAAATGACAACCTGCTGAGAGGAGAGGGAGAGAGAGAGAGAGAGAGAGAGAGAGAGACGCTTGGTGAGAAACTGTTGATCATTTACAGGCATGTACGGACGTAAAGCTGTTTATTCATTTGAATGACGGAGAAAAACATGTTTTTTATTGTTTGGTTCATCTTTAAAGGCAGAATCTGTTACTTCAGTATATTTACCCAGACTGTGACGGTGTTGGTAACTAGGGTTGGGTATCGTTTGATTTTAAACGATTCCGATTCCGATTTCGATTCCTCATTTCGATTTCGATTCCTATCGATTCTTTATTTCGATTCTTTTAAAAGGCAGGATATCATAAAAAAAAGCATGGTTTGAATGAGGGCGCTAACCGGAGCTCTTCTTTTTGGATGTAATTTCTGAACTTCTCCATGAATTTTTAAATCATATTAACTTTTTAGGAACTTTACTATGAATTTCTCACATTTTCAACCAGTATAATTAATTATCATTTTTTGTTGTCAGGTCGTTTGTCTATGAAAAAGCACAAGGGCTAACGTTAGTTGGATATTTAAGTTGACCCACCGTACTCAGTGCAATTTGTTTACCGCTTCAAAGTTAGCAGAGGATAGAAGTAATTTATTGTTTCACTTATCTGATCCTGACTGGTTAGCGGAAGACAGGTGTTGTGCTGTAGAATGCACCCCTGCCGTAGAATGCCTCCCCTCCACTGATTAGCTTCTTAAAGTGGAAGACAATGATCTCATATTTTAAAAAACACGAGTCTTAGATCATGAAAACATGTCAAATGGAGCAGTAAACTTCCGTTTTGTTTTTCTGTGTCTCAGAAACGCACACATAGAGGTGTACTTGGGTATATAAACTGTAGAGTAAGCTGTTAATGTAGAGAACATAATATTTTCCGGACAGTAAATATTCAGAGTCAGAGGGCTATTGTTTTCGGCATATCTGAATAGCCTGAATGAAATCATTAAAGGCACACGCTTTAGATTCCGTCCAACGGTAAGAAAAACTTGGATTGTTTCGCCTTGTTGTGTACTTTCAACCGCGCTCCCGTCAGGGGTGCATTCAACAGCAGGGGTGCATTCTATGGCATAACACCGGCGAAGCGCGTCAAAGACGAGCACTCGGGTATTTCTCCTCCATGAATCCTGAGGTGTTTAATCATGTTGGTCGTTTACCCTCCTTTGCATGATATAACTGTATTGCTAATGTTGCATTGAGATAAGAGCTCATTCTTCCTGCTAAAGTTAGCCAAACTTTTGACCATCGAAGAAGAAGCTGCCGAACACCAACGAGGACGGAGCGTATGAGACGAAGTCACACAGAGAGAGGAGAGAGACAGAGAGAGATTACATTGTAACCCACAGCGGCTGCATTGCTGTGGGTTGCAATGTACTTTCTCTCTCTGTCTCTCTTCACTTTCTGTGTGGCTTCGTCTCATACGCTCCGTCCTCGTTGGTGTTAAGCGGCTTCTTCTTCGTTGATTTTCGGCGGCTATTTCTTCCGGTCGGCGGACTCCGGCATCGAAACTTGGAATCGAAATTTTTATATTTGAACGATACCAGAAGAATCGAAGTTTTAGTCTCGATTCCCATCGATTCTCGATTCTCGATACCCAACCCTATTGGTAACAGACTCCTGTTAACTCTCCCAACGCCAATACAGGAGTCTCCTTTTACAGTCTTCCTGTACAAGAGTCGGAGTTTGACTGTTTTCTCTAAGATCTATGCTAAGCTGAGTGTCTAATATTCATGGTGTTGGACTTTGAGGATATACTATAAGTGACTGATGGCTGAAGACTCATAAATGGGTTGAAAACGCTGCTAGCGTCTGTCTTTGTGCTGAAAGTGAGAAACAGGAAATTCGATGTTTTCGCAGCTTTTCTCTTAGTCTACATCTTTACCTGGGTTTTTCCTAATTATAATAATAATATAATAATAATTACTTTATTTTTGTAGCACTTTTAAAAACAGAAGTTTACAAAGTGCTTTGACAAACAGTCGTAAAGCAAAGATCATCAGCACATGGAAATAAAACAAATAAAAAACTAAAGCTCAGATAAAAACACGACCAATTTCATTTGTCATAAGAAACCCAGACAATACAAGAACCCTACAGCATAAACTGAGACCATGAGGACCAAAATAAAAACATAAAATAGGGAAGAAAAAGAAAAGCAATAAAATGTGGGGTAGAAAGCAGGAAACAGGCGAAAACGACAGAAAGTCGAAATAAGAGAGAGGTAAAAGAGATAAAAGATGAAAGAAAAGAGAAATACCTAGATCTATTATGTTTATGTTTTCGACCATTTCACTAAACTCATATTCCTCACACTTCAACGGTCTCTTTTCACTGAGCTCTGGTTTACAGGAAAGAGTAACAGATACACTCAGCTGATACTGCCAACTTGCAGCCGGACGTCCCAGCGCTCCACATCTGACAAACATTTTGACTGAGGCTGTTCCGGTTCAGGAAAGCTTTGGACAGAGTGATGGGGTTACCGGAGGAGGTCTGCTCAGCCTCTGCTGGCTTCAGGAGCGGATCAACACTCGTGTTTAGTGTTGAAGAACATGTCGGCCCTCTCCCTCGGCGTTTACTAAAAGCACAGCAAGTCCCTGAAAATATGGGATGGTGTCAGAAAAGGCTACTAGTGTCTGTGGCTGTGCTGATGGTTGACCACATCGCCTAGTGATGAACACACACACACACAAACACACACACACCTGTATGCATACCTGCCATTGAGGCCCAAGGGAGGGCTGTATCCTTAGGATTATTCTCCTGACACACGCCTGATGAAACAGAGATGTTATTGTTGCACAACACAGTGGGACAGACAGACAGGCAGGCAGAATACTGCGGTTCCCGTTCTATAGTTTATAGTTTACGTGCAGGTAGTTAGAAAAAAAGTCTGCTGATTTATGACCTTTAATTACTTTTATTCAGTGAGGACAAAAACATGACCAAAAATACAAAACAGAGATTCAAACCATTTCTGTGTCCAGGTGAAACAGGTCTGTGTTTGTCATGCTGGACCTGCACCTGCTGCACGTGCGCATGCCTCTGTGTGCATTCTTGAAAGAAAGTGCTGGAACTGGACCAACTGGTTCATGGTATCAGATCAGCAGGACACCCACTCACTGGTGTTTGTTGTTCTCAGGCATCATTGAACTGGTTATGTTACAGCCTTTAGTGCAGGCGTTCAGGGTTAATTATAGAAACGGGTAACCGGTGTGCGGAGGGCGGCTCCTCTGGGTCATCCCAACCAATCTGCACTGCTGTCGGTACAAAGACTGAGGATCTATCTACTCATAGATCTTGACACCGATGAAATGTATAACTTTAAATAAAGAAACCCAACTTTGTTTCATGGCAACAGTGGAGGAGGGTTCCTGAATGCTATGTTCCAGGGTGCTGTTTTATGCTGGATTGTGGAATGCTGGGTTCTGGAATACTTAGCTCTTTGATGTTGGTGTTCTAGAATGTTGAGTTCTGGAATATTTAGCTCTTTGATGTTGGTGTTCTAGAATGTTGAGTTCTGGAATAATTAGCTCTTTGATGTTGGTGTTCTAGAATGTTGAGTTCTGGAATAATTAGCTCTTTGATGTTGGTGTTCTAGAATGTTGAGTTCTGGAATAATTAGCTCTTTGATGTTGGTGTTCTAGAATGTTGAGTTCTGGAATACTTAGCTCTTTGATGTTGGTGTTCTAGAATGTTGAGTTCTGGAATAATTAGCTCTTTGATGTTGGTGTTCTAGAATGTTGAGTTCTGGAATACTTAGCTCTTTGATGTTGGTGTTCTAGAATGTTGAGTTCTGGAATACTTAGCTCTTTGATGTTGGTGTTCTAGAATGTTGAGTTCTGGAATAATTAGCTCTTTGATGTTGGTGTTCTAGAATGTTGAGTTCTGGAATAATTAGCTCTTTGATGTTGGTGTTCTAGAATGTTGAGTTCTGGAATAATTAGCTCTTTGATGTTGGTGTTCTAGAATGTTGAGTTCTGGAATACTTAGCTTTTTGATGTTGGTGTTCTAGAATGTTGCGTTCTGGAATAATTATCTCTTTGATGTTGGTGTTCTAGAATGTTGAGTTCTGGAGTTTTTGAAGTTTCTTAAAGAGACAGTAGCTGAAATCCAATAGACAGACGCTTTGACAGAGACACCAAACTAAGATAGTTAAAGGGTTTCTGGAGTTGTAAATCACACAAAGACCCAGCAGAGGTATCAGAGGGATGATTTATGTTTTAATTTCATCACATATTTCTGATTTATAAATGTGTGTTGAACGGTCGGTGTGTTAAGCATTCCCCTGGCAGTAGAATAGAGAAAAATGTGGACTGTACATGAGTATTTCTCCTCAAAGGTTCAGTGTCGGAATATTCTCCGCCTCAGTAAGTCATTATCCTGAAAGAATTTGTATTTTTCCTTTTTTGAAGTCCTGTTTGAAGTGCGGCTCTCTGTCGTCTGATTGACGTCACACTGGGCCAGGAGTTCACTCTAAAATAGCTCTCATGGCTAAGTTGGGAAACTCATCGCATACTGGAGGAATGTTTAAAACAACAAACAATGGAGCTGGCTGTAATTTCTGTCCTCACACATACCCAGAGCGAGGTTGGTTTCAAAGAGGTCCAGGCTCCAGTCAGCACTTCACTCAGTCTTTCTAAACCCTCCCCAGCTTTTTGCATGGTTTGATCACATGAAGAGTTACCAGAGAGATCTGAGCCGGGTCTGTTCTCCCGAGCTGTTGACGCATGTTCAATGAAAAGGAGCCTGAGCTGTGTGAATGGCTTTATTTTCATCCCAGACTCACTCCCTGACTACAAGTCCAGATCCTGTTTTGATTGGCTGAAGCTCTCATGATTATCACACTGCAGTGTCTGCATCCAAAGACCCGAGTCATACGTCTGCTGTCTCTCCAACAGCCTCAAATCACACCAGGAATCTGCTCTCCGGGCCCACAAATTCTGCACTTGTCAGGTTGAACTAATACAGAACAGCTAATTCTGTTTTTAAAGCAAGATAATCCGAACAAATGTCTCCCCGCTTCAAACACAGAAGAAATATTGATCCTTGATCTCCCAAAAACATGTATTTATGCTTGAAAATACTGTGTTTTTAATATTTCTATTTAATATTGATATGACTGCTGATGTTGTAAAGATGTGCAGTTATTGTATCTGTGCCTGAGAGGTCAAAGGTCAGGCGTTGGTGTAATTTCTCCTAATATTTCCTGAGGGTTCCTACAGTAATCAGGACATGTTGAAGCAGTTTGAACAATGAAAGGACTGTTTTTGTGACGCCTGTTTGTGACTTTAAGAGTGAGCAATTCCCTCGTCGTTGAACATGAAATTGAACTTTAGCTAACGAGGTTTTAAAAACACGAAGAAACAGAGAAGAGTCAGTGAAGAGTGTGACACAGTTTACAGCGGGGAACTAACAGTAGCAGAGCTAGCACCACCCCGCAGGTTCACATCCACACGCCTGTGCTGGAACCAGGACCAGAGTGTCATCTGGTCTCCACTAAACTGCAGATATTAACCAGAGCTGCAGCCCCAACTAGTGGCAGGTGGTGGTCCCACAGCTTAGACACAAAGAAATAGAGACACAAACACCTGTAATCCAGGTGAACGTGTGAGGATTGTGATTGGGCGCCATCACGTTCTGTCACGTTCTTGCTAACATATTTCAGGAAATCATCGTGTGAATTAAGAGTTTGCTGAAACAAGACCAGGTTTGGTAGATTGTGAGGTCAAAGGTGATTTCTTCTGGCCCATAAATCAGAAATTTTTACTCTTATTTTCAGACTTTTCTTCATGTCTCCTGAACAGTCTCTAACTTCGCTCTTCCTGGTTTTAATTCTGTGATTTTTCTCTTTCCAGATGACACGTCAGCTAAAGAAGTCAGCAGGGTAGGTTTTTTTCAATTTTTTTATATCTTTACTTTTTTTAGAATGGAAATGAAGTCTCAGATTTGCCCAAATGTTTAAGAATATGGAGGTTAACTACTAAACTTTAATTCCCAAAGTGAACTTGAATGATCTGTTGGGATAGTCGACCTCATGGTTGATTTTCAGTCACTGTAAAAACCTGCAGGTTAGTCTGCACTGTGTTGAGTATTTGTTTGTGAGGCCCAAGGTTTGACTAAGTCCTTTGACTATTATCATTATTCGAGGACATACTGTATTATTTATGTGGATGCATATATCGATGTTTAATCCACTGGAACAATCCCTCTGAGTGACACAGCAGCATAAACTGGATTAATAATCTAAACTCAAACTGACAGGATCTGAGAATAACGAAGGTGTTTCTGAACGAAGACAGACGGGCTGTTTGATCCTGTTTTCGCTCACGTGGCTGTTCTCTGTGCTGCACAATAGATTCACTTAGAGCTGATATCTGTGGGCATGCCGGTAGTGCTATTTATAGTTCACAGTTCATGCAGCAGTCATGGACTGTATGATAATACCCGCTCATGTGCGCGAGCGTGTCTGCATGTGTTTGAGAGGGCGGAGGTGAAGCAGGTGGAGGAGATAGTCGTGTCAATGCCCTTGTCTTCTGGCATCCCAAGAACCGGGTCCTGATGTATGTGAACCTCCCAGACCTCCGTTCCAGTAACTGTTTAATTTACCGCATCATAAAAAATCTGAAACTTCCTCATGAAGTTTATAACTCTGAAACAACCTGAATATTCTTCAGACAGAGGATTCGATCGCTCATGCTCCACGTACGTTCACACCTCTGTGGTCGTGACACGGTCCTGCTCTCCACAGCAGGGTCCTGGAGCTGGGTAGTAAGAACTTGACTCACATATACAGAGCGGAGAGAAAAGGAGGGCCACTCGACCTCTCAGTGCGTCATCCATACGTCTGTACAAACAGGATGTGGGAGTACAGAGGGCGTCCCGTGGGGGAGGTTTTCTAGTGCGCCACTCTCCCTGCCGTCCTGTCCTCACCCTCTCTGCAGGCGCAGAAATAGCTGCCTCTCCGGCCCCATACAAGGCAGGAGGTCTGCCTCTTACATAACCGCCTTTAAGCCCAGGCTGAGCGGCACAGATTGGCAGGACTCTAATCAGAGCTGTGGGGCTCCGGCGGCCTCCTCTGGGGACCGCGGGGGGATCCCTGCAGCGCTGTGGGGGGGTGTAAGGGTGGGGCGGAGGGTCATGTTTGAATGGCTCTGCCTGTCATTCATAAAAAGGTCTTCAGATCATGTGCAGCACAGACGCAGATGTTTGTGGAGATGCAATTTGTGTGTGTGTTGTGTCCAGCAGTACCAGGACACGAACATGCAGGGCGTGGTGTACGAACTCAACAGCTACATGGAGCAGCGGCTGGACACTGGAGGAGACAACAAACTTCTGCTCTATGAGCTGTGCAACATCATCAAGACAGGTACGAACAACCAGAACCAGAACTATCAGAACTATCCCCTCAGCTTCAGTCATAGACCCCGAACCCAAAAACAGGAATCATATCCAGGATTTCCAAAACACCAGCTGAAGGAGTCAGATCTGCTGCTTCAGGAGGACAAACAGAAGAAGGGAGAATAATCCGTCATTTTAAAATCATCTAAAGAGTTAAAGGAGGAGGAGGTGATGGTAGAGACACGCTCCTTCAGAGTTTGATATTCTTATTCTACAAATCAGTGAAAAAGATGAAACCAAAGATCCGACTGAAACTTCTCTTTGACTCTTTAATAATGGTTGATGCTTCAGCAGACGAGTTGATAACATGACCTAAATATGAGCCCGAACTGGGACTGAGAGGAGCTGGACCACAGTCCGAGTCCTGGGTCAGAGTGTCCTGTTTTAATGTGGGACAGTGTTGATGGCTCTCTCAGGTCTACCTGTCTGTTATAGTTAGAAATACTTTAACACCTGCGTCTCCTTTTTTCCTCCACAGCAACAAAAGCTGATGGATTTGCACTTTACTTCTTGGGAGAATGCAACAACGTAAGAGCCGACCACACCTCCTCTTCACATCCTCTACGCTCCTGCTCTCCTCTGCCTCGACTTCACATTTCTCTTTCTCTCTTCCTCTTTGTGCGTCTCAACAGAGTTTATGTATGTTCACTCCAACGGGGGCCAAAGACGGCCCTCCAAGCCTCATCCCCTCTGGGCCCATCGCATTTGGGACAACCATCGCCGCTCACGTTGCCAAGACTCACAAAACTCTCCTAGTAGAAGACATCATGGGGGTGAGGCTGTTAGTCCAGATTTATCCATCGTTGGAATTAAAAGTAACTCTAAAGTTAAATGATGTTTGATTTCAGATCTGTGTGAATCATTTTAGCCAAACTGAAAATAAAGAAAGAAACAGGAAAACTTTAGTTTCTCTGGGTTTTAAGGGGCTGAGTGTCAGATAGTAAACACGACAAACAAGGAAATCATAATGGGAGAGAGGACGAGTCCAAACTGCTGAAACTAAATTATTATTATTATTATCAATATTATCATCATTATTACTTCTGTTATTATTATTCCTATTATTTTTTATCATCATCAATGTTATTATTATTATTTTTATTATTAGTATTATTTTTATTTTTATTATTATTATTATTTTTATCATTATCAATATTATCATCATTATTAATTCTGTTATTATTATTCCTATTATTATTTTATCATCATCAATGTTATTATTATTATTTTTATTATTATTATTATTTTTATTTTTATTATTATTACTATATTATTATTATTATCATCATTATGATTACTTTTATTATTTTCTATTATTATTTTTATTAATTTTTTACTTGTATTATTATTATTATTATTATTATTATCATCATTAATATCATCATCATCAATATTATCATCATTATTACTTCTATTATTATTACTACTATTATTAATATTATCATCACTATTATTACTTCTTTTATCTTTTATTATTATTATTTTTATTATTTCTTTACTTGTATTATTATTATAATTATTTTATTTTTTATTTTTTAATCATAATTATTCATATAAGATACAGCAAACTGACCATCTGTAAAATCCACTCGCTCTGTGAGTCCCAGAGCTCCACCATCTCACTGAGGAAATCTTCATCCAGGTCCAGAATAAAGTGACTTTGCGGTGATTAATGCATTAATTTAAATTATATAGAGTAACTTTTAGTCTCTTAACCAATCAGAGGCTGAATCTACAATCAGCTGACTTGTAAAGGTCCACAGACTCTGGGGTCCCTGACTCAGTAGAGAACTTTGTGTCCCTAAGCAGCATCAGTAAACCTGTATTAAGTCCAGACCCGGTTCAGGACTCAGGATTTGATGGTCTGTGTGTGTTTCAGGATGAGCGCTTCCCCGACGGCACAGGGCAGGACTCAGGGATCCACGTTCACTCTGTCCTGTGCCTCCCCATCCTCACTGCAATCGGGGACCTCATCGCCATCCTGGAGCTGCACCGGCACTGGGGCAAGGAGCCCTTCAACCTCAGCCACCAAGAGGTCAGTCTGAACCCGGTACTCACCCTGAACCGGATCTGGTTAAGACCCCTGTGAGGCTCATAGGGTTCAGATGGAAATATCTTCATCGGGCAGGTTAGGGGTCGGGTTTTTAAAATGACGTGCTGGCTCAATCTGTTCTTTGTTTTCTCCTCAGGTTGCAACGGCGAATTTGGCGTGGGCGTCAGTTGCCATCCATCAAGTGCAGGTGAGTCCCGGAGGTCCGGTCTGAGTTTTACATGTTCTGTTTGACCTCCCTCAGGACTTTTCTGGGAACAAGGTGAAGCCGAGCCGTCCCGCTTATTATGATCCTCGCTGACTTTGTTTGTTCTGGTTCTGCGCCGCTGTTTTTACCGGGGGAATCCACTGTGTACAGGAACTGGGTCGTCACTGGGCCCAGTCCAATCAACGGAGCCGTAGATTCAACAAACAGCTCCCTGAAGACGTCATTACACCCCGCCGCTGTTTTTACATGAACAGACTGCATAACACCTCAGAGAAGCAGCGTCCCTCTGCAGCGCCGGCCACAGTGGACCTCTGAGCCTCAGCTCGCCACGCTGTAGCGCTGCAGCGCTCCGGGGTTAGCTGCTCGCTGCAAAACAGTCAGAGAGTCTGAGCAGGACTGTGAGACATGAGGGCGACCTGGAGAGGAGGTCACAGCAGGGGGCGGGAAAGTTCTGGAGTACTTTTCAGGACAAAGTCGAAATATTACGACTTTATTGTTTGAATTATTCGTGATTTTTTTAAATGAAAAGAAAAAAAACAGTCAGACCGCTGATCTCTGTGATCCAAATCACCACAGTTTTACTTTCTATTTAAAAGAAAAAACAAGTGTGATCTTTGTTTTTAGACATTAATAATAATGATAATAATATTTTATTATTTAACAACAGGGAATAAAATTCCGCTCATGTGAGTCCAGAACCCGGTTCTGATCGGTCTCTCAGTTTGAGTTGATGATTGAAGTAAATGAAACCCAAACTGAGACGGAGGACGGCTCCGCTCTGCCGACTTTACTGATGGGAATAAACGTTTATTTGTCGAGGATGACATCCTAACAACAGCTGATCGTATAGATGTCTTTAAAAACATAGATGTCTCAGAGCTCGGCCAATCACGCCATGAAACCAACACTAACGATATGAAGATTTACCAATTTCCACCTTCATCCTGATCGTCTCCTAAAAGGTCGTATCCTCCGATCGTAGCTGATCGTAACCGTTCAAGTTAACGTGTCAATTTACACAGACTTCTTTCCGTTCCTCTGCGGATCGACGGACTCCTCAGCTGATCACCAGAGTTTTTCTGGACGCCGGAGCATGGCGGATAAATTCAGCACAGATTAACCCGTGCTGGAAAGGAAGTCGGGCACAGACACAAAATAAAACATCCGGCTTCTTTTCAAAATAAAACACGTCATTTCACCCCGATGACACCATGGATGAGGAGATGCTGATTCTAGAAGTCTAGAAGTAGATTTCCTCCTCTGGAAGGACACAATCTACTGCTTATATGTCTATGTGTCTGTCTTTAGAGAGACAACTCGTTATCGAGAGATTGAACGTGAATCCTTCTTGTGAGTTCTTGTTACCGCTGTCCGTAATCTGCCACGAAATTCGCCTCACAAACAGATCGGGTAGGAATTGGCAGACTCTTAGTATGGGGGGGTCATGAAGGACTTCTGGTTCTGTGAGGACTGAGGAGACTGGATTTGACAGACCTGATGCTGCTGCTGTGTCCACATCGACTAAAAGGTCACATGGTCTAACCTCCATCTTTGTTTGGTTTCAGGTGTGCCGAGGTCTCGCCAAACAGACTGAGCTCAACGACTTCCTTCTAGACGTGTCAAAGTAAGAGCGGCTGCTGCTGCAGGTTCCAGAATAATCACATGACTACATAAGAAAGTTCTTACTGGACTGACGGAGGTCCTCAGAGTCTGTTAGAGAGCGGCGCTCCGATGACCTTAATGTGTTTTTTTAGGGATGTAGTTTTCTTGTCTTGAACGTGGTCGGAGAGCTTCTCATCTGTCAAACATCTCAATGCCCCATTTCTTCTTTTTGCACAGAACATACTTTGATAACATTGTGGCAATAGATTCTCTACTTGAACATATTATGGTGAGTGTGATTTCTGCAAGTTTGTGTTCATTCCCGTTGGCTGCATGTCCTGAGAGTGTGTGAGTTTTTGTCTTAAACCTGCTGTGATACCTAAACTCAGGAAGAATAAAAACTGTTTAAAGAAACTAAAATCTGTTTAATGATGATGTGTAATCAGTTACTGAGCAGAGTGGGTTTATTTTTAGACCCGGGTGAACCTGAAATAGTCTCCTCCATTCTGCTGATCTGAAACAAAAAGGGTCTGTTGGTGTAAAACCGGATTTTCTGCTTTCTTTTCACCTCTCTGTTTGGGTGCTTCCTCTTTTTTTTCGTTGCCTTGTGACTGTGGTGTCGGCTCAGGTCAATGATCTGAACCGACCTGACCCGTTTGGGTTTTTACTCCCCTTTGATTTAAGCTCATCTAAAAGAAACTCGAGTGATTCATGTGGTTTAGTTTTTGGACTCGTCTCAGACCGTTCGTGTTTCTAATCAGCTTTTTGGTGTTGTGTTGCAGATATATGCAAAAAACCTGGTGAATGCGGACAGGTGCGCACTCTTCCAGGTCGATCACAACAACAAAGAACTGTACTCAGACCTGTTCGATATCGGAGAGGAGAAAGAAGGAAAGCCCGTCTTCAGGAAAACCAAAGAAATTAGGTCCGTGTGTGAACTCCTGCTCAACACTGTGTTTTTGTTTTTAGTCAAACTTATCAGAGTTTTTCTTTTAAAAGTAAATTTGTTCTCACGTCAGAATACAGAACAACACTGTGGCAGACAGAACCAAACAGGAGAGAGAAAAATCTAAATAAATATATATACAGTTATAAGCCTTTATGTCAATATCAAAACATCCTACAAACACAAAAACTCAAAATAATGATAATGGAGTAAATGTTAAAAGTGTTTTTCCTGCATCAGTCAGTCTAATTTCAGAGTTTATTTTCACACAGACATGATTCTGATTCTCTGATTCTGATCTGTGATATTCAAGTGAAAGATGATCAACTAGCACGACAACAGACTTAATGCACAACCGAAAAAACACACATAATTCACGACAAGTAAATGGATTAGTCATATTTTTTCCATCATTCAGATATAGGGCTCTATTTTCGTGCCACGCCACCAGCGGACATGAAAATAGAGCCCATTGTCTGAAGTAAATGATCTCCAGCTGTTTGTTTCTAACCTCACACAGGAAGATCATGACGGCGACATCTCGAAAGAGGAGAGTTCAGGATCATTTAGACTTTCCTGTAAATTAATCAGAGTCGGTTTTAAAAATGAAGTGAAGGGAAAATTAAAATAATCTGATCATTTTTATCATTTGTTTTCCTCCAAGCTGTTAATCCACAGTCTTCATGTTATAAACAGCATTTTTAAATCTGATTTACTATGAATTTTCATTTAATCGATTTAATGTTGATTTTCGTTTTTCACTCAGACAGACTGAGAGTCTGCTCTTCTCTCTGTGCTCCAGTCTAACTCTCGTCTCCTGTCCTCGGTGTGTCTCTGCTGCAGGTTTTCTATAGACAAAGGAATCGCTGGTCAGGTCGCTCGGACAGGGGAAGTCTTAAATATCCCAGATGCCTATGCAGACCCACGGTTCAACCGGTAAACTCCCAACTCTCTCAGCGAATATGCCGCCTTTTTATTCTGTTCTCCATCTTAAACTGACGTCTGTGTGTCCGTGTGTGTGTCCGTGTGTGTGTCTTTGTGTGTCTCCCGAGCAGAGAGGTGGACCTGAAAACCGGCTACACCACGCGGAACATCCTGTGCATGCCCATCGTGAGCAGGGGGACTGTTATAGGGGTGGTGCAGATGGTGAACAAGCTGAGCGGAAGTGCCTTCACTAAAACCGACGAGAACAACTTTAAGATGTTTGCTGTCTTCTGTGCTCTGGCCTTACACTGTGCAAATGTGGGTCAAAACATGAAGATAATATTTTATTATTTTTAAACAGACAGCTTTATAGCTTTATATATTTATATAAGCTTCAAAGTGTCATTGTTAGCTGGTTAAATCTAATTAAAGCTGATGAATCGTCTATAAACGGGTAATTAGACTTCATGAACTCTGACTGTTTAAGTGTTTCCTGGTTAAATTTGATTCTCCGGCTCTAAAATCCGGATCCCTCTCCTTCCTTAAATTATATAAGCCTTGGTTCTCCTGCATGCTGGATTCTGATTGGCTCCTTCGAAGGTACCTGCACCTTTGACGTCGGCGCTTCATCGCTGTCCTAAATTCACACTTTGAGCTGGAGGGCGTGTTTGAGCTCTCAGCAGGCTGCAGAGAGAGAGAGAGAGAGAGAGAGAGAGAGCGGTCGTTTCCTTCCTCCAGGATTAACAAAGAGCGATCTTCGTTTAGAGTTTGAGGCGTCTCTGAAACACGGCAGAGTCTGGGATCCTGCTCTGTGTGGTCTGTGCGTCTGTCAGCTGGATCCTCTCCTCTCTGGTGGGCCTGACTCACCGTCATCTCGTGCGACAAACTTACGCAGGAGCCGCGTCACAAAGTTGGTTTTAAAATTGATGAGGCGTGTTAATATTTCAAGACAAGGAGTCTGCATCCGTCCACTGACAGGATTTATGTGGAGCTGTAATTTATGCTGCACGTCTGGAGGAAACTCGCCGAGGCCCGGATCCTGATTTATGCTGATTTATGGTGGAAGGTGTGAGGCTTGGCGCTCGGACCGACCCGGCCGTTTTACTCCTGCCGGTCTGGGAAAGGGGACAGATAAAAACCAGATGTGGAGACAGTTTTTTGGAGACGCACAAATAAAATATGATCGGGGGACTGTTGTGGATAACTTAACTCTGTCTGACCTTTTCGGGAAACTTCAGCAGCAGAGCAGAAAGACTTCAGCAGAGATGTTGGAGGTTCTGACTCTGCTCTGTTTCAGTCCGAGGTTCTGACTCTGCTCTGTCTCAGTCCGAGGTTCTGACTCTGCTCTGTTTCAGTCCGAGGTTCTGACTCTGCTCTGTCTCAGTCCGAGGTTCTGACTCTGCTCTGTTTCAGTCCGAGGTTCTGACTCTGCTCTGTTGTGTGTCTGCAGATGTACCACAGGATCCGTCACTCTGAATGCATCTACAGAGTGACCATGGAGAAGCTGTCCTATCACAGCATCTGCACGTCAGAGGAGTGGAAGACCCTCACCCAGCTCAACCTCCCCACACCCATTTATAAAGAGATCGAAATGTGAGTCACCTTCAGGGTCAGGGGTCAGGTTGGGGGGTGGCAGAAGACTTGGGGGGGGCGTGTCCTAATGTAACAAGGACTGTAGATCCGAGGTTAACTGGAGCTCGTCTATGTGGGGCGCTGACAGAGTCCAGATCATAAACTATGTAAACAGTCCTCCGAGTCACTTTATGAACCCTCTACCTCGCCAGATTAGAACAGCGACCATGTTTGGATCAGGGGGCGGAGCTTCAAAGGTTAACAGGGGGCAATTAAAGGTGTTGTAGTCAGGATCTGAGTTAGTTCCAGTTTTTAGGAGAAATCTTGAATGTAAACTCTACCCCTCCTCTCTCCTTATCTCCTCTCTCCTTATCTCCTCTCTCCTTATCTCCTTCACCTTTAGGACAGAGGAAACTCCGCTCAGTATCGTTTAGTCGCCGTCAGCATATTTTGATGATCCTTTAAGGTTATAATTACAGTCCAAACTAAAACCTGATTGGTCGCTGCAGCTCTGGTTTCATGTCTGTGATTGAACCGTTAGCGTCTCTGCTCTTCGCTGCGCAGAGCTGCGCTCTCATCCTGACCAGAGACTGAAAATCAGACATCTTAGTTTGAGTCAGCCTCTAGTGGTCACTTGAGGAACTGCAGTTGTTCTGTATGTCCATGTTAGCTTCATTTCTCCACACTGACCTTAATGAGGATTTTTGTCTTAATGAGACCTTTGAAACCAGAACCTGTGGTCCGCTTGGGTCCTGATGTGAGCTCCTTTTCTCCTCCCTTCAGGTTCCACTTTGACATCAGTCCCTTTGAGGAGATCTGGCCTGCTGTCTTCATCTACATGGTTCATAACTCCTGTGGAAAGACCAGGTACTGGACCTGTTAAGGTAGACCTTGGTTCTTCTTTGGTGTTCAGTCTGACCTCATGGGTTTTTTCTCGTCCATCCAGCTTCGAGCTGGAGAAGTTGTGTCGGTTCACCATGTCTGTGCGGAAGAACTACCGGCGTGTTCCCTACCACAACTGGAAGCACGCGGTGACGGTGGCGCACTGTATGTACGCCATCCTGCAGAAGACCACGGGGATGTTCACGGAGCTGGAGGTCTGCTCCTCCTTGTCACCTTCTTCTCTGAAAATCAAAACTGTGTGAGTCTGAAACTTCTCTCCTCGGTGTTACAGAAGAAAGGTCTGCTGATCGCCTGCCTGTGCCACGATCTGGACCATCGAGGTTACAGCAACACCTACCTGCAGAAGTTCGACCATCCGCTGGCTGCTCTCTACTCCACCTCCACCATGGAGCAACACCACTTCTCTCAGACTGTCTCCATCCTGCAGGTAGAGCTCGACTACACACGACTCTCCGCACATCTAAACGATTTAACCCCCCCCCTCAGATCCCGGGTTTTAGTCGCCCCTGATTGGATGGAAGACTTGAACGGGTTTCCTGTGGGCCTCAAAATCCACAAAATCGAACAAACATTTCTGTTCCTTAGAGGAGCTCAGTAGGTCCAAACAGTGAATTCTAGATCCATAAAAAGGTTCCTGTTTAGTTGAGAGCGCCCCCTTGTGTATCCTCCAGGATCTGCACCCTCTGTGTTGTAGTCTAGCTGAGCTGAACGCCTCATAAGTGGAGCTTTTGCTTTTTTATTGATCTCTTTGTTTCTCATAGCTGGAAGGGCACAATATTTTCTCCAACCTGAATTCCAGCGAGTACGAGCAGGTGTTGGAGATCATCAGGAAGGCCATCATCGCCACCGACCTCGCCCTCTACTTCAACAACCACCAGCAGCTGACGGAGCTGCTGACCTCGCAGGCGCTCGACCTCAACAACCACTCGCACAGGTCAGGTCACCGCTCCAGGTCGTACTACGGGGGTCTGACGGTGAATCAGGGAGAAACCTGCCGCTCAGAAAAAGACCGCAGAGTTTCTCCACGAGGTTTTAACGAAGCTCCTCTCTCTCCCTCCAGGGACCGTGTGATTGGTCTGATGATGACAGCATGTGACCTGTGCTCTGTTACCAAGAAATGGCAAATCACACGACTCACGGCCAACGACATCTACGCGGAGTTCTGGGCCGAGGTAGAGTGAGAGTTTAACACCGTCAGAGTCTGTTTTAAAACTGGTTTTAAAAGGTTTTAATATTGAAATATGTTTTTAAAACTTTAACTATTAAAATTATTTTGAAGAAATTAAAGTATTAGAAGAGTTTCAATATCAAAACAGTTTAAGAAGTTCAAGTATTAAAAAAGTTTTTAAAAGTTTAAATATTAAATTTGAAATCATTTTTAAAAAGTTTAAATATTATATTAGTTTAAAAAGTTTTAATATAATAATAGTTTAAAAAAGTTTAAATATTTAAACGTTTATTAAAAGTTTCAATATCAAAACAGTTAAAGAATTTAAAGTATTAAAACAGTTCCAGTTTTAAAATAGTTTTAAAAAGTTTTGATATTTAAATAGTTAAAAAAAAGTAAATAGTAAAAAAGTTAAAAAAGGTTTTAATATTAAAATAGTTTAAAAAAATTAAATATCAAAATAGTTTTAAAAAGTTCAAATATTAAAATAGTTTTTAAAAAATTAATTATCAAAATAGTTCAAAAAAGTTTAAATATATAAATAGTTTAAAAGAGTTTAAATACTATTTTTTAAAAATTTAAATATTAAAAAAGTTTTTTAAAAATTAAATATTAAATTTTTTGAAAAAGTTGTAAATATTAACATAGTTTTAGAAAATTTTAATAGTTTGTTCTTAATCTCAAACTGTCTCTCTTTCTCTTGTTCCTGCCCTTTACAGGGAGACGAGATGAAGAAGATCGGGATGCAGCCGATCCCCATGATGGACAGAGATAAGAAGGACGAGGTTCCCCAAGGCCAAGTGAGACCTGATCCCGAACCCCTCTGACCCTCTTTACCCTCAACAGTCACACATCCACAGATCCAAACACAGAAATTCGTCATTTTGAACTTTTTAATGGAAGAAAAACAAACTAACGGGAAGTTAGTCGTCAGTTTAAAAGTTTGGGGAGAAGAAAGAAAAAAGCCGAAGTTGAAATGTCAGCAGTGGAAAAGCACTCGGTCCAATCAACCCGAGAGCTTCCTGTCAGGTTCTGTTCTGTTTTCTGAGTTTGTTTTCGGATCAGTGACACTCTCTGTGGACTTATAAGGAGATGGTTCCCTCTGCAAACTCCCCATGGGACTGTCATGGTCATAAATCAGATTATTGTAAACACATGGCAGACAATGAGAGGGATTCAAACCAGGAGATGATCTTTTCATTTCTGCTCTTTTAAAGTCAAATAAGATGTTTTTTTAACCCCTGTTTGTTTGTTTGTTTGTGTGTTTTTTATTTTGAAGGTTAGTTTCTACAACGGCGTAGCGATCCCCTGCTACACCACCCTCGCTGAGCTTTTCCCTCCATCCAGTCCTCTTCTGAGGGCCTGCAAGTGAGTATGAGAGCGGATCTTTACAGAGTCAGAAGTTTCCTCCTCAAAGACAGGTCCGATCTTTGTCAGCTGTTTCTGTAAAATCCTGTTTACTGACGAGTGTCTGACTGACCCGATAATTAAAGTGTTTTAAATAGTCACATACATATCGACTTCTAAAGAAGGGACTGTACGTCACATCTTCACTTAGAGAGCTTCATCTTTGTTTTAATGATAATTCTCACTAAATTTAATAATTTCAGATTTCACTCGTACGATAAAACTGAAGGATTTAAGTTCTTTTATTTAATCGATGAACTGCAGGTCCGACAGATCCTTCAGTCTTTTTAAGATTTTATAAAACATCCTTTATAAGATCAGATATTTCTAAAACCTCCAGATGAAGGTTTGATTTGGCATCAGAACGACGACTCTCACTTTTTAGACCGACTGTCTTTAACTCGTTAACTCGTTAACTCGTTAACTCGTTAACTCGTGATCGTTAGAGACTCTCTCTGTGAGCTCAGTTTGTCCCTCTGCTTTTCAGACACACAGATACTGACACCTCTCTCCTCCTCTCTCTCCTCTCCCCTCCTCTTCCTTCCTCCTCTCCTCTCCTCTTTCTCCTCTCCTCCTCCACTCCCTCCTCTCCTCCTCTTTTCCTCTCTCCTCCTCTCTTCCCCTCCTCTCTCCTCCTCCTATCTCCTCTCTTCTCCTCCTTCACCCCCTTCTCTTCCACCTCCTCTTCTCCTCTCTCCTCTTGCTCCCCTCTCCTCCTCTCCCCTTTCCTCCTCCTCTACTATTCTTTCTCCTCTCCTCCTCTTTTCCTCTCTCCTCCTCTCTCCTCCTCCTCCTGTTCTTTCCTGTTTTATTTTTAACCCTTTAATGACCGTGAGAGATCATGTTGATTTTACTGTGTCCATAAATTCATTGAGAAGCTGTGTGTGTGCGTGCGTGCGTGCGTGCGTGCGTGTGTTGGTCTGGTGTGATCAGCAGCTGTTGTTCAGACAAACAGGATTGGAGGTGATAAGTAGAGTGTGTTTAAAGGTGCACATTACAGCATAAACCTGACACACACACACACACACACACACACACACACACACACACACACTCACTGACACTCCTGCTGTTACTTCTGAACGTCTTCCGGATATTTTTACTCTCCTGTTATTCTGACGTAAACGCTCCGCCCCCTCGCTGTGATTCCGATGAACCTGTAGGATTTCCTCGCTCACCTTTGAGGCGTTTCTTTTCTCTCTCTCCTGTTGTATCTCTGATTTCTCTGCGCCGACACTCACTGAGGCCGTTTTTGTTTTCAGTGTTTTAGTGGAAAAACTAACCAGGACAGAGTGTTTACTGTCAGCGCCTCCAGGCCCTGCAAAGATCTCCCTGAAGAGGTCGGATCAGCTGATCTTCAGTGATCTTTTTAAAGTCTCTCTCAACAAAAACTTTATTCAGCTTCATCGGATTGCTCTTGACATTTAATTTGTCATTAATAGCCCATTTTGTCCCTTTAAAACGAGTTTTTGTTCAACACTGAAGAGTTCGACTTTTTCCTCCTGCTGCTTCAGAAAAACTCTGAAAATAAAGATTTTATTGGTTTAAAAAAAAGAAACAACCCTGTAAACAAAGAGTCAGGAATAAAAAAGGAACTTTTAAGAGCAGGAACCTTTAACCAAAAACTGCAGTTCCCTGAGTGTCCACTAGAGGCTGGCTGCAGAAGCACCAGAAACCACATACACACTCATGAAGTGTCAAACACTCAGTCTGTGTGTTATTGTGTGTCTGTGGACTCACTTTAACCGAATCAACAACACTGAGTGAAAACCTTCGTCATCAGAAACAGGATCGATCACAGAGCAGCCGGGGGGTCAGGAGGTCACACCGACCTCGAGTTGTTTTAGTCGTTTTGAGTTTGTCAGAAAATAAGTTAAAAATATTAACAAACGAGAAACAACGTGAATAAATATTTAAAAAAACTAAATTATTTTACTCTGTCAAATGTCGACAGAATCTGATTTGTTTTATTTCTATATTGCATTTTAAAAAACAATCAAGTTTAACAAAGTAACAAAATTAAAGGAACAGACAGAAAACATCGAGATAAAATTTAAAAAAGCAGGTAAAAAAACATTTAAAATGAAATAAAATAAATGAAATAAAAACCCAAAAGCATAAAAGAAATAAAAATGATAAAAGGACAGCGATCACACGACTCTCACGCTGAGCTAAAAGCCGAGGAATAAAAATGAGTTTTAAGACATAATTTTAAAGTAGAAAGAGTCGAGGACAGAAGAGTGTTTTGGATTTCTAGAGAAGCTCCTTTGATAAAAGTTTTTAAAAAATCGATAAAGAAAAAAACCTAAAAACAAAACAACAAAAAAAGTAAAATTATTATCACCATAAATACAGTCAAAATTAAAGTTTGCGATAAACAGTTAATAACAAAATTAAGAGTCAAAATTTTAAGATATAAAGTTTGAATTTGATTTTTTTTAAGGTTTCTCATAATTATGACTTTTTTATGAAATAATAATAATAATAACTATTCCGAAGTTATGACTTAGTGTCCCATTATTAATTTGTAATTATGATTTTAAAATCTTATTATCTTATAATTATTGTGACTTTTTATCCCATAATCCAGATTAAATATTTCAGAGATTTATTTCCCCTCAGACAAAGTCTTTATTGTCTCTTTTTAAAGTTCTGTTTAGTGTTTTTTAAGTAGTTAAGACCTGGTCCAGAGAAAATAATCATGTTGTTTTTACTGATGCTGCGCTGCATTCGCTCCTCCTGACTCGGTGCATCAGTGCGTGTCTGCAGGAGCGCACGTCTGATTCGATGACACTGTGAAAACGTGTCTATACGTGTCCCTCCTGCTTGTTGAACAGGATCATGTTTCACGTTTACCGCCCTCCTGCAGCACGCCGTGACCTTGGTCTGAGAGGAATGCAAACAAAGTGAGCGCCATCAGGTTTGAGCCCCGACTGGACGTCAGCTCGGACTCCGGGCTCTGGGTGGGCAGAGGGTCCAGACCCCGCAGAGTCCGGACACTTGTCGTGGGATCTGCTGCAGACGTGTAAACGGCATCATGGGGGGGGTTAAAGACAACAAGAGGTGATGATGAGAGGCTGAAGAAGATGATGAATGAATGACTGCTGAAGTCCGACTGAGGGGTCAGTGACCTCAGAGGTTTTGTTGTAGGAGGGTCTTATATGAACCTGGATCAGGTTTCCCAGTTTTTTATTCCCAGTTGTTGAACCTGATCTGGTTCTTCTACATGCGTCTCTACTGCGGTGTAACTCCTCTTATCTGAAGTCCTGACCGTCTCCAGCAGTCCGGTCTCTGTAGCAGCTTCACATGCCCCCCCTAGTGGTCACAGAGTGTTACTTTACTGTGTGCATGAAGTCTGGTCCCATCAGTACCAACAGTATTGGGTTTTTCTGGCGCTGAGGTGAAGCTCACTGGACAGAATTTATGAATTTCCTTAAAAGTGTTTTTCAAAATAAAATTCACTGCTAAATAAACTGAACTAATCGTGAAGATAAAATGTTGATTCATGATTGATGAGACACTTTATTTCTGAAATCTCCTTAAAAACACAGACAATCTCCACAACAAGGTGAACTGTAGTCGAGCTTACGTCCCACTCCTCCCTGCAGGTTCTCACTAAAGGGGCGGAGCTGACCCACATCCACTGTGACTCAAAAACACTGAACTGTCCCTTTAAGAGCGAGGGTGTCACCTGTGCACTCTGAGGTGTGCTGACGGTGTTTTGTGTTTTTTTCAGGGAGAACCTGAACCAGTGGGAGAAGATCTCCCGGGGGGAGGCGGAGGACATCGTGCCCAGCCCGCCCTCTGATTCGTCGGGTCCTGTGAAGGTGGACAACTGACGACCAAAGGGGGTTTCTGGATCACCAAAGGACAACAACCTGAATCCTGCCACGGACCTGAACTCTGTCGGATTCCCGTGTTAGCGGGAGGCGGATCAGCCGAAGGCGAACTTGACTTTGAAACACACACAGTTACCTCACTGGGTGACGGAGGTGTCAACACTGACGGTTTCACCGCTCCCGGAGACTGGCGGTCGGCGGACGGGGAGGGACTCTGACCCGTCTCTAGAGGCCCTCGGCTCCTCGGGAGTTCGATCCTTTGAACGGACTCGTGGTTTTAATTTCGCTGTTTGATGTTATTTTCTGTTTTTTGTTTTTTTGAGCTGATTCTTTGACGGTCTTGTCTTTGCAGAGGCCTTACTCTGAACCTCCACAGGTGAGGAGATGTGAAACCTCCAGGTGGGTTCAGGCTTTTCCTGTTTTTAACGGTACTGTTTGCCTTCTGTGGTAGGTTTATCGTACGCGCACTACTTCAGAAAGGTATTCCCAGAGACAGAAGGAATGTGTAGAGCAGACGTTTGGTGTGGAGCCACCTCTCTGAGAAGGTGAATGTTTTTTTTATTACTTTCTGAGCAAAAATCCTTTGCAGTACTTGAATAAAGACAAACAGCCTATAGAGGTGGAGGAGGAAGAGGACGGCAGACATCGCCCCCTGCAGCAGATTCGACTAAACGTGGATGACCTGAGGTCGGAGGAGTCAGATAGTGTCCCAGCTTTGAGGAGAGTCTCGGTGTTTCTGCCCCGTCCCCCCAGACCAGCAGGACTGATTCATGCAGACCGGCTGTAGAAAGCCAAGCCTGCACTATCGAACCTCCGCTCGAGTCACTCTTTTCACGCCACAATCCCATCATCAATTATTGACACTACAATCTGGTCCCTCCTCATCAATCAGTAATCATTCCTACAAGCATGAATTCAGGACGAGTCGACGAACGAGGAAGCTGCACAAGTTTGCCACGTGTCTCCGCGGACCGATCGGACCGATCTCTTTGTTTGCAGCGGCACAAAAACCTTTTTACACGTTACCTGACAGCGCCCAGATTTACACCCACGGTCAAGATGTCACGGTCTCTAAGCGTGGGTGAGAGTGGAGTGAGTGTAGCTGATAGTTTTTGTAAGTTTTGACATCAAACTGTAGAGTTTTTGACACTGAACACGCTCACAGCAGCTCAGCAGATGCCTCAAAGATCATGAGTTTTATTTTTCCCACACATTCGCTCCCGTAAAGATGAAGTGCGTGATTTTTTTATTTTTATCATCGGGTCTCGTTCATGAAACAGATTTGTGCTGAAGGAAGTTTATGGATGAATATTTGAGTCGCTCTGATCTGATCGAAGGTACGAACCAAATCTACACCTGCTTCTGCTCGTGGTGTTTGTGAAAGATCCTCATGAATGTCAGTCGGTATCAAAGACCAGAGTTTTAACCCTCACTGTGATCCGCTCATTTAAATACGACCAAAAAAATCTGTATAATTAAATCTGCAAAAAGCAGATCTGAGCTACAGATGAGGTCTGCGTAAGTTTGTTATTTTCTACCTTTATTGATTTTTAAAATAATCACAAAAATACCGTTTCAAACATAGACATAATAAAAGTGATCACAAAAATATAAATATTATGGTCAGATATTTTTTCAGTTGACTCTAAAATTCAGAAAGTAAAAATTCTGACTTAAAGTAAAAATTAGGATTTTAAACTTAAATTAGTACATTTAGGTCAGAATCAGACTTTTTTAATTTTACTTTTTCCGGGCTTTCCGTCTTTAGCTGCTGCCCCGCAACCCAACTCCAGATAAGTCGTAGAAGATGGATGAATGGACTTTTTCCCAGATCTTAAAAGAATTAACAGTTAAAAGTTTTTACTATAAACTCAGAAATCAAGAGTTTTAAAGTCAGATTTTTGACATTTTTCTGAAAATTCGGACTTTCTTAAAGACAATTCTGACTTTTTTCAAATTTCCTATAACAAAAATAAAGATAAAGGTAAAGTCAAAATTTTGTTTTAAAAAAAGACAAAATTTTGTTAGAGTCAGGATTCTGAAAAAGGTAAAAATTCTGTAAAAAAAAAAAAAAAACTAATCAAAAAAAAAAAATCCAATTCCATTGAAAAACGTCAATTTTCTGAGGAAAAAAGTCAAAAACAGTCAGATATTTGAGATAAAAGTCCAACCTCTGTAAAAGATTTAAAAAAAGAAATCTTGAAAGTCACAATTTTGAATTTTCTCCGCACAGACTCGCTGACGTTTCATGAATGAGACCCGTCGTGCGCTGAAGTCCCCGCCCCCGTCGTACGCAGAGCGAAATCCTCCGACGTCAATCATGTTTGTGCATTTGGACTCTTCCAAATGACTTTCCAAGATCTTCCAAGAGACACAAAGTTTGTCTTTAAACTGTCATTCCAGCGGACGTCGTCCCGCTAAGACTGAACTCACCGCTCATTGGTTCGTCGTGTTCTGACTGGTACTGTGGCCCCCTGTGGTGTGAATGTACTCTGATGAATGTTCTGTCTGACTGCAGATCCTCGGTGGGTGGCGGCGGCGGCGGCGGTTTCCGTCATTGGCTCTGTCTTACTTTTACAGGATTGCGTCCAGTAAGCTTCAACCAAGAGCAACAACTAGTGTGCGCCTGAAGAGACATCGTGATATCGAAGTTAGCGGGTCGGGGCGTCGGTGTGAACAATCCAAGAGTTTGATTGGACAGACTGAGGTGTGAGCTCTGATGGTGCTAAACTGAACGGCAGTCATGCACTTTCTGACTGGGTGTGTACACTGTGTGTGAGTGTGTTTGTGTGCGCGTGTGTGTGCGTGTGTGTGTGTGCGACCCTCCTCCCCACCTGAGTACATGGTTAAGTCCAAAACACTGCACTGTCCCTCCTTTCAGCACCAGTTATATCCCATTGTCTGCACTATGTTTAGCTTATGATCTTTATCATTATTATTATTATTATTATTATTATTGATGATGATTATTATTATTATTGCTATTATTACTATTGTTATTTTCTTAATTAGAGTTAAATTTAAATTAACTTATATTTTTTATACAAAGAGAAACAATGTTGGCCTTTTTGTTTTGTACAAAGTGAACATGAGAATCAACAAAACGGTCTCGACATGTTACTGTTACCCAGAAAAATGCGGAATGTCTCAACTGTAAATGTAAGAGCAGTAGCCCAAATGACTTTTATTAAATACTGAAAAAAAACACACCAGAGACGGACTCTTCTTTGGGTTTGACTGATCTTCTTTTTTTATTTATGTTAAAGGGATATTTTGGTATAAAACGAAACACACCGTAACACCGAGTTAGACCCCCCCTCCAGAGATGAATGTTGTCGACCGCTTGCTTCTCTAGTTATACCAACTTTAGTAACGACCGCAGGATAGCAATACAGAGAGACACGCCCTCAACCAAAACGCCACTCTATAGCCACAAATAATGAACTTTTTAAAACTGTTTTAATATTTTAACTTTTTAAAACGATTTTAATATTTAAAATCTTTTTAACTACTTTAATATTTGACCTTTTTTAAACTATATTAATATTTAAACTATTAAAACTATCTTAATATTTGAACTTTTTAAATATTAGGATCGGTTAAAATTTTTGAATCTACTTTAGTATTTGACTTTTTTAAAAACTATTTTAATATTTACTTTTTTTTAACTATTTTGATATTTAAACTTTTGAACTATCCTAATATTTGAACTTTTTAAAAACTTTTAAAAAGGAAGACCATTTTTGATCATTTCTTCATGGCAGAAGAACTACCGCGTCTACAGTGTAAAATGATCAATATGGTGATTATTACTTCAAGGAAATGATAAAGAAATGATCATAAATGTTCTTCCTTGAGCTGCGGCACCCCGCTGTAGTCCGTAATGGACTGGCCTGAGGTCTCTCTACAAACAAGCGTCTGCTGGAAGAGAGTAGGTGAGTTGTGTTTAGTCTCTGCTAAAGAAATGAGTCAAAGTTAAAAAGATGTTTGGTGTGACCCTATATGTACTAACCTCAGTAGAACATGGTGTAGTTCTGTTTAGTAACAGAACCTCATTGGAAAATTAGCTGATTTAACTTTACTGTGCTCTTGTTCAAATATATTAACTCGACAGCACATAAATCTACACCTGTTAACAAAATCATGATTTTATTGATAATTCGGCTCAATAAAAACACCTTTACCTTTTCATTTTACTACAGTAGAAGTTTATTGGCCCAGCTTATAGACTACAGAAGTGGAGAAAGAGTTTATGTTTTCTTAGGAGTTAGAACAACTCTGAATATAGTACTATGTCTGTGACCCTATATGTCCTGTTGATGAAGTTAGGTGCTGTTCTGAGCATTATTTGTGGCTATAGAGTGGCGTTTTGGTTGAGGTTTGTTAATGCAATTTTCTAGAATCACAACTTTTGACCTGTTTGGTCTTTCCCTCATCCTCCCGCTTGAACTCATCAGATCTTTTTTCATTCCCTACTATAATATTATTTTACCAACATAATTCAAACCCGGCTCTCAGTGGAGGCCCCCCAACACAGATGAACTCAGTTTCTTGTTTTAATAAAGCCGAGCGTTTAACTCTCATAAACTGTCACTTCTCTCTGGCTCAGCTTCACCATCTGGGTTCTTCCTCTTCTGGTAAATCCAGCCTGGAGGTCTGCTTTCCTTCAGCTCATCCTTCTCTCGCTCCAAAGCTGTGCACTAAACGCTCTAACACTAACACTGCCACGGTGAATAAACTACTTTATAGAAGTTTAAACTCAATAAGATTTTCAAAATAATCAAAATTCAGCTTTATTTTTCTTGTTTGATGCAAATAAAACTTTGTGAGAGCTTACAGGAAGAATTTTAACAACAAAAAAGTAAAAGATAAAAATAATTTCAAACATTGATTTTTATTTTACAAACACTCCTATTCTTATTTTTCAGGCGATCATCCTTATTTATTTTTTCATATTTTGTTTTATTTAGTTAATATCTAAAACATTCAATACAAACAAGTAAAAATCTCAAACATGTGAAAGAAAAGAAGCAGAAAGAGGAAAACTCTTCTAGAGTCTGTTCCTCTTTCATAATGTATTAATCAACTAAACACATAATAATCAAAATAAACAAGAACTTTTCTGAATTGTCTGAATTTACGCTCATTTGTTGTTTCCTAACCTGTAAACAAACTCTTTCTCCCGGAAGCTCAAAAGTCCGATTGTTGCCAGGACACTGAACGCAGCGCGAGCATTTACGCGGGTCGGTCTCCATGGTAACCAGCTAACGTCCAGGCGGCTGTGAGGAGTAAAGTTTTAGTTTTTCTGACATTATCCCTGGAAAAGTGGATTTATTTCACAGGTAAGATCATTATTAACGGGCTGACCGACTTTCTTTGTTTTAATTCTTCATGTAAAGTTTGTAAAAATCATAATTTTTAAGATAAAAACACCGTTTGGTCTTTACGAGGACCCTCGAAAATGAACTGTTACTAAAACAAACTAGTTTAATGTTAAAGTATTTTTAGCTTAAGACCATTAACAGCACAATTTAACTTGCATTAAACATAATACCTGACAAAAATAAACAACACAACAAATAATGAATAAATCTGTTTAAAGCTCCTGTGAGGATTTTTTCATGTAGATAAAAATAGACTGACATTTATATTTACGCCTTTTTATGGAAAACAAGACTATTAGTGACAAGATTAATGAAATTATTATTATGATTTTTAATGCAGGAAACCTTTGTGAGGGGTCGGAGTTAGCCGAGCAGATGAAACAGACTGTTTTTATTATTTTAATCACTTAATCAATCAGATTTTATTTATATAACATATTTTATAAAAGGAAATGTGGCACAAAGTTTTTAACATAATCAATAAATCATTAAAATCATCTTTAATTCAGACATTTTTAATCATTTGACAATATAAATTGGCTAAGACAAAGAAGTTGCAGCATGGCAACAGAGGACGAGGCTTCCAAAGTGCTGGATTTTGAAATGTGTTAAAGAGACAGAAGCTGAAATCTGTTTTTGTTTTATTAATTTTTTTGTAGAAACTAAAATCTTGTAAAGAAAATTATGAGCGATCAGAAAGTCGATATAAAGTCTGAAAATGAGTCGATCGATTAAACAGACGGTAAACTGAGATCGTGTTTTCTTATCGCTGAATTTCTCCTGAATCATAACATCACAGAAACATTTATCTAAACTCTTCTTTCTCCATTTTTATCGCAGACATTGTCTCCTCCTTCGTTTTGTCGTTTTGTGTTTTGAGTCATGTCCATCAGGAAGGAGGATCTCAGGAGCGACGTTCACAGACTCCTCCTGACGGCTGAAGTTGGTCAGAAGGACGATCTCCTGACCTACTCCTCAGGTCACCTGGGGCCCCACAGCCTGAACCAGAACCCGCCTCACAGGGAGGTGGAGAAGTCTTTCTGGAGGAGGTCTCAAGGAAATGAAGGCGCTCCAAACTCTCTGCAGACCGACGTTCACAGAGAAGAAATGAAAGGAGGTCCTCTGAAGTCGAACACCGGAGAAACTTTAGGAGAGTCTGAGGTCAGAAGGTCAAAGAAAGATCAAGACAAACCAGATGAAGATCTAAACCGACCTGAGACTGTTGTCTCCTCTCCAAACTCTTCACATGTGCAGCAGGAAACGTTCAGATCTTCTCCTGATCCAGAGAAGAAACTGAAGGACTTGAGCTTCTCCGACACAGAGGGCCTGAAAACTGAGGGTCACTTTAAGACGAAGCAGGTTAGCAGGTTAGAAACAGACGAGCAGGAGCTCTGGGCTGGAGGAAATATCGCTGAGAAGCACGAGAGGAAACTTCAGAAGGTGAGAAGATCTCCACGCCGAGCTGACGGGTTTTAGAAACGCTCCAGATTCTCCGATCAGCTCCTCAGAAATGTTCGAGTAAAAACCTGCTCAGACCTTCACTAACATCTCCACTCACTAACCTTCAGTGTGTGTGTGTGTGTGTGTGTGTGTCCGTCGTACCCAGGAGCTGCAGAAGCTGTCAGAGCACAGCCGGCCCAGCAGAGACCGCCTCGCAGCGTTCAGTGACGTCTTTGATGATGTGTGTGAAAGCTCGCCAGTATTTGGACGCATCCTGAGGGAAATTAAGGTTTTTCCATTTCCTCTGTACCCACTCGCACATTTTTAGCATGTGCTTTCAGACGTATTAGAGCTCGGAGAGGGAGGGCGGGTCCCCGGTGTAACGGGCGGAAGTAGAGCAGCGACTGGAGCCTGGTCGTGATCACCGGAGGGGAGGGGGGTCGGGGTCATTGGAGGGCGACGGCGAGATTGAGGCTCATTCATAAAACACGTCACAGGGTCATGAAACTCTCTTTAGTTTTAGAGACACTCAGTTCGTAAATGAAAGCGCTCAGTGAGATAAAAGTGAGATTTAAAAGGTCAAACTGGAGAAACTTTGAAGATCTGAGAGGTTAAAGTTCAGAGATGAAAACCTGAAAACACCGAAACTCATCAGGAGACAGAAAACTTTAACTGAAGCTGCAGAGTGATGATGATGATGATGATGATGATGATGATGATGATGATGATGATGAAGATCAGGTTCACTGAAGTCCAGTTTTAATATCTGTGTTTCTTTTTTAACCTGAAGCCTCTCCTCTCTTCTTCTCTTTCAGACTGATTATGATTTGTACGTCGATCACCTGATGGCTTCTCAACCCCAACACTCGGTAAACTGACCTCATGAAGGACTCTTAAATCTGATATCATGACTGTAAAATACAACAAAACTGCACTTACAGTTCAGTCTCCGTTTAAAGACTCTCTACAGTGACTTATTATTATTATTGTTATTGTTATTATTATTATTTTGATTATTATTTTTATTATTATTCCAACTAAAAAGTAAGAAAACGCTCCAAAAACGGGAATACTGAGCCGGATTTTCTCAAACACAGCTGAACCAGGTCCCAGAGTCTGCAGGTAGATTCTGTTAAATGGAGCTTATTTTTTAAGAATTTCATCCTTTCAAAATAAAAGTTTAGGTTCAAAGGTTTTAAAGGTTAACCTGGACTGTGGCGACCACCAACCTGCAGGTTTGCGTCCACATGTTTCACTGCTCAGCCCTCCAGGGAAGAGAACATTTATGGGGGTCAGTCTGGTCCAGTTCTCTGAGAACCGAGATTTATCCAATCCAATCCAGGTTTATTTATGAAGCACATTTAAAAACAACGAAACACTGACCAAAGTTCTGTACAGTAAAATTAAAAAACAATAAAAAACAGATAATTAACATGGACAACAAAAGTCACAGGAACACATTAAAAACAGGAGGACTTCGATGATTCAGTAAAAACAGGATTAAATTAATTTTGAGGCCGTCATGTTTTTTCTGCTGTTAAAATCTTTATTGAGCAGAAGTTCTCTGAGGTCTCTCTGCGTTACCTGACCGCTGACTGACACTCTTCTTTTTTAAAATGTGGAGAACGTTCGCTGAGTGTGTGATCAACACGCCGTAACATCTCTGCTGAAGTGTTCTTGGTTCTGCAGAACAGACGGCGAACTGTGGACCGTTGGACCGTCCTCAGAGCGTTCGGTCTGCTAACAGGTCGCCCGTCTCCAGTGTGTCACTCTCGGCTCTTTCTCCCCACTTCCTGCTCCATCCGTGTTCCTGCACATGAAACCTGAAAACGTCTCTCCCGCTCACCTCTCTCTCTTTTGCATTCATGGGTTTCGTTTATCGTCACAGTCGTTAAAAGTTTCACCTGAAGACGTCTGCAGAGCTAAACTCAGAGAGATGCAGCTGGAAGAGGCTGGGAAAGAAGTCCACGACCTGGAGCAGGAGGTCAGAGGAGCCCTAGAGGAGAATCAACGGTACTGCAGGGACTTCTGTGGAGCTCAAACTGACCTACAGTAGATTCATTTTAGCTGCCGAGAGTTTCAAACATGTTTTTTTTTCCTCAGGGCGAGAAATGATTCACACAAACTTACAGCCAACGTAGACCTGGAGGAACGTGAGCGGACAGGTGAGTGTTTAGATCAGCTGGAGTTTCAGATTCATGGTCAACTCCATCAAAACTGTGTGTGTGTGTGTGTGTGTGTGTGTGTGTGTGTGTGTGTTCCGTCTCTGTCAGAGCTCAGGACAGACGTCAGCGTCCAATCAAAGCGGCTCCAGCTGTTCGACGTTTGGAGGGAGATCCAACTCCTGGAGGAGGAGATGGAGGAGAAGCTCGTTCCCGAGGCGACGATCGCTGCTGCTGACGGACAAACCAGAGACGTAAAGGTGCAAAAACACAAAGTTCATGATCTGAAGTTCAGAGATAAAAGTGAAGCAGGTCAGATTATCGCTGACAGAGTTCAGGTCTGCAGGTTTTTAAAACTTTTCTTTCCTGTTTTCTCAGAGGGAGATAATGAGACTGATAACCACGAATCACCGCCTGGAAACCGCCAACAAGGCAGAGGAGTTTGACCTTCTTCCCCTGAACATAAATATGAGTGATTTTTAATGTTGGTCCTGCTGCGGTGTGATAGACGCTCACTGTTCCCACTCTGTGTTTACCCTGAAGGATCTGACAAACGGCATCAACGCCGTCCTGGACAGAGAGAAAGTCAGCAGAGCCACAAGACGGTGAGGACATATTTCACTGAAGAGACACGCTGTTCTTCAGTGACCTTTGACCCCTCCTATCTGTCGACGCTTTCTCTGTTTGTATCTGCAGGATCCTGTGGGAGGAAGTACAGTCTGATCCGCTAACAGAGTGAACACCTCCGCCTCCTCTCTGGATAGACGTTGTACTGTAAATAAACACAAGAACACGTGTCCAATCAGGTCAACCGCCGATCACAACGCCACAGCCCTGCGCCGAACTGAACATCAGGAATAAAACTCACCTGAGGTTCAACCTGCAGCTGAGATCAGCAAGAAAAAACCCTGAAAACTCAGTCAGAGTCCTGCAGATGGTTAAAGTTGGAAAACGCCACTCTATAGCCAGAAGGGCAGGAGTTTTAGAAGTCCACCCTGAAATCTCTGTCCCAGCTCCTCCTGTCGGACCTCAAGGCGTTCCTGAACCGGGCGGATTCTGGGCTCCAGTCTCAGGGCTGCTGATGCGGAGAAATCATCAATTTAGAAATCAAATGTTTTTATCAGTTTCTCATTAATTTTGCAGCAATACCGTTATTACAATGATTTAGGTTACCATGATAAAGAAGGTAAAAACCTGACATTGTGACAGCCCTCACTGTAACAGTGTCTGTATGTGTCGGTCGTTTTTTATTCTATTTTGACAAGTTTCAGTATTCTAGTCGTACGTTATTCATAAAAGAGGAGCAGGAAAAAAGAACAAGCTGACCTGTAAGAAAAAGTAAAGGAGCACAAACGTTGTTTCAGAAACTAAACTCAGTCTAGTTTTTATTTATCAGTGTGAAAAACTTCACCTCAATCTAGTGGTTAAAGTGAATTTCCCCAAACTAACAGCAGAGGGCAGCAGAGCCTAACACAAACTAAAGCTGAGTCAGTCTGTTCTTCTGTGTGTGACCTTTGAGAGAAACAGAGTGAGGATGATTTGAAGTTTGTGATGTCTTTATAAAGGTCATGAATAAAATGTCAGTATTAGACAGGCCGAGTGTTAAAGTGAATACAGAGACAGTTTCTCTTCAGGCTCCATGAGACTCTGGAGTTCAACTTTCCTCTCCTTTGTAACTGGATTTAGCAGCCAGAGTAAAACCTGCTGTTAACTCGTCATAATTAACTGTTTTGTTTCAGTTAAATGAAATAAATAAAGGAAAGAAAACGACGCAAAGTTATTCAGCTGAGTTTGTCGCTCATTTGAAACATGTCTCCGGGATTTTAGTGAACTTTTGTCCTTCACCACTTCCTTAAACATCGTCAATTAGAGTCTTCCACGTACATTTACTTTACACCAACACTTACTCTAGTCTACTTTAATATGAAACCTACATATAACTTTGTTTTGTCATTGTTGTTTTTTTTTTATCTTGATAGTGAATAAATCTGCATGTCTATTTTGAAAACATTATTTTTAGGTTTGTTTTTAGTTTTTGTAACATGATAAATTTCAGACATTTAAACATACAGTACATTCATTTATATATAAATAAGTTTATGGGTATGTATGTGACATGAAAAAAGGAATGAATATATGTTTGTTTGTAGGAACAAACGTATGTATAAATAAATGTTTCTGTTTGTAAGATGTATTTATAAGTGAATGTATGAAAAAAATAATTGACAGTATGAATAAAAGTATGAATGTATATATGTTTGTAGTTAGGTATAATAATATTCATAAAAATATACATAAATGCTGTATGTCATGTATAAATGTATGTATGTAAGTATACTTCGTGTATGTTGGGATGAATGCATGTAAATCAGTATGTATGTATGAATAAATGAATGTATATGTTGTTCATGAATATATCATATATCTAAGTATAGTATATTAAAAATATCTCAGTGTAGTATGGTAAAATATGTCAGTAAAGTATGATAAAAAATGTCATAGTATAGTATGAAAAAAAAATGTCAGTGTCCTATGATAAAAATATCAGTAAAGTATATTAAAAATGTAGTGTAGTATGGTAAAATATGTTGTAGTATAGTATGATAAAAAATGTCATAGTATAGTATGATAAAAAAAGTCATTGAGTAGTATGATAAAATATAGTATAGCATGATAAAAAAATGTCATAGTATAGTATGACAAAAAAATGTTATAGTAAAGTATGATAAAAAATATAGTATAGCATGATAAAAACAATGTCATAGTGTAGTATGATAAAAATACCATAGTATAGTATAATTAAAAAAATGTCATAGTATAGTATGATAAAAAAAAGTTTCACAGTATTGTATGATAAAAAATGTCATGGTATAGTATGACAAAAAAATGTCTTAGTGTAGTATTTAAAAAAAATGTCAGTAAAGTATGATAAAAAATGTCATAGTATCGTATGTTAAAAAATGTCATAGTATAGTATGATAGAAAAATGTCATAGTATAGTATGATAGAAAATGTCATAGTATAGTATGATAGAAAATGTCATAGTATAGTATGAATAAAATGTCATGGTATAGTATGAATATAATGTCATAGTATAGTATGATAAAAAAAGTCACAGTATAGTATGGCAAAAAAATGTCATAGTATAGTTTGATAAAAATAACAGTTTAGCATGATAAAAAAAAGGTCATAGTGTAGTATGATAAAAAAAATGTCATTGTATAGTATGACAAAAAAATGTCAGTATAGTATGATGAAAAAATGTCATAGTATAGTATGAATAAAAAATGTCATAGAATAGTATGAATAAAATGTCATAGTATAGTATTATAAAAAATTGTCATAGTATAGTATGATAAAAATATAGTATAGCATGATAAAAAATGTCATAGTATAGTATGAATAAAATGTCATGGTATAGTATGAATATAATGTCATAGTATAGTATGATAAAAAAAGTCACAGTATAGTATGGCAAAAAAATGTCATAGTATAGTTTGATAAAAATAACAGTTTAGCATGATAAAAAAAAGGTCATAGTGTAGTATGATAAAAAAAATGTCATTGTATAGTATGACAAAAAAATGTTAGTATAGTATGATGAAAAAATGTCATAGTATAGTATGAATAAAAAATGTCATAGAATAGTATGAATAAAATGTCATAGTATAGTATTATAAAAAAAAAATTGTCATAGTATAGTATGATAAAAATATAGTATAGCATGATAAAAAATGTCATGGTGCAGTATAATGAAAATATCATAGTATAGTATAATAAAAAATTGTCATAGTATCATATGTTAAAAAATGTCATAGTATAGTATGATGAAAAAATGTCATAGTTTAGTACAATAAAATTATCATAGTACAGTATGATAAAAAAATGTCATAGTATAGTACGATTAAAATGTAATAGTATAGTTTGATAAAAAAAATGTCATAGTATAGTATGACAAAAAAATGTCATAGTGTAGTATGATAAAAATATCAAAGTATAGTATAATAAAAAAAATGTCATAGTATAGTATGATAAAAAAGGTCATAGAATACTATGATAAAAAAAGGTCATAGTTTAGTACGATAAACTTATCATAGTATAGTATGATGAAAAAATGTCAGTATAGTATGATAAAAAAATGTCATAGTATAGTTTGATAAAAATAACAGCTTAGCATGATAAAAAAATGTTATAGTATAGTATGATAAAAATGTCAAGGAATAGTATGATAAAAAAATGTCATAGTATCTTATGTTAAATAATGGCATAGTAAAGTATGATAAAAAATGTCACAGTATAGTATGATAATAAAAGGTCAAAGAATACTATGACAAAAAATGTCATAGTGTAGTATGATAAAAAAAAATGTCATAGTATAGCATGACAAAAAAATGTCATAGTCTGGTATGATGAAAAAATGTCATAGTATCGTATGTTAAAAATGTCATAGTATAGTATGATAGAAAAATGTCACAGTATAGTATGATAGAAAATGTCATAGTATATTATGAATAAAATGCCATAGTATAGTATGACTAAAATGTCATAGTATAGTATGATAAAAATATAGTATAGCATGATAAAAAATTTCAATGTGTAGTATGATAAAAATGTCAGAGTATAGTATGATAAAAATGTCATAGTATTGTATGATAAAAATATGTCAGAGTATAGTTTGATAAAAATGTCATAGTATAGTATGAATAAAAATATAGTATAGTTTGATAAAAAAAAATGTCATGGTTTAATATGATGAAAAAAAAAAGCCATAGTATTGTATTATAAAAAATGTCATGTCATAGTTTGATGAAAAATTCACTGTTTGGTTTTATTTATTCCTTTAGCTTTATTCTTCTTCAGCTTACCTCATTTTTTTTTATTGCAAACTCCAACTGTTAAAGATGTGTTGCAAAAAACGGCTTTAAGTGGCGATGAGGTCATAAAATTCTTTTGAAAGGTTTTTAAAAAAGTCTTAAAAATGTACTGACATTAACCTCAGGGTTCCTGCTTATACCCTTTAAAAAATTAACCTCAGCTCTGAGAGTCAAACTGCTGATCTAATTTGGTCAGGGGTAACAGAGACTGAGGGGATTAGGGGAATTATTTAACCTCTGTTTTGATTGACGGAGGCGCGACCTTTGCCCCCAACATCAGGGAATGCCTCGCTGTCTGCTCGGCTAATCACAGGTCAAAGTCCGGTCTGCGGCTGGCAGAGTCAGGACGAGCAGAGACTGTTGTTGTCCCTCACTCTGTGTGCTCCTGTCAACTTGTCAACACCACCATGCTGCTCCGCTCTCTGCTCCTGCTCCTCCTCTGCGTGTCCACGGCCACGAGCGCCACTTTAGGACACTACCAGGCCCAGGCCGAGGAGGAGGAGGAGACCCCGGCTGTGACCGACTTCGCCACTCCAGATATAGCTCCTTTAGACGTCCAAGCAGATGATCCGACTGCAGACAATTCCCTCTTTGGTGACGACCTGTCAGCTAAAACACAGGCGGACCAAGACGCCGACAAACCTGAGGTGGAGGTCCCTGAAGGAGAGCGTGAAGCAGCAGCAGCAGAAGAGACAGAAGCAAAAAGTGACGGGCCTGTTGAAGATACAGACGCTCATGCTGCAGAAGCTGTCACCCAGGAGCAGGCTGCATCTGAAGCAGAGCAGCCCTCCTCAGAAGAAGCTGTGAACCAGGAGAAACCTGCTGAAGAAGCTGTGATCCAGGAGGAACCTGCAGAAGAAGCTGTGATCCAGGAGAAACCTGCTGAAGAAGAGAAGGAAGATAATGAAATCAAACCAGTCCTCACCAACCCATCAGAAAGCAAAGAGCCGGCTGAGGAAGAGAGCAGCTGGAGTTTTAACTCCATCAGAAACAGTTTCCAGTCCATGCACGGTTACTTTGACTCCCTGGTGGAGCTGGTTGGAGGCCGTGACGGGGTGTGTCAGTACCGCTGCAGATACGGTGAGTGAAGATCTCTCAGATACAGCGAAGGAAGAGTCGATGATGAACTTTCATCAGAGACAAAGAAGCTTTTCTCTGCAATCAGTCTTTTCTCCGTTTACACTCAAATGTTCGTCTCTGTCAGCGTTTTCACACTTGTTTTTTTTCACTCTCAGGTTTCAGACGATCATGTCTTCCTTTGCAGACTGTCCTCTCTCTCTTTCTGCATTTCTTCCGGGTTAATTCCTCCTCCCCTCTGCCTCCTTTTCAGATATATTTGCTCGTTTTTAGCACACTTCAGATGATTGACTCTTTCTTTTTAAACTGTCCCTCTCTTTCCCCCATAGATGAGCTTGTTGTTGCATATTTCAGTCCCTCCAGTCTCAGGTTATCCACACACATCTCTCTTACTCTCAGGAATAATTTCCTCTCCTCTGTGTCTAATCGTCTCTTTTCTTGAATTGTATTTGTGCAGAAATTATTCCTCCTCTTTCTGATAAAAGTGTTTACGTTTGCATCCATGTTTCTTTTGTTTCTCTTTTCACAAAGTCATCTTTTTTTGAAGCATTTGTGTCTGAATGTTTTCAAGCTTCTTATTGGATATCGTTCCTTTCCCCTGAGGTTCAGATCCCCTCCCCTCTGCCTCGTATAACCCCTCTTTATCACTGCATGTTTGCACACTTTAGCTCAGGAACTATCCGCTCTCTCTCCAGGTTATAGTCTCCTCCCCTCACCTCTCTGTATTGATGCACATGTTCTTGTTTTTTTTGCACACCTCAGATTCCTCGCCTCTGCTGTCAGTTTATCAGCTCCGTGTTTCTCCAGGTTATTGAAGACGGAGCGCTCAGGGTCCTCCGGCTGCTGATAATGAAACCTGAACTCAGAGTTTATCTCTCAGCTGAACTCAGAGTTACACAATCGATGCAGATGTTCTCAAACAGAAGTCACATCTTATCTGAGAACATAGATACTCTGGTGTGTTATATATGTGCTGATATCTATTACATATATATCTATAAAGAGGACATCTGTACATGTGTTTGTCTCCAGGAGAAACTCCTCAGCCTCGTCCCGGGTACCAGCTCCCTGAACCCAACGGCTGCAGCTCCTCTCTGGTCGGCTTCCAGGTGAATGCTGCTGTAGGTGGTTCAGCGCACCGACAGCCCAACAGACAGACAATAACCTGTAACTGAGCTCAACACCAGAACCACAGACACTGACACCGTCCAGTTTGTCTCTTCACAGCTGGATCTGGGGATCCCGGCCATGACCAAGTGCTGCAACGAGCTGGACCTGTGCTACGACACCTGTGGGACCAGCAAGTACGACTGTGACTCCAGGTTCCGCTCGTGTCTCCACAGCCTCTGCTCCGACCTCAACAGGAGTCTGGGCTTCGTGTCCAAAGTCCAAAGTGAGTTCAGGAACTTTGGATGAAATTAAAGTTCCCTTTAAAGAGTACTAATGGTTCCTGTAGACCGCTGTCTCTTTCTCTCCTCCTCACTCTTCCTCACACTCCTCCTCTTTCTCTCCCTGTTTTCCTCTTTATTTTCCCTCTCTACTCATTTTTCTTCTCCCCCTCTCTCTCCCTCTTGAAGAGGATCTGACTGTCTGACTCATGATTTCAGTTTTTACTCTGATTATTAGATATCGATCTAACCGGGTCAACAGTGACCCTACCACAACAGGTGCTATAATTTTAATAAGAGTATTTTATAATTTAGTCAATTTAATTTTTTTGTTTTTATTTTGTTAAAATCGAGGTTCCTGACGAAGTCAAAAAGTTTTGATGCAAAAACAGAATTTAAGTGGTTCTTTTAAGCTTTTAAAGACAAAAACGTGTCGGTACAGACATTAACACAGGAGGAGGATTAAATTCATTTTCTTTATTTCAAACACTCAGTTGGACTAAATATCTTCATTTTCTCTTTAATTATTAAAACTCCACATACTTCGATGACCTCTGACCTTATAATTCTTCACCAACATTAACTGGACTTCTGCTCGGACTCCTCTGCAGCCTCTGATACGACTAAAACTACAACTACCTTAACTAATACTTGAATAACTGCAGTTTTTAAACAGTTTTCTCATTTAATTAGTTTTTTTTTTTTAGTTTAATTTCAAACGTTTTCTGACTTTTTAATGTTTCTGCCTGTAACTTGGTAAAAACTTCAGGTTGTAAACTTCACTGAATGGAAGAAGGAGGAGAGTTATAACTGGAATATATCCTAATATTTTTTAATAGTTTTATATTATTTTTTAGATTTTTAATTGAAGTCTATTAGACAAAATTTTGAAACCTAATACAAAAACAAAAATCTCCAAAAGTCTCCAAATTTTACTTGATGGTTTCCAAAGGCAAAAACTTATACACGTTATAAAATGACACCTAAAGCGCCACCATGTGGTCATTTAAATATTAATGTAGTTAATTTTCACACAGCTTATTCCTTTAATGGTGCTTCACTGCAGCCTGATCATTTTTGTATTTTTCAAAGATACTTGAAGAATTAATTTACATGGATCAGAAATGAGAGCGGTCCCAGAACAGAGCCCTGTGGGACTCCAGCGGCTGTCCTGGTTTTGTTAAAATAGCAGGTCTTGACGTCTAAACCGGCTTCAGTTGGACAGATAATTTTCTCACCACGATCAAATGCAAAGAATCAGATAAATATAGTTTATATCACACGCTCATCTCACCCTCTCATAACTCCTCCTCTTCTTTATTCCCGTTTGTCCTCCAGCCTGTGAATCGATGGCCGACACGGTCTTCAACACGGTGTGGACCCTCGGCTGCAGACCCTACATGAACAGCCAGAGGGCGGCGTGCTTCTGTGAGGGAGAGGAGCGGGATGAACTGTGACCCTGAAAACTCCTGGACTCTCTAAAAACAAACATTTCCTCAGTATTTCCTCAGCGGTGTATTTATAGACTCTTTTTATCAGAAAAGAAAAAACTTCATAAACGCGAGTGTAAATGATCTTTTTTTGTAGGTTTTATTCTTGTTTTACAAAAAGACAAACGTCTGAATATGACTTTGGTTTTCCACTCACCTTCCTTTAATCTCTGACTCCATTATCGTTAATTACTTTGATGACTCCGGACAAAGAGCATGATGGGAAGGAAACTGAAGACACATTCACCTCCTCTGACTAAATCCTGATGCTGGTTCACGACATGCTGCTAAAACATCCAGACATTCTGCTTTAAAGTTCCTGTTTGAGTTTTTAAGATGAGTTTTTGTTGTTTTTAAGAAAGACTAACAGTCAAATATCACTTTAATTTATATATTTGATGCTGGATGACGCTTTGACGTCTCTTTTTATCCCCACGCAGATTAAACCGAGCGAATCAGTCACTCGTTTATTTCCAGACTGAGTGAACTGGAGTGAAATATCAACCGTTTTCTAAATCCAGTAAATCTCGCCTGGCGTTAATCAAGCCTGAGAAACGGCTGAAAGTGTGACCTCCATCAGCAGCATCCTTCATGCTGTAGTTGTTACAAACGGGCTGCAGCCTCTCTGAATGATGGCTAATAGAAACGTCATTCACTTTAATGGCAGGAAATTGCTCTGCCAGGGAGAGACGCACAAACTTGGAGGTATTAAGCAGAATTCAGAGCAGCTGACACTGAAGCATAAACAGCAGAATAACAGAGAGAATATACGGCCCAGCTGTGTGTGTGTGTGTGTAACTAAAGGACTGATCTGTATTTAAATAAACTCAACATGTTTGTCATCTTCACTATAAGACACTGACTTCCTCTGAATGATCATGTTTTATCTGAGGGTCAGGGTTCGGGTGTCCTGGTCCAAACCCTGGTTCTGTGTGGGGTTTACATCAGAACATGTTCGTTAGGTTAGCAGACGACTGTGTGATGTTCATCTGTAACAGTTTTTCTCTTTATATTAAGTTCTGTATTTACGGCTCTAACTTCATGAACGTCTCTGCTGAGGTGATAAAAAGAACAACCTCCTGTTACTGAGTTTTAATTCAAACACTTTCAGACGCTCATTTCAATAAGATTAAAGTGAATTTGGGTATAAATGAGTTAACTCTGAACTCACTAAAACACATTAATATATTACTATGCTAAAATTCACACAGTTTTGCATGTATTATAAATGTCTCTACCATAGACTGTATCTAGAATAGACGCCATCTGCCTCCTCGCTGGGTGAAGCCACTCTGAGAACAGCGCCCTCTGGTGACGGGCTGCAGTATAGGTCATAAACCCCGCCTCCTTATGGAGCTGTGGACAAACTTTATTAATGACACAGAATATAAATGTTTCTCCCCCCTGGTTGTGATGTTGACATGTAGTTACTGTCAGACTGGTTTGTGCTCAAGTCCTCTTTTTTCTGTACAGCTCCATTTTTAAAAGTTATTAGGGGGTTCATGTTTTCTATGATTGACACCTGATACAGCCAATGGGAGGACAGAGATTGAGTAGATCACCTGGGGATACGCTGTTTGAGCTGAGCGTCATCACAGCGACTCTTTCCTGCTGAATGTGTACAACACTACTGTGCAATGTTGATTTCAGAAGATTAAGAAAAATCGCAGAAATACCGAGAACTTTTTGGCGCTTAATCCGTATACAAGTGGGAGGTGGAACCAAGTGGTCCGTAGTAAATACAGTCTAAGGTCCAACCTTCTAAACTTTTAAACTTCTGCTTCCTGGAGACTGAAACTTGGGCGCTAACCCCCAATCTCCACCTTCATCCTGATCGTCTCCTAAAATGTCGTATCCTCCGATCGTAGCTGATCGTAACCGTTCAAGTTAACGTGTCAATTTACACCGACTTCTTTCTGTTCCTCTGCAGATCGCCGGACTCCTCAGCTGATCATAAGAGTTCTATTTTTCCGCGAAACAGACCAAAGTTCACAGAGAGGTTTTTTAGAAGTGACCCTGTAGTTTTATTTGTTCGAAGGCGTATTCAGTTTCGGTATTGAGCCCAAAGTCGGTCACAGATTCGATCAAACACGAGCAGGTTTGTAAACTCACGTTTATTAAAGTCAAACTGAAGTTGACTGAAACTCTTGGTGCTACATGTTCAAGTTAAATGCTGATAAATAAACCGTCGCTCTGACGTCGTAGTTTCAGTATCTCAGTGCGTCTCTGCAGAGATCAGGTGTTTTATAAAAGCGGCTCTCAGCTTCAGCGTCACTCATGGCAGGATGAAGATGGGGCCTCCACTGAGCGTGCTCTCCTCCTGAGGGTCACCACTCCGAACCTCCCTCCGGACTCGACCTCGACAGCGCTGAGTGCAGCGGGAGTCTCCCGCTCCGCACACCAACACCTGACAGTGCAGGTAGACTTGCTGTAAGCAGACACAGATACAATCAGAGTACAGTCCAGTACACTTAACTCGCCAGCTGGCCCCCAGCACGCCGCTTCTACTCACCCGGTTGTCCTTGCCAATGAACTTGAAGACCGGGACCTGGTAGTGCTTGGAGAGCTGGTCCTTTGACGAGTACTGAGTCACCGTTTCATCCGAGATGCACCTGAAGATGCAGCAGAAAGAGGGAAATGGAGTTATTTGGTCTCTCCTCTCTCAGACTCAGTGATCCGTATATATTTCTAACCGCTCTCTTCATCAAGGCCGGCCCGCCCACGCTCCTCAAACACTCCGATCTGGAGGAGGAAGTTCACAGAAATAGATTTAAAGCACGCCTGAACGTGTCCGTGGAGTGGTGAAAGAAAATCCTCGCTCTGATTTCAGAGGTGAAACCGTTTGGCGAGAGTGAGCGCTCTCTGCATAATAAGGCGGTTCTGAGCTTCGATTTTCTCGTCTTCTTTCCACATTACTGGCAGAGACGCCGCCGCCGCCAACATTTTTCATCTGACATTTCCGAGAAGGAGTAGAGATTTCCTGTCCTATCACCGCCAAGCAGCTGATGATGGGCCGGCGTGGAAACAGCTGGGTGTGATGTTTACAATGAGGACTTAATGAGACCGCATCTTCAAAACGTCCGGGGTCTGAAGTGAGTCAGCCGCACTTTTAAAGGGACAGTCCGTATGAATTCAGACGTGTTTTGGCGTGCTGAGCGTTTAATAAAAAAGCTTCATCCTCGTTATTTGATACGATAAACGACAGATCTGTGAGCAGCAGGAACAAAATTCTGGTTTTAAACTTTTTAAAGGAGAAACAAAAAATCTCAAAAACAAGCAAACTGCTTATTTTCATGAAGGAAGAAAGAAACGTAACAAATCCACGACTTTTACAACAAAAAAGGAGATTTTTGAGATTTCTGATTAAAAAAAAACTCGCCTGCATTAAAGTCACTCTTCAATATTGACAGATTTGTCCTGTGGTGTTCCTCAGGGTCCCGTTCTGGGTCCTCTGTTAGTTTTTCTGCTCCTCCTACATTTCTAATAAAAGATGATTTTTGTTGTGCAGATGAAACTCAGTCGTGAATCTCTCTTAAACCTCAAACTTTCTCTGATGTTATTAAAACTATGACAGTTTTTGGAGCTCATATTTACTTTTAATGAATCTATGCATCAAGATTCAGTTTTATGAACGTTTTCAGAAAATGTTTTTGGATATTATGGGCTTCAGGGGTCCTAAAAACAGACTCACAGACACCGACTGAGCAAAGAGGGGGCCGCAAAGATGGTGTAAAGGCAGAAGAAGCTCACATAAGAAAGAACATTTCCTGAAACTTGATGTTTTAAAACCATATCTTTTTTTTTTAAATAACCATATCTTATTTTTATAACCCTATTTTTTTATAACTGTATCTCTTTTTGTTATAAACTTCTCTCTATTTTATAACCTTATTTCTTTTTTTAACTATATCTCTTTTACCGTATTTGTTATATCCATCTTTTTAATAACCGTATCTCTTTTAAACAACTAACTCTTTTTTAAAAACAAATCTCTTTTTTATAACCATATCTCTCTTCTCTACAACTACTTCCCCCTTTTTATAACTATATGTCTTTTATATAACCATATCTCCTTTTTTTATTACAGTATGTTTTTTTATAACCACATCTTTTTTTATCACCATCTCTTTTTTAAAACAGTATCTCATTTTTTTCTAACCATATCTCTTTTTTTAACCATATCCCATTCTTATAACCGTATTTTTTTTAAACCATATTTCTTTTTTATATCCGTATTTCGTTTATAACTATAACTATATCTCTTTTTTGTAACTATATCTCTTTTTTAAATAACCATATTTGTTATATCCATCTTCTTTTTTTATAACCGTATCTCTTTTATACAACTAACTCTTTTTTAAAACCAAATCTCTTTTTTATCACCATATATTTTTTATAACCATATGTCCTTTTTTTATTACAGTATGTTTTTTTATAACCATATTTTTTTATAACCATCTCTTTTTTAAAACAGTATCTCTTTTTTTATCAACCATATCTCTTTTCTTTAACCATATCCCATTTTTATAACCATGTCTCGCTCCTTACCCGTCTTTGATGAGGAAATACTTCAGCGCCTGGTCGGCTCTGGGTCCCGGCGTGGCGAAGCAGTTCTCCACCAGAGCAGAGAGACCCTCCACCCTTTCTTTAGGCTCCACCCCAAAGAACAGCAGATCCTGGAGGCGGAGCTGAGGCGGGGTGCGGTACGGCTCGGAGAACTCTGCGCTCTTGAAAAGCTCCAGGGCGAACGGGAAGACTCCCTCGCTGTGACTCGCCAGCTCCAGGGCGGAGCTGCGCAGACTGGCCTGGTACCCGTCCGACACCTGGTACTCTCTGGGGAACTCGCAGGTGACCGGGAGGACCAGCTTACTGGTGCGGACGATCACGTCTCTGCTGCTGCCCGGGCTGCTGCGGGGGAGACCGGTCACCAGGTTGGTCCCGACGATCTTATCATTCGTCACCTGAAGGTCGTAGAAAAGAAAGATCTCAGCGGGAAGTTTCAGACGGACAGGACGATAAAGTTGGACATATTAAAAAAACAACATAGATACAGTATATATATATTTATTCATTTGATTTAGTGGATGTTTTTGTTCATTTGCAAAATTACACTAATATCAGTACTGTTTTGATAAAGTTGCACCACTTCAACTAACAACATATCATCGTCTCCATGGAGCCACAATATCTTCATCATCATCATCTTCACCAAACTACCAAGAGCTGAGTCCACAAGTGTCTCAGAAGTAGAAGAGGACTCTGCGGCTCGATGGTGATTTTATTTCACCACCAGGGGGCGACAGAGGGGACGAGTCCGACCGATGATTTATGATCTCTGCCTGTAAGTTTTAGGAGATCTTTTAGGATTTTAGCGTCTTTTAACCAACACTAACAGGATTGATTTTAAACCTTTAACGTTTGTTTTTAAAGCTCTTGATGGCCTCGCCTCCATCTATTTAACTGAGCTTTTAACCATTTGAGGGCTGGGTAAAGCTCTGAGGTCGTCAGACCAACCTTTGCTGGAGGTGCCGAGGTCAAAACACAAACACTGGGGGGATCGAGACGTTTCAGTCGCTGGTCCCAGACTCTGGAATAAACTTCCCACTGAAATGAGACTTATCTCCGACCTGGGCCTTTTTAAATCTAGATTGAAAACGTATTTATTTATGCTGGCTGTTAACACCCAGAAGCGTGGTGACACTTTATTCTATTCTTTTTATTCTTATTTTATTTTATTGCTTTTTGTTGTTTTTATTTATTCATTTTTATTTTCTTCTGTAAAGCACTTTGGATCACCGAAGGGGTTGTTGTAAAGGGCTGAATAAATAAAGAACATTTCATTTGTTGTTGCAGGATTTACTCGGTTAATGTTTGACTCTAAAGTAAAGTTATGAACTTATATTTTCACATTTTAAATAAAAAGTTTCTGTTTTATTGTTTTTCAATGATCATCTCTAAAAACTGACTTGGTTTAAAAAATATACCAGCCACATCGGTCCAGATTTCAGAGGGTTTGATTTCCTCCTGATAAAGGTGGGTTTGTCTTATTTGAGGGTTTTATTCTTTTTTTATGTCTTATTAAATCTGAGTCGTCACAGTCTCAGTGACTTCCTCAGACATGTTTTGGAGAAAGCAGAGGAAACAGATGGCTGCTGAATCTAACAGTGAATAAGGTCACGACCTCGGTTTGTCAGGGTTTAAGTCCAGTCTGAAACTGAGCCAAACTCAGACAGGAGACTGTTTAATCCGAGAGAACGTTTCAATAAAGTGATGATAGTAAAAATGAAACATCCTCCTAAAGTTTGACCTCCACCACCGTGCCGCAGGTCTTCAGGCTGAAGCTCAGGTTGATGTGGGTGCCGTTAGAGACGCCTCTACAGGACGAGTTGGACAGCGTGAGCTCCAGACCGCCAACCAGATCCTTAGGAACCGAGACCACGATGGAGCTGGAATCACACTGGACCGGCACTGAGAGAAAAGAAGGAAATATTTATATGATTAAATAAAAAACAGCAGATGAGACAAACCAGAGAGAGATCTACAGAAACAGAGAGAGGCTCAAAGTCATCCGACTGTGATCCAGAAACACAAATAAAGATGCGGATCTGGACTGAACTTTGTTTAAATAAGATTTTGTCGCCTGAAAAGAAATTTTAAAAAAAGCTTCATCTGTTATTTTTCATAAAAATAAGGTGTGTTTGTTTTAAACAGGTGTGTCTTTGGTAAATCTCAGCAGTATTTACTCTAAATAATGAAGCAAACAGAGTTTCAGCTCCTCCAACAGAAAAATCATGTTCATTCATGTTTATCTTGTTCTAAGAAACAGAACCAGTTTGAGTCGGAGCGAATCGGACCTTCAAGGACAAAGACCTGGATCTGAAACCTGACGGATGATATTCAACATTTATCTCTCATATTATTCTTTCAACTATCAATAAAGTAACAGTTCAAGGTTGTAAATGAAACTTTGTTATGATACCAGCTTTTTTTACGGAGGCCCATGAACGCCAAAAGGATTTCAAAAATTAAAAAAAAAAGAATGAAAATCAAAAATATTTTACACAAGACACAATTCACAAAAATTAAAATGAAATGCAGTCAGTTCATGAAAACAGAAAATATTTCTCAAAAAAATTAAAAATATTACAAAAAAAGAAATTTCTCAAAAAATTAAAAACATAAAATCCTGTCATTAATTCAAAATTTAGAACAGGCTGAAATAGTATGAAAAAAAACTTCATCAATTAAATAAAATATTAACTACATTGACATTTTATTCAAGCAAACTTTATTTCTAAAGTAAACTAAAGTAGACAGAGAAGTAAACTAAATCTGAAACTGTTTCTTGAGGCAAAAACATTTCATGAAATGAAAAAAATGACATGTTGCAAAAACTCCCCCTCAAAAATATTCAATGTAACTCAAAAAAGACCTAAAATTCATTAAAAAAAAATTTTAAACCATGAAAGTAAAAAAAACATGTCCCAATTTTTTTTTCAAAACATAAGAACCTTTTATTTTTTATATCTAAAACATGTTAGCACTTGCCCTTCAGGGCCACCATACTTTTTTTGTGTTTTCCACACTAAGTGATTTATTCAGTGTTAAAAGAACGCAGTGTGGGTTTGTAAAGGAAACAGTCAGGAAACAACTCTGTTTTATCTGAACCATGTCACTTTGAATTAAGAGGTTTGTAGTAAAGCATCACTTTGTTGTCTTAATTTAATTAATGTTAATTTACTTAAAAGATAAAAACACGGACGCTCAGAAAAAATGAAAAAATCTCATATAAAACCTGAAAAAGCGTCACGGTGTAACCTTTACTGTCGAGATCTGTTGTGTCAGCTCGTCCTCCTGTCAGCCTGATATTCAAACCTCAAAAAGCTTTCCTGTCACACACACACACACACACACACACACACACACACACACACCTTGACATGTGCGTCCGTCCTCTCCCAGCTCCAGCCCTCGGGGACAGCTGCACTGATACGACTCTGGCAGCGAGGAGCAGCCGTGACTGCAGCCTCCATTGTTAACGTGACAGCCGGCTATCTCTGGAAAACAGGAGGAGCGGCGAGTGTTTCTCTGCTCTGACCATCTCTGACAGATGTGAAACATGAACATCAGAGCTCAGGTGTACCTCTGCAGGTGAGTCCGTCCTCGCCCAGCACACGGCCCGGCCCGCACTCACAGCGTCTGGAGCCTTTGGTGTTCACACACAGCTCTGCACAGCCGCCGTTCCCCTTCTCACACTCATTCACATCTGAAAAAGAGACACACACCTGAGTCAGTTCATCCTCAGGGGAGTCGGATTTTAATCCACCACAGCACGGACTAATAACCTGGAGGAAGTCCACTTCAAACACGCAGGAAACAGGAGGATAAACAGGAGGATAAACAGGAGGATAGACGGACTTCAGAGGCTGTAAGAGTGTGTTTGTGTTAGTGAGAGGAAATACTGAGCTAGAATACAAAGGAGGGACTGAAGGAGGGAGGAGAGAGGGAGCAAAGGGAGGAGGAGAGGAGGAGACGAGATGAGATAATGGTCAGTTTCACCTGTTATCAGCTGGACCTTCAGCCTGACACACACTCGGACCTCCAACACCTCTGAGTCAGTAAACACTCGGTTGATTTTTTCACTATTTCTGTCTTTAAACTCTTAATTTTTTTCTAATCTGGTGAATATTTAAGCAACAATTAAATAAAAAAACAAAAGTAATCAACGCATAATTAACAAAAAAGAAAAACTACGACCTGAAGAAGGACGGAGGCGGTCTGAGAGGATCTAATCAGCGACGTTTCAAAGCTGAGAAAGTTATTTAATGTAATCAAAGAGTAAACGACTTTATCAGCTCAATTCAGAAAACTCTACAGTACTAAACTTTACCATCAAATCTTATTTAAAAAGACAAACATGTAAAAACAGTCAGTTTCCTTTAAAGGGTGATAAAGAGTGAAGATGAAGCTCAGCCATCAGTTTTCACCAGATTTAACACCAACCAGGTTCAGACTGCGGTGAGTCTGACGGTGAATCTGACGCTGTTACTCTGAGCTCCAGCTAAACCAGTGTTCCCAGTCAGACAAAGATGGTGGAGAGGCGTCTAACCGAGCTGCAGACTCACGTTTTCATAAATTTGACAGAGATATAAAAACTTTGAAAAGTGAAGTTTGACCTACAGTTTCATCTCTTTACTCTTAAACTCTTTAGTTTTATTGACTCTGGTGGAGCTGCAGTTCAATTCTCTCATTTTAATGTCGTCTGAAACAGACTGAAGACAAAAACACCATAAAATCCGTTTCTGTGTGTAAATGATGGTGAAAATAAAACTCTTGATCCCTCTGAATCGTCTCTGTTTATCCGTCATCGTTGATGTTTGACTCAGATTTACATAAAATCAGATTTTCCAGAAACACTGAGGAGTCAAAACAGAATAAATCCGCTCTGACGGATTCCTCTCCTTGTTTTCAGAAAGCATTTCCTGCCCGTCCGTCTCACATGTCCTCTCCGATTATCTTTACTTACATAACTTATCATCCCCCTCCCCCCTCCTCATCCGTCTCACCCAAACATGTTTGTCTGTCCGGTCCCAGGACGGTCCCCGGTCCACAGCGACACTCAGACGGAGGACATTTGGGACCTGTGCAGTCCACCTCATCGCAGATATCGTAGAAATCTGAACAAAACACAAAATAAAAGACAAAATAAAGAAGGAAACTCAAAAATCCTGGTGGTGTAGACGACTTCTATCTGCTGTAGATCTAGCGTCTGCATGTCAGAGCTCTGCGGGGTCGGCTGATGAACATAGATAAATAGATATATGTTTATAGAAAATTATAGATATATATAATCCAGAGACTCTAATTCTACAGACTTTCATACGTACGCCCGCAGTAAACGTGGAAGCAGACTGACGGTCTTGGCAACCGGTACACAAAGTACCCTCCGCTGCAGGCCTTCACGTCCACGGTGGCGTTCCACTGGCAGCAGTTCCCGTTGAAGCTGGCGCAGACGGGCAGGGTGACGGCGCCCTCGTGGAGTTGGGGGTGGCTTCCTTTGAGCCAGACGGGAGCGTGGGTGCCGCAGTGATTCTCAGAGACGCAGAAGGTGGGCATGGCGTCCCCCGCCATGCCCGTGAAGCGGTACCACTCCCCGGACACGTGGCTGTCACATAGAGGAACGCCGGACGACTGGTTGACGTGGTAGTCAGTGTTCCTCCAGGGCTCGTTCAGGCTGATGTAGGCCAAGCAGGGGTCAAGGACTGAGGAGGGAGAGAAGACGTCAGCTGTAATATCTATACTAGATCCTACTGTCCTGTGTGGTTATAGAGGCTTCTATCATGTTGTTTTCTATACTGTCAAGGTCACATCATCATGAACTCTGGGAAAGGTCAGAAACGATGACTTTAAACCCACGCCATGAAGTTGTTACCATGAAGCGAACCTTTGGACCATCATGATAAAGTGCAACACCGAGTCGGTTCTGATTCTGCTGAGAGCCAACAGGCCGAGAGTCTCTTAGTGCAGAATCAGGAGAACAGCAGAGGAAACCAGGTGCAGCTGAACGATCAATACTCTGTTCCCCTTTTCATGCCCCCTCAACGGTGTAATTAAGAGGCAGGGAGAGGACTGAGGGATGATGGGAAAGTGGGCGGGAGTGAGGGTTCATGGTCATCAGGAGGAAACAGCAGGAGGTTCATGAGCCCGGGAATAAAAACATCTTCAGAAACACGACGGAGACATAAAACTGACGGTTTGAAGGATGATTGACGATTGAAGAGATCGGTAATTATGATGAACCTCGTTTCCATGGAGATCATGGTCCTACAGTGCGATCTCCACGAAGTGAAGAGAAAAAAAGATCAGAAAAAATCTGTTCAGAACTGCAAAAACATTGACCAATGGGAGCCATTCATCCCGGACAGCTCCGATTGGTCAATTTCCTGCTCCATCTCTCCATCCAATCACCTCGCTGTATTTGACACACCCCTCTCCCGTAGTTCCAACTCGTCCCCTCCCACTCTACCATTGTGTAGCAGCTTAGCTACAGGAGCTGTGATGGAGAAGGACGCAAAAAAAAACCCACTTCTGCTCGCCCCACCGCCAAAAGTGGGAAGAAAACGCCGACAGAAGAAAGGGCGGAGTCAAAGAGGAAATGTGACCAAGCGTGGAATCTAACTGGAATAAACATCGGGTCATCCTTGGAGTGGTGGAGAAAACAGACGCAGAGACAGCCGAGTTTTTGTTGAGGCCGAATGATCGACATGAAATATCTGAACTGTTCCTAATATCCTAAATAAAGAGGATTACTGTGAATGAAACCAAGGCCAACATGGAGAACATAGAAAAGAGTTAAAACATGAAATTAAACCAAAGTGTTTGTTGGGGTCAGGGTCAGAGTCCACCCTGAAAAAAGGGGAATATCCCTTTAAAGTCCCTGTTATTAACCCCTGATTCCCTCGTTGAATTGAGCGAACAGGTCTGATTCTGTTACCGTGATGAAGCCGTCATCACTCTCTCTCTCTCTCTCTCTCTCTGTCCATTAAAGATCAGTTCATCCTCTCTCTACCTGCTGCTCCAATAAAAGCAGAGGGATCAATTCAGCCGCTTGGCCCGCTGACAGCCTAAACGACCGGCGCTGGAGACGTATGACTGACCAACTGTTTGCTGGAGCAGCACAGAAGGGGCAGAGGACATAGCTGACTCATGCTGGTGTATGCTAATGGGAGCGTTAAATCTTCCAGATGGGGCTTGAATAACTTAATTTGGCTGTTAAGTGAACGTGGAGCAGAGCCGGACCAGAGTCTGACTCTCATCCGCGCTGATGAAGATGCAGACTCACAGTAAATAGTGCAGAGCCTCCCAGTTCATCATCATACATCTGTTCGGTAAGAGCACGGAGCCAGCAGGGGTTTAAGGTCGTCTGCAGAGCTGCACAAATACAATAAAAACTACAGCTGGAGCTACATGTGAGGCCTGACAACTCCAGAGTGGAGGATCCTCACCTCTGATTGGCTGCAGGGCGTCCATTCAGTCCGGCAGAATAATAATGTCTCTTAAAGGGATATTCCGGCGTAAAATTAATTCAGGGTCAAATCCACCATAACATCCAGAGATGAATGTTGTCGACCGCTTCCTTCTCTAGGTATACCAACTTTAGTAACGACCGCAGGATAGCAATACAGAGAGCCACGCCCCCAACCAAAACGCCACTCTATAGCCACACCTAACTTCATCAACAGGACAGATAGGGTCACAGCCATAGTACTAGACACCAAACATCTTTTTAACTTTGACTAATTTCTTTAGCAAAGAGACTAAACACAACTCACCTACTCTCTTCCAGTCCATTACAGACTACAGCGGGGTGCCGCAGCTCAAGGAAGAACATTTATGATCATTTCTTTATCATTCCCTTGAAGTAATAATCACCATATTAATCATTTTACAGATGCAGTAGTTCTTCTGCGTTAGTGTGAGCTGTTCAGAGCAGAAACACCTGCTGTTGCCAAGAAGTTCTCATCCTCCGTTTGTTAAAGTTAAAGTTGGAGATTTTATTTCTCTTCTTCAGGGACAATAATGACCTCCTCGGATGTTCGTCAAACCTCCAGGTATTTCAAACTTTTGGTGAAGACTATTAACTGGATTCTTCTGAGGTGACCATAATCAGAATACCGTCCTTTGTTATTCATCATCAGGAATTAATGGATGCTGTGGGAGTTAAACGTTCTCCTCAAGGTCTGCCTCCCAACATCCATAAATTTCTGATTCATTTACCCTTGAAACACATTATCGTTCACAAAACCCATTTATTAGCCGCAGAAATGAATTCAGTGACACGTTTCCCTGAGGGCATAAACATTAAAACCAGAGCTGCTGTAAAAAACAGAATCAGACAGATAACTATATCTTTGTTTTCCATAAATATACAATAATACAGTTATTTTGATATTTTCTGGACACAATAATTCTGAATAATAACATGTAAAAACTGAACATGTAAGTGTACACAGTTAAACTGAGGTTTGTAGTATTTTACCAAATAAACTGAAACCTCCTCATAAACAGAATCAGACTGGGACTGTGTTTTTGCAGACACTCATAAATCAGAAATCGTGAATCCCTCCAGATTTACAGCTGATTGGATAAGTCACTTTGGTCTTCAGTCTGGACTGAGGAACAAATAAAAACCCGGCCCGAGGATCTCAAACTGAGGCGGCTCATAAAAAGTGAAAAGGTCAGAAACACAGCCGAGGACCGGATCCTTTAGTGGCTTTAAAACAATCAGTCAAATCTTAAAACCGGCCCTAAACTTTACAGTAAGCCGAGCAGACGAGTTAAAACAGGAGTGATCTCATCTCCATGTTTACTACCACTTTAAAAAAAACTGCTCAGTGTCGGAGTTTTAGGAGTTTTAGGAGTTTTAGGAGTTTTGGCAGAGACAGGTGTAGAGAGACTAAAGTGAATCTGACATTAAAAACACATGAATGATCCTGTTAAAGGACTCGGTCTGAACTCAAAGGTTCGTCTGAAACTGTGTCAGGATGATCATTAAAGGGAAGTATTATGAGAAGATCAGGGGGCCGAGAGTCGCGCCCTGAGGAACCCCTAAAGTGACTTTTTCTCCAGATAATAATAAGACAGTATTTTGATTTTTCTTATTAGTAAAATGTCAAAATAAAAACATTAGATATGATTTATTTTATGTCTTTTACAAACAGTACAGAGACTTTTTAAACACAGAATACTTAAATTATAATTTCAGGTGTTTCTGCTGATCACGTCAGAGTTTGGGAGATTTGTCGGCCGTAGACGTGGAGCTGAAACAAAACTGGACGTTTGTGAAGATAAATGAAGAGATAATAATCCAATAACAAATTTAATGTTTAAATATCTAATGTTCTAATCAGTCAGTACTCAGAAAAAAAAAAAAGTATTTTAAGTTTTCTGGGACTTTTTGTCTGGTATTTAAGTTGCACAGACCGTCTCTTTTAAAGGAGCAGTACCCGTTAATTTCTAGAGTTGATGTTCTTAAGAATAATAATACTAATACTAATACTAATGATAATAATAAATTTTATTCATAATGCACTTTTGCTCAAAGACGCTTTACAAAGAAAAAAAAACAATTTAAAATACAGAAAATTTTGACAAATAAAACCAATAATGTAAAAAGTTAAAAAAGACAATAAGAGAACAGTTCACAGGTAAAAAGCCAATTTAAAAATGTGTTTTTAGGAGTGATTTGAAAGTATGGGGGTCTATTTCCTGTTAAATCTTATTTTTTTTATTTTTTTGCAGAATTTAGACTTTTTTTTGTCTTAAACACACAGAAAAAGTGTGTAAATGCAGAAGTATCAAGAACAGCAGCTGTAATAACAGATGAAGATCAGTGTTAGTGTTTTTTTACTCAGACTCACTCAGTTCAGAGATCTCTGTGTTTTTTTGGTCTCAGCTGATCTTAAAACCCCAAATCTCTCGTACCGTGGGTCAGAGTAAAGTCTAAATAAACAGGTAACAGAGAAAAGTCCGGACTCACCGGCTCCGTCGGTCCTGTAAATCTCCTGCAGCAGGTTGAAAACCACCAACAACATCATGCTGAGTTCTCAGGTGGTTCAGGTCCAGGTCCAGGTTCAGGTTCAGGTCTGAGTCGGTGTGGAGCTCCTCTGGGTCATCCTGAGGGGGGTCTGTTTTAAGTAGTCTGCCTGTTATCTGGATCCTCTCGTCACGTTTGAGTCTCACCCTGACCTCCTGATCCGTCCTCCCCCCCGTCCTCTCTCATCCTCCCATTGTTTCAGACTCTACCCCCCCAAACTGAACCTGGACTCCTGTTTTCTCCTTCGCTTGTTTTTGACGTTTTTGAGCGGCGGTCTGATATGCATTAAACTGAACCGGTTCACCGTCTTACTGTCGAGCTGAAGCTGCTTCGCTCCAAGTTTGGACCCTCAGAGGGACTCAGAGGACCAGGATATCTGAACACTGCTCTATGTCTCAGTCCTATTACAGGCGAGAAACCGTCTCCAGTTTCACTCAGAAAGGCGCCACGCTAACCTGCTTCTGTGTCTCACATGTAATTAAACCAGCAGAGACATGAATCCTGGAGGCAGTTAGGAGAAATGAGGTGGATCATACTGTTCTTCTTCTTCTTCTTCTGTGATTACTCCGAGAAATGAGACTCTGTTAGTCCTCCGAGTCTCAGACAGATCCAAACGCCGTTTTATTACACTATCACAGTGTCAAAGGTCGTCCTCTAACTTTGAGTTTATTTGATTTTAATCTGAACTCACATTTTTTAGTTCTCTCTCTCTAACAGCTCTGAGACCGACTATCAAAACCTTTACAGGACGTTTCTGAAATCTGATCATTCGGCACTAAAGTACAATCTGCCCTAAAGCAGGACGTCCAGTACTCGCCAAAAACAGTCATTAAATCACAGCTGGAGACTTTTTCATATTATCAGTTTGAAAAAAGGAGATTTTAAAAAGTTTCTAAAGGTCTCTGTGGTCCCTGATCGTCGCCCCTCACCCCATTTTAAAGGAAATACTAAATACAGTTGAAACAAAAAGAGATCACTGGATACCACTGGACAAAATGTGAGGAAGGAAAGCCACTGGATGCTCTTCCATTTCAGAGAATGTTTTAGAATCCTCTCTGGATGCTCTTCCAGTCTGTGTATGAAGAAAAGAAGCGTCCTCTGGATTACCGTCCAGTACATTCAAATGTCATAAAGATGGCGCTCTCTGGATGCTCTTCTGATTGATAAAGTTCCAAATCTCGCCATCTAAAAGTTTTCCATCATATAATAAAAAAGAACTCCCACCGGATGCCCTTCCAGTCGAAAAACAATGAAAAACTATTCTTTAATAACTCATCCTGTATTAAAAATGTTAAAAAAGCGCAGTATGGTTGCCGCCACAGATAATTCACTCATGGTGAATTTATCCCTGGATGCCCTTCCACAAAAGTAAATGAAGAAAAGTGGTCTCTGAACGCTCTTTAATGAATAATATAGAGAATACGTTCCCTCTAGATTCCCTCTCAGGATATAAAACATAGAAACGGTTCCCTCTAGATCCTTTTTTATTTATATTACCTAGAAAAACCTCCTCTGGACGTTCTTATAATGAATTAAAATCTTAAAAAGTGTTTGTTGAAGATTTCCCTCTGGATGCTCTTCCAGCGTATGAAACAGAGTAAAGTTTCAGATCTACCAATTTAATGATAAAAAAAGTTCTTTCCCCGACTTTAAATTAAACTTTGAATAAAACTTTAAAAGTGCCGGCGGTGTGTCTGTTTAATGAGGGTCCTCTGACGGTTAAAACTGGTTCTTATTTGTTATTCTGAGCTCAGTTTTTTTTTTGTTTTTTGTGTCTTAAATTCTTAAACATTATTTTTAGGGTTTTAAGAAAAAAAAACAGACGTTTGTTCCTCTTTTAACGATTAACAGATCCAGATCTTTGGGAGGGACTCTGAGTCCTGAACAAAGTCCAGGTCCTCTCTCTGGTTGTAAACAAACAGCTCGCCCTCGCAGGTCTATCTCTTAGGATGTCCTGTGCAGGATGAGCCGGAGGCCAAGGAGAACCGGAGGAGACGGTGAAGACCTTGAAAAGCTGTTTCTTGTAAATCTCCATAATGAACTCATTAATCCTGGAGAACAACAACAACAACAACAACAAATCCCCAGAGGACCCGCGTCTCCAAAAACTGGATAAGGATTTTATTGATAATTGAATTACATATCTCTTTTATACATATTTCATAAATGATACAGGATTTTACATTTTTCTTTTTTGCCAACATTACAGCATCATATGTCAACAGAAGAAAAATAGACGAGAACAAACTCAATAAAATAAGAGGTCCGAATGGAGAACAAGATCATTTCAATCCTAGATTCTGCGTCACTCCTTAGGCATTTGAAACATATCGTAAATGCACACAAACAATGCATTAAAACAGAGCACACATTCAAACCAAGAAGAAGAAGAAGAAGAAGAGGAACGTGATCTCTGGAGAAAAAAAAAAAGGCGTTGGGTGGATGGAGATGACGGGAGAGGAGGGGCAAGGAAAAGCTCGACAGTTCTCCTCCGTGGACTCTGAGGTCCGGAGGTCTCCTCGTTCTGAGGTGGAGCACCGAGGATGGAGGGTGTGGGTGTGTCGGTCGGTTGGTCGGGTGGGGGTTTGAGGGGTAAATCAGGCGCAGATGGGGGTGAGGTTGGATGAGGTTTGAGCAGTTGGTTGGCTGGGATTGAAGTCAGATTGGGCAGGGCGGATCCTAAAGACGCAGCCCTGTCCGCCGCCCCGTTAGAACTAGAATCTCTACAAACAACGTTCTTAAATTATCTTTGCAGTTTTTTTTATTTTGATAAATCTTTTTTATTTTCACATAATTTCTCATGTAAACATACATTCATGCAACACCCTCTTTATAATAAAGTTTCCCTATATTTGATATATTTTGTTTTTAGAAAATAAGGAGAAAAAAAGAACAAAGGCAGTAAACGGTGGATGGCGTGAGAAGAAGGAGGAGGAGGTGAAGATGGAGAGAAGTGTGGCGAGAAAAAAACAGCAGAGGGGAGGATTGGACTGCAGACGGAGGCCTCGACTCTCTCACCTCCCACGGTACATCTCCAAGGAAACACCGTCCTCACTGTGTGTGTGTGTGTGTGTGAACTTGTGTGTGTGAGAGTGTGAGCGTGTGTGTGAGAGTGTGAAAGTCGGCCTATTCAGGGAAAAACGATGACTGCCATGAAGTGGGATGTGGGCGGAATTGATTTTTAGCGCTATCGACAAGGCGGTGACCAGGGGCCGAGGATTCATGAATATGGTGATCTGAACTTTGCCCCCAGTGCACACACACACACACACACACACACATACACACACACACACACATACAAACACACGCACACACACATACCTGTTCACAGGTGAACTAGAAGATTTACGTTTCCAAGCATTTAAAGGGATATTTCAATGTTTCTGAGGTGAGGTTGTTAGAGTAACACGCCACTGATGAGTGTTTTAGCAACAATAGATGATAATAAGCTCCGCCCCTTTATTGAGAAACTACAGGGAGGATCGGCACGCAAGCTAGGCTACAGTTTTCTGTTTTGTAACTCTAAGAGACTCTGATCCAAATGCTGATCTTGGTCGAAGAGAAACTTCTCCGTGTTTTACTTCGACACCAGAGGAAGTTTTTTCATCAGGGTTTGTAGAGGACGGAGGTTTTGGACGTGAAGGACAAGGTAGAAAACTGAACTCTGCACACACCACAGGCTGATCTGAGGTGTTTGGTGATCAATATTATGTAAAACTGCGATGCAAGAAGATCAAAATTCACAGTATTTCAGTGACTCATGAATCCTAGACCTGATTATCAGATCTGGCTGAATGTGGAGGAACATGTTTCTGCAAATAATACAGAAAAAAAAAGAGTTTTCTGATGGAAAAGTGCAGAAGAAATCTCTCTTGAAACAAGATGAGTGTTTTGTTCACAGCTTTTCAAAATGAGCTAAATTACAACACAAACTGTAGCCTAGCTAACACGACGACTTTCTCTGCAGTTTAAAGGAGCCGAGCTGACCAACATCCACCGTGGCTAAAACACCGACTAATGACACGTCAATCACACAGCCTCTCTTTAAAAAACACCGAACTGTCCCTTTAAGTGACACCCTTTGGAGAAAAAAACTTTTGCAACTGCTGCTGACCAGATCTCTGCAGGGTCCCCATTTATCACAACATCAATCAGGCAAAAGGCACCATTTCACCTGCTGGGACAACACACTCACACACACACACACTCACACACATACTCATACATAGACACACACGCAGACAGAGTAGACCAAATCCTGCTCTGAGATCTGCACGGCTCACCTTTGATTTGACCTAAAATCATGCATTTATTAGAAAAATCTGCAGTTAAACACCAAGATCTGCTCAGCAGGATTCACCTGACTCTGTGCGCACACACACACACACACACACAGACACACACACACACACTCATATGCCAAACTTAAATCTTCCCCTCCAGAAGTGGAAAAACTGGGATCTGAGATCTTGACTGTGACCCACCAATCCTCACCCTGAACAAAATCGGAGTAAAGCTTTTTTTTCGGGGACCGTCCCAAAAAACAAGGAAAAACTGAAACGTATGGCTTTGAGGACTTTTGATTGACCCGGTCAGAGGGGGGGATGAGACGTCAGCTAGATGTGGCAAAGAAAAGAGTCCAATTAAGTATAAAATTGCAATAATGCTCCTACACATTCACAAGTTTCTACTGAGGGCATACCACAGCATGCAGTCTACCCTGCGCTGCCATCAGGGGGGCAGGGGGGGCATTACAGCGACAGTGGGGGGAGAAATCTCCGGCTTCAGTCAAAACAAGAATGTCGTGTTTTCATGTAAACTGGATGTTTGTTTTTGGGAGAATTAGGTGGAAAAAAAATCTTTAAAATGGAATCACATGCTGATAACGCTCACAGGCAGGTGAATGAAAATCTGGTTCAGTTCCCACGGCGGCCATCTTTATGTGACGCCACGCTCAGGATGGGAAACCCAAATATGGTCAACGTGTATTACCCCGGTGTCCCAGGTCTGAAGTCTGAGAAACCTCAATAATCACGAGACCTTAGACCTGATCCTGAGTCCTCAGCTCCTCTTTCAACAGCACGCTGTAAACCTTAGAGGACCCAGGAGACCAGGTTTCTCTGAACTCTGAGCTCCTCTAAAGATTAGGGAAGTCCATGATCTCCAAACAGACTGTCAGATTTAACTTGTAAGGTCCCCTCAGTCCATCTTAAACGGGCTCAGGTCCAGAAAAGTCTCTGGACCTGAGCCCAGCTCTGGAGTAGAGGATGATCTCCAAGGAGGACATCAAAATTCTGATCATCAGATCACAGGACCTGGTCTTAGTTCCCTCTTGGCGTGGTTGTGAACCCATGTGGTGACCTCCACTACAGAGTCATGCACAGAACTTCAATATGGCGTTGTTGGCGAATTAACGGGATGAGGCAGCAACATGAACACTGGCGCCTCTAACCCCAAATCTGGGGGTGAGGTGGTCATCTTTACGGTAATCACTTAGCTTTCGAAATGGGTCTGATTATCAGCGTTTATACGTCACATGGACCTGGACGACAGTACTCTTACATGACCATATTTGACTTCCCCCCCCTGAGTGTGACATCACCTAAAGATGGCGGCTGCAGGAACCCGGTTAATTTAGCCCAGAATCTCTCTGCGTTCACTCCAAACACGCCGATGAACATCTCCACCCTGCAGGAGGCGTTTCTGTATTTTTGAGGTCGTCCACATCAGAGCTAAAGTCTCCCTGCTCTGTAAAGTATATTCAGACGCCGCTGAGGGAAACCATGACGGTCATGTGATGGCGGCGGCGGCGGCGGTGGTGGAGGTGTAGGTTGTAAAGCTCTTTGTATTTTAGCGTGGAGGAACGTGGGCTTTAGAGGGTCCTTCACCTCAGCAGATCTCCAGAGGATGAAGCGGTGTTTGTGTGAGCCGTCCTCCCCCCACTGGAAAAACTAGCCTCTGGTCATCTGTTTATTTGATTGTATACATATATATATATATTTATATTCTTCTCATAACAAATATACTATGGCTTTCAAAATAAAAAGTGCCAAAATATCTTTTTTGGAATAAAAGAACACACAGTGATGTTGTTGTCGGTAGGACGCTCAGACTCGCGCAGACGGACCGGGACGTCAACAGGAAGAGGAAAGGAGGCGTCGCTGTTCCTACATCCTGCGAGTCTGGACGGGCTCCTGATAGAGGTCACACCGGGAGGGACAGCTGTCCGTCACCTGGAGGAGGCGTGGCCTAAGGAGAGGCAGGCGGCACAGTTCAGCCACAGGAAGATGAAGGTCCTCCTGATGGTGCGACCGCCGTCAGGACTTCCTTGTAAACTTTAACGTGTGAAATAAAGCCCCGCCCCCGACCCAGAGCGCCGCAGGTGTGTGTGTGCTGACAGTCTGACTGCAGGAGGAAGCAGGACTTCCGGGGTCGCTGTCCCAGTGTGTCCTGAATGTCCCTCACACACACACACACAGGCACACACACTCACACCTGCCCCTGGTAGTGTCCTCTCTTCTGGAGAGTCTGCCCCCTGCAGGCTGTCCCCCAGGAGTGCCCACGCCGATTATTCGATCTTTTTCATCACCGCCATCATTGTCCTTTCCGTCGCCCTCGCCATCCTGTGAGAGGTTAACAGTTCCTGGTTTTCTCACCGTCCTTCGGCGTCGTCTTCTCTGCGCTTTC